TGAGAGTCTGCGTCGATCAGATACTGGATTAAGAGCATTGGCCTACTGCAGTATTAGTACGGTAGCCCATCCCATGTTCTCCATATTCGTTTTTATCAATCCTCTTCTACCCTTCCCTGCTATGATTTGCAAATTTCAAGTTTGGCAGTATTGGTAGTGCTGCTGGACTCACGCACCCTCTTCCTCGCCCCCTGCCATCTGCTGTTGGATGTACATGCACCATCAGCGCAATCCCTGATTCACTCCTCCCCATAACGGCACATATAATACCAGGTTTCCCTTCCCCTCAGGAGAATCTGCCTGGGACGGATCATATTTATCAACTGGGAATCAACAGTCCTCTACTTCAACGGCGAGGACCGGAGCTGCCGGCACGTCTTACCAATCGGCTCGAGGCTCACAAAAGCCCACCAATTGCCTCTTTTCAACAATTCATTCTGGGCTACTCGAAGTACTGCGTTGTGACGATTGCCCAAGATGGCTGACGGTCTCACCCAGAAGCAGCTGAACATTATCAGCGACATAGAGCGAGCGTGCTCGGTGATTTCTCTGCTAGGATGCGTTTTCATCATCGTGACATTCTGCTTTTCAAGCTCGTTCCACAAGCCTATCAATAGACTTGTGTTTTATGCCTCATTTGGTAACATGATGACCAATGTGGGCACACTCATGTCTCGGAGTTATCTCAGTTCACCGCACTCTCCCGGGTGCCAATTGCAAGGCTTCCTCATTCAGATGTATGCGTCTTCGCATCTGACCTCTATGTTAGTAGGCCGCTGACGATTTTTAGGTTTATGCCTGCTGATGCATTCTGGACACTGGCCATGGCGTTTAATGTCTATCTTACTTTTTATCACAAATACGACGCTAGAAAATTGCGACGAATGGAGATACCCTATCTATTATGCTGCTACGGCATTCCCTTCATCCCTGCTTTTGTATACATCTTTCTCAAGAACAAAGAGGGCTACCGAGCATACGGCAATGCCACTTTGTGGTGCTGGATCACGACCGAGTGGGACATTTTCCGTATTGCAACGTTTTATGGCCCTGTCTGGTGAGTTGACCTGAAGAGTTTGATGGAGGAAGGAGAGTTTGGTTTATTGACACAAGTCTAGGGTCGTCATCTTTGCCACCTTCTTCATCTACATCCGCGCAGGACGAACAATCTATGAGAAGCACAAACAGCTCAACGACTTTCACTCATCCGAAGGCCTATCATCCGTGGATGTCATCACTACCCTCAGGACAACCGAAGTGACAGTCACTACATCGGAAGCCGTGACAGACCCTGGAGCGTTCCAAACCCACCCCCCTCCAGGCCGCCACCCATCCATTACAGACCCAGAGGGGCAGAACCCCAACTATTCGGTGCACATCTCAGCCAGTGTGGCCGCCACGGACGACAAGATTGAAGCAGTTAAGCCTGCCAACAAAGAAACTACGAAGAAGTCGAGACTAGGAAGATCAACGCGACCACCAACAGCTCGACGACGAAACTACGAAATCAACAACGCAGCATGGGCCTACGCCAAGTGTTCCCTTCTCTTCTTTACGGCACTTCTCGTTACATGGATCCCGTCGAGCGCCAATCGAGTCTACTCCGTTGTTAAGAGCCAGGAAATCAACGCACCGCTTGAGATTATGAGTGCATTTGTGCTTCCCCTTCAGGGATTCTGGAACGCTCTTATTTACGCCGTCACGTCGTGGGGTGCATGCAAGAGCTTTTGGGACGACATTCGAACTGGCAAGCGGCCAGAAGTAATGGAGCTAGTTGGAGGAATAGGCCAGACAGACGAAAATAGCCGCCACAGTCGGCGCATCAGCCAGTTTAGGCCGGGACACAGGTCAAAGGGACTCGACTCGGAGAGTATGACGGAATTGGCCAACACGCGAACCCATTCAGCAGACGCCCATTCAGCAGACAACGCCTCAGCTTATGGACGATCAACCACTTGATGACGACAAGGGGGGATGTGTTGCTACTACTCGAATATAATATTTAATCGTCCATTGAGCGTGCTGCTCTGGTTGAGACTTTAGTCGTTCACTTCTTCCAACGATGCATCTTCTCATCTTTTCTTTTCATTTCTCCTCTTGTTTTTTTTTTTTTGTCTGAACGCTTATGACGGCAAAGGATGATGAGTTCTGGGGGGATTCACAGGGACGGCGGCGCCTCTCGCCACTTGGGAAAAAGGGCAGGAAGATACCCAGGACTTTACTATGACTATCAAAACAATATTGACACTGAACTGCGCTACATTCACCGCTCTTCTCTTTTTTTTTCTTGTCTCTTCGCTCCTTAACCAGGTTTCTCTAACTGTGATTATGTCGTCCAAGACATGCACCATGCCAGTGATTGTATACCAGGGGGCACGTTTTAATACAAGTATATATTGCTGGTAGTTTGCAGAGCTAAATGTGCTTTAAGACAGACTATTTGCTTGGCCGTCTAGCGACGATAGCTCATACGAGCACTGCCGGTTCTACGATGACATTTCGTGCTACGATAATACGGAGTGACTAGCGGCTCTTCGGTGAAGTCACGTCTTGGCCGTTGCAATCTAGATTCGGGCCCCTTCTCGACCCTCGACCCCTCTTCCCCAATCACTAACCCCTAGGAAGAAGCTGTCCAGCAAAACCGCGTGGCAGTCGGGGTAATACTTTACGAACAAGGGCCTCACAATCTCCGCAGCGCAAGGTTGGGATTAATGCTTTGAGGCGGGGGGCGGTTGGGTAAACCTTGCAAAATCCTTCGAATCCTCCCAGGTGTGCACCACTTCGAGAACGTACCCGTAATTCGTGAGCATAAGTGATTTTTAGCTGGATTCGTGTCAGCGCCCGGCAATGCTGGGTCTGGATGTATTTTGTGGGCGGGAAAGACGGGGAAGACGGGAGGCGCAGGATGAAATGGATGGAGCACACACAAGCAAAAGAACAAAACGAAGAAAGGAAAAAAAGTTTAAAAATAAACAATCAGGGCAAATTAGTCATGTGTTAGGCTATTTTTTTCTGCCGGTTTTTGTGCCGCCTCTTCTGTGCCCTTTTATGCCCCTGCATACCGCCCCGTGTCTAACGGCGCAGAGGGAAAACATGGATGGAATCTTCAACAAAAAGAGAGCCTTACCTTGAACAGGAAAAAAGCCATCAGGGGGTCCGGAGCGTGAAAATGCGCGCTGGGAGAGGCTTGGCTCAGCTTGGTAAGAGTCCAATATACGTCCATACGTGGGAGGCATAAGCAGTTGCCCTGGGTGAGCTAAGCCATGGATCTCTATTCAATATAGGGCTGAGGAGGCCCGTTGCTGACGGCTTTTGATAGCGTCTTTTCCGGCCGGTTTATCCTATCAGTACTTGGATTCTGTATTTTTTGTTTTTGTCCTGCTGCTGGCCTGGAGCTTACAGATACAGGCACGGATACAACTGGTAATAGCGCCGTGTGTCCCCTTTTTTATGTCCTTGCTATTGTCTGCATTTGGGGTCGCAAGTCTGACCAAAGACCGACGGGTCTCCCAACACTGCCTTTTCCAGAAACGGGGAGGGCGCAGACGCGGAAACACCCAAGGAATCACACCTGGCGTTGGGTCAAAGTGGCTGCAGCTCCGTCTTTCCGACTTATTTCGTAAGCGGTACTACCTTCTTCTAACAACACCAGACAGAAAAAAAAAACAAGCTCTTCCCCTCAGAAAACGAACGGGGATACGGAGGAAGCCTCAAACGTCCGCAAACCCAGTCCGTTCGGCGCAACGGCAACCCCCAAACTGGGCAGGCAAGGGCCAAAAAGCAACGGGCCAGCGCCTCGAAAGCGGCATAGCTTACGAGGGGGACGAAACAATGGCGTCGCCCAGCTTAAAATCAATTTAGGCACAATGGAAGGGAAGTCGGGGACACGCCGATGAGAAATTATTCCCTTATACCGTTGCTTTGCTTGCTTAGAGCCGTAAAAAAAAATAAAAAAAAGACGGATTCAACGGTCGGCAGGCGTTGGGATGGGATGGTGACAATATGTTCAGACAAAGATTTTTACTTCTTTTTTTTGCCTTTTGCGGCTTTATTCTCCGAGGAGAAACGAGGCACATGCCTTACTGGCTTTTTGCAACTAAATATCAGAGAAAAAAGGACTTGCTTGCGGGCCGCTTTGTCCGTTTGAGGCCCCTTGCATGGTGCGTTGCAGCAGGATCCCGTTCGCAGCTTAAAGAGGGAGGTTAAAACCTCGTGGCTGCATACGAGTATAACCTGACGCAACGCAACGCAACCCAAGTGGTGTCATTGTTGTTGTTCGTCGGGCGTTAGTTCTGTCGTTTTGAGTGTTTGCTGCTCGATGCCTGGCACAAAGTTCATGCTCGGCGCAATTCGCCCCTGGTTGACGTCGTATCAGATCCAAGTCTTCCTCAGGCTGCGACTCAGTCCCTGCTTCCCATGCTTCTCTGGGCTCTGGATGGCAGAATCGCCCGCTGATCGTCAGCAGAGCACGGCCCTTGTCACTTGTTTTTGTTCCGCATCTCCACATGTTACCCTGGATCGTCATGCGATGCTACCAAACACGTTGCAGTACGGAGTACGGAGTAATGGCGGTGGTTATTACACCGAACCTCGAAAGGCGTCTGCACAACACATGTCAGAACTGAGCCATCAATTCAATAAGTCCGAGACTACCCTAGATGACCCCAGCGAATTCGTAATATCCCCGCCGTAGAAACGCCTCACAAACAACACCACCACCCTCCCTTGTATATAGCCACCAAGCTCGAGAAGACCACTGCAGTAGCTCAACGCCACCGGCTACCAACCGAGAGAGGGGGAGAGAGAAGGAGAAAAAAAAAAAATGAAACCACATGAGAAACAAGGGAGAGGGGGATATCCTGTACTAAGTGATGCAGCCCGAATCATGTCAAACACCATCCTTCACCCAGCTAGTCAGGCATTTCCTCAAAGAGGCAAACGCACGCCTTTGGCCTTCTTCAGAACCAAATCTTGGAACTACTCCCCGATGCCGGCGTTTCCTACGCTTCCTTGAATCCTCGGACAGTGTGATATTCCCAGATAGTGCCCAGCTCGAGACACTCGGCGACGCAAGCAGGGTCATCCCACCACCATTTGGTAGCAGTGACATGCGAACCCCACGCTTCTACCCACAGCATACGTCCAACCAGACTTCTAACCTGGGCTTTCACTTCTTGCTCTATCTGTACCCCGTCTTTGAACATACTCGTGTCCCTGTTTGTTGCGCTGTTAGGAACCGCATAAAACTTTGTCGTGGTGAGAGAGCTCTTGTCCCCGCGAAGCCCAGCCTCCTCGAGCAGGGGAGGGAAGGCTGTACTGGGACTCATACACATGCCTTGCCTTGCTAGGTTTCGAAGCAGATTCTCTTCTATCCACGTCTTCAAATTCCTACCCATAGTGCCCGCCCGGGGAAGTGGGTCGATGAGCACCAGCTGAAGGAAGCCCTTCTTCTTAAGACATTTGTAGACGTTACTGAGTATCCCAGGCAAAGAGGCTGACGGACACAGAGACGGCAACATCAGAGAGCGAACTGATTCATAAACTCGAGGTGCTACTGGAAAGTCTGTGGGCGACACTGTGGAAACGGAAACCACATGAACGTTTTCCAATAACTCCTCCTTTGGTATCGAGAGCGGCGATACGTGATATATCTGCTTCGTGTGTTCCAGTGCGGCGAGGTAGGCGACAGTGGCTACATCAAATCAACCCATCATTAGCAAATTGGCGTTCAGCTGGATGAAGGCACACTTACCTGCTGAATCGTAGAGGGACAAAATCATGCGAGCCGTCAAGGGAGTTTCCTGGCGTGGGCGCAACGGTCCATTAATCGTTAGATATTGATCCATGTGGACCATAGTCGAGAGCATCCACCTCCGCTGGTCTTCAACCTCAGGGCTATCACCCAGGAGAAAAGAGACGTCTTTCTTTGCAACGCCCTTCCAGAATGTCTCCAGTCGAGATAGGATATCAGGCGCACTCGTTTTTGCCATCTCGGCGACTGCTAAGCGGAGCCAGCGAAAGCTCTTGTTTATACCGATGCCATTCTCTGGCAGCCGGGTGTAGTCCACCTGGTCACGGATGGATTCAGTCGATTCCCGTAGAAGAGGACTAGGACTAGACGAATCACTTAGGTTGGGAGTAGAATGGTCCCATTCACCAACAGCTCTCCATGCCTCGGGATTATTAGGCGTGATGGGCATTTCGACACCAGAATATGCTGAACGGAGAGGCGATCTATGCGGGATGGGAATAGCTGGAGAGCGAGGCGTTGATTTTGTCGGTGGCGAGGGTGAAAATGATGGTTTTCTTTGAGAAATGGATCAGCTTTAAGAATGGATTGTTGTTGATGCAGCATAAGAAGATGGAATGTGCAGAATTTGGACATGAAAGAAGCATTACTAACTGTTTTTCAGAGGACAAAGGCGGTGTCAGTGGCCGATTGGCAAGAGTGTCAGGAGCGACTGTAGACTTTTTGGACAACAAAGGGCCGTCATCAGCTGATTTCGCTGTTTTTGGACTTTGTCCGAATATCTGCATCAGGCTCTTCATCTTCTCCGACTCTGTCAAATAATCAGATGCCGAACCAGCAATTGAGGCATGTTCAATCGACAACGGCGAGAAGAGGGAATCTGCATTGGAGATGAGCTGTGAGCCACGAACAAGACACGACTTGGGTTAGAGCACAGAGCACTACTCTTCTTACCATCAGCTGCGAGATGCAACGGTAGCCTTCTCATATCATCGATAGATCTCTCGGGAATCAAGGGGCTAGTGTTCAAAGGGCTCTCGATGGCGGTAAGCCGTTCCAAAAAGCTGGTTGATATACGGCTGGAACTTCGGCGGCTCTCTTGATCAAACAAGTTTGATATGGGCGAGCGATCGGGAGACGCCATAATCGGAGACTCGACTCCTGACGATGCAGACGATGCCATCTGCCCATTGGACGACGATGTGTTTGCCTTCTTTGCGCCCCTGCTACGGAATATAGCAAACGGAGAGTCAGTTGACCAGCGTGAGCTGGCTGTGGATGCCGAACGCCGTCTCGGCTGACTCTTGACTTGTTTTTGGTGAGCTTCCCTTTTCTCTTTTCGTGCTCTGTGCTCTCCCACCAGTTCTTTATCAGGGTCTGTCCAGATGACATCCCACATGGCAGCGACGCCCCTCACAATCAAGAGAGAAAAAGGAGAAACAAATATGAGGGAAACTTACTCGCTGTCGTTCAAACAGCGAATGTAGCTCATGAGGATTTCGGCCCAAATGGGCTGATAAAGCGTCTGTCTGGCCTTGATCTGGTGCAGCGGCAGTAACGTAACCAAGAAGTCCTTGGTGTCACAACAGCAAACGAGCTCCAAAAGGATCAGTGGGGAGGCTGGTTGCCTGAATTGTCAAGTCGCAGTTTGAATGATACTGATTGCAAGCAATACTGATACTCAAGGATGACTGGGTGTTTGGACTGTGGTATTGGAGACTGGAGGATTATGGGTGCTTGCAACACTCTGGGTTTTGGGTTGCGAATGGTGATGGAGCAGAAGATAAAGCGAGAAGCTATGGCAAAGCCAGTCGCGATCCGACGCTACAATTTCCACGCTATGGATCATGGACCGAGGGAAGCGAGAGAACACAAGGGGCTTGGCAAGAGAAGAACAAAGAACAAAGAAGCAAGTGAAAGTTGCTCATTGGCCTCATGCCAACTGAGAGAAGGTCGCTGGCAATATGGATGGCCGAAGAAGCCGAAAGCACTAGAGTCCAGGCCAGGAAGTATCCTCGGTGGCCTCGCAGCCTCGCAGCCGCAATCTGGTCACCCTCGAGTAGGAGAAAGGCCAGCTGCAGGAACTGTGGACACAGCAATGCAAGTTCCCGTGTCGTGGAGATGAGGGTTGATTCGAGGCTAGTAAATGTTTGCTCAGTGGCCAATGGTGTGGACGCAACATCCGCGATGCTTCTTCTACGGTGCAAAGTTATTGAGCTGAAGCCGCAATTCGGGGCGACTTTCACGACCTCGTTCGCTAACAAGGTGTCGCAACACTACGATGCTCTATACTAGCTATGCGCCTTGCTACTAGTACCAAGGATCCTTCGCTTCGTGTTACTCTCCTGCATCGCTACAGCGGGATGCCATGCATCACGAGACTGCAAGACGAGGCTGCATTTGCCCAACACTATGCTTTGCTCATCTAGTTGTGTGAATGGCTCTCCTTATAATGATACTGGAGCTCTTCAAAGATGATGACCTGGTTGTCTCCTGACATTCAGAAGTGCAGAATAAGATGGTCGTCGTCTTAAGCTTCTTACTACTATCTCAAGTACCATTGCTCATAAGCATGTGTATGTTGGCCTCACTCCCCTGCACAGCATATTTATCACCAGCGCCCGCTCATAATTCACGCGCAGTCATCCGTTCAATTGAAGCTCGGCCACTCCGCCATCCAAAAGAATGACCCAGCCATGGTCCTTCTGTCCAGCATCCAACATCCAACCAGCGTATCACATTGGCCATGCCATATTTGCCACTGAATGAGCAGTGAGACATCGGCAGCAGATGCCGACAGCACATGTTTCACTCACTCCTTTGCAATCTGAGTCAAGGGTTGAGTCAGCTGAAGAATAATCCTTCTTCCTCGTCATACCAACGGCGTGTATACTCTCAACTAACCCCTTGTTCAGCTCCCAACACTCGCCGCAGATATGAAGGTCCTTGGATATAATCTGTCTCTGGCCATATATACCAAGCTTCCACTGTTGCCTCGCAGGCGACAGGTTTGACGTTTAGCCACTTTGGCCCCTTCATCTCCTCGATCCACCTCCATTCGCTGTGCGAGTGCCACCACGCGCTATCACTCCCTGTGCAACCAACTTTAACGATTCCCATGCCAGTACAGACATCCCTTGTACAACACTGGTGCTTTCGGCTACCAGCCAGATCAGATATAGATTGGTCAAAGCGCAAGACACCGAGCCGGAACACACTCTCCATAACCAGCATGTCATGGATTTCCGTGTCTCTCATTGGTACCGTGGCTACAAGTGCAACCAAGACAAGAGATGGCCACATAACAACGCGGCTCGGCCGGTACCAAGCAGCAAGGGAATATTTGCACGACAGAAAAGGAGGTGGATACAATACGAAACCATTGCTTCACGGTTTTAGTTTCCTCTCCATATCGTACAGGCGTGGAGCGGGTAGGCGGACTTGAAACGCTAATGAGAGGTCCTTGTGGTAACATGAGATGCGGATGGCCCGTACGGAAGGGCTGGAGATTATCTTGTGGTTCACCACATGCAGCTGGATTGGCCTGATCAACTGTATTTTCATAAACCAGGCCGTCGTAATCTCGGGTTCATTGTCGACACGCTGCCAGCCGCCAACCAGCTGCCGGATTATCAACCACATCAGACGGGCGGCACAGTTGGTCCTCACTCCATGTTCACTTTGCAGAGGGGCTGGCAGTCCATAGACATTATTTTCTTCAAGATCGACGAGTCTGGGGCCCCCTAACGAATCTCATCACCATCGTCTTTCTACCCACTCCTCCGTGTCCAGTTTCCTACAAGAACCAATCCTTCTCCTTGCGCAGTATTTGTCTACGGTGAAGACTGTTTTCGTTATACATGCACATCGAATTTTGGCCCCTATATTCGTATCTTGACTATCACAGTTTATCGCCTTTGGGACAGGTTAAACTTCTTTAGTTTAAATTACGCGGCATCATGGAATCTCCCACAGTCCAGCCCAAGGAGGGCCGAGAGTCGGAGGCAACCGATCCAAGAGTCCTGTCTCCAAGGCTTCCTTCAGCTCCCGTGGTTGGCCGATCTAGGTTCTGCGGATTTCGGGACTTTGCCGATCTTGTGGACAAATGGCTAAGCACTGGCCTTTTTGGACAATTGTTTCGTCTTGCGGATTCGGGACATGTAAGTTTGGTCCAGCGTCACCTTTTCGGAATGGAAGAAACACGGGGAGTCAAGAGAGCATTGAGATCGTATAAGAAACTGACAGTGTTGACAGCCTGATGCGATTGAAGGCACAAGTTTCTTTAGGGAGATTCGCGCTGGATTGACAACTTTTGCGACAATGGCATACATCATTGCTGTCAATGTATGTGGCACATATTTAAGTCCCAAAATATCCAATAGTTGACTGACAAACAAATTCTGCAGGCCTCGATCCTCTCTCAGACTGGTGGAACTTGCGCCTGCAGTCTGACAGATAAATTCCAATGCGATACTATCCCCGACTATGTGGACTGTAAAGAAGGCATGTTTGATCTTGTCTTTCATGTGACGATTGCCTAACCCATCGCAGAGGTTCGCAGAGACCTGATTACTGCTACAGCAGCTCTGGCCGGCATCTCGTCTTTGTGTTTTGGCTTGTTTACCAACCTTCCCGTTGCTCTTGCGTAAGTCATGATACGAATCTCTAGGAGTTTCACTGTTATTGATGAGAACCTTCAGTCCAGGAATGGGTCTCAACGCCTATTTTGCTTATCAGGTGTGTTCCATGTCCCATCGACATTATCCTGCAGTCAGTCACTAACCATATGGCAAAGGTTGTTGGCAGCAATGGTAGCGGTGCCATCTCCTATCGCACCGCTCTGACTGCCGTCTTCTTTGAAGGTCTTATATTCATGTTCCTCGCCCTCACAGGGATGCGCCAGTGGCTCGTCAGGCTCATCCCTGCCACCATCAAGACCGCTACTGGTGTTGGAATTGGCTTCTTCCTCACAGAAATCGGACTTTCTTACTCGTCTGGTATTGGCGCCATCACGGGTGGCGGTATATCGACGCCTCTTAGCTTGGGCGGTTGCCCATCTGATATGATTAATGCAGTGACAGGAGCATGCAATGGAGGCCAGATGACAAACCCAACTGTGAGTATCTCTAGCTTCCACCATTATCCAATAAAGGAGAACAATCTCTAACCAGTATGCACGCAGATGTGGCTCGCCATCTTTTGTGGCGGCATCGTCACGGCTTTTCTTATGGCTTTTAGGGTCAAGTACGCCCTGGTCATTGGCATTGCCCTTGTCTCCATCATCTCATGGCCGTAAGTCTCACCGTCCACGCCCTATCAAGCCATTTTACTGACCTTTGCATTTCATCACAGCCGCAACACTCCTGTCACTTATTTCCCCGACACGCCAGAGGGCGACTCTCGCTTCTCCTTTTTCAAACAAATCGTCGCATGGCACCCTCTATCCAAGACGCTCAACCAGCTTGATTGGAACCTCGACACCACTAGCACTACGCACTTTGTTCTTGCTCTCTTCACGTTCCTCTACGTCGACATAATCGACGCCACTGCTACACTATACTCCATGGTCCGTTTCTGCGGCGTTGTCAATCCCAAAGACGGCGACTTCCCCCGCTCAACCATTGCATACTGCACCGACGCGGCATTCATATCCATCGGATCTCTGTTTGGATGCTCTCCCGTTACGGCATTCATCGAAAGCGGCGCGGGCATTGCGGAGGGTGGACGTACCGGCCTCACGGCTGTGGTTGCGGGACTATGCTTTATCGTCTCGATATTCTTTGCTCCTATATTTGCTTCTATTCCGCCGTGGGCTACGGGATGTACGCTCATTTTGGTTGGATGCATGATGATTCGGCAGATCACTCAGGTTAATTGGCGTTACATTGGTGACGTCCTGCCTTCTTTTGTCGTCATGACGTTTATTCCGTTTAGCTACAGCGTTGCCTACGGCCTCATTGCGTAAGATTCTCTCAACCTGCCTTTACTCTATTTTCATCGAAAGCTAACTCGAGTCCCTTTTTTTCTTTTGTTTGTCACGTTTAGTGGTCTTTTTGTCTATACTACCCTCAACGGCCTCATTGGCCTCGTGGTCTTCCTTTCCAGCAATCGCATTGAACCCCGTGAATACGATCTCAAAGAGTACTGGACCTGGAGAGGCTCTGGCCGTGCACCGTGGTTCGTCCGAGCTATGAGAAAGGGCGACGGTCACGATTCACCTTCTTCAGGAGACAACCACAATAACAACGGTAACACAACTGCCACTTCTTCTGTTCCTAGCGAGGAGGAGAGGCAGCGGGGATTCAATATCCAGCACGATTGTGACAATCTTTGCACCAAGGGTGATTCTGGGACGACAGAAGATCATTCTAGGATGCATTTTTGTCAGGATGAAGATTATGATTATCATCGGTCTTCGCCTTTGAGGGGTATAGCTCGTTGAATTGCGTATTCGCTCATTCCTCTCTCGCAGGGCATGCTTGAATGACTTTGTTTCTCTTGACGGGTCAAGAATACGCAGTAACGTGGACATGAACGAATAATGGGGGGATATGAAGATGGCTAATGTGGACAATGGCGTCGCATATCCGGATTTGCTTACTTGGTGTCTGAAGCCGAATGCTTTGTGTAGGTGAGAGCTCGCTGTTGATCGGAACCGGTAGTTAACTTTCCACATACATACCATATGCACAGAAATGAGATTTTCTCTTCAATCGCTCTCCATCTCAGATCTCGTGTATCATGCATGTATCGTTCCCGCAATGGATAGTATGTCAAATAATAAAAAGCCACAAGGGTATATTTTTAGGGGCCCGAAATCACTTCACGTCCTCAACATCTACATCCCCCTTTCAGCTCATGTCTACGTCTCCACCGCCTCCCCTCGCCCCCATGGCCCTCTCGGCAGCTTTCCTTCTCTCCAGGCCTTCGTCCACCCACTTCTGCACCGCCTCGTCGCCGCCCGCATCGAGCTTCTTCTCAACGACCTTCTTGAGGACCTCGCCGGCGAAGCCCACAAAGTTGTGCCTCCGCAGCGCGTTCTCAAAGAGCCAGTCCTTGCGCTTGCGCTGCTCCCGCTCCAGCAGCTCGTCGTCGCCAAACTCCTGGGCGCGGATCCGCAGGTCGCGGCACATGGCCAGCAGGTTGAAGCGGATCTCGGTGGCGTCGTAGCGCGAGACGCGGCGCTGCAGGACGTCGACGACCTTGAGCGGGAAGTCGTCGGCGGAGCAGGCGCCGTGGGAGATTGGCGCGGGCTGCAGGCCGTCGAGCTCGTAGAGGGTGCCGTCGATGGGGGTGTAGGCGATGAAGTGGAAGACGTCCTCGGAGGGCTCGCCGGTGCGGGCGGTCTCGTCGGCGAAGGGGCTGCTGCGGGCGAAGCTGTTGTGGACCTCGCGGATGATTTCCGAGTTGCTGAGGGCCTCGCCGCGGAACTCGGGCGGGAGCACCATTGTGAAGTCGCGGAAGTCCTTCATCTGGGGGCCGATGTCGACGTCCTGCGTCTTGTTCATGAGGACGCTGAGCAGGGCCTGCGTGGCGCAGGCGTTCTGGATGGTCTGGGCGGCGAAGAAGATGCGCTCCGAGGCATCGTGGTCGAAGGCGCCGTCGAGGGGCCCGTCGAGCGAGGCATAGGGTTGGTCGGTTGGGTATTTGAAGAGGAAGATTACGCCGTAGAGGGGCTGGAGGGTGAGCAGCTCCGAGGGGTCGAGGGTGAGGAGTTCTTCGAACTGGACGTTTTTGACTCCGAGGTTCTCGATGAGGGATGTGAAGACGCCCTGGATTGGGGAATCTCCTGTTAGCTAGGCCTTCTTTTTTGGTCATGTAGATATAGATTTGCGTAGGGCAGGAAAAGGGGGAACAAGACATACTGCATCAGACTCAACTACAACGCAAAGCAAAGAAGAAATGCGTCAGTTTGAAAACCAGCTCCACGTCGAATTCCAAGCCAGGAGCTTACTCGTGTTCCAGCCACCGCTCATGATGTCACGCTATGCGCCGTCCAAAACGACAGCACGACCAAAGAAAAAGAGTTGAAACTAACAACGAAACAAAAAAAAATTACCGTAGCAATACCAGAGTTTCTCGAGCAAATTGCGCAGAAAGACGGCGGTGGTTTTTTGGGGGAGAGATGGTGGACATAGGCAGTTTCGTGACGACAGTGGAACTTGAACTTGGGCATGTTAAATCGCCGATAAGATAAGAGGTCCGCAGGCACCCCGCGAGTACGTACATGTACATCACCTGTCAGCTTGACAAGTGGCGAAAATGGTGGTTAAAATGTCGATTATAGGGAATATACCATTTGTAATTAACTTTGTATAGCTGCAATTCGTAAGATGGAAATGACCAAACAGGGGGAAATACCACTTTAGGCCTTGTGTTGTTGGTTGTTGCATGCTACATAGGTACTCTCTCCAAAAATATAGAACCATATTGTGCAAACAGTCCTTCCAGCTGCGGTTGTCTCTTCTATTAAAATGTATGCCTTTGGTATATAGTAGTACTCCTAAAATTTAGTGTCAACACATGAATCCAAAATCGGACTTGATTCGTAGGCATCTACAAGAGCTGCTTTCCGGTGCTGTTACAGCAGAATGCATAATTTCGTGGCAGCTAGAACTTAGAAGTATATAGAGAGGTCACTAGACGGTACTTCTGTTTGTCAGCAGCCCATGCTACCTATACGGCCGCTTCTCTATTCTAGCTAGGCCGAAACTTCCCCTGGGCGTCCCTAAAGTGAGATTGACATCTATATTAGTCCCCAGACAAGATCTAGAGCTTTAAATCTATGGCTAGCTTCATGGACAACATTTTGAAAGTAAAATTGGGTGTGCAAGATTGCTGTCAACTCATGACAATTGCTCATTCATGCGAGCATGCCTGGCATCTTTGATAGATGCTTGGAGGAGATGCTGTGGAACAAGACGTTGTCCATGTATACGGCTGAATGCGATTCTGGCAGTCTGCCGTAAATAGGGCAACAAGTCTACAAAGGAAGACTCGAAGAATTCTAGATCTATATAGCCCTCATATACCTCAGAGTGCATGTAGATAATACCGTCTAATATGTATATACGCAGGGAGAAACGAAAACCCTGCTTCCTCAATGGCATGCCTATCTTAACACACAAACACCACATTGCTTATAGAAACAGTCCGCAAGGGCTCGTCAACTAAAACTAGGGCGTTTCTATAACTTATACCATATATACAATTACTTTTTTTGTGACATTGGCTACATGTAGTTGACTAAACGGTATTGCAGGGTAATTGATCGCGCAGTATCGGAGGATAAGTTTTAGCTGTTTCCTCGTCTGCAATTGTATCATCACCATTATTACTTACAAACAACGATGTCTTGGAGCTCCTTTTCCTCAATCCTCGACAGTGTGGGTGCCATTTGGGAGAAAAGGCCAGGCCAACGATGCAGCCAAGCTTGGAGCACGGCCAATCCGAATGTCGGTGACCCCAGAAATCGTGGCTGTGTATCTTGTAATTTCGATAACGTGATATCGCTTAGTTCCCACTGAATGCAAGATAGAAGACGTTTTGTTGTTTTTGCTGTTTGTTGTTTTCTACCCAATCTGCCATTACTGATTCCAGTTCTGTCGTTGCTGATTCAATCAGCTTCTCCTGGGAGCAACGACAGCGCCGTCCAACGGTCATTCCAACGCCAGGTAGCGTCGTGATGCAACACTACCGCATCCCCGTTAAGACAACACAGACAAATATTTAGCAATTCATCAAAGGACAAACTCCATCAATCTCTCGCTACACGATGCAGTTCGGCGCAACAATCGGAGAGGCATGCGCCACCTTCGCCATCACCAACATCGACGACCTGTTCGTCTTGGTGACTTTCAACGCCGAGGCAGCAACGAGCAAGGTTATGACGCCTTTCAGAATAGCTATCGGGCAATTCATTGGATTCACCGTCATCATTGCCATTAGTATGATCGGCTTTGGTGTTTCCCTCGTGCTGCCCCCTGAACCGATTGGGTTTCTTGGTCTACTGCCTATCTTACTTGGTATTTGGAAGTTTTGCCACCTTTTCTTCCCAGAGTCTGAGGAAGACACTGAAATTAGCACCGCTGCTTCACTAAAGGGTATATTCAAAGTCGCTCTTATCACGGTGATGAACGGCGGTGACAACATCGGCACGTACATTCCTCTGTTTGCGCAAGTCGAAAGGGCCGCAATCGCCGTATACATTGTCGTGTACTACATTTTACTCGCCGTATGGTGTTTAGCCGCCTCCTTGATCATGAGACAAAAGCATATTCTGGCGCTCGTCCAGAAATACGTTGATTATGTTATACCGCTCCTCTACACCGGCTTGGGCATATTCATCATTGTCAAGTCGAATTGCTATCCCTGGACTATTCAACAGATCGACAAGTCAACTGGCTCGAATCCGGGCGAAGGGACCATGGCTGGTGTTACTACCTTTATTCTTCTGGCGTCAACGTGTGCTATGGCGTGGGCTACAGTGGCGAAAAGAAAGATTCAAAATACAGGGGACGTTGATCTTCCTATAAGAGATGGCACAAATGGCACACCACAAGAAACTGCAACTAGAGATGCGGATGTAGACGTTCATCGAGACGAAAATTCAGTACGTCAAAGCGAGGGTCAAAAGACATGATACATCTCCTGCGATATCGGCGGTTATAAGCATGAGGGGGGTACTGAAAGAATCCAGACAGTCATTTCTTTCATGATACATAGAGAAAGAGGAAGCTATGGTAGTACTTGGAATTTAAACTACCTTACAAAGCTATCAATGGCAAAATCAACTCGCGGAAAGCCTCACTCAATCATATTTACAGATTCACTCATACTCTAACAGTCTTTTTTCATAGGTACATGAAAAGGCCCGAGCCTGCAAGCCTTGCTCTTTTTCTTTTTCTTTTTTTGTTCTTCTCTAGTGTTCGTATTTGAGGGCTTCATGTGAGAAACGCCAGTTTCAACGCCCCTACTCCTAACAGAATCTACAGTCGCTAAACCCACATTATTAAATCACGTTCATGTCCCTTCCTTTTTATGCAATTCCTGGGCGTCTGCCATCAATATACTCTTTACAGTGCAGAGATTTCTTCTCGAATGACTTTCTCCCTCTCCATATTCTCACGACTGTCCTGCCCATCTTTCTCTCCGGGTTGCTGCTGCGAGGTTTCGCCTCCGTTTGTCTCGGGCGCATCCTCGTTGCCATGGTTAGCGCTGCTCTCTGCGGCGGCCGCTTCTGCTGCTGCTGCTGCTGCCGCCGCTGCCGCCTCAGCCTCTCTGCGTCGAGCTTCTTGGGCTCTTGCCTCTGCTTCTAGATTTGCAATGTGGCGTTCTGCAACTCCAGGCGCAATGCTAGCAAGGAACAAGAGACCAGCTCGCTCTAGCCGTCTCAGCTGCCCTACGAGCCAAGACTCTTGACCTCGACGCTCGGCAACCAGCCGCGCGGCCACCTGGGCAGGGTTGGGGCTTCCATTCTGGTCCGCTCCAGGGGCGTCGTCACGGCCTGCAGCTCCTCCTTGTCTGGCTTGCGCAGGGTCTACTGCAGGAAACACATTTTCGAGATGTCGTCCTAATGGCCGCCAGACTTGCTCAGCAACACCAGCCAACAGTCCGGTGCTGAGAATAAACACGAAAAATGCGAGAGCAATTATGGTCAACCATCTCGACCAGGAGGCGTTGGGAGACATGAAGAACCACACAAACAAAGCAAGGCGAATCATGAGCCAGATGTGAGGGGCCGCCTGTACCAGCAGATTCGGCAAGCCTGCAGGAGGGTTGCCAGCATGCAAAGGAACTATTCTAGGCTGCTGGTCATCTTGTTGTTGCTGTTGCTGCTGTTGTTGTCGTGGCGGTTGTTGCTGTGGCTGCGGTGCTGGAGCCTGGTGGTTTTGAGCAGGCGGCCTTGTGTCGACTCGGGATGTTTGATGGATGGTATCGTCTCTACTTTGCGTCTGCATCGTGTGAATCAAGCTTGGAAAGCTGGTCCTGTTTCGGAGCTGATGATTACTGGACGGCAAGTACATTCTAGGGGTGTAGTAGGCCTCAGCCACGGCACTGTTAAAAACAAGCGCGCGGGGTCCCTCTGGAGATGAGAGAATATACACCTCAACGCCTTGCCGCGACTGAGGCGGAACGAGCGAGGGCGCCGACATAGATGCGGGATTGAACGTGCCAGAAATTGATCTCAGCCCTAGATCCGGCGTGGCTCGACCGCTGCTAGCTCGGGAGCCACTGTTGACGAAGACTGAAGTAGTAATACCTGGTTGGGTGAGCGGGCGATTGTGAAGCGAGGCACTAGATGCGCTTCGGCGCAAGCCGCTTTGGTGCAGTGCGTTTGCCATGGACATAGGAGTCTGGTTCGCATCTGCCCCTCGCAGAATACCGTGAACTTCCGTCGGAGTCAGTGCGCCGTGGGTTGGCGTTGAAGCCGCTGAAGGACCGCCCGCTGCATTTCGAACAACAGTCTCTACATGATAGCTGTGACCGTTGGGGCCAATAGTCTCGCGGTAGATTGTGTGCGTCGGGGCCGGGCTTGCCCGTCCGCTGTTCGGCTCCAGGTTGTATCCCAAATTCGCAGCCACGGTCTCGCCGACGGAGCGAACGCCCAAGTTGGCTCTCCCACGCTGGTTCTGGTTAGCCATCCGAGCCATGGCCTCTCTCTGGATCTGTGTAAGCCATTGCGTCATGCTCTGATGCTGCTGCTGAAAAGCCGCCGCCTGTTCGGGAGTATGAGCCGGAGAATGCGAGCGAGCTGGGGATGGCATCCGAGGTTGAGACAGGGCAGGATTCGGAGTCGGTTGCAGCACTGATCTTCTTGTCATTCCGGGTGGAGGAGGAGGTCCCATAAAAGCGGCATGCGGAGGCGTCTGGCGCTGAAGGTTAGGAGGCTGGTTTCCTGGGGCCGGGCTCTGGGTCCCGGACAAGAAAGACGGCGTTGAGGATACGCTATCGGAAGCATCTCTTATGACAAGATGGATTGTCTGTTGGTCAGGGCTACGAAGCTGTAAGAAGGCAATTGTGTTAGCGCATTCTTGCTTGGCTAGTAGATCAGATCGAAGAGAAAGTCAACTCACAGCCTCGGCGCCGAATACATCTAGCAGATTATCAGTGTCGCGCAAAAGCGCTCGGCCACGGTAGATGAGCCGTTGGTTTTCGTCAGACGGCCGCAAAGGGAGAGCCAGTCGAATCTTCTCCTTGAGCTGCTTGATAGTAGTAGTAGCCACAAGTCCAGGGAAGAGCAAAGGGCGATTCACGCCCACCGACGGCGACACCACTTGGAGGTTGACGACGGGCTGGTCGGACGATGCAGGGTCTGCGCCCAGGGCCGCTTGGTTGAATAGCTCCGAAGCCATATTCGGGAGACAGCTTGCATGCTACCAGGCTATGGATGGCCGGCTTCGGTAGAGGGACGTCGTCTAGTTGTCGCGCAGTAGAGAGAAGAAGAAAAAAATAAAGGTGCCGATTATTAGGAATCGTGCGCTTGTGTCATGTCAGACAGGGCTCCAGGTAGGGATGGCAACTTTTTTGGCTTCGGATGCGAGAAGGCGCACGCAGCACTCGGGGCGAGACACAGTGGTTAATGCTCAGGTGCTGAGTGCCTGTAGCAGGTCGACAACGGCGCTAGCTGTCGAATGGCACGTCGAGCAAGGGGAGCAAGGAAAAGGAGTGGAAGGCCGAGAGCTTCAGTTCCAGGGAGGTGATGCAAGAAGATGGACAATCGATGGCTTCAACGGACTGAGCTGACAGATTGCAGTCAGTAGGCCAGGTACGTACCAGAGAACCGCACCGCACCGCACCGCGCCTGCCAGTTGCGCGACACCTGAGGATACGCCGCATGTGGCTTAGCGCCATGCAGACTCGAAGGGTGTCACGTTTGTAAGCGAAATCCGCTTGTTGACCGTCTTCTTGATTACCAAGTAGGGAGTACTTGGCGAGAGAGCTGTGCATTGTGGCAGCTTTGTGCGTGATGTTGGAGACTGAGAGTACCGAGTACGAAATGCCCAAGTACTGCTTCACTTGGATCGATTAGATACAAGGTACACGTTCAGGGATCTTACCTACCTACCTGGTAAGTGCCTGTACTTTATCACTGTAAACAGTCCATTTTTCCTCTTGGGGATTTACTCCAAGCTGGCTACTAATCCAGCATCATATATTCCAAATAGTGATAATAGCAGATACTAGAGGATTATATCGCTAGTAGCAGAAAGTAGCTATGGTAGCAACAGTGGCTACAGTATGGCGAGCTTCCCGTCCAAGAAGTACAAAGAGGCAAGACATGATGCAGGGGGGTTTAATTGACGGCTCTCCGGGTGCAGGTGGATATTCTATTACAGGTCAAGGAGCGCGTTTGCCGTTGGGCTTAGGGCAAAGGGATTGGGTGAAGCTGGTGATTGGACCCCGTAGTGGGAGCTTGTGCATGCGCATATGTACCTGCTTTAGGTAGATACAGTACAGGAACAGCTTCACAGCTGAATTACTCTTATGTCCCCTTTTCTTCTTTTTATTATGCTCAAAGGTTCAATGTAATTACTGTAGCTGAGCAGGCGAGCATTCGTAATACCTAACAGATTAATGTATACGGATTACGGGTCATGTTCCCCCAATAACGACATCATCAGTCACCTCACGATGCTACCTTTGCAGGGCCGGTAGCATCAGGAAGCAAAGGACATCTGGCATCTTTACCCATGCTGCCGACCATCGGAACAATACATCACCTCATTCGCTCAATGCCCCATTTAGGTAGGTAGGCAGTTTAGACAACCGCGCAGGTGATGTTCCGTAAATATTCCATGCGTATTACTGTACTTTGTACTTTGTATCAGATCCCACAGTCGATGCTTTACGCTGGGGGTACGTACACATCGACTTCAAGGTCAGTGGATCGAGCTGTCAAGAGACGCTCGGCCTCGGCAGATGTTTGCGCCGCACGCACCAACCAGCTCCCAAGCCGTGCTCCTCCATACGTCATCTTGCAACCCGCAAACCCTCAAATTCAACCTCAAGCGCATCTCCGTCGCCCGCATCCAATCAATGTCTGTCGCAATTGCCTAATTGAGCCCCGTCGCCGAGTGCACAGCTTTGGTCAGAGGCGCATTCCATCATGGCGGCGCTGGGAATTGGCTCCAGCCGCTGGTTATATGGTGGCGGGGGAGGAGGCTGCTATCATCCATTCTCAGCATCCTTGCGCGCAAGATGCTCTACACGAGCTGCTGCTGGCCGACGGACAGGCCCAATTGCAGCTAATACCGGGCCTGTTCGACGCATCCCATCTGCACGGCGCGGATTTTCCTGGCAAGACCCTGGCAAACGACCCAAGTTCTCTCAGCGACTTGGCGAAGCGCTGCGCAACAGCAAAATCACATGGTATCAGATTCCCGTGGGACTGGGCATAGGTTTCTTGGGCCTGGTTCAGTTTTACAAGGTCTCATCGAGGGAGAGGGAAAGACAACGACAGGAGCAAGAAGGAATCTCATCACCAAAGCCACGGCCGAAAGTGCGCCCCGAAGGACCATGGTAAATATCCCTCTTTATTCTATAAACCAAGCTATAACTGGTACATGTGAAGCTGATAAAGTGTACCCTAGGCAAGTCCAAGTTATGTCCACTCTTCCGCTCAAGGCCATCTCTCGACTTTGGGGCTGGTTTAATGAGTTGACCATTCCGTACTACCTGCGCGTTCCTGGCTTTAAACTCTACTCGTTCATATTTGGCGTCAAGTGAGTTGCCTCCGATCAAGATCAAAGAGGAAGAAGAAGAGAAACTTAAGTAAAAAAAAATATTTCATTTTGCTAACTCTTTCTGGCGCTGTATAGTCTCGACGAAGTGTCTGAACCTGATCTTCATGTGTACCCCAACCTCGCAGCCTTCTTCTACCGAACTCTCAAACCAGGTGCTCGCCCATTGGATCCAGACACCCATGTGCTCCTCTCTCCGTCCGACGGCAAGGTTCTCCAGTTTGGTCAGATTGAAAGCGGTGATATCGAGCAAGTCAAAGGCATGACCTACAGCATCGACGCGCTGCTGGGAAAGCATACGCCTACATCTAGCATCTACAGTGGACTGTCTAACCAAGCCCGAGAGCACCCCCAACGCAGCCATAGCGCACCTGTTGGTGATGAAGAAATTGTCAAGCAAGAAGAGGAATTTGCAAGGGTCAACGGCATCTCGTACACGCTTCCCGATCTCATGTCGGGTCCTAAAGACGCCCACTCGAAACACCCCGTAACCGACGAATCTCTCAAGGCTTCATCTCCCCGCGCCGTCTCCGAAGTTCGCGCCGAGCTTGCTCTGGGCGAGAAGCCTTGGTACGATCTGCTTTCTCCCGACAAGACCACTTCTCTGTACTACGCCGTCATCTATCTCGCGCCGGGAGACTACCACCGCTTCCACTCGCCAACTAACTGGGTTGTCGAGAGCAGACGCCATTTTGCAGGAGAACTCTACAGCGTTTCACCCTACTTGCAGCGCACCCTACCTGGCCTCTTTACCCTCAACGAACGTGTCGTCCTCCTTGGTCGCTGGCGCTGGGGTTTCTTCAGCTACGTCCCTGTTGGCGCTACTAACGTCGGCTCCATCAAGATCAACTTTGACCGCGAACTCCGCACCAACAGCCTCTTGACGGACACTGCCGCCGACCTTGCCGCCGAGGAAGCTGCCAAGCGCGGCGAGCCCTATCTCGGCTTCGCAGAGGCGACTTACGAAGGCGCAAGCTCGGTGTTGCACGGACACGCACTCAGAAGAGGTGAAGAGATGGGCGGCTTCCAGCTCGGCAGCACGATTGTGTTGGTGTTTGAAGCGCCGGCTACGTTGAAGACTGCGGACGGACAGGAGAAGAAGGGGTGGGAGTGGGCGGTTGAAAAGGGGCAGAAGCTGAAGATGGGACAGGCGCTGGGACGTGTGCTTGAGAAATAAAGGGGGTAAAGTGAAATATGACCGGAATCTTGTAAAAAAGAACAAAACAGAATACATGTCCACAAGAGAAGGAAGAAAAAGAAACAAAAAATGCATTGTATCTAGCATACATAACTCATCACCAGCGCAGAGTAGAGAATTAAATCTCACTACTCACCAAAACCAATAAAATCTTGTGTATTCTTCAAATGCCAACACGAAAACGCTCAAGCATCCACCATCCCCTCACACCTCTTCAACACGCAAACCACAAGCCACCTCTTCCTCTCCGTGATGTCGTCCTCTCGCTCACTGTCCCACTCCCTCTCCACGCCATCGCAGTCCCTCTCCCACATCCTCTCCACCTCCACGCCGCCCTCCTCGCGCAGCGCCCGCTCATCGAAGAAGCCCGCCATCTTGGGCCGCCCCGTGTGGAAGCCCGCGACGACCCACGCCCGCGCCTCGGCCGTCTTCTTGAGGAAGTAGCCGATGGAGCGGCGCAGGTTTTCGTGCTGCCAGGGCATCCAGAGGCAGTCTGCGACGAAGAGGCGGTCGGAGAGGTGTGCGTGCGAAGACGGGAACGGGGAAGAAGCCGAGGCGTTGTCGAAGACGCCCCATTCGTGGCCGTCGACGAGGATGGATGTTGTGACGAGGTCGGATTTGCCGGTGGGGGCGAGGTCGGGCTTGATGTTGCGGGCGACGTTCTCGCGGAGCGTCTTCATGACCGCGGGCGCGGGATAGTCCGTCACGACGACGCTCGCGGCGCCGAGCAGGCCGGCCATCATGCTGGGCAGCGCCGTGCCAGCTCCCAGCTCGAGCGTGTGCAGACCCCTAGTATCGAAGCTGATGTCTCCTCCGAGGCCCCTGTCCTGCTTCTCCTCGTCCTCAGTCGTGGCCTCCAGCGAGTCCCGCTCGATGAACTCTGCCAGCAGCAATGATGCGTTCCAGAGGTAATGGCTGAACAGACGCCGGTCGGTTTCGCCTTCGGGGTCTGCGAGTTCGATGAGGAGCGTCTTAGGCAGCTTTGGTGAGGCGTAGATGAGGGAGTGCTCTGCGTCGCCGTGCTGGTTGGTGATGTCGTCGGGGAAGATTACGCCGAGAGATGTGGAGAGGTAGTCTTCTGGGCCGTCTGGTTCGTCGCCTTTGAGGCTGATGCGAGCAGTGAGCGTTGCCATGTTGGTTTATGAAGCTTTTGTGAGTTTTGGTTTTTGTTTTGAGAGGTTGATTTGGTTGGAGGAATGATGATATGTGTTGTGCAAAGCTTCGTACTTTAGGTACAGTAGATGGATCTACTATCCTTCAGATAGATGCAACGCCTCAGGAGCAAATGAAAAACAAGATAAATCCGAAGTCAATCTCCCGTTATCCCCCAGAGGTATGAGAGACCAGGCTCAAGGGTCGTCCAGGTAGATGAAGCCTCAAATCTCGAGATGAGAATCACTCAGTCTCTCAACCCACACGACACTCGGCTCTCTTTGGCAATAAAAAGGAATTAAAGCTCCCAGTAATCCCGTTAGAAGTATTTTTGCCTTCTTTCTCCTTTTTTTTGTGTCTCAAACGCTTCGGCTTCACGGCTGGTGCTTCGCAAGTTGACGTTCCCCAGCTCTTTGGACGAAAAAGATATCAAGGTGGGGTGCAAAGGTACCTAGCAGAGAAATTTGCCAATCCGCCTCCACCCACACAAAAACTCACTTCTTGCAGTGACATTTTTCAATGATGGTGCAAATAAGCAGTCTTGACATCATCAGAAAAGGCTTCACAATTAAGGAACTTTGATCAAGTAGTTTTTAATATCTGAAGATATTTTCATATTCATATTTTTTTTATAAAAAAAATATTTTCTTTCATGCCAAATGACATTAAGTAATATTACATAACAAGCCATCTTGTCATGAGATGCCCATGCCTCATACATCTTGACCCAAACAAAGGAAAAAAAGTCCCTCCCAGATATCGTGCAAAACAAATGAAATGATAATTATACATGGACCACATGCTGAAGAGGTAAAAGATGTGTTGCCAAAAAAACAAAACAAAGCTTCATGCTTTGGTTCCCCAGGGAGGTAAGATGAATATACCGTATAAAATCCCTGTTTAAGTCCTCCTTGTCCCATCCAGCCCATCTGCGCCATCATTGCCCAACATGTAATAGTATATATCAAAACAGGGTATCAAATCCAAAATTACCCGCTTCTTCCCAGCGTTATAATATTTCCCATCCAAGAATAGCCCAAATATACCCTGGTCCCAGTAGAGATCCCATGCGCCGTCTGCCATGCTTTATAAAGACATGTTATGAAGTAGTATCCGATTGATTCAATTCGAGTTTCTTTCTCTCAAGCGAGCGAGACTAGACTTCCCACTTACAAGTCAGAGGCAGTGGTGTCCAGCATCCGCTGCATCTCCTTAAGCTGCTCCTCCGTGGGGTCGTCAGAGATCCAAGGGCCCTTCTCGTCATCAGAGGCATTGTGGAAGCCCTCGGCACGCTTCAAGGTCTGGACGTCAAGGTCTGTCACATAGGACTTGCCGTCCGAAAGCTTGATGCGGACCTCGTGGTCGGTGGAGAGCATCATGTCATCCTTGGCAAGGCGTCGAGGGCCGTCAAAGACAGCCAGGACGCGCTTCTTCATCGTCATCTGTCCCTTGTTAAAACCCCAAGAGGAAGGGTAGTCGCGGCGCTTGTTGCGGCCACGCGACTTGGTAGACAAGGGAACACCACCACGAGAATGGGTGATGCCACGAGACTTGGAGACGCGGTTTTGAGAGTTCTTCTTCAAAGGCGAAGAGGTGGACTTGGCCACATCGTCAGTCTCGTCATCGTCAGCCATATCCTCGTCATCCTCGTCATCCTCGGTCATAGAGGTCTGGGTGGTGACGGGCAGGTTGTTCTTCTCCAGAGTTTGGTGAACGTTCTTGTCTTCAGCAACCTCGGCCAGGCGCTTTGCGTTAATGGCCTCGGCGGGGTCCTCCTGCTGAACAATGCGCAGAACACAGTCGTCCAAGTGCTCGTAAAAGTCCTGAGCATTGGTAAAGGTCTGCGAGCAGGTGCTGCACTTGCCAGTAGCGTCGGGGGCATAGCCAGCGAGCGTCTTTGGCGCGACAGCACCGGAAGCCCTTCTGCGGCTGTTGGGAGGAGTCTGCTCAACGCCGTGGACGGCAGTCAGGTGTCTCTTGAAGACATCTGCACGGTTGAACGACTTCTCAGCCGCGGAGCCAGATCCGGGACAGAAGCCACAGACCATGGTGCCCTTGTAGTGGGTCAATGTGTGGCGGTTCTTGTCATACTTGCGAGCAAACCCCTTGACGTGGTATTCACACGTCATGATGGGGCACTTCTCGGGTCGCTCAGTCTGGTGAGTGAGCATGTGCGCCTTGAGATCCTTGAAGGTCTTGCCGCACTCGGGATATGTGCACATGTGCTTCTCCTTGACCTCGTCGCCACTGGGGTAGTCGGCGGAGACGGGGGAAATGAAGTTGTTGCTACCGTTGCTGGCCTTGCTCATGCTCAGGCGGCGAGCTCCAACACCGGCTCCGGGAGTCATGGTGGTTGATGTCGCATACGGGCTGGTAGAGTAGGCTGTGGCTGGCTGAAAGGAGCCGTTCTGCAGGTATGGCGAGGAGCTGTTGGTGCGGATCATATGAGGCTGAGGAGAGGAGGAGGAGAGAGCAGAAGGAGATGTGGGATACTGAGGGGCGGCAGGCTGGTAGTGAGTCTCATAAGAGGGAATGGCCATTGGCGGCCTGGAGATTTCCGGATGGATCAGAGAAGGATCTGTAAGCGCAAGAGGTCAGTAAGCTGCGTGAGAAACAGGCATGCAGAAGGCTGCGGCAGAGTGTCCAATGGCGAAAACGAACGAGGGATACGGGGGTTGATGAACTCATCAGGCGCGGTCGCAGGCAAGTCAAGGGAGGCCAGGAAATTTGAGGGTTTCTGAAGATGGCTGGCTGAGCTGAGATTGACTTGCCGTCGCTCTTAGCGGGACAAGTCAGCCGAGCCGGGGACCAACCAGATGTCTCAGTTCAGACAACCAACCAGAGGCGGTTGCGATGATGCGGGTGATGAGGGGAAAAGGAAAAATAAAAAGCAGATGATGTGATTGAGAAGTTGCGGAGGTGCACAAGGCGGAAGAAATAAGAAACAGGCGGAAATAAACAAGACAAGAGAGAGTATAGAGAAATGGGCGAAAATAGTAGCAAGCGGTGATGCCGAAGCATGGTGTTGACAGGAATGACGACAGTGTCAATTGCCGACAATCGCCAAGGCCGCGCCGAACAGAGGCCGCCGGCTATAGTGGCAGCGTGCAGCGCCGCAGTGCATCTGCATAGTGGGCTCGGGCACCGCCTGGCTGGCTATGCAGTGGGTTTGCGGTGCTTGTGCAGCGCTGAAGCAGGGATGCGGCACCGGTTCGGGGGGCCTCTCAGAAGCCAGAGAGGGCCTGAGGGGCAATCTGGCGGGGGTGGCCATGACACAAGGGGGGGAAAAAACTATTGGCCGCCCAAAGAGGAAATGCCCCCGGGCAGGCTGCCACCTTGGACTTTTTTTCCATTGGGTTTTGGAGGGGGAGGAGAGGGAATCGCAGAAAGAGTCAAGGCAGAGGCAGAATGCAAGAGGTGTGAAAGCAGGCAGAAGAAATAGGCAGTAGAAACAACTTACCAACAAAGGTCTTGGGGTGAGTCAGGCTGGCAAACTCAAAGGCCGCCGACATGTCGTCCAATCCGTGGGCGCCAAAGGCTGAGAACTCGACAAAGTCGCTGTTGGCGATGCCCGGCTGGATACCGAGGCCCTGCACAGTCCAATCCGCAATGCCAATCTGGCCATGGTTGGACAGAGGAGATCCGACAGCGGACGAGGGAGCAGAGGGCGCCGAGGCAGTGGACAGACCAGACGAGGGCAGGTAATCGTCGCCGTAGATTCCGGGAGAGGTAGGACCGTTGATGATGTAGTTGGAGGTGTCGGCAGTGTATAATGAGGGCTCGTAGCTGATGGTGCTGGGGCTGGTGTAGAGCTCTTGGCTGGGCGCGCGCTGGACATATGAGCCGTAGGCGTCGGCGGCGATGCTCAGATCCATGGGCGCAGAAGAGTAGACAGGGACGTGGGTTGATTCGAAGTGGGTGTATTCATCCTGCTGCTGCTGGGGGAACATGCTGAAGCTTTGCTCGGCCAGAGAGGCCATTGTGAAGGCTGTTTAGGCTCGTGGCGGAAAGCTGTCGAACTGATTGCTTCGCGCGCAGCCTTGTTCACTTGGTGAAGCGCGGCGCGAGTGTCGTGGCTCTTGTCTTTTGGCGAGAGATGTCTGTGATCTCTTGCGCTTGGGACCTGGAGCCGTGAGTGGGTGCGCAGAGGCGGTGGTCTGCTCAATGGAGGTTAAGAGAGGCGTTTGCGGCGCTGCTGTAGTCTCTTCCAAGGTTGGCGCAAAGGTGAAAGAGATGGTGGAGGTAGTGGTGATGTGGTAGAGGCGGCGGTGGTGTAATAGATATAAGTAGGTAGCAAACGAGGGTCCGTTGTGTGTGGGTAAAAGGTCGTGGTAGGCAATTGGATCTTGCAGAGTAACCAAGATATGAGGTTATGCTGGAGGTGAAGTTATAATTGTATGGTTGAGATGGTCTGCCACCAGAAGCTCGGTTGAACATGTTGGGGGCTGCCGACGAAGATATAGCCACCGGCTTCCATCGTGGTAAATGGGGCCGGTCATGGATCGTCCTTCAAACACAGATTCGACGCCGCGGTAAGAGGTACGTCCTGTTGATGCTAGCGCCTCGCCCAGATGGATGTATCGTTCCTCCTGCATGGTAGGGCTCTGGCGCAGCCCAGACAAGGGGGTGGCAGCCATCCATTACCATCGATTAGCAGTGCCCCAAGCCGAAGTAGAGTGTGTATAAAGTATTCCATTGCAGATGCGCGCCGCAGAGGGGGGTGCCGCCAGCGACATGGCATGGATCAGAATGAGAGGGGGGCGTGATGCCGGCCAGGTGGGATGCTGGCGATGAGAGGAGGAAGAAGAGCTAGAGGAGCGGCAGAGCACGCAGCTTTGAGACCGGGGCGTGCATCTAGCCAAGACGAGCACGCCCTACTATGTACGCCAAGGGGGTGTGCTCTTATATCAAAGCCCGATACCCATGCCGCTGCAGTAGGTGGTGTGGAGCAGCGTGCCAGAAGCGGCATGGCGCTTTCCTCAGGCCTGGAAATCAATCCAAGCTCCAGCCTTGGCCTGCCACAGACATATCCGGACACCTCGGCATGGCTTTGGGCCGTCCTCCGGACCTGCTCCCTGTCCTGTCAGAAGCTTGAGAGAGCGCCTAAAGGAGTCGAGTAGCGCTACTCTCCCTGCCCCCAACTTTGGGTGGCGCGGCGGGTATGTGGTACGCGAGGGGACGGTGTCATCCCCTGGGCCTAGTTGGCATTTTCACCACACACGCTCTTCTTTTCTTTTTTCTTATTGCGCTCAGCGTGTGTCAGTGTGGTGTGTGTGTGCCTGTGAGCTGGCATCAATCTTGTCAGCTTCAGTTCCAAGTACACGGTTGCTGTTCCAGGGGGCCGACCAGGGTTGACGTGTATACCGCAGCGCTGAGTTGAGAACGTGGAAATTAATGGACAGCCTACATGTATCTTGGCTACGACAATGTCTAGGTAGTCCAAGGAAGCCTCTCGTTCCGTGCGAGGCTGAACCAAGTGCCCATCACTATCAACACCGGGAGATGACTGCATGGACGTCGTCTTCCGGGCTGAACTAGGGAGTGCCGCAAGCCCAGCAAGGGCGCGTGTTGCAGTGCCGAAGGCCAACCAGTAAGGGAGATGGTCGCTAAGCGAAGCCATCAGGACGTTCAAAGACTAGAAACGCAAACGTGAATGTTGTTTTGGCTTGGCCCCCACAGACCCTGCAAGCAGCAAGAAAGAAGGCGGTCCGCGCTTGAAGCTGTGCCTGCCTGTGGTGCCTACGCCTGCATTGCCCATCTGAGATGGCTTGGTCTCCTTGCGTGCTGAGGCTTTTCACGGCACGCGCAGAGTCAATCATTGATGCATGTGGCTCGTCCGCCATTCCGGTCCGGGGCCCCGGCTACAACCGCGTGCTGCCAAAAGGGAGGAGGCGAGACGAGCACAGATGAAAGCATCAACACAAACGTGAGCTTGCAGGTTTCGATATTATACAAACTATCTAATAGTCTAGCCCGATAAGACTACAACACAACACTGCTTTGCATGCAGTGAGCAAGTGCTGCGGTCACTGCTGTTGCTGGGCCATCTCACATACTGCAGATCGAAGGAAGGGGTTCACAGAAAGACACAGAGAATTATCGGTTAGTACGTACTTCAGAGAGAGGCATCAATTACACAGCAACAAGCGCGGAAATCTAGGTTGTTGAGCCAGCGGATCGACTCCGATCCTTGACTCATTACAGGCACCTATAATATCTGGCTGGCAATCATAGATGAAGAGCTAGCTGGAAGGCAAGGCAGATAACATGTGGAGTTAGTCGAAGCCCCATGACTAACCCTGCCGACAAGCTGTGTTTTTCTTTTTATCGTACGAGTACGAGTAAACCGCCCTAAAGCTAGCACTTGGAGGAGCATTTTACACCCTACAACAGGGTGGATAGAAACCTCCGCGTCATGTCAGGACAAGGCCCGCGGACTTGAGAGGTCTGAGACTGTGCGCCTTCCAATAATTGTGCCTAGCATTATCCCAGACCGCACACAGGTCTGAAGCACAGTTGTACATACGAGTACAGCTTCGATAGTGGGCGAAGAAGCAGCCAGGGTTGCGGTGCCTAATGTGGAAATGGCACATGGTCCATGCATTGTCTCGCCCACCACGCATTCGCTGCCGTATATTGTGAAACCTATCCAATGGTGACGGATTGACTCGCTGCTATTTCTGGATACTGAGAAGAGACATATACGAGCAAAGCTTGGACAAGGCACCAAAGCTCAAGACATGAACCAGAGAAGGGGCAGAGTTTGTTCTCTTCTTGACCCCTGCTTGTACACGCCCGCACCGCGGCTCGGCCAATGGCAGCGCCGGGTCCGACAAGGAAAGCCGCTGTAACTCCCCGGCTCCGACGGATGCGCGCACCGTCCATCAGCGATATTTCCTCTTTGAATCCTCCCTCTTGTTGTTCCGCATGGCGGCCAGGGACGGACCCAACGAGAAGCCGGCCAAGGAACGGATAGGGAAAGATACCTTATTCAGAGGATTGTTGGCGGTACAAGGTGACTTTGTGGGATATTGGACCAGGGGGGGAGCGGGACTGAGGAGGGGGCTCCCAAAAGGTTGCCGCAGATAGACCTCCAACAGACAATGACGTGCAGGCCCAATCCGGCAATTCGTCTTGTCCGAACGAAGAGCGGAATATACACGGAATACAGCACACATCACAGCATCAGGTAACGCAACACAGCACCGCAGAGCGCGATGAAAGCCAGTGGCATCTTTTGATGAGCATCCGCGCGCTCAGCTAGGGCTCACAAGGCGTTGCGTCGTGCGAGGCGACATGCATTTTACGAGATTTGCCTGGTTGCTCGTTCCGCGGTGCGGCGTGTATGTACAAGTACGGAGTACACGTACGTGCAAGTCAATTACACGGACATGCACTCAAGCAGAGGCAGGCTGGCGTTTACCCGCAAGACATGCCTCTTGGTGAAACTCGCATGGCCAAAGCACCGGTGCTTTTAGTTGCCGGCACCGCAATTCCACTACGAATCCACTGCAGTAAAAGACGCAAGACAAACTAAACGGTTCGCTCTTTTGGTCAGACATTAACGGCCGTCTCTCGCGCATAGGGCAAAGGTGAACCCGTTTTGGTAACAGGTGGTTCAACCAAACACCAAGACCATGGCGCGATGCAAAAAAAAAAAAAAAAAAAAAAGAGGGAATTAATTAAAGAATCGGCGACCTCAACTCTAGTAGCCCCAACAGTTCCGAGACATGAATATTGTGTTTGCAGGGAATAAACAAGAAATGGACTGCGCGAAGAGGCTCATGACTCTCGTCGTGTTGGTTCGAGCGCTCAGTTGGATGCTTCCAGGTACAGGTGCTATGCCCAGACGGTAAAATGGTACATGATGGTGACATGCCCATCCAAGTACCTTTCCATAGAAAGCGATACGATGAGATACGACGACACGGAAGAGGGCGAGATCCATCGGTTGCCATTCCGCTCCAGGCATGCCAAGTTTCCGCACTAGCATCGACGGTAGATGGACTGGATAAATTAAAGGGGACAGGGATATGGGGGCGATTGAGTTGGATGGGGAAGCTTGGGTGCGACGAGGTGACCAGTACATGCCGGCCGTGCCTGTGTGGTATGCGCGGCACATGTACGGAGTACTCATCACGTACTGTATTGCTCGGCTTAGACGCATGCATCTCAACTTCTGTTTTGACTGCAGCAGTATTAACTAACAGCAACTCGACCAAAGTCTTGGCTCCGAGGATAACTCCGGCGAGCAGAAGAAGCTCCCGGCAGCAAACATAGCAACAAGAACCAAGACTCTCGGCGTTGCCACCACCAATCTCCCTTCTCCTCGGAACTATCGACGGCCGTCAAATCTATTCTTGTCTGCCTTCCGTGCCCCCATCCAACAGGCAGCAGACCAAGTCATCGGCCCTTGGCGGCAAGAAAGCGTCCCTTGAAGTGAAAGGAAGCAAGCAGGAGAAAGAAGAAATCAATCAAGCCGGCTTACGAGGGTGTGTGTCTATGCACCCAAGTTGTGCTCAGTTGTACTCCGTACTCTGATCTTGGCCGTCTGCTCCACGCTCTCCTGGATCGCGAGAGCCAGAATTCAATCACACAATCCCCACAGGCCATAAGAGAAGAAAAAAAAAAAAAAGAGGAATCGACGAGGCTCTGCGGCCCACAAAATACGCACTCTTTCTGGTTCTCCCCCCAAGGGCCCCCGATTTTCACAAGGGTCTTTGATTTGTTTCGCTGGCTCTTGTGGTGATTCCATGGCGTCGCCCCGCCCAATTAGCGCCCTTTTCTTCACTCAACCCTGATCCATATCCGTTTTTTTCGCCTAAGACCATGGCCTGTGAGCAGAAAATAAGAAACAAGGTGGGGCCAAACATGACGCTGGATTGGGTAGGGATGCGGCGCGAATTCGAGCCCAATCGGGGAAAGCGCAAATCGACAATCCCAACTCCCGCAAGCTCCCGAAGCGGAATGGCCTCATATTTTGGTTCGAAAAAGCTTGGCTCCACTACCCTTGTCGAGAACAAGCCAAGCTTCTTTTTTCCTTTTTCCTCTTCCTTCCCTTCTGTGTTGTGCAACACTCGGTCCCGGACAGCTAGCTCCTTGTGATAAGACCTGCTGCAGTGCAAAACCCCCTTGGCAGCCTGTCTATTCCCAAACGGTCTATTGGGTTGTATGTTTCTGTTCATTCCACTTCAGAAATCAGCCTTGTACGTCTTCTTCGCAATGCCAATATATTGCTTCAGCGCGCAAAATGGCCCGCGAAGCAGAAGGAGTCCCGGGATGCGATGCGACGGGAGGCTCATCCATTCCAGCCCCCCGTGACTGGACCCGGGTTAAACACAAGCCTGTCATCATGATACCACTGATGAATGGCCCAAGCAATAATACTACCCTATGGCTTTTTTTCTTTTTTCTTACTCTCTCATTCGCATCACCCCCCTCCCCCCGCTGTTGCAGATGGACATGTAATGGTGCTATTCCGTCAAGACTTGTAATGGCTATTGAGCAGATGACTTGATACAACGTCCCATTCCGAATAGTAATAGCGGGGTGTGGTCTCAATCGTCTTCAACGTTCAACTCTAGACCCCTCCTCGCCGATGTCTCAAAGCCACCGCATTTCGTGGCGGCTTGAGCCCCTCCCCATTCCCTTGCCTCTGGGTTCATGTGGCGCAACGGTTACGATTTTAGTCTTTCTGGCCACTTGTGCTCTTCTTTACTCCCACGCGGTGGAGGCCACAACCGGGTAAACCGAGACGGCGGGCAATGGCGCTCATTCAGGGAAAGCATAATGCAACACCATATGCATATTGAGTTTTTTGCTTTTTTCCCTCGTGCTACAGTACTCCCCATCATGGGGAAATGAGATGGGGTTTCAAGATTTTTCTCCATTCCTCGTCTTATGCTTCTTTCTAACCAGCTGCGTGTTGGTTGTTCCCCAACACGAAGAGCACGGGCTTTGCAGAGCAGGAGAGTTGCTGACGTGCATACATGCTCGTACGGTACACACAACTAAGTGCCAACCCCTCCTCGTGGCTCAACGTGGGAAGCGACGAGCCGAAGGCATGGCATGTCTCCCGTTGTGAAGCATTATCCTTTTGTACCATCTGTCATTCTTTCTTATACATGCTTTCCCGAGATTGTGCAAGCGCTCTCGCTCTCCCCATATAAACTCTATTTTCTTTCACTTTGTCTTTTCCTGTGCTGTGATATTTGTTTGCTCTGCGACATCGGGTTGCCTTTCGCATCTTCTCTCATTGGTAATGCCGTTTTGGGACGAAAACGCAGTATACTGCGCGTTGATTGGCCAGAAACCTCCGCCACCGCCTCGAGTCGATGGCGGTGCAATGCATATCTACAACATATGCATGCTAATGCAGAGGCACAACAGAATAAGCAACTTGCCAGCAAGTGTGTGATAGTTAATGTAGTGACTACTTCGTAACTGTATGAAGGTGCAGACCAAGAGGCACTGCGAGGCGGTGCCAGTGCCGGTACCATGTTCCTCGTCCATGTACCCTCTCGCCGCCTCTCGCCGCCTCTCGCCTCCCCTTCCTCATCTCTCATCTCCTCTATCTCGACACCCCCAGGCTCCCGTTCGGTTTCCCATCTTGGCGACACATGGCTTGGGTGGAGCGGTCAAAGGGCTGCTAGTTGCCTACGCCAGTGCCAGCGCCATCGCCCAGAGGAGAGGCCCCCAAACTTCGCCTGTGCAACACCGGATTGCTGGGTAAATCATCCGCGCCCCCGTGCGAAGCCACAGCGCAAGCATGCCTCGCGCCAGGTCGGATATGGCAATGGCTGAAATCCCCCAAGCAATTGGCGACAGCCGGATGGGATTGACGAGATATGATGGGACAGGATACTGCAGCCTCCGAAACTATTGTCGCATCCCGCCCCCCCGTCAGTCTCCTGTTTTTTTCTGAGACACAAAGAGACACACAGACACACCCAAAAAGCCGTGCTGAGCCGCGTGCCGCTGAAGGATGGTGGTGATGAGACACGGCAGCGCCTACGAGCTGCTTCTCATGCCGTTGTGGCCATCAACCTTCTCCAAGGGCGTGTAAGCCGCCGCGTGGTTCCTCGGAGATCAACCAGCTGGTCGGGACCGAAAGGGCTCGCATCAACGTTGTTCCAGCAGCGAGCGAGCAAGAGGGTGTGTGCCTCGAAACTAGCAGAGCGGAGCAGGCGCAATCCTTCGAGAGTGGATGTGTGGATGTGTTTGGTTTTTGGCGTCAAGGATTCAGAAGCCGGTCCAAAGCAACAAGTTACAAGTTACAGGTCAGTTGCTCCGTGCCCCGAACAGGTACCCTGGGGTTGGCCATCTCACAAGTGACAATCTGGGTGCCCCCAGTTGGCTGGCATGGCAGTTGGCGGCTTGAGCAAGACAGATTGCGCTGGTCTTTGCGCCTTGCCGCTGTCTGTAGTGTAGTGGGATTTCCCGCCTCACTTTGCTTTGCTCTGGGGGAAGCCTCCTTCGGTGAGCCAAACGAAATCGAACCCCCTTTGATATTCCCTCCCTTGGAAATGCACATTGCCGAATCAGCCATCGGTGTCAAGGTTCGCTCAAGCGCCAGTGGCGCTGCCGTTTTGGAGGCTCGCATCCGCCCCTTTGGCTCCTTTTAGCGGCATGCGTCCAGCGAGAACCGAAATGCTAGCAGTATCAGGACGGGGCTGGAGGAATTCACTCGCATCCCGCTCAGCCCTATGAGTCTGGACTGGTGCACAGCAAAATCCTCATTCCAAAGCTGCACATGGCGGCTGTCCCAGCACCACGGGACCTAGGCGTTGAACCGCTCTTCACCGTCACCTTGGGTGAAACGTTTGGGAGCAAAGTGAGAAGAGCGGCCTAGACAGAAGGGAGTACGAGTGTACACCAACCGACGCATCGTTGGACTTAGCCGAGACCATCTCTGAGGATTGGGGCAAAAGGCTGTCAATCATGGTTATTCACAAAAGTCAACATCCTTGCTGCATGGATGGATGGCATGGCGCTTCGTATACACATAGTACAGCAGCAACTCGTCTTGTTTCTCTGCCAGAAGCTCGTGTCTCCTGTGCCTGTGCTGTGCAAGTACTCGTACTACTCGTACTGCAAATGTCTCTGCCAACCGCCCCGTCGCAATTCATCAAACCCCCCCTCCTCTGGCCATTGGCCCATCTGGTTGGTTTTAGCGCCCTGTTGGATGACAATTCGAGGCATACTCGAGACACTAGTACTAATTATATCGACGCCAAAGAGACGGCGGCCGTTGGTTGGCTGCTATTTTCCTCCTTGTGCTCGAAAAGAAAAAGTGAGGCTCCGGGAAGGCGTCGTCCCCTCAATTTTACGAACAAGTGCATGTACATTGTGCTAGTACTCTGCTAGTACTGCTGCTCGGTAGTGCTTTATGTAAGCTCTTGTGACGTGATGTTTATCCGACGTCCGAAGCCAAGCCAACAGAGTTGAAGATGGTTCTCCTCTTTCTTCCCCCATACCAGTAAGCACGGGAGCGAAAAACAAAAACCTTGTCATCCGTGCTACTCGGACTCGTCGAAGAACACACGATTACGATGCAGCCAATCGAGGAGCACGGTTGGCTGAGAGGAAGGAATAAGCGCACATCACGTCGGACCAGGGTGCCACGCCCGCTAATTGAACCTGACCCGGGATCATGGACTCGACTCAACTCAAGTCGTCGCCCTCTGACCCATCCTCCCGGGATTTCCAGGGGCAGAGAGCGATGACTAACGACGTCGTGGGAATGGGAATGCAGCTCAGGGGCGAAAAGGCGCACGCAAGGACGCACGCGCACAACGCAACGCACGGCCTTGGCCTCGAGCTAAGTCTTGGGATACTTCGGGACCCCAGCCCGCGAACGAGCGCCTCCCCCCCGCCCGTCAAATTGTCAACATCGCACACTTCGGGGGCTGCAGACCGACAAGCTATGGAGACGGCCTGCAACTGAATTTCGGGCTGCATCGCTTCGCCCTCAAATCGGTATTGTGGCTGCGTCTAACACGGCACTTCGTCCTGAAGCCCCCTCGCCGGCGCCGCCGCCAGAAAACCCTATTCGGGAAGTGGCTTAGGCATATTTTGTGCTTTGTGCTTGGATGGGCGACCGACGAGTGCTGGTGGCCCGGAAAAGCGTGCTCGGTAGGGCTGAGCAAATGCACGCTTGCCTTTGTGCTGTCAATACTCAATGTGCTGCTCACCACATCCAAGGCCAAAAGCACCTTAGCCTGCGGGGTGGGCCAAGTTCTCGCAGGGGTGAAGCTATTGCCGTCGACGTGGTCGCGATACTGGCACCCCCTCACCAACTTGCTCCCTCCTGCTGCCAAATCCCTGACGTTCATCCTCAGTCCCGTCCATGGTCCATCTTGCCGACACGCCAATCTTGTCAGGGTCCTGGCCACACAGCGTGCCATCCGCAATCTCTGTCCACGAGGCCTGTCACGTCCATCCCACCCATGAATGTGAATCCCCCTGCTGCTTGCGCTTATTGGCGTTCCATTCTTTCGACGAGCTCCCAGGACGCGGCTCAAGGATACGTATCGCGTCTGAACCAATGCGGTAATCAGTGCGATCGCCTCCTCTCCCGAATTCTTTCTGTAGAGCCCCACCTTTGCCTACCTGTCTGCTGCTGGGGTGAATCATGAATCATACCAACCAGGCCTAAACCTCCATTCTCCTTGCTTCATCCAGACATTTCATATTTCCCGTACGAGCATACTGCTCCGGGTAACACAGGATACTTGTACAGGTATGTTGCCAAACCCCAGAAGAAACCTGCCATGGGAGATGTCTCTACCCCTTGCTCATTAATGTTAAAAAGGAAAAAGAAAGAAAGATTGATTCGGCGTGACCTACTCTTCTGGACCACCATTGCATCAATATTGCCAAAACTTGGCCGACATGTCCTGCTGCACACGTGGTTGGCTCTTTTACGGAAGTATATCGCCAGGATGTTACCCTGCCGTGATGTGTCGTTGAAGCCCTCGCCCAGTTACGAATACCGGTACGTACCGCGACTGGCACTTACATGGGCACTCGAGCAAGGGGCTCAGCATTCAGTGCAAATTCTTGTGTGAGGTTGCTATACAGGTTCAGACGTCAGAGTTGCATTTGCAGTTCAGCTGGTTTCACTACAGGTCATCCATTGTCCATGGAGCAGTATACTGTTTTCATTTGGTCCCCCTTTTCCATGAGAGGCCGCACAACTGAGGCCTCTCTGCTGTGCCACCGCACCTTTCGTACGTGTTGATGAGATGTGCGGGTGTATCAAGTACGGAGTTGGCAGCTTCGCAGCGTGTACTCCGGAGACTAGGCGGCCAAGCTGTCACGGACCGTCTTGATAGGCTGCCATCAACCTGCGCGGCAAGGGAAAGCTTCTCAATAAGGTTTTGTGCAGAGCCGGGACGGCCGAACAGCAGTCTTTGCGTGCCCACCTCTCAGATGGGCTAGCCTATCAGTGTGTCGACACTATGCCTCTATCGTCGCCGTGGTATAGCAGCGTCAACTTGCAGTGCTCTGTACGACCTCTTTCATCATCACCGCCCTGCACTACAAAGTACGCCGCTTTAATACAACCTTGACGAGGCTTGCGTGTGCTTGTTATCCTTGCACATTCCATATTGGTCTTATACGTACTTGCACCAGCACCGTACAAGGTACCGAATACTGGATGCACCGTTGTGAACCCTGCCAAGAAATACTGACCTTGTACGAATTTGGACCGTCCATAGTCTACGTAACCCTCGTAGGCATTGCAATCCTAAGGAAATACGGAGGAGAATACTACTAATACGAATAGGATATACTGTACAGTAATACTGGCAGAGCCATGTGACTGCTCCGTATTGTCCTCGCATTTGCATCACCTCGAAGCGTCCCACATTTACGGGTTTATGACCAGACGTGTATAAACTCTTGTAAGCCTTCCGCAATGGGAATCAACAGCGCGCATCACTGCCATTGCTTTACGTAGTGCAGTATGTTTCAAGGTGCTTATCCGCCCCTTGTAGCTCCGCCCATCTGATTACTTGTATACGACATATACGACCAAATCCGAGACACAAATTTTTTTAATAACGAATCCGTATTGTCTTCACCACTCTTGTAAATTGAACGCTTTTCGTGCTCAGGGGCAGCCCCGTTGGATATTTACCGTTTTGCTGCTGATGTAATTACACATCGGCCAATCAAGTTGAATTTCGCAAGGCATCCCCCGTTGTGGTAATAACCATCCATCTCAGTCTATCTATTCCAAAGCGGGAAGCAAAGTCGCGGAATCGCTTAAAGTTAGCATTCTGCACCTCGTACACTAATCTCTCTTTGGTTAAGAGTGGCTTTTTTTTTCTCCAAGAGAAAAACGAACTGAGACATCTACCCTCGTATGATTGGCCGAGCGATGCAGCAGCTTCGTAATTACGCAGCAGCCACAACAGCGTTCTGATACACTACAGAGGTACATACGTACAATACGTACTGTACCTCGCCCACACGGAAAAACCGCGGGCCAGGTCAGATTGGCCTGTGCCCTTCGTGTGCTCAAATAGCTCGGACTTGGACCAATCGCAGCTCGTCTTTCAAGCCCCGGTCACATGCCTTTTCGCCTAGCTTCGCCACTCTGAGGTTAGTTGAATGGACTGCCATTTGCAGCATTCTCCATCGCCAGCCGTCCATTTGTCAGAACCCTAGCCGCCTCGTCTTCCGAGCTTCATCCCGCCCGTCTTCGATCTCTTTCTCCACGCGGATGAGCTCCACTAGCACACTGTGACGCTGTCCGGGACATGCCATTCCCGAGGCCTTCGGCTCCAGTCGCACAGGCAAGCGTCGACAGTGTGGCACAACGGCAGCGCTAGCAGCCAAGGGGAATGTGCCTGCATCGCTGCCTTCTGGAGATCTTGGGGTCGTACAGCAGAGGGCGGGCGACGCTGCAATGCCGACTGTCGCCTGCGTAGCCCCAAACGTCTACCGACCGTCGATTGGGGAAAATCTGGAGGAGAGCTAACCAAACTGTTCTACCGACACCAGATGGAAAAGACTCGCCCTACTTTCGGGATGGAGCGTGGCGTCCTTGCGTCTATTGCAGGTCGTAAAAATAGATTCCCGCACAGTTAGCCGGCAAGTCGCGGGTTGCGCCTACTAGCCCATCTGCATCGAGAGCCGGAGTGCTGCACACTCAGAAGCTTGCGAGCAAAGCATCCTCCGATGGCTCGCAGGCAAAAGACAAAGCCGGACGCGGTGCGACGCCACACCCACACGTCGGACCTGTTTTTTCTGTCACGACCAACAGGTGTCCAGTGCGCATGGGGAAATCTGATGCAGCCTTTGCCCCCTTCTCGTCGGCCAACATGCCCTTACCCACCCTTCCGCGCTTCTTCTCGATCCTACATAACGTACCCGTCGGATCTCGAGTTGAGCTGCCCTCTTGTCTCAGTCCGAAGGGGAGGGAAGGTGAAAAGGCAGAAAAAAACGTGGTGGCATGGTTAGGCTGCATCGTGTCCGAATGAAGGTTGCGGAATTATCGATGTTTGTGGCAATACAGAGTTCAGAAAGACATGCTCTCACATGAGTGTGCCTCGGCATGTGGGATTACACACCTTGGAACCTCGTGGGTGGCCAGCAGGAGGGAAGTTGTAGGCGCCGATGCGGTTATGACATTAGCTGTGGTGTTGACTGGGCGGCTCATCAAAAGATGGTCCCGTCAACCACTGACGAGTTGTGAACGGTCAACTGGCTGTCATATCGTGACGAATGGGAGCTCCGCAACGACGCTCCTTGGCTGCCTGCCTACCCTAAAACGTGGAAATCAGTACAGGCTGACCGCGGAACTGTTTGGCCCCCAACCAGCCACTGTTTTCTTTTGTTTGCCTTTGTCAACGTGCGTGCAGTGAATACGGCAAGCCTCTGGCTATCTGACACAAGCCGCCATGCAGGGGCTTTGAAGATCATGCGTGCTGCGAGTCGTGAAATCTGGTCCAGCGTGAAGGTGTCGGCCACTTTGGGAGGCAGCAGTACAACCTCCAACAACACACACCTTTCACTTTCTGGCCTCGGGGCACTAGGCAGGCGAGCAGTGCCAGGATTATCATTATCATTCATATCAGAGCAATATCAATAGCGCTTGAACGCTCTACGAAGGCTGGCAGATTGCGCCAGAAGCTATCTACACTCACCATGGCCGAATGAGGTATCATGGAGCGATATATTGAAGGGCTTAGCTTGCATCACTGGTTCAGGCGCCAAAAGGGAGCGGTCCCCGTTAAGCATGTTGTGCAAAGGCACAGGGGTCCCAAGGAAAGTGGGAGGCGGTCGGGACGCTACAGGAAGGACAGGAAAGGGGGGCGTGTGGACGTTCTGCAGCGCTGGGATGAGAGCCAGGGAGCCAGTGAGCCAGGGTGGTGTATGGGATGGCGTTTCGAAGCTCTGTTTGCCGAGCCCATAATTCTTTGTTCACACACCCTGGCAGCCCCGGCAATTCGGTAGCCCAAGGACTCGGTTCGCCGTGTGACTCGCACTCACTAACTGCAAGCAGAAGCGACAGGATCAAGGGCCAGGACGGGTGAGATCGACAACAATGTCACTGGCGATTTCCAGGGCCAAGAGCAACAAAAATGATATTTGATTGCCAGACACACGTCTTGCGTGTCAAAAGCACGCACCATGGCAACGACCGCCGCGATGAATCATGTTGATGCGCAAACAAGCCACACCGCAAATACCGCTCTATAGTGTACTTTTTTCTGTTTGCGATAGATTGCATGTCCACGTTTGGATCGTGATCAGGATCGTCAACTAGCAGTGCATACACGTTCATGCGCACATTTAGCTAACACCACACGCCGATCAACTTCGCACCGCTCTGCGCCCCTTCCGACGGGGCGATGCTTTTGAGTATTGGTGGGCGAAACTATGTTTCTACTTTTTCGGATATCGGGCAAGCCGAGTGATTTCGCTTCCGATCATGTCAATCGACGGGCTGGGGAGATGCGGCGACAGAGCGCAAAGCCAGTCACATCGCATGAAGGAATTGAGATTTGATTTGACTCGATTTGATTTGGCTGAGGGGGTGCTAGAAGTGTTACGAGTAAACACCTCAGCCTCTGATTGGCCAGCCCGTATTTTTATTCTCAACCCCACGATGTTGTTGCAGGGTTTACCCGTCGCAGGCTTGTGAATAGTGGAGACTGCCGGCAGTGGGCTTGTACCAAGAAAACAAGCCGGTTCTCCTTCGTGGCCAAAGTATGCAGAGAGGCAGAAGTCGCCATGGTCTCGAACCGCAACGCTGGAATCTTCAATGATAGCGCCTGATTTTACCTTTGCGTGTCGCTGTTGCCTCTGTATTGGCTATTAGCTGGTCATATGTTCGAGGTTGCTCCTGAAGGGTACTAACCTCCTGCGAGCAGTGGTGGGTGCAAAGCAAACTTGGAAGTTTGGAGCCACGACGGGAGAGCTCCCAGAGCTAATCCATATCTATCCTAGGCTTCGAGCCTGGCGTTGAAAGCCACCGGCAGACTGACGCATCGCCACGACAGCCGGCAGGTAAACCACCCGGTAATCTGGGGGCCATGACCCCTGCTTCATTCCAGGCAACTCCAAGAAGCTGGAAAACAAAAGGAAAGAAAGGCATATGACAAGTCACGAATGCCAAACGAGCGATAGGCAGACGCCGCCGGGCTGGGAATGACGCTGATGTCGATATAGCTGCACACGAATGGGAATGCTTGGCGTTGATCAGATGAGCACCAATTTAAGCTTACACAGCATCCTCTGGGAAATGGCTTTTGACATTGACGCCCAGATTTGCACTGGATGAGCTATCAAACTCGTCTTGGGAAGCGCAATTTCTATCATCGCCAACGGTTCGGCTAGCAAAGGAGTAGCATGACTTGAATCCCTTGCAGCGGCAGTTATGGCGGCCACTTAGGGCAGATCCTCTAGCTGGGTCTGACCTCCGAGGAAATGGTATAATCTCAATCAATCTAGCATCATTTAGGTGCTCACTGCATTTGAACTCAGGAGGTGGCACGGGATGAACAGCGTATTGCGCAGGAACGGCCTGATGCTGCTTGTTGCTTGAGCGCCATTTACTGGGCACCAAAGACAGAGCCCTTGTAAGGCTGGCACTAACCGTGTTGTAGCTACACCCTTTAGTCGTGGCACGGCAAGGCGTGTCATGGAGTGGCCTGTTTTGCAAGCAGCCAAAAGCCAAAAGAGAATGAGGCTTGCACCAAACATCTCCTTTACCACTGACCTCATGGCTTAGACCAGATCCAAGCGCTCTTTGGTGCTGTTCGAGACCAGTCTATGAAATTGAGGCGTCCAATCTGCCGATACGCCATGATCAGGACGACGATACTATAACTAACTACCTGTCTGTCTTGTGGCGTCTATCCGTCCCAGCCCGCCGGAAAGGATTAGCTTCGTAGGGCTTGTGGTAGACAACCGAAACGTTGGGCTCCTCGAGATTTTTGGTGTGCATTAGGCTTGACGGGGCTTTGAGGGGGCATTTGCTTGCTTGAGTGCAATTGATGCTAACCAGTTGATTCTAGACCTCCCCTTGGCGACAAATTGAGCTATCCCTGAGAGAAAGGGCCAGCGCAAATCGAGAATGCATGGGTGGCATTTGTAATTTGCAATTCTAGAGCTAACGGGTACGCAGCGTAGAATCGTGTACGCGGCCGTTCGAAGCACGAAGCACAACAAAGGTATTCAGTATCATGCGCGCAGGAGCAATTGCGACGCTCGCAGTGCCCCTCTCTATTGTACCCCTGGCTTTCCGATACCCTTGACACCAGGTTTCTGTATGTTTATGGCTCAATGTAACCCAATATCTGCACTTGAATAACAGCCTTTCAGCTATTGTAACGAGTTTATTGATCATCTTTATGCATGCATACCAGCGAAATAGGTAAAATAAGGCAATGCGGCATGTTCAGCCGAGGGGGGCTCTTGGCCAAGTGATGTAAGTGGTCTCACAACGGCACAAGCAAAAATCTGACGTACAAATGACAGGTGGATTGCGGAGAAAGTACAAGTCGCATGGCTGGACAACTCTGTTGGCGAACTCGTGGCAGACGGGTGATCGCCTGCCATCGGATTATTGGTCATTGGTGCTTGGGCGTTTGGCACTTCATCGCATTGATTGGAGTCGATTTGCGAGCGCCCGTTGAAAACGAAATTTGGTGGCTGTTATGGGGAGGGGGGGTGTTTCAGTGCCAAACATTCACATTCATGCGCTTCTGGCAATGGAGCTCTCCTACTCGCCGCTCATCTATTTTTGCAACTCAGGGTTTGGGGGCCATCTGGCCTAGCGCGGTTGCGGGACATATGAGACGGCAATCGGCGTGATATCCTGCCAGGGATTTGCTCTGACATCCTCTAGTCGGGTCCGTCTCCCGGCTAGCCCCAACGCTTAACTACGGGGAATTGTGGCGTTCGCTTGATTTAGTGGTCGCCGACCACTCTTATTAGCGTGGAGATGTTGTCAGTTTGGACAGGCTTTGGGGCCCCTCATAGGGCAGGCGAATTGCCTGCGAGAACCCCCCTCCCTGGTCGACGGTGAGGCGATTCGTGCACAGAGGACACTTTCAACGCCAGCATTCCATTTGCAGATTATGAGCTACAGACGCGGAAAAAAGGGGCGGATTAGATGGCGCTGGCTGTGTTGATGCTGCTACTGCTGTTGTTAGGCAGGAAAAACCGTAGGTCCCGATGCTTTGGATAGCCTCATTGCCTCGCGTGGCGTCGAACGCCTCCCCGAAGTCTTACGATTTGGGGCAGAGGCCTCTCACGGGCAAACACCCAACTCGTCAATGTCTGGAAGCTTTTAAACTTAGTTTCTTCGTCCTTGTTAGTGAGTAACACAGCCTATCCTTCCCCAGAGGGGGGGTGTCGCCGTCATCATGAGTTGACCTGAAGCTATAGTTTTCTTTCACTACTGCTTTTGCCTCCAGCTTTTTTTCCCCTCTCTAGTGGATATGATTCTCTGGTTTGAAAAAGCCAAAAAAGAAACGAAAAGAGGGTGGGGGCAGAGGGCGCGCTGTTGTGAGAGATGTTGGCCGTATCTTGGAATGAGCAAGGCCACGTGTAACCGTCAAGCCGGTCAGCAACAAGGTGAACCTATCCCAGCAACGCGCGCGCCTCACTGAGATTCCCAATCTATCTACTTTAGTCATAGGCGCTCGCTTCCGCCCGCGATTCTCTAGAGGATGATGGACAAGTGAGAAAGGGCGCTTGACCTGAATGGGCTTGAATTCGCGATATGACACGGGGCGGCTGGCCAAATCGAGACAGGGCATGGGGGCCCTTGATGATGGCGGAGAGCAGGAAGGTGAGAGCTTGGAAGTAGAGGCATGTTCGCGTGCCAATGGTTCGATGCGTTATGCATTACTTGGGGCCATCTTGCCGAAGCATTTGATAGACGAGAGGCCGAACGGAACGAAAGGGGGCAAATGCGACTCCGCTTGGGGGATGCAGACGCACTCTGGTTTGAGACGCACACTTGAGCCTGTGTGTCTGGTACATGCTGAGCAGTACATAGTACTGCTTGTGGATGACGGATGACGCCGTACTATTACACGTTGCGGGCAAAAATCCTCAGTCTGGAGCCGTCGTGACGACAAGTGGGATGAAGCTCATTCGGCCAAGGGAATGGGAGGGGCGAGAAACTCAGCATGGGCCAGCCTGGGCCTCATCTTCGGAATACACCGTCGTACGAGGATGGTTGACGGTCCGTCTTCAGGTATGATGAATCGGTGGAGGCTGTCATGCTGGATTTCCTATTTGGATTGAATATGCAAAATGTGCAGCTCATCGCCATCCGATACAACAGCAACAGCGCCCGATTGGGGTCCCACCGCTCTCACACACCACTCTTACGGCGACAACCATTCACACACACACACACACACTCACACGCATATTAAACTATTACTCCGGTTACTTGGGGTGCTTTGACACGCACATATGCCTCTAAATTAGCCCATATTGGCAGCATGCAAGATGGAGGTACAGAGGACGGAGTACAGACGGTAGTGGTACATGCATCTTGCGCGGGCGCACCGGCAGACGCTTTGGTACACAGGCACACAAACACGGGTTTCGATGGGGATGCCGCGGCAGCCAGTTGTATCCATCTGCGTGTCTCTAATTGTGTGCTCCGTCTCATCCTTCAGCAGGTCAAGGGTCAGTCTCCAGAGCATCTGGCCAATGGAACGGCCCGGTGGACTACTTTTGGCCAACCTCCCTTTCCACTTTGGACGGATTTGGATGTTTGGTTTATCCCAATCCCAATCCCAAGGCCCAATCCCCATCCCACGAGGCCCAAAGATGAGTGGTGATCAGGCCCTGAGTGTTGGTTTGTTGTCGTTGATGTCGTACCCTTAGAGGAGGTGACCGAGCCGCTGCCGAGGTGCCCATCCCCCTCCCGGCATCTCCTACGGCCGATGAAAGCGCTTGTTTGTTTCTCGTTCAAGAACCCTCTCCACCTCGTTGATATAAGCGGAGTATCGGCCAATGGTCAACTTGGACTGACTTGACTGCCCCCCCCCTCAATTCTTGCATCGCCAAACACTTCACCGTACGCACTACGTGCAGCGTGCAGCATGCAGCAAACTGGGCTCCACACCTAGGCGTTTTTCCCTCTTCTTGGCCATTATCTATTAGCCCTCAATACTATTTGCACCGACAGCCCTTTTTTGTCTGATTCACAGGCTCGATAACTCTTGTTTTGGCGGGGCGAGTGTCCTCCATCTGGCCGACAGGGATTGCCCAGGGTTTCGTTTTCGGCACAACCTGTTGCCTCTCCTATCTCGGAGCAGCGATTCTTGCCCTCGCTTGTGTGCAAATCATTGGCCAATGATGAAGAAATTTCCTTTCGGAGATGCTAGCCATGAGGACTAGCAGCATCCCTGTTGTCGGTCAAGCCCTTGACCATGCCTTATTCTGTGGATTAGACAGAGTAGGGGAGTTGACATACGAAGTACCAAGGCGAGTAGTCCAGATGCTAGCTCCTCCAGTTTGCATCATCTTTTTTCTCTAGAAGAATGGATTGCAAAGCACCCATGCCAACAGATGATCCGTGCCAACACCTCTGGTGCCTGGGACTCGTGTAAGGGTATGGAGAAGTCGAACGATGCGGAAACGCTTCCGCATCCATAGACGACGACACGAGTGTGCATATTGAGGCATCCAAGTTCCATGCACCGCGGATCTTTGGACACGACACGAGGCGCATTTTCGCATCACTTTTGGTGAATCCGGGCCCACTTCTTGTCACCTCGGCCGTTTTGGGGGAAAGATAGGGCAGTGTTGTCTCGTCGTTCGTTTGGGACATTGCCTTGGTGACGCAGCCTGCGGCCGATGCACAACTCTTGTCTCTACTCCCCTCGATCGGGGATTTCGGTGCCCAGTCGTGAAGGAGTGTCTTTCCGTGTCATAGACTTGCCTTTCATGCTCCACTCTGTGGTAACTCCGTCGTTTCCCTGTGATATGTCCGCCTCTGAGATGTCGATCGCCATGGTTAAGCGGATGCTACTGCCTGTATACTACTTTACTGGTGTGGAATCCCTAGTGTTGTTTAAACGATCATGATTGACTTGAGATCGTCTCTTACTCTCGCATTAACAACTCCATCTAGTTGACTGGAGACTTCTTGTTTCAGCCTACGAAATATGGGACAAGACTACGCAGTAGCATTCCCTACTGGTAGCCCTACCGCTGCTTTTTGTGTGTCGTCGCTTGGCTCACGTCATTTAAGAGTTCCTAGCGTAGTAAATTTTGTCTATGGTCTCGCCTGGTCTCGCCTTGTTTAAGGCAGTTTCCAAATTTGTTTTTCCTCTTGGACAGTTCGCTATCTTAACACTCGGGCCGTCTTCAACGTACTATGTAGGCGAGCCGAGCTCCTGGTAACGTAGTCCGTCCGTCTCTGTATGAAAGCACCCCCGTGGAGAACTATGGAGGAACCATCTATTGGCCTAATGTAATCGAGGAAACTAGATGGGGGTCCACGAGAGAGAAGGTCACCCCCTGTGGTTGGCATAGTAGGATTTGCTTCCTTGCTTTAACCCTTCGGCAAAGCACCTTGTCATGTGGCATTTCATCCGGTGATGGATGTTACCTGAGAGGATTTTTTTTTTCCCTCTCACCCCCTGGAGCCCGATGGGTTGATCTTGTGACAGGGACTTTGCTTGTGGGTTCCCCCATCAGGGCTATACAGACAGGACAGGCACCATTGTATGGGATGGGATGGAGCACGGGGGAATATCTGATCTGGTGCCCCCTTGACTCAGACCGGTGACAGGGCAGGGCTAAGAGATTTCGCATTTGGGAGGTGACCTGGCTTGGCGGACAGGGCAAGGCGATGCGTGAGATTTAGACGATGCAGGGTGGTTTTTCTGATCTTGGTTTCGGATCAGAGATGTGATAAGTGAGTGAAGTGCTGCCTGGTTTGGGGCGTTGGGGGCGACTTGTTATGGTAAGCTGCAAGATCTGGGTTGTCTGTGCGAGGACATGGTTTACACGTGTAAGTGATGAAGGGTATTATTGCGTGCTTGTGGTGATTCCATGTAACGATAAAGGAGTCGCGAGGAGGACTGTTTAATGATGTTGAGACTTGATGGGGTTAGGGGCCTTGAGGCGGTAAGAGAAACCGGGAATACCATTTTTGGTTTTGCTTTTGTGCTTGGCAGCCAAGACCTCTAGATCTTTGCGCTTCCCGGGTGTGAATATCTCGTGCGCTATATCATCAAGTTTAATACTTTCCTGGATGTTGAATGGGGAGTGCTGCGGGTGGTAGTCGGGATGTGCTTCTGTGGTGAGACGAGGACATTTCTTGGAGGAGCATTGATAACAGATACAAGAAAACACAGAATCTGACTGCGCAATGCACCTCTTTACATGGTGCGATCTGTATAGGGTATGCTGAATACCATACCCATTTGCGAAGGTAGTTGTTAGTCGAAAGGAAGCAGGGAATTGGTGCTATATTCGCCCGTTTCACCATCACATATTGGCATTAACAATAAGCGAGCGCTTGGACAAATTGCCTATAAGCTTGATTCAAAAGTTTCCGTCTTTCCAATTCAGTTCTACTATGAATCCGAGATGTATTCATAGGCTGCTTTTTGATTCAAGCGAAAGTGCATCCTTTCTAATGCCCGGACTGTTACGAGGTGTGAGAGAAAGTCGGGCGAATTGCATGCAAATTCTTTCTTCCCACTTTCAAGTCAACACCATAAATATAACATCACGTTGATACTGCAAAACCCCTACAAATCTGCTCCAATAATAACCAAATACTGCACACTTATTCGCCAAATCATGATGGAATCACCTCTCACGCGACGCAAATCCGCCGGAGCGCCACTGGAGTGATAAGCTAAAAGCGGGCGTCACCACAGAACCGGCTAAGCTGCGGGACAGGCCAAAAGGCCAATCACGTGCCAATCTTCAACGACGTGCGTCATCGGCAGCTTAATATCAATAACGTGGCATCAAGCATCGAATTGGATTGTTAAGCAACTCGGCGGTTTCCAACCGGCAAAGCGATTTCGGGCTCGACAATGGAAATGTAGGCATCTGGAAACTCGCCATTCAACCGAAGTCAAGTCTTCGTTCGCAATGTTCAAGCTGCGGCTGGGCTGGTACGCCGGGGTACGTCCTTTTAATCTTTAAGCTTGTTGGCAAGCTCTCGCCCCCCGTCACGCCAAACGTCCCGTCAACCCTCTATCAAGCTTTCGTTGGGCTAATGCGCTTCATGCGATCCAGGTATCGACTGCCCTGGCGGGCGCCGTCGTGCTGTCGGCATTCCACCAGCGCGCCAACTTTTATTCGGCCATGGTATACCTTGCGCAGAGCAACTTCTGCTTGCTGGTGCGTGAACACGGCCCGCCTGCGCCACGGGAGCTTTTTCGATTGACCCCGTTTATATATAGGTCCTGGTCAACTTCACATTGCTATTGTACAGTAGCTTTATATATGCCTTGACGCAGCTGTGCTTCGGCACGTTGCGCGCGATCGAGGTCGAGCAGCTCACCGAGCGAGCATGGTTCGCCATCACCGAGACGTGCCTTGCCATGACCATCTTCCGGGAAGAGATTGGGGCTTGGTTCCTCGTCATGTTTACAGCATTGGTCACGGGCAAGGTCTGGGGCTGGATTGGCGACGGCCGTGTTGAATTTCTCGAGCAGCAACCCCCTGCAAACCCTCGGCTGTTCCATCTGCGGCTCAGCATCTCCCTGGCGGCTAGCTTCATCTACGACATCTGGATACTTCGCTATACGGTTTATACAGTCATTCAACAGGCCAGGCCCAATATGATGGTCATGTTTTTGTTTGAGTTTGCCGTCCTGGCTACCTGTTCCTGGAGAACGGGAGCTCGGTACTTGGTGTCGCTCACGGAGCAGCGCATCGTCCATTTGCAGACCAAGTCACGCTTGGCGGAGAGGAGGGCAGAAGTCAGCCGACAGCGCGAAGCCATCATTCGTCAGCGAGAGCAGGCTGCGGCAGCTGGAGAGCCAGCCCCGGAGAACGAAGATCCTTTACCCGACCCAGCCGACATTGACGAAATGGATATTGAGGTGCCTGGCTGGGCGGCAAAGGGTGAGCTCGTTCTTTGGCTGGATCTGGTAACTGGTAAGAGAAGGCGCCTTTTCGGTTTGGAGTATCACTTGTCACGATTTTCTAACAATTTGCCAATAGATATGGTCAAGCTGGGCATTTACGTCTCGTTCTTTATGATGCTTCTCATGTTCTACGGACTTCCTATTCATATCATGAGGGATCTGTTCATGACAACACGCGACTTCCTTAAGAGGCTCAATGCACTTTTGCGATACAGACGGGCTATCCAAGAAATGAACAAGTACCCCGATGCTACTGAGCGCGACCTTGCGCAAGAGAATACGTGCATCATCTGTCGTGAGGAGATGCATCTGTGGGACCCTGCAAACAACGCGGGCACTATCGACCGCGTGCGTCCCAAGAAGCTCCCGTGTGGTCACATTCTACATCTTGGTTGCCTCAAGAGCTGGCTGGAACGGCAGCAGGTATGCCCAACGTGTAGAAGTCCTGTCACAGGCGAGCGACCTCGATCTCCCGCCGCCCGTCGCGCTGCGCTTAGAATACAATTCGGCCAGGCACCGCAGCGAGGTCAAGATCAACGTGCTGATGGCAACGACAACGCAAACAACAACAATAACAATAACGACAATAACGCACACCGTGATGGGCAGAATGGTGCAGCGCCTCCTAATCAAGCTCAAGGCGCGGCAGGGCGGGCCCGTGTTTTCACTTTCGGTCCTATTAGACTTGGATTTGGGGCCAATGACCAGCAAGTCCGCGAACTCGCCCAGCAGTTTGGTATGCCACAAATTGCTCCTGATCAGGGACAAAATCCCTCCACAGCGGCTACTCAGAATCAGGCTCAACCGCCCACATCAGGCGATAGTTATCAGCAAATTGGAAATCTCCTACAGCAGGCGGAGCAGATGCTGCAACGCGAAATGGCCAGTTTACAGAATACGCAGCAAGAGCTACAGATTGCTAATTTGCTCAATACCGAGATTCAGCGACTTCGTCAACGACGACAACAGCCACAGGATACCGCACAGAACGGCCAAGGGCAGTTGCCTGCATCTTTTAGCCAGCTAACAGGCTTACCGCCTGTAGGGTTGCCGCCTCTGCCCATTCCAGTACCTCCCCTTGGTAGCTTGTCAACATTTCCCTCCTCCTTCGCCGGGATATCCCCGAGAATGAATAGCCCGTTGATGACTCGACACGGAGCTGGCCCACTCACAACAGCAATTCCTGCTGGCAGCCCTGACTTGCCAGAGGGAGTGGTGCTGCCTCCAGGATGGTCCTTGACGCCTCTGCAAAGACTTGATAGTGCTCAAGCTGTACCGCATTACCCTCCCCAGGCTGCTGGTGTGCCCTTACATGGAGACCTCACGAACGGAGGCCACACAGCGCCAACCTCGGTTCAGCCAACGCCGACCACGTCACACAGCCAGGAGACAGTGCCAGCAGAATCTTCGTCAATGCCTACTTCAGTAGCGCACGTTGCGAGATCGCGAGCAGATCCCTTACCCGTTGCCAGTGCTTTATCTGATCCCCCGCCCGTGGTGTCGCCTAGTCCGATGATGCCAAACTGGGGCGGATCTAACCAGCTTTTCGGTGGCAGCTCTCGTCTGGAACATGGAGACACGGCGAGCCAAGCTAGCACCCAGGCCGCTCCGTCAACGGAAATCGAAAACGCGCCTGAAAGCAGCAGTGCTCACGACTCTCTGCCCTCGGCGGATCTCAAACGCGAGCCGAGCATCCTGGAGCTCGAGCACCACGACGAGAGCCAAGCTGAGGAAGATCCGGCGGATAAGGGGAAAGGTAGGGCTGTTACGGTAGAAGAGGCTGATGATGAGGAGGATTGAATGGGGGGTTTTATGTATCGGATTGTTTTACATTATTGGACTGGGTCTGGCTGTTATAGCGGATCTGGGGCCGTGTTTCCTGTTGATGGCTAGCTTTTTTTTTTTTTTTTTTTTCCATTCTTGCAGACTTGAAGTGGGCATTGGTACGTGTACCATCCGTATATGCACGTTTAGGCGTTTAGGGTAGGTAGCAGATGACATTCAATCCAACAACTCTTTATGCATCGCCATTTCAGAGTCACTGTGTCAATATCATTGGTTTCTAATGATGTGTCTATTTATGCCTGTCGTTGAACTGCTGGTTGTTAGACTGGTTCATGGAGATAAGATTTGCTGCGTTGCGTGAATAATCAGCCATTTTCGCTCTATGCATAAATAAAAACGTACATGTATATATTTCATTCATTCATATGGACATTCACCTCACCTAATCTCACAACCCCCCAAAACAACGCCATCAAAATCGCTCTCCAAAAAATAAAACATGCTCTTCATTCCATAAAAACGAAAACAACTCTACTCCTGCCCCGACGCCTCTTGTCCCACAGCCTTTTCAATCGTCGCCCCCTTTTCCTCCATCTTAACAACCAAATCATAGCTAACCCTCAAATTCTCCGTGCCACTCAGAGCCCTCGTCATCATCGCCTCGTTCTTCTCCTGGACGAGTCTCCGTAGAGCCCCGACGAGGAAGCCCGCAATGATGTCGACCGACCATCGGTCCGGGATGAGGGCCAGCACGTCGTCGATGTCGAACCATCCGCTGAAGCGGTCGAGCAGGGCGCTCGTCTGCTCGACTCGGTCGCTGACGTCGTCAATGGCGAGAAACTCCCTGAGAACGACCTGGAAGAGGCGGCGTTGCTGCTCCACCTCGGGGATGCTGTCGCGGCGGCCCTGGATGGGGGAGTATATGGTTGCGCCGCCGCGGAGGCAGTAGGAGACGGCGGTATCGTAGTCGCCGAGTTTATGGACCAGGAGACGCAGCGCATCTTCGTGTTTGCGTTCCCGGCCAGCAATGATGATGGTCTCGGGGACGAGCAAATCGTCCGATAGGCTGTCTGTGCGCTCCCGGATGGCGGCAATGTCGTATTCGTGAGGCCCGCCTAGGAGTTGAAGAAGTCGAAGGCGGCTTTGCCAGACTTCGTCGTCCTCAGGGGCGTTTTCCGTCAAGAAATGCCTGTACGTTGGCTTGGGGCTTTGCAGGGCTTTGTAGGCGGTATATGCGGCCAGGACGCGTTCCCGGCTTGTAGGTGATTCGAGATCGTCAATGACAATCTCCAAATAGTAAGAGATGAGTTCATTGACGTAGGTTTCGTAACCTTTATCGAATACCAGGTGTTCCAGATAATATTTGACCGCGCCGGGAGCCTCCGCACGCAGCAGCTCTACGGCTTTGGTGGGCTCAAACTTGGGCGATTTGCCCTTGTCTTCCGCGAATACCTGCACACCGAGTTTCGGGTTTCTATTGGCCAGCCACAGACCATATTCTTGAACAAGCGCTTGGTTGCTGATCTTGGTAAGATACTCGCGTACCCTTTGTTCACCGTCCGTCAGCTCTTGAGCGTCGTCTTCTTCTCCCTCGAGGACACGCTTCCAAGTTGCCAGCACATCAGCAGACATCTTGCGGCTTTGGTATAGTCTGCTCAAGGCAAAGAATCTGTGATACGACTCCAAGAGACCAACGGCTCGGTCAAAGCAATCCATGCCGCCATCTACCAATGCGCCTAGCTCTGCTCTGACGGCGCCTCCTTTCCCCAGACCTTTAGGAGAATGCCTGTCAAGCTCTAGCAGAACGAGAAGCAATGCGGCATCCACAGTTCGGAATACTTCAGGCTCGACTGACACACTTCCGAAGCCCTTCATCTTTCTCCAAGCCTGCAAGTAGCGCCTGAGGAAATGCAAAGTCTGTAGCTGAAGACCCCTTATGCCTCCTTGATATAGCGTCTGGAATGCTGGACTTTCTAGGAACGCTTCTGGTAACTCCTTTACACCGCCATAGATCCAAATACCTCGACGACCCTCTATGATTTCATTCCGTACTCCTGGAATCAGAGACAACACAACTCGCGGGTCAAGTTTGCTTTCTACGAGGACCTCCTGTAGAGCATTTAGCTCCTCATCTGAGAATTCCTGGTCCGGCGCGGAAAGAAGGAGATTAATCAAGAGAATTACTCCAGCTTTTTGCTGTATGTAGCCAAATGTAGTGAACTCAAGCTCTGTACTTGGGTCACGGTCGCGAATGACTGACAAAACCATGATGATTGCACGCTTATCAATGTCCTGCTTCTCGGTTTGTCCGGCTAGGCGGGCAGCCTCCAATCTTTTGTCGAGCTGGACTATCAAGGGATTCCGAGCGGCCCACCAAATGCGGTTGCCACGCCATACAGCGACACGTGTTCTGGATTTCGACAGCCGGCGAGCAAATTCTTCTCCTTCTACGGCCCTTGAGGCCTCCCACCCCTCTGGAAGCGACTCTCCATCTTGTGACTCGTGATCGCGTTCAAAAAGCTCTCGCTCCTTTGACAGCCGTTCTATCGAGAGGGCAGTCCGAGAGTCTGAGGGCTTTAGAGTAGACACCGTTGGGGCGGTTGATTCAGCTGTGCTTGGAAATGGTATGAATTTCTTCATACTTAGTTTCTCGATAACCTCATCGGATTGAGTTTCCTGGCTGCTGGCGACAGTTCGAATCCCGTATGTCCCGTCGAGATCCGGATCGCCGGCTTCTAACCACTGCTTTTCGGGATGCGCTTCATTGCCGGCACTCCAGCTTTGAATTTCCACTCCGCTGCGAGAAACGCCATTGATCTCCTTTGTCATGGACGCAAATACATAGCCGTCCTCGTCTTCTGTTGAGGCGGCATCATCCGACGAACTGCGATCAACCATGACTTGCTCAGGGTATATATCAAACGTGATTGTTGGTCGTGTGGGATCGCCGTCAAGGTTTATAAACATGCCAACGCCAGGATCCGAGGGGCTGGTGCCCATAACAAGAAGGAATTCCTCCGGGGTTGGCGAAGCAATGTGTGGCCTCAGCAAAGCTATCACAGGCCGTGGTGCTGGGCTAGAGGATGGAGGGGGTGCAGGTAGGGGTTTATCAAGGGGTGGCGGAGTCGAACTATGCTCTTCAGGGGGCCGAGGGCTCGACGGCTGTCCGGGAGGAGAGAGCGTTTGTGTGGGAGGGAGCCGCGGGCTTGCTCCTTGCGAATCGGGTTTTGGTGAGTCCACGGCGGTAGCAGTATTTCCCAGGCTAGAACTTCGGCCATGGCCTCGCGAGCTGCTCTGTGACCGGTTTTGGTTTGAAGAGGCACTTCGAGCAATGCTTCTGCCTGCGTCCTTGGCGATATTTTGAACATGTCCAAATTCGTCAGAGTCGGGGTTCTCTTCCAATGATGATATATTCATGAGAGGAATCTTTAGCTGCCGATTAACATCGATGAGGGCGTATGTTTTTGAATCTGCCACGCAAGCTATGGAGTCACGCCGGACAGAAAGGCTGCTGCCCGCAAAGTCGATGTTCTGGAACATGTGAGCAGTGAGATCACCAAGTATGAAAATGTCGAGATGATGCGGGTTGCATAACATACCTTGACGGCGCGTACGTCTTCATCGATTTTAACCACCTGAATTCGTCGATTAAGGGAAAGAAGAACTGTGACCGTCTCGCCAGTGTTCGTGACACCATCGCCCTGTTCCACCTCGTTCAAGTCGACGCCACCGACCCAGCCGCAGTTCTTGACCTGCTTTGCCCCAAATACCGGACTCAGCTCCGGAAGAGAGTAGAAAGTGACTGTTCCATTGCACAATATACACGCCTTGCCGACTCGGGGTAGTAGTAGGATTTGCTGGACACCAGGCCGTGCCGTAGTATTCTCGGCGAACGCAGGCGAGAGCCTGGAAGCTGGGATGAAAACAGGGCGCCCGGACTTGTCGGAGGGATCGGGAGGGATGCTGAAGAAATGGAGAAGCTCGGAGGCAGAGGTTCCAACGTATAGATTGCCGTCTGCGCCAGTTAACATTAGCATTTGGGGTGTTATATGCGACGTAGTTGAGAGCAAAGAGGCCACAAACCAAAATATTCGACGCAATTGATCTTGATGCCGTCCTCAGAGCCGTCTGCAGACAGAGGCACCGAATCTACCCACGGTTGCAGCACATATGGCCCATTTTGGGGATCCGCGTTGATGCTCGGCGAGGCCATGGTGGATGACGATGATGCCCCTCCACCAGGGCCATGGGATGTCATGAAAGAGTATCGTTTACAAGTAGTGCCATCTGGACACTTGGTTCATATTGGCTGGCGTCTAGAGGCCCCAAGACGGAGGATCCGGCGAGTATAGCGTCTTCGGTCTTGAAGAGGGGAGAGAGGTCCTAAAGAGCTCGTTGGTGACGAATGCGCCAGCCTTCCGTCCAAGCTGGAAACTGCCGAGCTTAGTGCTGGCGAGGCTGAGGTGGGGCGCGCCAACCCCCTGTGACGAGCCATTAGCAGTACCAAGAGGCACTCTTTGCACTGTAATTACGGGGCACTGCGCCTGAAAGCTGTCGCAAGCAGTACAGCTCTGGCTACGTCAATCGTTTCACAACACGCATCAAGCCAGATCCTCTACCATCATTGGAGCGCCAGCACTCGCTCTCTGAACAACACGGCGCGGGCTCTACATCTCAATGCTTGGGCGTCTGATCGGCTCCCCTCCTTGGTAGCTGTGGAAAGAACAAAGACAGCAGCTCAAGCACCATGTCCAGCGACACAGAAGGGGCTGCAGCTGTCTCGGCTGTGGCGCAGAGCAGCGGCCCTGATGCTGATGCTGGAGGAAACAAGTTCTCTCATGCCATCTCGGCGTGGCGGAGTATGTGAAGGGTACTGAGAATCAAATGCAACTGTATTGTCTAACTGTGCTGCGCAGATGTCGACCTGACTACCTTGATATCCAACCTGGACAACACGGCGTCGGAGATTGTCACGTATCAGCGAGACTCGACAGTGCAGCGCAAGGAGTTGGCGCAGAAGACAAAGGACTTTAGGAAATCAGATGATGCCACAAAGTTGACGGAGATCAAAGGGCTTCTTAAAGGTGTGTTTGCTGCGTTTTACATGGGAAAGAATGGCAACTGACCTAGTGCGACTATAGCATACCAAACCTTTATCGATCTCCTTACGAACCACTCCAAATCGGTCAATTCGGCGTTTCTCAAGGCCTACAGCTCGTTATCAGAAGCCCCCGATCCATACCCGTTGCTGGAAGCCTCGGTCGACTCGATGCTGGTATCCGAGGATACTCTGCCAAAGATAACAGAAGAAAACCAGCACCTGCAAAAAAGTGTCTCGAAGCTCACGGCGCAGCTTGAAGAATCCGAGTCGCGGCTTCAGAGCGAACGCGCTGCTCGCAAAGATTTGGAGGATAATTTGGAAGGCAAGGTGAAGGAAGTGGAGGCGTCGTGGACCGCTGTGCTGGACGAGAAGAAGGATAACTGGGAGGCTAAGGAAAAGACGCTGGAAGAGAAAATTGCGAACCAAGAGCGCTTGTTGAGTGAATTAAAGGCCAACTACGAAGTCAACCAGCGGCTAGGGAAAGCCAGTGGCGATGATCAGGATGGCCAGCGCAATCAGGCCTCGAACGCAGAGCTGGAGATGCTCCACGCGGATTTGGAGAGGACTAGTTCTCGGCTGGCTGAGGTCGAAGCGCGGAATGAGCAGATGAGACTTGAGCTTGCCCAAGCCAAGTCGACAAGGCAATCTCAAAACTCGACGTCCCTGGAAGATGACCCCGGGTACATGCGAATGCGCTCGGAGAATTCCTCTCTGGTACGCAAACTGGAAGCAGCGAGGGTAGAGAAGGAAGGGTTCAAACGCGATATCGACGGCAAGCTACGATCAGTAGAACGGGAAGTGGCCCTATTGAAAGAGGAAAAGGAGTCTCTCAAGGCAAAGGTTGATAAGTGGGCCGATTACGAAGAGGTCAAACAGGAGCTTGAGGTCCTCAAGAGCATTGAATTCTCGACTGGCGACGATGATGAGGTGCCGCAAGACATTGAAGGCGTCCCCAGCAAGGGGGACACGCTGGAGAAGCTCTTACTGGCACGAAACAAGAAACTCAACGATGAGCTCACGATTCTCCGGGTATCGCATCAAGACCTACAGCGTAGGTTAGAAGATCTACAGGAGGAGCTCTCGCGGACCAATGCGGAACTGGAGAAGGCCCAGAACCTGAACGAGAAGCTGGAGAGCGACCTGGAGAATCTCCAGGCAGAAGGGGCGAACGCTTTCCCATCTGGTGCATCTGTTGCCGGCACCTACATTACCCGGGCCCAGGGACGCAAGGGGAGGATCTCACCCACATCTTCCATCATTAGTGGAATAGATCCTCGGACAACGTTAGGAGAGCGTGAGCCGATGGGAGGAGGATCAGGTATCCTCCCGATGGTGACGGCACAGAGAGACCGCTTCAGGAAGAGGAACGCTCAGTTGGAGCAGGAGCTTTCAGAGAGCCACCGTGTAGTGCAGCAACTCCGACAAGAAGTGGCCGCTCTACAAAAAGACAACCTGAATCTTTACGAGAAGACGAGGTACGTCTCGACGTATAGCCGAGGAGGAGCCACGACGTCTTCCTCATCGGCGTACGCAACGAATCCTAACCCGTCAACGGTTACCATTGGCGGGACAGGAAACCCCGGCATGGAGCTGGATCGGTACCGAAAAGCGTACGAGTCCAACATATCGCCGTTTGCGGCGTTCCGTGGCAGAGAGTCAGCCAGAGCATACCGGCGCATGAGCCTCCCTGAGAGGGTGGTCTACTCAATCACGCGCATGGTGCTGGCGTCACGGACAAGCAGAAACCTGTTTGCCGCGTACTGCGTGGCACTCCATATACTCGTCTTCTTTTCGCTGTACTGGATGGGGACGGCGGACTTTGAGAGACACGCCAGCAACTTCGGCTCATCGGCAGCGGCGGCGGCAGCGGGAGCAGCGTCTGGTGGAGGGGGGGTTAGTGGAGGGGGAGCAAGTCATGGAGAATGGCAAGAAGATGGATTTGATGGGTAAACAAGAGGTGGCCATGTGAGAGCGGTAGTTGAGCGTTGAATGGGCTGAGAGGAGAATTCTTTTTGGATATGGCATGTACTATGTATGATACACGCGGAGCCTTGTTTCCCTCCACTTGTTTTCGTTGGAGTAGTGCGACTTTGGGATGATGGCATTGATGATGGCTATTGCCCGGAGGGATAGACAGTGGCTTGAGCAAGATGAGAATGCATGTGCGTGTGCCACTGTATTGTGCGTGTGATATTCAACCTGCGCTGCTCATCCACTACTAGGCACTTTGAATTGGGTCTCGTGAGATGAAAGGAGCACCATTGCATATGAGCCAAGCATACGTGGTGCTATTCATGTTAGACGCCGGCCGTTGAGCGCGGCCCAAAGAGGGGAACCAAGACTGGATATCCGCGAGTTTATGGCGTACAAACTGTCTGTTGTAATCAATTGGTCACGGCAAAATACCTATTGGCCACGAACGGAATAGCCAAGCTGCTCGTCTTCTTTGCATAAACACAATACGCAGCGTAGCAGCGCTAACACGCACTTTACTTTCAATGGGGGGGACAGATAAAAAAAGACTTTGCCAAGGTGAATAGGACTTTTGGTACAGTAGATGCTCGCGTGGGCGGGCGAATTAAAGAGATCGGGGGGGCTGATTGGCCTGGAGCGAGATCTCCGAGATTCTATTTCGGGATAACTGGGACTGATTGGATGCGATGCGGGCAGATAAAAGAAAATGGTTCGGTTTTTTTTTTATTTAAGGTGTTGGTTTAACCGCCGTGGTTTTTTGATTGCCGGCGGGCCGAAGGAAGACGGCGGGCGCCATTTTGGTGGGGGGAATGGGCTTTTGTTTGGTGGTGGTGAAGAGATGAGCTGAGGAATGATGTAGTTGGAGATGATGTAGATGTAGATGGAGATTAAGATGGATTGTTTCTCTCTGCATGATGAATGAATCAAACATGCACAAAGCAAATCAGATTGGAGATGGATCATGTGCTCTTGATGTCTCGTCTTGGGATCTCGGGCTCTGGTTCACAGACTCGAAGTTACCATTTCCCTCACGACACGTACCACGCTCTCCAAAAGATCTAAATAAATTACGCCAAGATGGCTATTCGTATTCATCTATATTGTATTATATTGCTTCCATGCTACCTTCAACCTTGAATCTCATCTTCTCCAGCGCAAACGATACATCGCCATTTCAATGCCTGCATCTCTACCAGGCCGGGCGCCTAACTCAAGCCAATCACATCCCTCCCATCCCGGCATCCCTGTCCAGCGCGCCTCATCCATCGCCATGTCTCGTCCAATCAATCCCGTCGGCGGCAACAGGAAGCCAAAGATGAACCCTGCTACTGTTACCTTTGCGCTCTCGTCTTCCCACTCCTGGCTGCTGGTGTTCTTCTCTCCCATTTCCCGCCATCTATTTCTTTTCTTCCCAATTTTTGGCGCCGGATCGGAATGGCGGCAAACGGCCCAAGCGAGCCAAAGTACACGCAACCGTCCGAAAATGGCATCATCTGGAAATAAGTGCTCGCCTAGATTTGCGTGAGACATGGGGGGGAGAGTGGGAGGGGAATTTGTGTTGGCTTATAAGAGAGGTTGGTGGCCGCATTGTTTTGGGTTTCGGGAATTTCTGGTAGAAACAATCACAGCTTGAATATTTCTTGCATATCACATTTCCTTTTTTGTCCGTTTCCTTTTGTTTCTTTTCTTCTTCTTCCTTATTTCCTAAGTGCGGGTGCGGGTTCATTTCCTTGCTCGTCGGTACTTTATTGTTTGCAGTCATATTGTATTTCTTCGGCAACCGAAAACATCAGCATCACTACTACCGTCGTCGGCTGGTCCTTGGTTACAATTGTCTTGTCATCTTCCACCAATCTGGTTATTGGCTTTGCATCTGGTCTGAATTAAGAAAAAGATAAAAAGAACATCTTCTTCCTCCCTCTATACACATACACATACACACACACATACACAATGCGTTCATCAACCCTCCTGGTATCATCGCTGGCCGTCTTTGGAGCTCGCGCCGCTCCGGCCCTCCCCAGACTCGACCTCTCAGATATCGCAAACCCTGCAGTAGCACTGGACTCTCTATCAAGTTACTTCAACCTGCTTGCGTCAAAGGTCCAGACCTCCAAGGTACGACCGGTGGTGCCAGTATGCGATCTGTCCAAGGCCCAGATGCCCATGAGTAAGTCTCGATGTTCCGACTCCATCCTGGCCGTGTATACTCGACATGGCGGATGAGGAGACATGACATGGCTGACAAGCGGCACACATACAGTCGACGGGCTGCTCCCTCCATCTGCAGGCTTGACCGTGCATCACGTTGCCGTCGGCCGCGGCACTCAGAACTACACGTGTGATACCAGCAATCCCGATGCAGCTCCCGTAGCTGCCGGTGCCGTGGCCACTCTTTTCAACGTCAGCTGCATTGCGTCCATTAGCCAGGACCTCTTGCAAAAGGTGCCCAACATGGCCGTCAACTTTAACTACGACGCAGCCACCGCTGGACCACTTGGCCCGATGATGCTGCCTGTGTCTGGCCACCACTTCTTCGTCGACAGCACCACGCCCTTCTTCAACTTGGACATGCCCACTCTAGACCTTGGCACTGTGCCCTGTGCTAAGAACGGCAGCGCTCCCGCACCAGCCACGGCGGTACCAGGGCCATCGGGCTCAAGTGCGGTTCCGTGGTTGAAGCTCACGGCCAAGGATGGCGCCACGGGCAGCATCAAGGAGGTGTACAGGGTCAACACGGCCGGAGGCAACCCGCCGGCTACATGCCAGGGCCAGGCGGCCAACATTCAAGTGCAGTACTCAGCAGTGTAAGTCATCATTTTGTCCCTAGTCCCTGGTTTTCAGCTCTCCACATGTTCGGAGCAAGTGGATCCATAAACATGACGCTTGGTGATTGCAGTGCTGACATGACTTGCCTTTAGATACTGGTTCTGGGGAAGCAACTGAGAGACGAGAAGCTGGACGGGCGAGACGGAGACGAGACGGGTAGAGGGTGGTCATCTCTTTTGACTTTTTTGGGTTTCTATACACTTGTTACTATTGCCTAGGCTTCACTTATCAGCCTGGTGGCATATTTCATTAATTATCTGAGGGTTGGTTAGCGTTTTATTCTTCAAAGAAAAATGATTGAGATGTATATATAAATATATGTCAATACAAGTAGCTTGCACACACACACACTTACTAGTACTGAACAAAGTGAGAACCGAAATCGATATTTACAGCGCGCACTCTGCTTGAAGTGAGCGTAGGATGTGTGTGCCGTATGAAAAGCGTGAGGTGCTATTGGCTATACTTCGTGAGTAAGACCGCGGATAATACAAAACTGCACCAGCCGAGGGAAAGACGCAGATGCCACTCTGATCTGTGTCTTGAGCAGCAAAACACTAGATTGAGACAATAACAGACGGCGTTTTAGTTTGTGTCACCAACTTCAGCTGGAGACCAAGCCCCGAGGTTACGCCGCTCTGAGCCGACCTTTGATGAGGTCAAGTCACGCCCGACGTCATCATCATATCATCGTGTTTGCCTGGGTTTGCTGCAATCGAATCCTGCGACAAGAAAAAGGGGAGCAAAAAGAAAAGAAGAGAAGGGAAAAGAACCTGGACAAGTCTGGACCGGCAGGAAGTGAGGCTGACAACACACCAAGGAGGGATGTAAATAGCGAGTAAAATCCCCGTATGGCTGGTCAATTTCGTGATGGTGTTGAAGGGAGCTTCTGGCCGACCTCATTGGGGTTAGCGTGGCCGCCTAACTGGCGCACGGCCTGGTTGGTCAAGTTGTGCCTGTACCTTGGCCCGCACACACGCCAACCAACTGCCACCGCAATTGCCGTCCAGACTGGAGTACCGGTACGGCAGTGTCTATCAACGCTTGGCATGCCACAGCACCGGCCCTGGCCCGCGGCCCTTAGCGGAGCCACTAATCGCTGCTCTAGCGGCACTGGTGCCTCTATTTTCCAGGGCGAGGGCCTCTGTAAAGCTGCTAGTACAGGGGCCTGCTAGCATGGGCTCCGCCTCCGCGTTGCGGTGAACCCGGAAGATCACTAGTGCCGGGGGCCGCCTTACTGACTTAGTCGATGCACAGTAATATCGGGGCCATCACAGTAATCAGGCGATCGGATCTCGTCATATTGGATGGAGGGATCTCCGGATGATGTCGGGCCTGACTGGTGACTGGTGCCTGGGGAATCCGCGAACCAGCAGACGAGTTCAGCTGAGAGGCTCTGCTTGACTGGAGGAGGATGACCTGCAGACTGCCCTTGTTGCAAAGCCTACATAATCTGATGTGTTTTACTGTAGCAGCTGGAATCTTCCATGGCAACGGACGGAATACACAGATATTGTGGCTGAGATGAGATGGACAGCGGACGCATCCTATCTGGACCGGCCACTCAGTTTTGCTCCTGTGATTACCTAGTAGCTCTGGAGTGAATGCATTTCTCCTCAGCGGGTAACTTCGGCTGCCGTAGAGTATACGTACATGTAGCTTAGCATCTTCTCCTCTGCGCCATGCCGCCTCCTGTTTCCATGCCTACCAACACGCACTCATGTATCGTCCTCGTCAGGTAGTAGTTCATTTCTCACTCACCCGCTTGCTTCGTGTCCAGCCAAAGTTCAGGCCCCGACCTGAGACTGTGGAGCTTTCCGACGCCTAATTAAAAAGAAGAGAAAAGAAAAACAGCGGATAACATCACAAGGAAGCCTGCCTGGCCGAGGCGGGTGTCTCACATTTGATATTACTACTGCGCCGTACAGACACTGTTGGTGCCGGTATTAGTAAAGTCCCAAGTGAAATCAGAAGAAAAGGGAGGATCCATCCGGCGTTCCTCAACAGTACTTCTCCCCTCCTTACCTCTACTTAAACTTCTCTTTAACCTTCTTCTTGACACCCGACGTTCTCCATCTGCTCCTCCAACTCTATCAGCGCCATTGAGCCGATAGCGGGCCAACACCTGTAACTCGCCGATGCCTTTCGTTGGCACGGCCCTATCCATCGATAGGCTGTTGGGGCTGCACCTATTCGACAGTGCATTCAGCGTGGCTGGCCAGAAGCTCCGGCCGCCTGCTAGCGCAAACAGGGCCGCCAGCACAGCTACAAAGCGCCCCGCAACTCCGTCTGCCTTATCCACCTCTTCCTCTTCTTCCGCATCCTCTTCCTACTCAGCCAGCACAAGCCCATCATCACACTCATTATCATCAGCTTTATCTCTGTTCGGCTTCATCGCCCGCAACGCTGAATCGTCTTCGCAAGCCCCCTCTTCACTCCGCTCTTCAGCCTCGCGGCCGTCGTCTCCCATTGCAGCTTGGCCAATGGCGCAGCTACCGGTCGAGATCTTTGAAATCATCACCCGGTATCTGAGCCGGGCTGATATCCAGGCGCTCCGCCTGGTGTGCAGGGAATTTGAGGCCAAGGTCTCTGCCCAGTACTTTCGAAATGTCGTCGTGCCCTTCCGCTCGGAGCTCTACACCAGCCTCGACAGCGACGAGGACAATGCCGTCACGTCCTGCTTGTTTTCCAGCGGCATGCGCATCTTTGAATCGTTTGGCCCTCACATTCTTCGCTTCGCTCTGTCGCTCGAGCTGGATGAGTTTACGCTTGCCTATCCGCCAGTCAAACCCGCCCAAGAGGCCGTGGCCGCCTTCTGGGGCGTCTATCGATGGCCCCACGAGACCTACCATCGCTACACGGATCTCGAGGGTCTCGAGCAGACCGCCGATGAGACTGATAGCATGAAGAAGGCCCTGCGCTGCCTGACCAAGGTGACTAACCTGGGCCTCTGCTGTGATGCCGGCTTGGGCTTTCTTGTGGGCCCTGATCACGCCGTACGAAAGATGAACAACCCTGACCCCGTCTTCGGTACCCGAGACTGGCGTCCAGATACCCGCCCTAGGAACAGTGAAGCTCTTGCTCTCCCGACTGACTACAATGCCGTACCCGTGCCCCGAGATCTCCAAACCGCCACGGCTCAGCAAGATAACTTCAAACGTCGAGTTCTGGAGAAGATGATTTCTGACGCTGGCTTCGCTGGCTTCTACATCCACGAGGCCATTGATCTGCTGCTCGAAACTGAAGGCGTCACAATTTCCCACATCGACTTTGACGAGCGTGATGCTATACCCATCGACGACACGCTGCAGAACCTGCAGACCCCGCAAGTGCCAGAGCGAGATAGACGGCACGCTCGTCGGGGCCAGCAGCGGATCATCAATCCGCAGCTGGCTGCACAGCAACAGATAGCTCCGACCCAGGCCATTGCGCCGATTCTGCAAGCGATTCCTCACCCGCACCCGCCTCAGAACCACCAGCTCCCTCATCCGCAGCACATGCAATTCCACGTACCTAATATGAATGCTCAGCTTGCAAATCAGCCTGCGCCTCACCGCCAACGCCGGGCACCTGAGAACCTGTCTGAGCCTCCGCGGGAGCGGGATCCGTTGGGGGATCCCAACATCCGGCAGCCTCTTATCCCGACCAACCTCACGCGGGCCCAGAAAGAGCTGCTTCTTGAGCTAGAGTGGGCGCATCGTGCCATGATCCAGTCCTATGTCATCAGCATCATTGACAATGCTGGGGATGGCTGCTTCGACAACCTGACCAACGTGACCATTGCCAAGATTCCCAGCGCTCATGTCCATATCCTGTGCCGCAAGGAGCTCTGGGAGAGTTTGCCCTGTGTCAAGAACGTATCCATCGCCGTTATCGCGGACTGGAGAAAGATTGCCAAGCCATCTCCGGGCGTCATCACTGACACACAGGTGTCTCCCGCCGAGGCTGTTCCCAAGGTGTACAAGCTTCTCAATGACTACATTGGACAGCGGCACACCATCGAGAACGTTCACTTTGAGTGGATATGCGGCGGCGAGTTTGCTCGGGGTCCGTTCCAGCGCAACCAGTACATCCTTCCAGCCCCCTTCGTTGAGTCTCCAGATTTGATGAGTGCCCCGGACGCCGCCAAAGACACCGATAAGCTTCTGGACATGCCCTTTGTCAAGCACCTGTCCCTCAAAAACTGCTGGGTCTCCCCACATGTTCTTATGCAAACTATTCGTTCCATGGCGCTGCACTCTCTTGACAAGCTGGAATTTGAGTCCGTGTCTCTTTCTGGGCCTCCCATATATTCTCTTCAGCCAGCCAACGCTCCCCAACCTGCCGAGGATGCCGCTATTCCGGTCCCAGCAATGTTCCAAGGTCTCGTCGGTAACATGGGTGCGGCCCCCGCTATACCACCCCCCATGTTCCCACCAGGTGTGATGCCAATGCAAATGCTCTTGCCCGAGGAACAGCTACCGGAGAGGCTTACTATGCCAGACCTCTTTTCGTGGTCTGGTTTCTGCGAGCATTTCAGCCCTAGCATCAAAATGCGTTTCCTTCCCCGTTTTCGCGAATCCGCCGGCCTGGATGCTGATGAAACCGTCAGACCAGAGGAACTTTCCTTGCCACATCCCAACAAGGACTCCTACCTGCCAAATGTCGACCAGCTCAATGCTGACGAGGCTCAGTACAACATCAGCTCGATATCTTTCAAGTCTTGTGGCTATGTCTTTGTGGACATGCGCACTCTCGACATTCGGGCTCTTCTGCCGCCGGAAGGCCAAGCTGCTCATGCCTTTGCCAACACCATTCGTCATGATATATTTCACTCTATGCAATACTCCAAGGATAAGCACCTCGCCCGTATTTTGCCATATATGCTGCCTTTGGAAGCGAAGACGCTTGAACAAATTTTCTTCATGGATCATGGCTGGAGCAAGGTGTATGGAAGTTACATTTCCGATGATGCTATTGCTGACGGTTTTGAATGCCCTGGCTTGGGACGCTTTTCTGGCACCCTTGCGAGAATTGATGTCGACGAGGAGATTCAGATAATCGGATGATTCCTCAATTCCACTTTTTTTTTTCTTGTTTGTTCAAACAGATGCTTGTCTATTTCCTCAATATGTCCCTTTTAATTGGCTTTTTTTCTATTGAAATGAGTTCATGATGCATACAGAGCCTCGGAACGAGAAGAAAAATCGTGGGCATCTCCACCTTTACAATATTCGGACAAATCCCCCTTGGTTTTCTTCTCTTCGTCGTGTTTTCTATTTTTCACTTTCTCTTTTCCGCGCAACATCATCTTGATGATTTGTTTGCCTTTGATTTCTTTGCGTCTTCGACTTCCTTCCGCTTATGCGCAGCAAATACACGCTCTGGGAGGTAACCTGACCAGTCCTGAAACGGGGTTCACGTTGCTTAAAATCATTCTACGAGCAACAATTGTACTCCCAAAAAAGATACCCTTTGGAACTGGAACTATGATACATGCATATGGGAGCACCATTTTCTTCTTCATTGCGTCCTGCGCTTTGAATTGATTGGCATACACATTTCGACCCAGGATGAGACAGACATTGGACTCGATTTTTTTTTTCCCTGTCTGTCTGTTCTGACTCTTCTTCTTCTTTTCTTTTCTTTTCCTTTTTTCTCTTCTCCTCTTTTCTTTTCTTTCGATTTTTCTTTTTTTTTCCCCCAAAACCCTGGCATGACGGTGGGTTGCCAATACTTTGGCACCGACGCATCGCTTATTTTCACTTTCGTTGCGGGTTGTTTGCTCCGAGTTCAGGATTTTACTCTTGAGACCGGGTGGATATACCCCATTTTTGTTGAATACAGGATCGATATTGGTAGGATTAAGAGTGAACCGGCTAGACAGATCAGCCATATAGACAAAAAGATTGCTTACTGGAAGGGAAAAAAAAAAAAGGTACAAAGCTGTGTGCTGGATGCTTGGTTTCGCATGATGAGAATTATGACTTGGGACAAGTCTGCAAGTGGGCTACGATCCTTGGAAGAGCATGTGATGAGAAGCAAGGATTGGCTCTTCATCTATGCAGGGAGGCTGCATGTTGTATGTGTGTTTGTTTGATTGGTACGGATCTAGCTTTGACTGTGGTGGTGCTGCAACATAGATTGACCCCTCTCGTTTACTTGGAGTGCAAGATGCAGTGTGAGTTGGAGCTTACGTGTCGTTGAGTGAAGCGTTCCGAGTCTGAGATGAGATTGGACAGCAATGGCGGAGAGTAGATTAGTAGACTGTAACTGTATGGGTATCCAACACGGTGGAGTGAGATAAGACTTGCTTCATACATGGCAAAGCAAGCGGCTGCAAATCACAATTGAGTGCTGCATCATTCACATTCTCAGGGATCATGACGTCAGGCACAGCAGGTGATTTTTGTGATTTTTTTGTTTTTTTGATTTCATTTCATTGATTTCTCGTCAAGGCTCAATTGAGGCCCTTGCGAAAAAAAGTAAAGAGGATTGCTTGCATTGCAAATTTTTTGTATTCCCTTAAAAAAATGCCATGCAACGACACACTCCCTTCCCCGTAGCCTGCCATACACCAGGAGATGAATAAAGCCACGAAAATATTCCTTTTGCCCCTCGCAAAATACCAAAAGACACTTTCTTTTGCCCGGTCGTGTTTTTTGTCAGACGCTCTTCATCTCGTTAAAAAACAAAGCCCATTTGGTTTAAGAAAAACGGCCTGCACCCCGAACCTTCACTACCACTCTATGCGGCAGTGATGGCCTTGCGGGCGCGGACGGCACGCTGGCGGGCGTTGAGGCGGAGAGTCTCGCGGCCGGCAACCTCCTCGGACTTGGCGACAACCTCGTCACCCTCGGTCAGGATGAGCTCGATGTGGCAGGGGTTGGACATGTAGGGGTTGATCTGCGCGTCTTTGTTAGAAAACCAAGGTGTTCCCGAATCTCACATGTCGTCGGGGTATACATACACGACCGTGGGCACGGTACGTCCGTCTTCGCTGCTTGGGGGCCTGGTTGACCTGGATGTGCTTGACGACGAGGGCACCGGTGTCGAGGCCCTTGGCGTCGGCGTTGGCCTCAGCGTTCTTCAGGAGACCGAGCAGGAACTCGGCGGACTTGACGGGCCATCGAGCCCTGGAGACACCGAACTGCTTGCCTGTTGCAAAGGAAGACCTATCAGCATGACTTGTCTATGAAAAGAAAAAAACCCCCAAGGCAACTCTCTTTCGAGATGTACATCTGCCTCCCCATCTCTCTCCCGAAATCTCGATGTCGTACCTTGGGCGGTGCGGCCAGTGCCACCGGCATATCGTCGCATGGGGACGGCCTCCTTGTGCTCCTTGACGTTCTCGAGGAACTGGACAGCTCGCTGCAGCTTCCAGCCGTTGATGGCCTGGGCGGTCTCGCGGGTGTTCTTGAAAGAAACTCGGAGGTAGGCACCGCGGGCGCGGGCCGATTTCGCGGGCTGAATCTCTTGGGCGGCGTATCGAACCTGTATATTTCGAACGGCGAGGAAAAAGTCAGTACATCCGATTCAATCTCCCCATTTTCTTGTCGTGGCACAACCACGGGGTTGGCCTTTGTCCATTTTCCCAAGCTTTTGACCCAAACAGGTGCGCAATTTGCTCGGCAGCAATCCAATCCTGACAATCCGGAGCTTCCTCCTCTTCCAACAAGCCCTTCAAAAGCATCAATCTGGGGGGGTAGGCACTCACCATCTCGACGGCTTATGTGGTGGTGACTGATTCGACGACGTGGGTTCGCGGGCTGAAGTTGAGAAATTCTGAACTTTTGCCCTAAAGCGCTGGCCGGACCACAATGTTCGCTTACCTCTTCGGGAAGTGTTAGGGTTTCTCTGCCCTGGTCCAATCAAGTGGCGCGCTTCAACTTACCAGCAAACCGAACAGGGGAAAATGGTAGAAATGCGCGATGAATTGTATGAGAGTGAAGAGAAAAAAAAAATAGAACTTATTTTATTATAGAGATTGACATGCCTGTGAGTAAATTGATTAATTTGAAATAGCAGAGTATTGTGAATTTTGCTATGATTTCGAGCCTCTCACCAAACATCCAACTCCCAAGTCACATGATCTTAATTTGATGATTCAGCATTTCATACAAGCACGTGACTACTGACGAACTTTTTTTTTTTTTTTTTTTTCCAAAAGCAGTCGGAACAATGTCGGTGCGTTCGGCTCCACTATCAGAAAGCTCTAGCCAATAATGGCCAAAAGTGGACTCTGCGACTAAAGCTTCTTGCGAAAAGCTTCAAAAATTTCTTTCTCGCCAGTCTCTCAGAAACAAACGTGTTTGGCAGACCCGATACAAAGGCAACTTGGGCCTTTTGAGTCAACCCAGCCACCTGCATTCTCAGAATCCCGCGCTCTGCTCGGTTCAGTCTCTTGAGCTCGCAGATCTTCAGCCCGCGCATTTCTTGCTCAATTCCCTCCGAGGGCGATCCAAAAACTTTTTTTCTATCCATCCCACTATCACACATGGCGCCTTTCACTGCTCGAGGTGGACGTGGCGGCGGTGGCCGCGGAGGAGGTGCTCCTCGCGGTGGTCGTGGAGGCTTCAGCGGCCGCGGCTCTTCTAACGGTGTTCGAGGACGAGGTATGCTCGTCGTCTAGAGACGCTTGCGATTTGAAACGCTTTTGAGGCTAACAGGCGACACAACAGGTGGTGGTCGAGGTGGCCCTGGCGGTCGCGGCGGTCGCGGTGGCCCTGCCCGTGGAGGACGAGGTGGCCGCGGTGGTGCCCGTGGTGGTGCTGGTGGCATGAAGGGCGGTGCCAAGGTTGTCATTGTACGTTGAATCCCCAATCTCCCCCCTCCAGACTCTGAACTTTTTTGGTTCCAAAGAGAGAGAGCACTTTGACTGACTTTGGCTGTTTGCCTTGACTAGGAGCCTCACCGTCACCCCGGCGTCTTCGTCGTCCGCGGTGGTAAGGAGGACGGCATCGCTACCCGTAACATGACCCCCGGCGAGTCCGTGTACGGCGAGAAGCGCATCAGCGTTGACGAGACCGTCGAGAACAGCGACGGCACAACCACCACCACCAAGGTCGAGTACCGACTTTGGAACCCCTTCCGAAGCAAGCTTTGCGCTGCCATCGCCGGTGGTGCGGATGATATCTACATTCGCCCTGGCTCGCGTGTCCTGTACCTTGGTGCTGCCTCCGGTACCTCCGTCTCCCACGTTGCTGACCTGGTTGGCCCTACTGGCTTTGTCTACGCTGTTGAGTTCTCTAACCGCTCTGGCCGTGATCTCATCGCCATGGCTGCCAAGCGCCCCAACGTTGTCCCCATTGTCGAGGATGCCCGTCAGCCCGTCCGCTACCGCATGGTCGTCCCCATGGTCGATGTCATCTTCGCCGATGTTGCCCAGCCTGATCAAGCCCGTATCGTTGCCATGAACGCCAACTGGTTCCTCAAGCAGGGCGGTGGTGTCTTGATCTCCATCAAGGCCAACTGTATCGACAGCACAGCCCCCGCTGCCGAGGTCTTTGCCAGTGAAGTCCAGAAGATGCGTGCCGAGTCTATCAAGCCCAAATTCCAGCTCACCCTAGGTAAGAACAGACCTAACTTTTTATACACAGCCCTCTCTTTTGAAAAGATTTCAAAAAACTAACATGTTTGCCATCTAGAACCCTTCGAGCGTGACCACTGCCTTGTCGCCGGTCTGTACATGCGCAACGAGTAAGCACCAGTCTTTTTCGATAAACAAAAAAAAAGCCATGAACGATAATTATATCGGCTTGTATAAAGTCCTGGTTGCCAAAAACTTGTTTACTCGGCTTTCACGAATGATTCCCAATCAGGCTGCTACTGCATCTAACTCTTCGTGCGCCGAACGGTTTCGGTTTTAAAGGGATGATTCACTAATGGCATGGGGCGTTCCGGATAAGGGGAATTCTGCTTTAGCTTTGAGCTTTTGTTCTGTTATATAGGGTGTTTTAGGCCCAATGCAAAAGAAATGCTGCCACTTTTACAACCCTCTCTTCTTGTATCAAGTAGATATTGGCTAGGTATGATGTGCGCATGTTAATTACTCTGCGGATGCTTTCACTTTGTGGTGGCCTTTTTTTCTTTTTTTCTCGATGTTCTTCTTGAGATATAGAGGCTCATCGTAGAATTGAGGAATCCCGGAATCTTGACATGCCATTTTTGCCTTTGTTCCTCAATAACCACCCCAACCACCTTCATAATATCAACATCATGTCAATTAATTGGATATACAATCCGATTTGATTTAGCTGCAAATCTAACACAAAAAATTGTCCATTTACGTATGCATCGCTTATTCTATTAGCAGCCCAACGCCATGCCATTAACGCCCAGTACCGTATGCATATATATACCCAGAACCCTATAGTTTTGCCCTTCTCATTTAACATGTACATTTAATTTGCCAACTGTCGCCGTCTGAATTCGAACTCAGCATTGGCGTCTGGTCCCTTCGTCATGACCATCGCCATAGGCTTCGGCCGCGCATTACCCTTCTTCAGCCTCACGTCGTAGTTGATAAGAAAGAATGCCAGAATAAGTTTAATCTCATTCCCAGCGAAAAATCGACCGGGGCAGGCGTGTTTTCCCGCGCCGAAGTTGAGGTTCGTATCGCTAAGGGATGTAAACTGCCAGCGGTTGCTCGCTTCGGCCGACTCTTGCCGCATGTGGTAGAAACGTAGCGCATCAAACTCCCCGGGGTTGTGGAAAAATTGCTCGTCGATGGAAATGCCAGCCTGGGGAGCCAGTACTCTTGTTCCCGCGGGCAGGTGCGTGCCATCAGAGAGGTCGATCGGCTTCAAGACTTTGCGGATAAAGGATGCTGCTAAAGTGTTAAATCTTGCCCAAGTAACGATATTGATAAAAAAACTTACTGATATTTCCACGGAGCCGCTGGACCTCACGCATGAAGCTGTCGAGCTTCTTGAGTTTGGCCATGCTCTCCTTGCGCGCCCAGCCATTTTCCACCTCCAATATCTGAGAGGCTTCTTTGCGTAGTTCAACTTGAACTTCGGGGTGTGAAGCAAGATCGGCCATGCATTCAAACAACAGGTTATTGGTGGTGTGAATCGAAGCGGCTGCCAAGATGAGTTGCAGTTCGGCGTGTACTTGGACGTCTGCTTTTTCCTCCTCAGGTAGAGCCTCAATAAGCCATTGCATGAGGTCATTCGGCGGCTCATGAAAGGTCGAAATCCCCATGTCGCGTATTCTTTCTTGCAGCAGTGGCCTTAGCATAGACTTTGCGGCATCTATATCTCGTCGTATCTTGCGCAAGTCTGATACAGCATATTGGGCGACAGGTCGAGCCCACTCCGGGAAAAACTGTAGTTTGATTACAGACATGAAGACGTTGATGGCAAAGTTGATCGTCACCTCCATCCACTGTTCGTCGCGATTCAGAAAGGGCCCAACAAAAGCTCGGCCACTCAGACGGGCAATTCCACGCAAAGCAAAGGGCTGCCATTTTACAGGCGTCCAGTCGTCGCAAGAAGGGAATTCGGTACCAATGTAATGTTCCAGTTCGGCTTTGAGCTGAGGGACCAACTCGACGAGGTTCTGAGTTAACCTGGTTCGAACGAGAAGTGAGAGCATTTCACCATTGTGGCCTGGCGAGAATTTGGTGTATTTGGTTTGGAGAGCCTGTATTCATTAGTCAGAATTTAGTGAAGTGTACAGATATAACAAGGAATCCTACATCAGCTACGGCCTCTGTGGCGCTGAGAATATCCTCGGGTAGCCCCTTGAGCTCGGCGATGAATCTTGGAGGGATCATGGCTTGAATCCCCTCTGTCGCCTTGATTTGATAAACCTGATCCCGAAACTGGATTGGCAAGTAAGTCATCAAGGTCCAGAATAATACAAAGCGTGCGCAATCTAACCTTGCTGTAGCTAGCAACAATCTGTGACTCGGCATCAAAGATCCATTTCAATTTCGAAGCTCCATAGAATGGTACACTGAGCTTGCTAGGCTCACATTTTGGCCTCAGAAGCCATGCAGCCAGCAGCATAACGAGGGCAGCCACATAGTAGATGGTCCGAGGTGTCCAGGAGGCAAAGAGTGCCGGTGCCTCAACCACAGGTGGAAACGGCGTCGAGTTGGATTGGCGGTACATGGTGATTGTATGCTATGGCATAGAAAATGCACTGAATTGAGATGATGGTATTGAGGGCAAGAAAAGCAGTCAGCCGGCAGGGTATATAAAGGCGAGTGAAGTTTCGTCATGCGCGGTAGTACAAATATTCCCCTGGGTGTTAGAAGATAAGAGTCGTTTGCACAAAGAAAAATAAGGCAGCCGAGGGAGGGAGATTTCTCTCCTGCAGGGAGATATGCAAGGGAGACTATCTATTGCAGCGATCCTCGCATTTCTCTCTCTGATCCGAAAGCTGTAGGCGTGAGACGATAATGAAGAAGAGGCACCGGCACTCTAGTATCACGCAGGAGTGTTCATCGACAGCCCCAGGAACAAACTACACCAGAGTAATGGGCCTTTAGTCGACTGATAATGGAGAAATATACGGGTCAGCGAGTCCGAACGAATATATGACAAAGACAGATGTTGAAAGCACAATGATGGAGAAGGCGTGCTGCAAGAACAACAAACCAAGTCGACGTTTCAACCCCGTTCTACAAAGCACTCACCGCATCCTGTCCTCAGTCCCCGCAAACAAAACGAAAAGTCAGATCCGGGCGTGTAACACAGACGGGCGCGTGGTCGTGCAAGCCCATCATCATCATCAGCTTGTCTGAAACAGGGCAAAGGCACGTCACAGAAGTGTTCGGGAAGAGCTGCTCCCGACACTAGCGGCTGCCCCAAAAGAGATTCCTAGGAGGCAATCGGAATGGATTTCGGCCGCTTCTGCTGCGGGGACCATCGCGAAGATCGGACATGTTGGTCAGACCTAAGCGATGAGCGTGTTGATTAGGCGCTGCTTTATCTTAAAATAGGGAAAATAGGGAAAATACCTAGGGAAAATACGTGAGGCTGGGCGCGGCGATTCGTTTCCAGGCGAGGCGATGTTGTCGGCCCCTTGTTACAGGTTTGGTTCGCGTGCAACAGATTTGCTCCTGAGCCTCCAGACTAGCGCAGGAGGCCAGATTGGATGAGAAAAAGCGCTTGTCTTTGTTTTCTCTGATTGTACCGTTGTTGATGTTATTGAGAGGAAATGCCATGGCCAGCGATGCGATTGTGCCTCTTTCCTGACATGAATGAATGAGTTGCAGTACCGCCTTCGTTGGTACTTGTACTTGTGGTTTCTGCTGACATCATCAGCGATACAAACACCCACCAGCAATTTCTCAACCTTGTAGCACACAGTACAACCGGTGATAGAAATGACATGGGATTTTATCAAACTCGAGAACTTCCATTGAGTTGACAAGCTTTCAAAAGCCTGCGTCTATACATATCATCATGGTCTTGCATCCTGACAACCTGTTTCTAGAGGGCATTTCACTAGGAGCTATTAGCACTAAGAACTACCCTATATAAGTACTGTCGTATATGCTTCTAAGTGCCGCCAAAAAGACAACATTCAACTCCAATGTATGAAGTATGCGATGTAGTATTTCATGAACTATTCTGGGAAGTCAACTGAGGCTGTTAATCTAACTCTAATCCGCGGATTGTGCGATTCCCATCCCCAGTGCCCCAGCAGCCAGGGTTGGGTTGATGAAACATCCCACACTGAAGACCCCAGCATTAGTGTTTCTTGTTGTTAATAGTACATACCTTTTATATCATCAAAACATAAAGTATCGTAGTTCATTCTATGCTAATGGAATTATTGTTTTGTCCTACGTCTGAGAAAGTCCAGCATCTCAACACCTTGACTGCCTCCCTGTTCAAACATCTGCCTACCTGTATACGATCCCTTATTGTAAAAACAACTCAGTTTTATCACAGATACTACCATATAATACTCAAGCAGCATCCTTGTGCTAATCTATACATCTGAAACTAGGGGCATCCTACTGTATAGCTACAAACTCACCCCCATCCAACCAGCTACATCTCCACATCCGTACAATCCAATATCCAACCCTACAACCCCCATCACAGCCTAAACACATTTCCCACGTATTACTCAACTCCATGAACGTGATGTAGGGCATCTGACCAGCGCCAGCTCCCAAACGGGAATTATCGTCCGGCCACCTTCATTCCCCCCATCTCACCCACGAAAAGATGTCCTCTCCACTTTCAGAGGGGGAGCTATTCCCAGACCAATAAGCATACTAAAGCAACACGACAACCGCTAATAATCCGACGCCCTTTGCCATTAATAAAAATAGCCCTGGATCCAACAGTCAGGGTATTATTTGACTTTCCCTAATTTACAGTTGAAGATAAACTAGCATCGGGCCGCAATACGCGAGACGATTGCCGTTCATTCGGATGCCAAGATCGTCAAGTGTGGATCAGTGCGGACTATTCAGTTGCTCTATCATTGTCTGATGTCCGATCCCAAGACTCTTCATGATATCGCATGAACTTCTGACGTTGCAGATACTTGATAGAGGCTGCGTTCTAACTGATTCTACTAATGGGTACTGTCGACTTAAGCTCCTGTTGACCATCTTCCTACATTCATTCTGCGTCAATTGTACAGTTTGGCTGATTGATTGAAGTCATCCCCATATGCATTCACTTGGATAACCTAGACTCCGAATGAGTTCCTTTCCTATAGGTTAGTCATGATACAAGGATCCTAGCCTTGCCATCGTTATTAATTCACCAAGATCGACAGGGGCACTCAAAGAAGAAGCTGCAGCTCTTACAAAAAAGCAAACAAGTGTATATCTCTATCTATGACTGCAAGTCTAAAGATAAGCTTAACAAAACTCCGGCCTATGCATTCCCATTCATTTTCATCTGACAATTTTTAACCAAGAAAACACTTAAGCACCGTGGACCTTGACACGCTCGTCAATGTCCTGGAACTCCTTGGGACCAGCCTCGCCAGCCTTGCCACCAAAGACAAGCTGGGCATCGAGTCTCCAGTTGGAGGGAACGCCCCAGGTCTCAGCAACCTTGGCGTCGATCAGGGGGTTGTAGTGCTGGAGGTTGGCGCCCAGGCCCTCGACCTCAAGGGCGGTCCAGATGAGCAGCTGCTCCATGCCCAGGGACTGAACGGCCCAGGGAGGGAAGCGGTCGGCGTAGATGGGGAACTTGGCCTGCAGAGCCTTGGTGGCATCGGTGTCCTCGTAGAAGAGGACGGTGCCGGCACCGCCCTTGAAGAGGGCGAGCTTGTCGGCGGTGGACTTGAACTGCTCCTCGGGGACAATGGCCTTGAGGGTGTCGTGGGTGATGTCCCAGAGCTTCTCGTGCTCGGCGCCAAAGAGGACGACGGCACGGTTGGTCTGGACGTTGAAGGAGGAGGGAGTGTGGAGGGTGGCCTCCTTGACGATCTCGTGGATGCGAGAGGTGGAAATGGGGAGAGTCTTGTTCAGGGGGTAGATGGAGCGGCGGACCTTGGCCATCTGGAAGAGGAGATCGGCGGAGAGCTTGGCGGCCATTGTGACGTTGTTTGTGGGTTGAGTTGTTGTTGTGGTTGTTGTGTTTGTGATGTTGGAAGAGAAGAGGAGGAACGATCCCAAGAGCTGAGAGAACTGAATGGTTTCGGTGTTGTTGTTGTAGTTGTTGTTGATGATATTATTGTTGTTGCTGTTGTGGTTGTCTGGAGCAGAGAAGAAGAGAGAGCCAGTGGATGCGAAGGTGGGATTGCTTTATAGTCGTTTTGCCTCTAGGACCAGAGACACAAAACACCACGACACACAACACACAGACTAACTCAGCTCTACCGGATCAGTAATTCCTACTCAGCAACCACCCCCCTGGCCCGTCTCCTCTCCCCCACGCCATCGGGGCAACTAGTATTGTAATTGATACGGCAGAAACAAAAAGAATGGAACTCTCCATTAGGCATCATGATGCAAGCAACAAGTTCCCTCCCCCACTTGCTTGGCAAACAGCCAGGGTAACATTCTGCCATTGCACATGATGGCAAGGTGGATATCCCCGAAGATCAGTCGCGCAATAGTGGCATCGCTTCAACTCATACAATCATACTACGGACATCCCAGACCCTCCCCGTCGGTGGAGTCAACTTTTTGCATCCGTTATCCGGGTCAAACCACTTACAGCCATTGTCTTTTCCCTTTGCCTTGTTCTCTTTACTTCGGACATTTTCGCCTGCCGAAACTACCGCTTAGATATGGCTGACGAAAAGACGAACAATTGGGTCCAAGCGGCCGTTGCGGCTGTTGCGGAAGGCAAGTCAGACGTCAAACTCGGGTACCAAGTATACAGCCCACGCCTATCTTTCTTCCGGCCAGGGGTTCTTCGCCCCAATGGATAGCCGGCAATGAAAACCTAGAGGTACGTACCCACGGAAACGGAAAGAAGAAGGAAAAAGGGTCCATCCCATAGCCTAAGTGGCTGCTAAGCTAGGACAATTAGAGCCGCGCGCTACGAAAACTGCACACACAAAAACAAGTGTGCGGAAATAAAAAGAAGGGAAACCGCCTAAAAAGTTGATTTCCCACCCTTTGAAATTAGATAAGTCAGCATTTATAATCGTGTCGCACTCGGCCCACGGCCCGCAGTGGGTGGTCTGGCCATGCACGCGAGATATGCGGTGGGATGGAAAGAAAATGCATCAAGGGTCCTGAAAGACAGATTTGCGAGATGATCTGCAGGACGAGCGCTCGTATCTCGTGTTTCTTTTCATGGAGCAATGGATGTTGTCTGCTGACTACACCTGCTCATAAGGCATTCTCTTGTATCATGTAATCCAAAGTCTGTAACACTTCGGAACTTCATCCGAACTATGTATACTTGTACATGCACTGCAACGCTCTGCTCTCTCCCACTCGTTACTCTTACTCATCTACCTACCTAAGCAGGTAAATCATTCTCACTCAATGTACTCCGTAGTAACCGTCAATCCCTTGAATACCTAGCATCCATACCTTATCCAACAGCCACCGTCAAGCACAAATTACCTCAACAAAAAAGCCCCTACCACCTCCCACTAAAAAACCTACACAGTACTTCCGAACTACCCCCTTCTCCCCTCCACTCGCCCACCAAACCAAAAGTCTCCGTCAAGTATCTCTTCTCGCTCCTCGCTGCTCGCGATTAATTCCAAGTCCGGATACTTTACCACTTCTTCTACCCGGAGCATCGGAATTAAAAACAAGTGAAAAAATAAAAGAAGAAACCACAACATCACACGATATCAGACTCCGTCATTTTCCCGAGCGCGCGGCTGAAAGGATTTCGCTCGCTGTACTATGACTTTTGGGAATTAGAATAGCCGCTGCCAAGTTGGTAACTTACTGCGACCTCGGCGGTTGTGACCCTTTTTCTGGCGGCATGTTTTGGCGGTTGACTTGCTCCCTTAAACTTACCTCGGTATCTACCTTGGGATAACATATTCTTAGATGCGTAGTTGATTAAAACATTGCACTCCAACAAACGTAAACACCTTGATCAATTTTTCAAAACCTCAAATTTGGAAAAATATATAATATTCCATAACTCAATAAATACTTCTACTACCTCCCAAAAATATGCAACTCCCAATACGCCCACTAACCCCCTCAAAAAAATAACAAGAGGGAACTCATTGCCTTTCGTACCTATATACCTCCTCCCCAGTCCCGAAGGGCACGCAAAATCATTTCCCAAAGACATCAAATATGCTCATCCCAACTCCAACTCCGCAATGCTTTGTTCCTCCCATACACATTCTCTGGTGCTTGCGCACCCCGGATCAGGTGTTGATTTTGTTTTTTTCTAAGTTTTGACTGTAACCTTATCCTGTCCCTGTCCAAGCTTCCCTTTTCGGCAAGCGTTTGTCCAATTTGACATGTGTTTTGATGTTTCCCCCTCATCTGTGCCTCTTTTCGAATGCATAAGCTGGATGGCAAAAGGTGTGAAAAAAAAAAGACCTCATACAGCATTTGTAAATGAAAGGACGCTCGAAGGCGCCCAAAAAAATTAGTAAAAAAAAAGTAAAATGTCAAAAATGAGGTCGGGCCATCAACGAGGAACATCTACCACGTCTCAGCAATGTACTGGCCAGCCTCCTTCTTGAGCTGCCAGAAATTGCGCGCCTCTTCGCGCTCCAGGTTGCCCTTGGACATGGCGACGTCTACAAGGGCCTCCTCGACGCCCTCGCCCATGCCCTTGGAGCTGCCGCAGACGAAGATGCGGCCGTCGACGGCGTTGACGATGCTCCACACGAGGTCGGCCTGATGCCGCACCTCCTCCTGCACATATCTGCCTTCGCCGCGGCGGCTCTGCACCACGCGCTTGACCTCTTCTTCATGGACGCCCCATTCGCCGCTGTAAATCTCGTCCAGCAGCGAATCTCGAATGCCCTGCAGCACCCACACCTTGTTGGCGCAGTTGGCCTGCTTCAGGCGTCGCTGCACGAAACCTCGGAATGGGGCAATACCCACACCGGCTCCGATCAGGAGCATCGGGCCCTCAGCGTTGAACTGCTTGGCCAGGGGGTTGGCCATCAGGCCCTTGAACATGGGGATGTAAAACTCCGTCTTCTCCCCAGCTTCCTGCGCCTTGATGAAGCTCCGGGCCTGTCGCTCAAAGAAGCCCGATCCCACACCGGTGCGAGATCCCTCACGCCAGTCTCCAGTCTCATGAACCGTGACGGCGATTTCAATCAGGCGGTGCTGCTTCTGGTCGCCCCGCTGGAACGACTCATGCGGGTCATTGGAGAGAGAGTAGAAGCGCGGCATGAGCTGCTGCAGCGTTGACAGCAGCTCGTCCAGAGGAGGGTGAGAACTGGGGAAGGCGTGCAGCAACTGAGAAATGGTAATGCTAGGGCCAGACCGGAAGTCGCAGAAAGCCCCCTGTCCCTCTGCGGCGCAGAGGAAGTTGAGAATCTTCTTTTCGTTGTCGGCGGTCGCGTACTCGGCCAGCACGCGCAGCATGCCCTTGGTAGGCGGATAAGACTGGAGGTCCGCGCACCAGGTGAGCAAATCTCGGCGAGTAGTGACAAGCTCGCGCGGCTTGTCGTCTCCCCAAACGGTAGGCCAGCGACCCTTTGCTGTCTTCAACAAGACAGGCTTATCTCGGAGGAAGCGTGGCACCATCAGGGCGTCCAGAACATCTTCCACAACAGCATTGGAGTTGGGCGCAACGACGCCAATGGCACCGCCGACCTTGAAATCGGTGTTTTCCTCGTCAGGATAATCTGTGATATCCAGGTCAAAGTGATATGTGCGCTTTTCGGCACCAGACCTGGTCAGCTCGCGGGCGGTGTGGATCTTGGCGGCATACACATGGTAAGGAGGGTGAGGCTGAACGAATCGTGGAGGCTGAATGGCCGTGTCCACCGTTCTGAATTTGTCGAGGGGAATCTTGCTCAGGCTGGCACTGTCGACATCGCCATCTCGCTCCAGGGAAATGGCCGAATCCGTGGGCGAGGACGGGCTCGGGGCCTTGGGGACTGAACCAAAGGTTATCGTCTTTTCCGGGAGGTCGACAATCTTGCTCAGGACCGTCGGGATATCGCCAATCTTGAGGCCGAGGGACCGATATGCCTCGTTATCGGGCAGGGCAACCTTCTCATACTCGACGCCAGCAGGCCTCGCGCCGCCCATCAAGCAGCAACCCCCGCCGCAGCAGCGAGTAACAAACTCGGCGGTCGTCTCTCCTGTGATGCGCTGGATATCACGGGCACTCTGGGCAATCAATCTTGTGGAAGCGCGTCGCTGGCGGGGCTGCTCAGCTCGGATGGGCTCTTCCTGGTCGTCTGACTCGTCTGAGAAGGTCAACGAGGGGGCTATAGACTCGGCCTTTGGAGTTGTGGGAATAGCCTCGGGGACCCCGAGGGACAGGTTCTGCACCGGCAAAGACTGCATCATTTTTGCTGTCTTGTCTTTTTGTCGTTTTATTCCAACGGCCGAATGAAGAATTGTAAGAGTCGGGTATGTCGAGGGCGGACGGAGAGGATTTGAGGAAAAGGGTCGTAGGAGTTTTAGAGTACTAGTCCTTCGGCCAGATCCGTCAAAGTAGCACCAGCAAACCGGAACGAGGGAAAAGGAACAAGAACCGGAGAAAGGGAGAAAGGGAGATTGAAGAAGATAGGAGATGCAACGACCCGGCGAATTGGATCTCACGGGCTTGCTGAGTCGTACGAGGATGGGTTGATGTCGGAAAGGTTAAAGGCAAGAGACGGAGAGGAAAAACGAGTACGGCTACCCGAGGTTTTTCTGGCTGCTTTGGGTTCCGCTGAGATGAGCCGAGAGCCACACACATTTTGCTCTATTATCTGATCCATGCCAATTGGCAACCCCAACATCGGCCGTCTACGGAGCCGCCAGACCCGCTAAAGCCTGGCCCAGCTTCATTCAACGTGCTTGGGATTGACTGAATCGCCTCGAGCTGCGAGGAAAAGTCTTTGTCCGGCTGTCTCCGCGGCGCTGATTGGCCGACAGAGGATAGCCGTGGAGTCGGGGCTCCGATGACTGGAGCCATGGGTAGCGCCACCATGATCTAATGATGAATGCTGATTGATTGATTTGAAGTGAGATTGATACTTGGCTGATTGATAAAAATTTACCACTGCATGGGGGCGCACAAGCAGGGCGTGGCTGGCTGGAAAAACGCAAACATGCAGCAGCACAGTGGGAAAACAAGGACGTGTGCCCATCCGAGCCTCACTGCCGGGATTCGCGCCTTATCAATCAATGACGGCATTTGGGTGTCGCAACATGCTTTTCCGCATTCCAGCGACATGCAAGCCATGCCGACCCCCCAAGAATACGGGAGGCGAACATTGCTGTTGCGTGACCTAAACCCAAACCCCCCGGGGAAAAAGGCTCGTCAGCAATTACCTTGGGATGAGCAATCTGGCATCATCATCGACAAATTGCTCCGCGACAAGCCGGGCCCCTACCTATTAGTCTAGTATTACTAGTACTTACTTATTGCGCCGCTCCCGGGCCCGCCCCCCCCAATCCTTGTAGCCCTCAACAACGCTGCGTCTTTTTGAATCCGTCGTGCTCCCCGGAAAGTTCATTTGATGCCCGAAAGCACAGTATTACTGGTATTCTGTCAGCATCAGAGTATATGATGGCTAATGAGCTTACAGCTATGCAGTCAGCTGCTCAAAAAAGTGCTAAATCATACCAGCGACACTCAATTTCAGCCATCAACCCCTAATCCTCCCTTCCCAGCCCAACCGCCCATCAGACCAGCAAACTCTGTCGTCGTGTTTTGTGTGGTGCCTCTCCGGTTTGCGTTACGCCAATTAACTCCTCCTTTGCGCCATTCCCATTCCAATGAGACAAGACAAGGGGTGTGTGTGGGCAACCCGGCCCCCAAAAAAATTATCTGATCCATCTTATCAATCCCATCTAATCTCCCCTTTTGCGGAGCTGCTCTTGGGATCCAAACAAGATGCAACCCCCGATTTCGGTCGTCTTCCAGCTCCGCAGCGCCGAGCCGAGTCCCAGCAGTTTTGGCCAAGACCATCTGCCACATGTGATGGCCGTCATGTATCGTCGATGCCCATCTTACCCTCTCTTTCCGCTTCCTGTCGGGTAGCAAAAGCCAATCGCATAGCTAAAATGTGTAGTAATGGCAAACATTCCACAAGCAAACTGTCGTATTGCATATATTCTAGCCCCCATGTAGTAAATACTGTGTGCACGATGCATGTCCAGCAGCTGTAGATCATGGGGAACAAGGAAAGACGGGGACAAGAAGAAATACCGAGTCGTAATACCAAGGAACAGCAAAGCCACATGGATGCAGAATGCCGTCGGTGAAGAAATCTTGACTTGAGTACTACCTAGTGCGACCTCACCATTCTCGTTCATCCAAGGTGCTGTATCATATGAACGGCAAAGTACAGGTAGACTCGGCGATTCCCCCGATAATCTAATCTCCCCATCTGATAAGATCTCGTTGGACCCAGGTCGTACCTATGCCTATCCCGCGGTGAGAAAAAGGGCCAGCTGCCAAAAGAAGGCATGGCAACCCAACAAAACAACTAACCCGGCTAACCCAAATATCTGGTTTTGCCAATTTCCGAGATCGAGCCACTCTCTTGTTGGATGAGCCGAGTTGCGACCATGCCCTGCTTCGACAAGCTTATTTCTCGTTCTAAGCTTCTCCCGGTGGCGTGACTTTGTCTTGTTCTAATTCGGTTTCCAGAAGCCGAGGGCCGGGGGCATCACGAATACGAGCGTCTAGATACCCCATGGTACAAAACAAGTCTTTTCACTTGCTAGTAGTATGTAAATCTGCAGATCAAGCATCAGTGAGATACAGAGTAGAGGCCTCCATATCCGAAGAGCCCCATGCACCACTCGCTACTCTCCGCTCATCATCTTGACGGACCGGTTACACCCAATGAGGCGGTATAGCTGCTGTCCTCAGCCTTCGTTCTCACCGCATCCTTGGGCGTGGTAATACAAGAACGATCGGTAGTGCCACTGCAAGTTAGGACGCTTCGACGCTTATTGCTGGTGTTCTGTAATGCATCTGCGTCTAGCAGACCAGCCACGCGCCTGCAAACATGTGACATATCTAGCACCCATCAGTCGTGATTAAAGCCGACTAAATGCAAACATCAAACATCAAACATCAAACATCAAAGCAGGCTACTCAACGCAAAGGGCAAAAAGGATTTCAACACTCATCAAATAGCTTAACATATAAGTGTATGTATATGTAGTGCGGTAGAGGTATGAAGTATAATTAAAAGAAAGGGGACACAAATGAAATGCTGACAAGCTCAACGCCACGCTCTGCACAGCACGCGATGAAAAAAAGGCAAACTCGACAAATACCACTAAATGACGAGGCTGGTGCAATCGCTATGCAGAGAGGGGTAGTCGTAAAGAAGAAGAGAAAACAAAGAATTATGCTAGTGAAGAAGAAATCCAAGGTATAAATAGACCCCCTTTTTGCTTTCACTTTTTCCAACCAATACGCAAATCCGATACATGTCTTTCCGCCTTCGTTACTGTTGTTATGGTTTCTTTTCGTTTTCCAACTTTTTTTTCTTCTTCTTTTATTAAAGCTTTTTACTTTCTTTTTCTTTGACGTCATGATTTGCCGGCTTCTTCTTCATTCATCTTGCGCTCCAGGCTCCTGGTGGCTGCCGCCGCTGTTCCCTTGACAGGCCGTGGACTCAGCACGACAGGAGCTGACTGCGCGATCCGAGTTTGGGATTCAGCAGACTGCGTCGATACGTCTTGATTCGTTCCTCCTGATACGCCCTCCTTGCCTCCCCCCAGCTTGCGCAATAGCATCGCTGACTGCTGTTGAGCGAGCTTCTCTAATTGCGCAGTGGGATCCTTGACAGGAAACTCCACGTCAGCCACCCAGCATATGTAGTCTATTTAGCTGCTTTAGCTTGATTAGTACGTACCCATTCGGCCTGTGACGGCACGCCCTCAGCTGCCGGCAGCGCTTTGCCAGTGGCATCGCGTCCCCGAGGAACTGGTGCCGGTGTGACCGGCAGGCTGGGCCGCTCCTTCTCGGATGGGAAGTCAGTAACCTTGAAGGGACGCCGGGACTCTTCCTGTTCATCTTCCTCGTCCTCGTCATTCTCACCCTCCTTGCCGCGGCTGCTTGATCGGTGGCGCTTCTCAACGGCATCTGCATACTTGGAGATGCCGGGGACATCATCCCAAGCATTGCCACGAGAGTATGTTGTCCAGGATGCAGTTCCAGCCTCACTCTTGTTGTCCGATGTCCTTGAAACAGGTGATTTCGGAGGCGACTTTGTCACCGACGAACGACCAGTTGACTTGGCAGCGGTAGGGCCTGAGCGGGAAGCACCCTGTGGCTGCAGCTCGGGCTCATCACCGTAGAAAGATCTCGTAGCCTTGGGCTGGTTAGCCTCCCAGGGGAAGATTTGACGAGGCGTCTGGTTTTGCCAGCCCTGGCCTGCTGGCGTATCAAACTTTGTGTCAGCCAGAGAGGCGTTCCTAAATTGAGCCGAGTTAGTTATGCCCATGTTCTATCTGCAGGTTGGATGTAGGCCATTGCCTTACTTTTGCGACTCGTAAGCCTGGTTGTAGTTTCCACTGCCGTTGGCAAGCTGGGAAATTTCCTGAGACATGAGGTGAGCTGGTGCACATGGGATGATTGCGAGCAGCATTGATTTTGTCGGAAACTCACCTTCTCGCGGTAGTGGCGATCATACACTGCCCACCATCTGCCAACCATTTCGTCGTAAGCAGAGCTTCCGTAGGAGGCATTACGGCCGGCCTTCCAGGGCTTGTCCGGTCCAATGAAGTGAACCATGTTAATGCTGGACTGGAAGTGGCGGTAGGCGGGGAGGTATTGGTAGTGTGCAGAGGGGGTGACGTTGTAGGTAAAGGGCAGGCGGTGGAAGTTGTTCTTGAAGTAGATGTTGAGGAGACCCTGATCGGCACCGTCGAAGGAGATGCCCCTCTCGGTCATGGCAACCATGGCGTGGTAATCACCGTTGTTGGGTGTCAGGGCCATGACACCGGTGTTGAAGAGGTCGGGCCAACCAATATCAGGGGAGGCCGCAAAGGCGTGTGGGAGATCGAAGAGCTCGTCAGGAGCTCGGTAGGCGACGACATCAGCGTCGATGTAGACAATTCGCGAGAACTGCGTCTGCTTCCACAGGTTGATCTTGGTAAAGGCAGAGTGCAGGTCGGCACGGTTCATGAGGTAGAGGTTGGCAGGCTTGTCATTGCGGATTCGAGGCACAGGCAAGACATAATCGTAGACGGTCTAGTTCCCCGCACAAGTCAGCAGATGGTTCTCCTTGTATGTATATGTGCGCATGTTTGGTGCTTGTATATATGCTCTATACCAATGTATAGATGGAGGCTTCTTGTGTCGAACAACATACCTTGAGCTGAACAATGGCATCGGCAGTCACGCCGTCGAGAGTGACCAAGACGGCGAGCTTCTTGGTGGTGCCAGCATCGCGCAGGGAGTGGGCAAGAACCAGGGCACCTGGAGGAAGGCATTTAGCAAAGGCATTGAGAGAGAGGCTCAGCCAGAGTCAACGTACCAGGGAGATAGGCATCGTTCAACAGAAGCTGCAGACCACGAGCGAGATTGTTAGCTTGCTATCCTTTGAGCTCTGGGCCAACAGGGCGGACGAACCGTAGCATAGGCATGCTCGCCCCAGCTTGGATCAGCCATGACTGTGTAGATGTGGAGCTTGGACAGGCAAAAAGAGAGGGATTAAATCACGGCGTCTGGGAAATCAGGCTCACGAAAACAGATGGACGAGCGAGCTTTACGGAGGAGGAAGCAGAGGGGAACTAGAAACAGCTTCTGGAGCGGGACGGGCGCGGTAGAAATAAAGAACGAGTTGGGAGGCAACTTTATGGTGATGGAGGTTGGAATTGGGTAGGTACGGAGCAAGCACTACTAAGGTACCTAGTAGGTAGGAACTGTACATGCAATGGATGGATCCAATTGCAGAAAATGATGGGAGGGTGGCGTCGTCAAGGGAGGTACTAACCGCCGGACTGGCGCTACTTTCTTGTTTTTGACGGATTGAGGCTTTCCACTGCCGCCTAGCAAGTACCCCCAAGCTCCCCAGCAGGTACAGCAGCTGCTGTCAAGTCACTCAATCACTGTTATCATTGGCACCTTGCCCGTGGTGGCCAATCCCTCCATGTCCGCCGTCCCTGTGGCAGCGCTAGAGCTCAAGGCCTATCTGTTCCATCGGGCTAATACGGGGCCTAAGGACCTTACCCGGGCCCAGCGCTGGCTGATGGCGGCCGGCTTGCAGCATGGCGTGCAAGCGAACCAGCATGCAGATGCAGACACGATGCTGCAGCGCCGCACATCAGGCAAATGTCATGCACCATGTACGAGCATGTCTCGACGTCAAAAACCCCTCCATGCCAGAGTTACCCCTCCAAGAAACGCAGAAGAAAAAAAGCCCCTCCAAAAACGGGAAAAGCCCCTCCAGCTCGTCTCAGCCCAGCCAACCACGTGCTGCGACTTCGCTTGTTCGTCCATCTTTTCATAAAGACAACAAACAGCACGACACAGGTACATAGCCTTTTATCTCTGGTTCTGATTCCCGACAGCAATAAAGCGGTAAGCAGGCAAAGACTAACAAATCAATAGCGTCCCCCGTTTGGACGATCGGATCAGCACCAAGGTGGTAGTAGATGCCTAACCAAGGCAAAGCCCGGGGCCACAAACACACCGGCCACGCCCATATTGTCCCTGATTAGATACGACGGGAAGCCATTGACAGCTAGCACCAGCTTCAATGCGTCACCTTTTATGCACATCCCACCTCAGCCCCGGCTCGCCATAGGCCAATCGTCTCCCCAACCGCGAAAATTTTTTATTTCTCTCACCACTGCAGGCAATCTGGCCTTGCATGAACAAGGAAGAGGAGGAACGAGACAGAGACGGAGAGAGACGGAGAGAGAGAGAGAGAGGCAAAAAAAGCTCGCAAGCAAACCACGTACATACCACTTCATTCCTTGGCCAACCACCACCGCCACCATCCACTTCGCCGCTTCGTGGATCCCCCGAGTTGCAGCAAAAGGGCTCCGCAGTTGGGAATCAGTGCTTCCCGCCGCCGCTGGCCTCTCGGTTTACAGATAAATAGAGGCCCAACGCGCGCAGACCCGTCGGGCTCACTCGCATCAAATGGTTATCAGTTCCATGCAATGCGCGCAATTCGGCCGCGGCCGCTCCTCATCACGCACAAACATGCTGCTCCCAGCTGTCCTGATTAGCTAGCCGGCCGCGGGTCCCATTTCCGATGTACTGCGAGGCTGCATCGTCGAGAGGCTTGTCCTGCTCCTCACGCCATGGATATCTTCAACGTCGGGCCGTTAATACTTATTACATGGCAACGTCGTATATGCCGTCGTCCTGTCAATGGCCTCCTCACTATCAACCAGCGCTCCCCCCCCTCCTTTAGCCCGTGGCCTGTTCTGCTTGCATCTGCGAGCCATCCGGGTAATGAATGCAATTGATACCTAAGCGTCTCAACAGTTTTGCTGTCGGGCACAATGCTCCCATCAGCTTCCGCATTCCGTTGGTAGACGCGTCTCGACAGTGCCCTAGGGATGGGGCCCGAGCTGCAGCTTCGAGTATACCCAAACGACACCCTCCTTTGTGAATAAATAGCTCTCCACTTCATCCTTGATGAAGCCTCCTCCTTGCCAACGATCCAGATGCTCCGTAGTCTCCACTATCCTCATTCCCCCGCACCTGGGAGCTGCAAAAGAGCTGCCTTGAGCTTCTATCCGGCGACGCAACGGCGCAATGAAACACGAAAGACGAGCAATGCTTCCCAAGGATGCAGCTTTCACATGTGATTTCTGACCAAGCTACGGAGTACAAGGTGAAAATCCAGTCAATATCAGGAGTGCCATGGCCAATATACTGTGCTACTAGCATTCCATCGTGCCCCTCCATCCTTTGCCCCTCTTTGTAAGAGCTAGGATGTCAAATCGATACTTTGTAATATTCAAAAAGTGATACGATACTAACGCGTCAATGACTCCATTGCATGCCGTCTTCCTTAATTATGAAACAACTACAGAGAATAGAAAACGAGCGCAAGCACCAAACAGAAAAAAGCCTCTCTCATGCACGCCTGCATGAATGCATGCATCCTGTGGCTCCATTACAGTCATATAGCTACATCAAATGTCCTTCTTGTAGGCGTGCTCCGGCTTGTGAGTGGTCTCGTAGTCAATATGAACGTAGGCCCGCTCAACGTCGGGCAAGCTCTCCAGCTTGAACTGCAGCTCCTCGGCCACATCGTGCGTCTCCATAAGCGTCCGTGTCGGGTCCATGACAATGTCTACCTCAGCAATCAGCCGCGGGCCCGAGTGGTAGACTCGCACCGTATCAATGCCTTCAACGACATCTGAGTGGGTCAGGCAAACATATGTGATGAGCTGCTGCATATCCAGAGGCGCGACAACACCCACAAGGAGCAGGAATTCGTTGAAGGCAGTATACAGCCAGATACCAGAGGTAAAGAGAGACAAGAGAATGGCGCCCATTGGGTCAATCCACCATTCCAGCTTTGCACCACCCACCGATGTCAAGATACCAAAGCCGTTGACGAGCAGATCGTTGCGGTGATCCTGCCACAGAATGTTCACTTGACTATATTTATCCTTGAGAGACCAGCAATACAAGAAGAGGCAGAACTTTGTCGCAAACGCCGCGCAAACGGAGATGACAGAGGGGAGATGGAAGTTCTTCTCGCCATCGCCGCTGGCCAGCTCCTTAGCTGAAAAGGCAATGATGATGAGGGCTACAGCGCTCATGAGGAAGCAGAAGACAATGTTGCCCACTGTCTCGAGACGTGCCTTGCCGGCAGGAAAGCGCCGCGGATCGACACTGCGAATGGCACGGTTGGACAGAATCAGAGCGAGGGTGCTGAGCGGGTCGAAAATAGCATCGGCCATGGTCGTGAAGAGGGACAGAGAGCCGGATGTGATGGCCGCGTAGAGCTGAAGGGCGGTGAGGACGATGTTGGCCGCGAGCGAGCCGTAGATGGCAATCTTGAACTTGAGCTTGTCTTCTCCCTGTTCGATGCGGGCTTCCTCTCGATGGTCCTCAACCGACTTCAGCATCCGTTCGATGGTGGCATTTTGATTTTCGTAGAAGCCGCGGACTTTGCGGTGGTCGCTCTTGGGCGCATACTTCTTGTCCCCCTTGGCACTGTCCCTCTTACGAGATGAATTGGCCTTGATCTGCTCGAGGTCTGAATCGGTTTTGTAGGAAAAGGAAAGCCCGTAAGGATCGCTCTCGGCCGACAGACGCGGAACGCGAGAGCTGCGACCCGCGGTGGACTGTCTCTCCACGTCGGCATTTGTGAAATGGTGACGCTCTACCGCGTCATGGTCTGCCACTTCGATAGCCTCGACGCCTGTGCTAGAAGCATCCTGAGCGGCAGGCGATTTCGAGCTGCTGCGGCTGGAGGACGGCAGTTGAAGGCGTTGGAGGTTGAAGACGTTTGGATGGTGAGTGATGGTGTTGCTTGCGTCGGGCGTCATGATGAATGATCCAGAAGGCGATGAATCGGCCGATGTAGAAAGCCTGAAGAAGACAATGAAGAGTCGCTGGATGTCGACACTCCGGCGTATTAAGTATTATCCCAATTCACCGGTACGGCCGAAGGAGACGCGAATTCGGCGTGGGGGGGTTCGCAGCCCGCCAAGGGAGGCCTCGTAGCAAGTCTTGGCAGGAGAGGGGATCTCCAAGGCTCAACGGCTCGGTGCTGGTCAAGGACAGACGAATGCCCAGGATGCTGCAGCAAAGAGGTTGATGGCCCCAAGTTTTTGACGATGGAAACGCAAGCCAGATCGAGATAAGGTTGATTGATTGATGCCAGGGGCACAGAGTAGAAATTTCACGATACGGGCCGATAGCTGGTGTGGAGAGCTCGCAAATAAGAGTCTCTTCCTCTCACTGCGGCGAGATCGGTGAGCGTGGGGGCGACGGGCCAAGGAGATAAGCTGAGGTTAATGAAGAAACAAGTTGGTCGGGCTACTGCATTTCAGCGATTGATTGCTATTCGTCCTAGGTATGGTGTTGGTTCCTAATGAAAGAATGGATTGGATAAAGTAAGGTACAGGTATTTGGGGTCATTTGAGATGGAGCAGGTATTTCCCCGGTTATAGGAAATCACCTCTGAGAATTGCTCCTACCGTCTCCTTTTCCCTGTCTCACAATGGCCTATGACGCGGTTTGCGCAAGGCGCGAACGGATAAATCGATGTCCTCTCCATTGTGCTGGCTAGGTAGTATGTAAACAGCGTATGACTAAGCTCATATGCCGAGTGCGTTGAGAGCCGGAAGCTTGGGCTTGAACTCCAAGAGGACAATAAGAGGTGCAAGGCCGGGGTCGTTACGCAAGGCATATAAAATAAACTTATTTAAAAATAACCTGCTAAAAGTTGCAGCGGGAGCATCTAGATCTTAAATGGAATCTCGATCAACGTCTGGCATCGGCACTTCGGGCGTCTTCGGAACCATCCAGGTTCTCCATCTGCGGCTCAAATTCGCCGACCCACGCTGCCCGTCAGCCCATTGCTGCACAACCTTTATCACTTCAATGCGATTAGCTGCTGCTGTTATCTTGCATGTATCATTGGAAGGACCAGGAACAGGGCTATAGTATTACTGAAATAGATACACGGTTCCTGGAGTATCTGCTACTATTACTCTCTGCTACTATCGCTACTCTTCGCTACTCTCTGCTGCTATCTGCTGCTATCCATATGTTCCTCATCTGCTATCATTGCTACCCAGGCTGCTTGAAATTTGAGAACGGGATGCTGAACAGCGAACATGGGGTGCTGAATAGCCACTCCCTTATTGAAACGTAGATAGCTAAGTATTATATGTAAGGACCGGGGGTTACATGTACGGATAGATGGCTGCATCCATGTAAGCAGCCAAGTTGATCGACTATCCTAAAAGAAAAACGGGAAAAAACGCCATAATGCAAGCCTCATAACAACAAGCTGGTCGACTCCTTACAACTTCGAATCGATCTTGGATCGCTTCAGGATCCAGTCAATCACGTCCTTTGTGTACTCGTCCTTGCAGTGGTCCGCGTGGAGCTGGTGATATCCACCGTCATACGACTTGGTCTCTCTGTCCTCAACCGCCGCCTGGTCATTGACAAACTTCACGGCCGCGTCATAACTGCACGTCATGTCGTTCGTGCCGTGAGTCAGCAGAAGAGCCTGCACGTCACCGCCCAGCTTCACTCCCCCAGAAGAGAGCAGCGCCGTGCGATCCAACAGCGATGCTAGGCCCTCCAGCGTGCCGGTGTTGTGGCACAGCTCATCGTTCTTGATGGACTCGACGATTGCCGGATCGCGGCTCAAGTGCTCCGGCGGAACCACATGCTTGAGCTGCTGTCGCGGCAGCAATCGCCCAACCAGCCTCCCCAGGACGACCTTGACCACGCTGGGCTCCTCGCCCTTGGAGAAGCCGATGAAGGGCGCCTCGAGAATCCAGCCCCGGATCTGGGCGACCAGCTGCCGGTGCTTCGCGTCTCCCGCCAGCGTCAGCACCTCGCCGCCGCCCATGGAGTGGCCCATGACGAAGACGGGCACGTCCGACGGCAGCTTCTCCTGAATGAAGGCGACAATGTCGGCAACAACCTGCGCCGTTGGCCCGGTCAGGCCCTTCTCAGCGGGCCGAGTCACGCTGCGGCCCCAGCCGCGCTGGTCCCATGAGAAGACCTGGATGCCGTGCTCGGCGAGTATGGGGAACCAGTCGTTGTAGCGGTTGATGTGCTCGCTGAAGCCGTGGACGAAGATGAGCTTGGCTACAACAGGGCCCGCTGGCTGGGGATGGCGTTAGCAGGCAGCATCACATGTGAAATTACAGCCAGCAGAAAGGGAGACAAACCGTCCACGTCTTGGTGTAGAGGCTCGCATCGCCCGCCTTGAACGTGCCTTCTGTGGTTGTCATGGTGGATGGGCTGACTTGTATGAAATTTTGTAGTATCACAACAGTTGGGGAACAGCGCTCGCTCTCAAAGCCAACAAATGCAGGACGAGGACGGATCGCAAGCTGAACATGACCTGGAGTCGGGTCTTTGATCCATTTGGCTTAAGCTGCGGAACGCGCTGAAATGCAGCCCCTATGGCTTCTCTAGCGCCTGTTGGGCTGTCCAATTAGCGGCCTTTTCAGTGGGGCTCCGGGTAGATCCCAGCCCGAGCTTCCTCGGCAGAAGCTCCATGCCACTTTACCTTGCTGATGCTGCATTTGACTCGATCCTCTTTATAGAGGCCAATTCCGGCCTACTTGTAGTCTTGATGATTGTGAATATATGGCATTTAGAGCAGGATTGTATCCGCACCCATATAGATAAGAACGTGCTAGTATTCCATGCCTCGTAAAAAAGGAAAGGCTATTCTGCACCCCAGCGACTAAGGGGAGTTCCGAATGGCGTAACAACGTATAATGAAGACCTTTAATCACCATTTCTTAAACAGATATTACACGGTTCTTAGAGTATCTGCTATTATCGCTAGCTTCTGCTACTATCCATATATTCCTATAATATCTGCTATCATTATTACCCAGGCCGCTTTACATTCAAGAATGGGATACTGAATAGGTAGCCACTCCCCATAACAACGATAGAGCAAGCACATATAAGTAGGTGTCCAAGACTTTCATATTCTCCCTCTTCCACACCATATTCAGATATATAATACATGATCCACAGCCTGCTATCCTCAAGACATCGTCCTCCGAGGCACGAGTTTGAGCGGAGTTATTACTACAAGATACCTAGTACGTATGGATGCCGCCATCCCAGGGGCATGCTGACCTCTATGTACAAAACGTTTTAGTTTTGCTCCTGATACACCCACCTTGCTGCCGAAAATACTTTACAAAATTCATCAATCAACCAACCATTCCCCCCTCCTTGCTATATACCTATGTATATGTATGTTTTTCTTCTTTCTTTCTTTAAGCACCAATCGTGTGTGCTTTTTAAGTGCTTCTTGATTTATCTTGCGATGGCACAGCAGCCTTCTCTCTGTGCGCTTCTTCACCTTCGTCCACAAACCTCTCTGGGTCTTCGTCTCTTGCGAGATCATCCTCAATCTCCTCAAATTCTGTGACGTGGGAAGTGGCCTCCGTGGATGGCCGCTTCTCTGTGATCTCGCCACCAGTCATCTGCCATTCCATCAATTTGCTAAAGGCGCTATCTTTATCAGCAGCAAGCTTAACGTAGCTGCCAATCTCCGCCACCTTTCCATCCTTGTTTAGCACAATGATGAGATCGGATCTCTTGATCGTAGACAGTCGATGCGCAATGGATATGGTGGTGTTGCGTCCACGGAGCAACACAGCAAGGGCTTCATTTACCAGTGTCTCTGACTCTGCATCCAAAGCTGAAGTGGCCTCGTCGAGAATCAAGATATCAGGGTCCTTGAGCAATGCCCTAGCAATGGCAATGCGTTGCTTTTGGCCACCAGAGAGCTGAGATCCTCGGGCACCGACCTGTGTTTCAAGACCTTCCGGCAGATCGCTGATAAATGTGCAGTTTGCCCTCCTAGCCGCCGAGATAATCTCCGCGCGGCTTGCATGTGGCTTTCCATAAGAGATATTCTCGGCAATGGTTCCTGAGAACAACACGGGCTCTTGAGACACAACACCGATGCGCCGTCTCAGAGACTTGATATTCATAGTCGAGATATCCACATCGTTGATAGTGATAGATCCAGATGTAGGATTGTAGAATCGCAAGAGTAATGACGCAACCGTCGATTTGCCGCCTCCTGATGGACCAACGACGCAGACGTTGCTACCAGATGCAATTTCAAAATCCAAGCCGTTGAAAATGTTCACCGCGGGCCGGGTTGGGTAGGCAAAATGAACGTTGGAAAATCGAATGGTGCCCTGGGCCGACTTGACGGGGGATCCGACTGTCTGGTGAATGCTGGGCTTCCGGTCCTGTAATTCGAACAATCGACTTGCAGCACCAACGCCCTTCATGAGCTCTGAGTAGAAACCCGAGAGACCAAACAGACTGGAACCGGCAAACGCAGTATACATCATGAAAGAAGTCAAATCTCCCAGGGACATGGCACCGGTCCTCACCAAATTTCCTCCGACAACCAACATGGCCAGAATCGTCATGTTACCGGCCCAGCCCGTTGAAGCGAAGAAGGTTGCAGCAATCAGGGACTCCTTTTTGCCAAGAGCAAAGATCTTGCGGACCTGTCTGTTGTATCGCCCAACCTCTTGAACCTCTCCAACAAATGCCTGGCTCGTCTTGATATTTCCAAGCCGCTCCTCCGCAATCTTTGTCAAGGTACCGAGATTTTTCTGTATCGACCTGCTCACATTTCGAATGGCTCGTCCGTAAAAGAAGGCACCAATAGCAATGGGCGGGAACATGAGGCACAAGATACCGGTAAGCTTAGCACTCGTCCAAATCATGATTGCGAATCCGGCGCCGCCACTGAAGATTGCTCGAAGCCCATCACTCAAGTTGGAAGTAATTGACTTGCCAACAATGACGGAATCGGAACCAAGTCGTGATATGAGGTCACCAACTCGATTGGCGTCGAAGAATTCGGCATCTTGAACATAGGTTTTCCTGTAGAGCTGGGATCGCAATCTGGCGACGACTCTCTCTCCGATGATGCGCAGCAGAATGACTCGTCCAAAGCTGGTCATGGCTCCAAGGGTGAGAACGCCACCCAGGGCTACGAAAAACTGGTTCAAGGTGAGGCCAAAGATGTTAACGTCATCGATATTGCCCTTTGTCGAGATATCCAGGATGCGGCCGACGGAAAACGGAATCAACATGGTAACGCCAGAAGAGATCATGAGGAAGAAGAAGGCCAGGCCCAGCCAACGAGCTTCGGGCTTGGCGATCGAGAGCAGCCTCCATATTTCATTTAAGCCAGCCCTCGCTTTGGGCTTGCCTTCCTTCGATAACCTAGCAGAGAGATTGACTTGCGCCGCATTGGCTGCCCGTTCGCTTTTCTGAAACTCCTGGCTGGTCTCACCCTCCTCGGTATCCTTTGCCTGCCTTGTGGGCTCCAGCTTTTGCCGAGTCGCATTTTCGGTATTTGGTTGAATTTCCCGTGCAGCAGAGGAAGTGCTAGAGAATTGGCGAGCTAGTTGCAGTATGCGTCCATGGCCCGGTTGTGACGGACCTCCAATGGCCGAATGCGACAGAGACTGAGATTGAAGTTGAGACAGACGTAGAGACCCAGCAAGCGTGTGGAAGCCAGCAGGGGTGAAGGACGGAAGCGTGCGCAGACCAGAAATCGACGGACGAAGGAAATGCGGCGGCTGCAGAAGAGATTCGGGCTTCGGCAAGTGTTGCGACAGAGCACCTCGACTCGAGGCTGCAGATTCTTGCGAGCTGCTGACTGCTAGCCTGGCAGGCAGCGCTCGTCGCAGCGCCCCGGCATTCATGGTAACCGAGGGGATGCCCAGCGGTTCAGCATCGAATTGCTGGGAGCCGGTCGGAAAGAAAGGCCGTGGTCGGTGCTGAAGGGGGAATCCGACGGAGTTGTAGAGGAGAGAAGGGAAAGGAAGAAGGGAAAAAAGATTTACACTGCTGAACTAGGAGATTCCGTCATAGTCGCGGCATTTACAGCTGAAAGCGCTGAAAGCGCTGAAAGCTGCCCGGGCTGTATGCGCAAGGCGGCAACTCCAAGTGCCCTAGTTGGTGGACATAGCTCGGCCGAAGGTCGGCCTAACGTGGATTTGCTTGAGCTCCGGACTCCGTACGGGCATGTGGCCGAGCTCAAAGGTCCGAGTGCCGATGACTGAAGCACAGCGGCAACGTCTGTCTGACTGGTCTGTCTGACTGGTCTGTGGGAGCAACTGCATACATAGGTAGTAGATCCTTTGGTTACAGTTACTACCTACCTAGGCACAGAAAAGCATGTGACGCTCCGAATTGAACTGAGCCGTAAAGTTAATGCCTTCAGCTACCTACGTACTATTGAAAAGCCCTGCATCATACATTCCATACACAACCCTAATGAAACTCAGTCCCATGCTGAGAATGAAACCCAAAGCATACACTGGAGATAGCCAAACCGCTACTACCTAAAGGCCATAATATGGCTCATTCCATAGCTACAAGGTAGCTTCCTTCCCTCCCCCAAAAAGCGATCCGAAAACTGCTGCCCAGAATCCTCAAGCCAATCAAGCATCACTCACTGCCTTCCTTCAGCATCTCTGCCACCTCGGCGTCTATCTCCCCATCATTTCCGAGATCGGGGAAATCGCCACCATCATCCAATCGTCGCCGTTTATTAGATCCGTTGGTTGATATGGGCAGCGACTGGGTGTAGGTTGAGGGCGCGGTGGATGATGGCTCGGTTGCTGGGACGTCCTCCGAGGGCCTGACGTCCTCATCATACTCGATATCATCTGGTCTAGTATCCTCAAAGTCATCGTCCATAGCCGGCGGTGTTAGAGCCTCCATCTCTGGCCGATCGAGCTCAGTAGGGGGGTTGCCAGATTCTCCCTCTGCATGTGCTCCGTTGCCATCCGCAGGCCCCAGAGCTCTCATGATGGCCACCTCGACCTGCTGCTTCTTCTCTTCAATCTCTCGTTTGCGGCCCGACAGCTCAGAGGCCGCATTCTTTTCATTTTCCAGGGCGGCTCTGTTTGAATCCAGCATCTTCTCCAATCCCGAGATCAAACTCTCTCGGGCCTTGACACACTCAGCTACCGCACTTTCGGCGCTCGCAAGTGTCTTGAGCAACCCATTGAGGCGAGCTGCATAAACTGGCGCTGATGGAGCTGGTACTGTAGGATCGACTTGTTTTTCATACTCTGAGCTTGCGGAAGCAATCGTAGTCTTTAATGGCACGCTTAGCTTTGTCACCGTCTGATGAGCAGACACAAGAGGCGTGAATTCCGAAGGCACAAGGGCAGATGATCCAAATGGTGAACCTCCGAACCCGGGCTTAACGGATCCGCGAGCTTTATCCAATTCTGCTTTCGAAATTAGCACCCACCAACAACTAGAAAGACACTCCAAAGACACATACCATTTAGACGAGCCTCGATAGCTGCCTGAATTGGCGCCTCAAAAATAACCCTGTCTTTCCAGACATCAATGACACGCCGCAGTTTGGCCTGAATCTCAGCTGGTGCTCCTTTATAGGCTACCGCGGCTGCTTCTGCTATAACCGGGGAGAAGGCGATGATAAAGTCCTCCTTATGGCGGATTCTAGACTGTTGCGTAACCTCTTTCCACGAGTATTAGCATTTGTCGTTGCATCAAAAAGTGGTGTATCCTTCTTGAATGTCAGGGATTTGTATCATAATTGTAGAATGCATACCATTTGCAAGGTAAACCAGGCTCAGTCGTTTCGTGCTAGATGAATCTTTAAGCCGCTGCATCCAGAGCGCCACAGTGCGATCTGCGTGCCGCCTAAAACATTTACTCTGTCAGTATCTCTGTTGCATCCGACATAAAGTTGCTCATCTTCAAAAGAGGCTGCATACCTATGAAACATGATCCACTGGGCTGCTGTTGCAATGCTATCATGGCTCTCGTTGAGCGCTGACAGACGCGCCAACACAGAGTCGTCGTTGTACGCCATTATTACGACCAGATGCCTGATGCTTGATTGCAGTCTGCGTATGAGGCTGAAGTAAAGACACGCACGGCGTTCACCACTTTTTTCTACGGGCGACGTGCCTTACTAGAGTAGATTGGCCTTGCGACGCGATTGAAAAGGTCTACAGCAAGCAGTGGATCTTGGCCTTGGAGCTCAAACTGCAAGCTTGCGATCAGCTAGTGGGTGTGCAATTGAGACAGATCGGGCCTGTGGCGGGAGACCAGCAGCTGTCTGCTAAATCAACAGTCCAACACGGAGAAGACAAGTAAAAATAAAAATGGTCGTGGTTAAACACGTATCAGCCAAAAGTATCCGACATCAAAGAAGAAACTTTGTCGAGAGCTGAATGACTGCTTGGGAGATATTGCCTATAGTAGGTCTGTCGAAACACCGGATAAGTGCAACTGCTAGCGTGCCTGTACCGCATTATGCAATATTCTAGCGCAGAGCTGCGTCTCAGGTGGCCTCACCGCCCGGCAGAATACGGCAGCAGTAACCAGGGACAACAGGGAACAGATGGTCACTGCTAGCGACTTCCTTGCGCAAGCTGAGAGCAACACCAACCTTACACACTCCTTTGTCTGGATTTGCCGTTTGCGCTCTGCTGTGGCAACGAACTGCTTTTTTCACGAATCTCGTTTCTTCTACAATAATTCAACATGGCTGACCGATTCCCCTCGCTCGAGGACTTCGATTCCGGAGGTAAGCTCCTGAACGCACCCGGCCACCTTGGACCCAAGTTAACCACTGCTTGCCAGCGCAAACCGATATCAAGGAAGTTTCCGACGAGCCCTCTGCTGAAGACTTTCTCGCCAGAGAAAAGGCACTTCTAGGAGATGATGCGAACCAGTTCACGACAAGTGATGACGCAAACGCATTAGCCGATGTTGGTGGAGATCTCCTGGGAGAGAGCAACGCCGCGCAATCGACCTTTGAGTCCCAATTTCCAGACCTGGCCAATCCAGCTGCTGTGGGTATACGTCGAATGCTCAGGCGAATTCCGAAACGCTAACAAGACTCGTCATCCAGGGCTTAGCGGGTGTGGATGGAAACATCATGACCGGCCCGTCCGTCAGCTACAACTCGGGTTTCCAGTCATATGCTGTCGATGAGGAGGAGCCAGAAGTCATCAAGCAGTGGCGAGAGGCTCGCGACGCGCAGATTGCGAAGAGATCCGAGCAGTTCGCCGCTCAACGAGAGGAGACCATACAAGAAGCTCAACGCAATATCGATGACTTTTATGATAACTACAATTCCAAGAAAGAAAAGGGCATTGCGCAGACACGAAAAGAAGCGGAGGAATTCCTTGCGAACAGGGAGGACACCGTTTCTGGCGGCACCAGCTGGGACCGCATTGCAAAGCTCGTGGATGTCAGCGGAAAGGGGGCCAAGGGCGGAGCCGCCGGATCTGGCAAAGAGCGTTTCCGTGAAATGCTGGTGAGCCTTCGCAAGGACGAGAAGGCTCCTGGCGCAACTGGCTACTAATATCAGGTGGACCGAGGTTACAACCAATATAGTGGCATTTTGGTGCCTGGGCAACGAAGGGCCGGAATTCTGACATGCGGTACATTTGATTTGCATTTTTTTTTCTACCACGAAAGAATCGGAGTGGCACAATGGATTAATGGCTTCGCATAATTGAACAAGGAAAAGAAAAACATGAATAAAGACAAGCTAGACGAACTCGACCAGGAACAAGGTGATCCAAGGCAGCGGACATGTGAGAGACGGACTGACAAATCCTATATTTACTGTCTATAAGACTTTAAACTCATACATTCCTCCAATCCTGCATTTGACGCAAATTGGGGTAACTCAATTGGCTCGTCCCATAGATGCCGGCACTTTACTCCTTGCTGAACCAGGTGTTGTGGCCAGCAACCTTTCGGCTAGCAGCGTACAGGGTAGCTATGACTGTTTAGCTTTGGTTTCGTAGCTTTTATATCGACCAACTCACCTCCGAAACCTCCCCAGAGGGCGACGAGGTAGGGGGCCATGTACCAGTTGCTTCGGGGGTTCTGTCGCTGCGTTAGTATAGCTCGAGCTTCGCGATCGCTAATTCGTGCATACAATCTTCCACAGGCGGGTGTGAGCCTTGTACGCAGCCTGGTAGAAGCGCTGGTGCTCCGTCACCCTGTTCTTGGCGTCGATCATACTATGGCACATCGTCAGTCGAGGTTCTCCAAGCTATGCGCATCGGGAAAACCCTGCGCAATCCGGCTGCAGGCGGACAGCAATTGGGCGCCTTCGCATGCGTCGCTTGAAGAGAGGAGCTTACCCCATTTTGGCGGTTGGAATGAAGATGCGTGTAGGTCTTCGTTTGAAAAGTGCTTCGTGGTGGAGTGATCTTGTAGTCGGGATGTCAGAAGAAGCCTTGGTTAGAGAAATGAGGCCATATTCTAGCTCAAAGTGGGTAGCTAGATGACTCAGCAACCAGCCCATGCCTTAGCATGCGCGCACAAAGTGGAAGTGGGCAAGTGGGATGTGTTGGGGTACGTACCTCTCTAGCAGCTCAGGAACCGCCAATTACATGCGTTGGTGTGAATATCACGGCCTAGTAGGATAAAAAGTGAAGCCTTGCCATCTCCAGACTTGCGGCTGCGGCACAGCGTCTTTGATGGCATCTTGACACCCGACGATACGCCATAGCTGAGCGGCTTGATGTGGTGATATGCCTCAGCAGTCGGCAGCTGGCTGGAGACAATCCCAGGAATGCGAGGAGCCGTGAAATTTACATCCAATCGGCCATCATCGACTCGATTCCTCCCCAGGCTTTCGCATGCGCCGCCCGCGAGGCTACGACGCTATTCCCAGCACTCGTCTGCCCTAGCTCGCCTATCTATTACTCCAAGGAAGGAAAGTATTCTGCATCAGGCTCCTGGAGTCGCTCCTAGAAGCCCTGGTTGGAATCAATGGCGAGCACTCTCTGCTGGGAATCCGAGTTCCTTGCTGCAGCCATCACAATGGAGAGAATACGGGAGTCTAGGGCAGGCGCGGCAGCGACATGATGCATCTTCGGACCTCCTGTCATCGAACGAAGCCCTCGCGGCAAGAATCAATAAGAGTCTTCAAGAGGCAGAGATTGAAATCCAACCATACGATGCCGCCACATGGGAGGCCGTCTGCGATATATTATCTGACAAGCATGGGTCTGACGGGGTCTGGGCGGTTTTTCAAGCTATTTGGTACCGGGAGAAACACGATACCATCGCATTTAGCGATGCCGAGCCTCTGCGTGGTAAGATTTTATTAGCTGCGCTGGGTTCGGATTCACGGCTCTCTGTGCTCTTCACAGCAGCCCAGCAACTGCTGGCACAGAACAGTTTCCAATGGCCCGATTTATACACGACAATTGTTCGATTTTTCCTGGAACGTGGCGAATATGAAGAGGCAATTCGCTGGGATCAGCGGTTGAGCCCCATCTTTCCACCTGGGGCGGATGAATTTGGAGCTTTGCTGGCAACCTTTGTTATTAAGCCCACTCCTGAGATGCAAAGCACCTTGACGACGCTTTATGTATCAAGTGCCAACCGTCAATTATATGACTATATCATACCAGCTCTCTACTCTTCTGGTCAGTCGAAGTTGGCCCGTACCTGGCGCAAAAAACTAGTCGTGTTCAAGGATGTTCCATTGACATCTAATTCTCGGCCGTTTCTACTATTTCTTGCCAGCTACTATCCGCATATACAGCTCACAGAGAGTGAACTAGCTGTTGCCGAGCTCGACCGCCAAAAATTAGCTGCTGAAGCTGACGACGATGAGTCGTTCCCCGAAAACGATAGAAAGAGAATCAACAAAAGGGGCACCCACAGCGACGCTCTCGTTGCAAAGTGGTTTGCGAGTACATGGACATCCGTCGAGTTTGCCATCAACTTTATATATAAGCTCGGAGTTCGCACAATTGGACCTCGCTCTCTACAATCTCTTGCGCTGCGAGACCCAGACGCCAAGGAAGTTGCGGCTCGTATAGACCAGGTCGAGAGGCTGGGGATCAGAATATCCTCTCAGTCATATTGCAAGATTCTTGTTTCATTTGCAAGGAATGGGGCAGACGATTTGCTAATGGATCTACTCCATTGCGATATTCACCCGGATGAATTTGAAGATATGGAAACTCGACACTCCCTTATGGCTGAGGCTGCGAGGACCGGGGATTGGAAGATGGAGCGACTCCTCCAGGGTATCGAATGGGCAATCGAGACTGGACCAACATCTCGACGTCTCAATTCACTGCTCAGGAGCGAGCTTTCCAAGCGGAGTTTGGGCAAAGCGAAGGAGGTCCTTGATCGTATGGAAGCGCTGAAAATCAGCATGGCCCAAGCCAGTGCAACTGGACTCCTTAAGCGTGTTTTCTGGAAGCTCGACTCTCATCCTCCCCGATCGCAAAGACCTCTACACAGAGACCACGGATTCAATGATTCCGATGATCCTATTTTGGACCGAGCCCTCAACGTCATCCGACGCATTTCTTGCCATGACGTCGCCATTCCTACAAGATATTGGAAAACTCTCCTCTACAAACTGGGACGCTCGAGGCGTCTTGACGAGCTCGACCAGCTAAGCTTGGAAATCATGCAATTCTACACTCCTCCTTACGGAGGGCTGGTTCCGGTGCATCGGGAAGACTTGCCGAAGCACTTCAACACCGAGGAAAAGGAGTATATAGCTGCCGACTTGCCATTCGTCCACCATCACCACCCCATTCGGCTGATATTCGACCCCTCGCTACAGCGCTCTATCGTGAGATGGGGATTCGACCAGACGCTGGCAACTAAACCCCGGCAACCAACCTCTCACACACATCTACAGACTGCAAACTTTTCGCAATTTGATGTCGCCCGCGGAGTTCGCTTATTGGCTACACTACGAGATCAGGGGGCTTTGATTGACACGCAGGTTGTGCGCTCGAGTGTCATCTCTCGTATCGCTACCGGAATGGTCCCCGGACGACCTAGGCATCGAGCGAGAGACAGCGTTGAATTCTCTATGGAGAGTCTGATGGGTCTGGTTGAGAAGGCGTGGGGTTCAGAAATGTTCCCTGATATGCCGAGAGTGAAGCAAGAAGTCGAATCTCGGAAATCAAAGCTATGGAACCAATATCCGAGGTTAATCGACAAGACATTCGATAAAAACGGCACATGAGGGGGGAAGGGCGATGGAGCAAATAACACTTGGATAGAATCTATTTTGGGGCACACGCAGGAGATGCCCTTTGTACAATATCTACAGAAACTTGTAAATAAATAAAATCTAATCAAAAACCAGTAACTCCAGGTGCATCATTGATTTTCCTGGGCAGCATTACTTCACTCCCATGTTGATACATATGATCATACGTCATGAAGCAATATGACCATCAACCGCTTGTCAAAACGCCGCGCTGAGCCGCAGTTGTCAGAACAGAAGAGAGATGGAGCCCGGCCTCTGCCCTGACTGCAGCATCGTCTGTCCATACAACGCCGATTACCCTTCCATCTCTCTCCGCAATCTTTTTCTTCTTCCTCTTCTCAACCTAACCTAACCCCAACTATTTACTCCCTATTCTTCTTTGGTTTGACCATGAGCAGAATGAATAGACCAGCAACCAATAGTAACAGCAGGAGGATAATCTTCCTCTTGATGCTCCGTTTCTGATAGCCCGAAGCTATAACCAGCTCCTTATCGGCAGCCTTGACCTCTGTATTCATGCGCTCAACGTTGTAGTCGATTCGGTCCAACATGGTCCCCTGATCAATGATCATTGTCTGGAGGTCACGGAAAAGATCCGACAGCTCGATGATGCCCTGTGCAATTTCCTCGATTTCCCGCTCCCGCTGGGCAATGGCAGCGTCGTTTGAGTGCAGCGTCTTCTGCTGCATCGCGACCTGCAGCGTGGATTGCGAAAAGGAGCGGTCGGCGTCGGATTCCTGCAGTGACGGGTCCATGTAGGAAGAGCCGGGCATTGGCGACGTCGGGCGATCGATGGGGCTGACGGCGCCGAGGCCACCCATTCCGCGAAGTTCTGCAAAGTACACACGAGGTTAGCATTGTGTTGGGACGAGGAGATGGCATTGAGACGGACTCTTGAGGTATGCGCTCTGCTTCTTTCGAAAGTTTGCGCTTGCTTCCTGGACCCTTGTGGCTAGGGATATCTGTATGTTTTTCGCCATGGTCTCCTCCGCTCTGGTGATGGTGCCTGATTGCGTCGACTCGCGGACCATGTGCTCGACCTTTTGGATTCGCTGGTGGCACTGGTGGAAGCCCTTTGTGATCTCTTGTGTGAGCCTCTCGATCTGGACCTCTTCTTTCCTCTTGGCTTCGTCATCGTCGAACCCAGGAAGAACGTGTGTCTGGTGCAGCTTGTCCAGACGCTGACTTTTCGTGGCAATCTCAGCGAGTATCTCCGTAATCTCGTCCGAAACGTCGGTCCATCGTGGAGGCAAAAGGTCCATCTCAATTACAGCGTCGCCATCATCTTCGAATGCGCCGCTCGACAGCAGCCCGCGCCGATCCTCGGGCGCAAAGCTGCTGGTGGAGTATGCATCCGAGAAGCCTCCAGAGGCATATTTGGATCGCTGGTTGGGATGATGGGCGTACGACTGGCGGTAGGAGATGTAGCTACGGGGTTTCCGGGTCAGACACACAGATATGACAGAACAGACGTACTCCAATAAACGGATAGGTGTTCGCATGGAGCTGCAGGGCACACGTACAGATTTGTGCGGTCGCGCCACATGGCGGACGCTGGGGGGCGTCTGGAGGCCTGTCAGGACGGGAATGGATCAAGGATGAATCGAGGGCCTTGGATGCGGACGCAAGATTCCGGGATTCAGGTGATGACGGGCATTATCGAGTGCTGAGTATCGACATGCACCACTGGCGAAGCTGGTTGCATTACGACACTGCACTAAACCGGGAGCAAGGCCTCTGGCGGTTTGCGCACTGGGCACTAGCCGGAAGCGAGCAGATGTAAGTGCAGGTTTCAGAGCTCCCGCCAATGAAGCTGCAGCCTCACACGGTGTTTACACGTGTCATGATACGCCGCCCAGCACTCGTACCTCCTGCTAGCACTCAGGCATGCAACTGTAGATACGTAGATAGTAGCCTCCTCAGAGCTGCTAGGCGATACTGTGTGCCTGTGATCATGGCATCATGACCTTCAGCTCCCGCCAGAACGGCGCCCGATGGTCGGTACAGTGCGAATCTTGCCGAGCCGCCTCTTGGGCCTCCGAGACAGCCCCCCATGTGCTGCCAGTCCTACTGGCGCTGGTCCTACAGGGCACCACAGGATAGGCCAGCCCAGTCCTAGCCGCAGGATTAGTACTGTATGCTGATTCTGCCTTACGGGGTCCCCTGACATTTATATCGGTCTTTCTCTCCCCACGTCAACGACACGACCACAAGCAAAAAGCTCCCACTTTCGCCTAGGCGCATCCAACGTTGTCGTTATAAGTCGAGTCTCTGGACCTCTCCGAGTCTCGGATTCTTCACTCCCTCTTCACTCTTTCTTTGCTCTCCATAACCCCTATTCACAATGGTAAGTGGCGCGCAGATGCCCTCGGCCGACTGTCTCAGGCGCAACCCCGCGACCGTTGAGGGGCTACCCCCAAATTCTCAGGAGCTTTTGTGTGACTAACCCGCGAGCCCGCAACAGGCTGATTCTCTTACCGAAGAGCAGGTCTCTGAGTTCAAGGAGGCCTTCTCTCTCTTTGTGAGTCTCTTTGCTCATTTCTTGTGGCAATTCCGGCTGTTTGAGTGCTAACCCAGCGGCTACAGGACAAGGACGGTGATGGTACGTAGCAGCGGGTGACGCGACACCACCCTCCCCCCCTTTTGCGAACAGGCACCAGAGCACCGAATAATCTGCTGCCGACCGATATTTCCCTTGCCAGCCCGTTTCATGATATGTGAGCAAAGAAAAAAAAACTGACAGGCTTGACCCCGCAGGCCAGATCACCACCAAGGAGCTGGGCACCGTGATGCGCTCTCTGGGCCAGAACCCCTCCGAGTCAGAGCTGCAGGACATGATCAACGAGGTCGATGCCGACAACAACGGATCTATCGATTTCCCTGGTATGTCAAATAGTCGAAATGTTTGGTCGTTACCCATGTGGGCTAATATGGAGCGGTGTAGAATTCCTGACCATGATGGCACGAAAGATGAAGGACACTGATTCCGAGGAGGAGATCCGAGAGGCATTCAAGGTTTGTTCATGACACTCGTGTCTACTTTATTTTACCCTGTATGCTAACGTATGCGCCCAGGTCTTTGACCGCGACAACAACGGCTTCATCTCAGCCGCCGAGCTGCGCCATGTCATGACATCCATCGGCGAGAAGCTCACCGACGATGAGGTCGATGAGATGATTCGTGAGGCCGATCAGGACGGTGATGGCCGAATTGATTGTGAGTTTATGACGGAAAAAGATATATTTGATTGGATATCAGCTAACGTATCCGCGCAGACAATGAGTTTGTCCAGCTTATGATGCAAAAATAAGGGATTGTGTCTGGAGTTATTTGCGACTAAGCCAACTGTTCAGCCATATTAGAGGCCATGAATATGGTTAATCCTTGCGGCGAGATCAAGGCGTTAGCACGCTCACAACCTGTTGCTTGAGAAAATCAATTAGTCGACTTTGTTCCTTTTATTGCTGTCATGTCTACGGGCGATTCTCGAAGTTGCTGGGATGTTGAGAGTCGTGATGTTCAGTTCTGGTAGCTGTCCAGGTAGATATAGGTACCCTGGACCTTTTTATGCATACTGTCAAATTCCCAATAGCTCGCCGCGAAGAGTTGGTTCTTGCAGTGCAGTGATTTGATAAGCCGCAAGAGCTGTTTCAGTAGGAGGTTATGTCTAGCACTTGGATCATATGAGTAGAATCACGTTCTATGTTGGGTTCGACCAGCTACAGCAAATGACATTTAACCATGGAGGTACGAGTCACGCCAATTACAGAAACTGTAAATCACGCCGGATAAATGCCTTAGTAGATTTAGTAGATAACAAATAAGGATCCCAGTAAACGAGAACTACAGCATAACAAGCAAATACAATCTGTAGACCCGACTTGGAAGGTTTTGACAACAACTGGGTATAAGACCAGATACGTTGTTGTATACAGCGGTTGAAGCATTCTTTGACAGTGTTTGCAGTTAGAACATATGAGCGTTTAATGATGTCAGCCGATGAAACTACTTTGGTCATGAGATGAGGCAGAAGAGGGGATAACAGAGATGGCTGCTGGCTTTGCACCGGATTTGTGTGGAAGTATACAAATAAGTTCTGCCGTGTAACCATAGCACTTTGCATGCTGGTCTCATTTACTTCGTTCTTATCGCTGACTGGTTGTTTATTTGCATAACAAGATAAATGATAGTAATAATACATAGGGAGCCATATCATTTCAGTTTTCTACATATCGTTCAGCTATGACTGCCTAGACCAAAATATCGTCTAATTCTGTGTCAAGTTGCAGCAGCCTCAAGGATAGGTCATTTCGCACCTATAAACCGGCATGCCCCGATAAGTGAATTGCTGGTGCCAAGCTCGGACAGGTCATGTACCTTGAAACACGGGGTACCTCGCGCCAAGTGTAGTGTCGCCCAAGCCAAGGTACTGGCGAATCCAGGGTACCGGAGCCTTGCCGGGCCATTGCTTTTTCCGCTCGTTGCCTTGGCCATGATGCAGCGTGGCCTGCCCCACGTAGTGCAGCTGGATCCAGGCACTTGCAAGTGGTCCAGGATAGGGAGCGGTGCTTGGTGGCATTGCGATTGATTCCACGTTCCGCCTACAAGTAAGCTCTCCAGCTCATCGTCGACGCTCGCCGTCTTTTCGCCAGACGTCAGCGCTAACCGGCTCTCTGATCTGTGAAGCCTCTCCCTAGTTTGTATATGGGAGCCTGCGAATTGCTGCACTGCTGGCACCACCGCTCATCCACCGCCTGCGGATCCTTTGATAATAGTGTGTGAGACGACCTAGTCGCCGGGTCGTGCTCTGTCCTCAAGATGAGTTCCTGTACGCAGCTCTCACTATCTGGTGCTTGCCTTGTGTGGTTCTGATGGCTGACGTCTGGTGTCAACAGTAAAACAATTCATCCGCAACGTGCGTGCGGCCAAGACGATTGCAGACGAGCGAGCCGTCATCCAGAAAGAGAGCGCCGCGATCAGAGCCAGCTTCCGCGAGGAGGGCCACGACCATAGCATACGGTGGGTTTCTGATTGATGTCGACGTTTTGCGCATCCGGACAGTGAACAAGAATGCTCATGAGCAACTGGGACAGGCGTAACAATGTCGCGAAACTGCTCTACCTCTTTACCCTCGGCGAGCGAACCCACTTCGGCCAGGTCGAATGCCTGAAGCTCCTGGCGTCCCCGCGGTTTGCGGACAAGCGCCTCGGCCATCTTGCCACGAGTTTACTGCTCGACGAAAAGCAGGAGGTCCTGACACTGGTGACCAACTCGTTGAAGAAGTAAATCATCCCCTATAAGATCCATAGCAGCAGCAGCACACAGGCTCTAACCACGTGTCTAGCGATTTGAGCCACTCGAACCAATATGTTGTCGGACTCGCCCTCTGCACCCTCGGAAACATTGCGTCTGATGAAATGTCGAGAGATCTGTTCCCCGAGATTGAGAATTTGATTTCAACCGCGAATCCATACATCAGGAGGAAGGCTGCCCTCTGCGCCATGCGGATATGTCGCAAGGTTCCAGATCTCCAGGAGCATTTCATCGAAAAGGCTACCGCGCTTCTCTCCGATAGAAACCACGGTGTTCTTCTTTGTGGACTGACTCTGGTTACGAGTCTATGCGAGGCGGACGAGGAAGAAGGAGGCGAGGAGGGCATGGTTGAGAAGTTCAGGGCATTTGTACCCGGGCTGGTCAAGACGTTGAAGGGTCTTTCGACGTCAGGATACGCCCCAGAGCACGATGTCACGGGCATAACCGACCCCTTCCTGCAGGTCAAGCTGCTGCGGTTGCTGAGAGTGCTGGCCGTCGGCGACGCCCATACGAGCGAGCAGATCAACGATATTTTGGCACAAGTCGCGACCAACACCGACTCATCCAAGAACGTTGGAAACTCGATTCTTTACGAGGCCGTTCTCACCATTCTGGACATCGAAGCCGACTCAGGTCTGAGAGTTCTTGGTGTGAATATCCTGGGCAAATTCCTTACCAACCGTGACAACAACGTCCGCTACGTCGCGCTCAATACCCTTATCAAGGTGGTTGCCATTGAGCCTAATGCGGTTCAGAGGCACCGAAACACCATCTTGGAATGTCTTCGGGATCCCGATATCAGCATAAGGAGGAGGGCTCTCGACCTGAGCTTCACCCTCATCAACGAATCCAACGTCCGGGTGCTCATCAGGGAGCTGTTGGCCTTTTTGGAGGTTGCAGACAACGAGTTCAAACCGACCATGACTAGCCAGATTGGAATTGCAGCCGATAAATATGCCCCGAACAAGCGATGGCACTTTGACACCATGCTGCGAGTCTTGTCACTGGCCGGCAACTACGTCAAGGAACAGATTCTCTCGTCGTTCATCCGACTCATTGCCACCACCCAGGAGCTCCAGACGTACGCTGTGCAGAAGCTGTATACCAACCTTAAGAAAGACATTACTCAAGAAAGTTTGACGCAGGCTGGAGCATGGTGCATTGGTGAGTATGGCGATGCACTGCTCAAGGGCGGGCAGTATGAAGAGGAGGAACTTGTCCAGGAGGTCAAGGAAAGTGAGGTTGTCGACCTGTTTTCCCTCATCCTCAACAGCAGCTACGCCACGCAGGTGACTACAGAGTACATCGTCACAGCTCTCATGAAGCTTAGCACACGATTCTCCGATGCTGCTCAGGTGGAAAAGGTACGGCGCATCCTGCAAACGCACCAGACCAGCTTGGACGTGGAGGTTCAGCAGCGAGCTGTTGAATACGGCAACCTGTTTTCGTTTGACCAGGTCCGCCGGGGTGTGCTTGAGAAGATGCCACCTCCGCAGATCAAGGAGGAGTCTAGAGTGCTCGGTCGGGCCCCTTCAAAGAAGGCCAAGAACGCCAACAGAAAATCCAAAATCCTCAAGCCTACCGAGCAGGATCTTTTGGATATCATGGATTCGCCGGCCGCCATTGCTGCGCCAACAAATGGATCCCAGGCGACAAACTCAGATCTCCTTGCCGACATTCTTGGCGGATCATCATCGCCCACTTCTGGCTCCCCTGCGCCTCAGCAGTCCAACATTTCCTCCATCATGGACCTCTTTGGCCCAGGGCCAGCCGCCCAGAGCCCGCCTGCATCCGCTCCTGCTTCGGCCGGCCTGGACATCCTGTCTGCCGCGGCATCCTCACCACCACCCCAGCAGCCGCAGTCACCAGCGCCCCAAGGCCAAACATGGCTTCCGTGCTACAATGCCAATGACCTCAACGTGACCATGCAGGTTCAGCGCAACGCGGCGGGACTCATCCAAGCCGTGGCTCGATTCCAGAACACCTCTGGGTCGGTGTCCCTATCCGGTGCCGGATTACAGGCAGCTGTTCCGAAGACTCAGAAGCTGCAGCTCCTACCCATCTCATCCGAGGAGATTGGACCTGGATCCGATACTACTCAGGTAATGAGAGTATCTGGTTGTAAGGGGGTAAGTACTTTTCCGCAATCCTTCCAAGTTATACTGTCCTTGAATGTCCACGTACTGACAGATGTTAATCACAGCCACTACGATTGCGACTACGTATCGCATTCAACCACCCCCAGGCAGGAGCAGTAGTGGACCAGGTGAATTGGTCGGAGCAGTCGTAAACAGATGGATTCTTTGCAGCGAGCGGCTACGTTACTGGAGGCTATTGAGGCTTAATATGGAACATAAATATGGAGGTATTTGGTGAAGGGGTTGTAGATATCAAAAATCACAGGGAGTATAAATGTAGGGCGATCTGAGGTTGAGATAGGCATAATTACGTAGGAGGCATCAATGAGAGTTGGTTTACTCTGTATGTGTAGTTTCAGGCCGAGGATGTTGATTTTGTAGTATACACAATACCATATTGCAATATAATTCTACAATGTAGTACATCAATTATACAGTCCTCCGTCCACTCCTCAATCCATTCGCCGTCCGCAACGCACACTCCGACATTTTATAAGAGATGAGTGCACTAGAAGCAGGTATACACAGAATAATAGCTTGTGTTAGATATGCCTAAATCGTGCGGTTTCACAACAGTCTCAAGGCAATAGTGACACTTTCAGTGCAAGGCAGTGAGATTTCTACTACTTCAAATATGCTTTCCAAAGGTACATGTTGTCCATATCCAGCTGAGCAGCCCCCTCTGACAAAACCATTTCCTGAAGTTTATGCCTGCCGTTTCCCCCGGTCTGCCAATATGATATTGGCTCAAGTATTCAATCTCCTGATTGGTGTTTTGCAAGGTTTGACGAATGTAGCCACCATCATGCATAGGCCATTGGAAGAGCCATGCACTCTTACAAGCAAATACCAAGGCAGTCAGCACCGCCTTTTGTCGGATCGCAGCCATCATTTGGAGTGTCATAGCACGTGAAGAACGCTGGACACCGTTTCCCGGTAATCCCTCCACAGGATGGGGCATTGTTAGGTACGCAGATACCAGGTCTTCCGCATTTCAATCCACAGTTGTCTGGTGTTCGAAGGTCATCTTTACAAGTCCAGGACGCAGGGCATTTATGTGGATTCGGACCACGTCCTCCACAGGCGAGATAAGGGTATTTAAATGGTGTAATTGCGAGGCCAAGACTTGCAAGGCTAAGGATCATGATGGAGAGGTAGTTGGCAAGCATTGTAGATGCGTTATATGTAAAGGTAGTGTTATTGGATTTGTATGGTATGGTTGAACTTTGAAAGGGCCTGGCAATCTGGTTCCGTAGTTAGATCCATCATCCTTTTTATACCCAGAGCAGTCCTAGACGGTTCAGTTCAGCAGAGCAGTGAAAGTGTTTTAACACGTCATATATCATATGGATATGTCAGACTTTCATTCTCTTGAGTTTGCCAAGCAAAGCAAGGAAGCAAATCTGCAAAGGTGACAGCCTGAGTGAAGTGTAGCCCCCTGCTTTGCTTCTTTAAGGGGATAAAATGCCAACGCTATACAAAGTTAATATTGAACTCGGCTGGCAATTGGCCCGTCTTACCTAGTGCTACTGCCTTGCAAGGTAGCTAAATCTCGGGCTGTTTTAGAGTATGTTTTCCATCTGTCATATGCGTATTATAGAGGTTAAATTTAGTATCAAGATGAGAGGTTCAATGCTGTAACAGCTGGTTCAATAAAAGACTAATATATGCATATTATAACGTTATTTTGTGGCGTTAGTACTTACTGAAAAAGATATGTATACTTTCTCGATGCTACTTACCTAGTAATTATAATACCTGTAAATTACTAATAATGCCCTGGCTAAATCCCGTGTCATTAATACATGAAAAAGAGCGTTTCCTTAGCTTCAAAATGATATCAAATTCTCTATATGAGAAAGCCTGCTGTAGGCACAAAAGGGCTCCCGGAGGATAATAACTAGATTCCAATTAGAAGGTCCGCATGGCTGTGATCAATCTAGCTGACCTCGAACGGCCTGGTTGACCTTGATCAAACTAACTAGGTGACCTCATTCTATTAAGGAAACCTTAATCGATCCGGCTGACCTTGAATAACCCGGCTGACCTTGATCAAACTAGTTGACCACGGTCGGTGCAGTAGCTTTGCTTGCCCTTATGAATGCCTTTAGCGGGTATCAGACTTGCATTAGAGTAAACTGTCTTGGATTCTTAGCCAAGCTTGCCAAGGTATTACTGCCATCTACACCGTCGATTGCTATGTAGTACCCCAAGTATCCCCAGCAATTTCTATAGACGTATTTATTAATTTATTTACTTATTTATTTCATAAGAAAAAGAAGCGCACCGGGAGCTCCATTTGCACAGAATAGTTACATAGTATCTACTGCCTCGTATATCATCTTGATGATAAGACTTCGGGTTAGCTCCGGAGATGGCGTCACCAGAGCCGTCGATCTGCCTCTTTAGGAAATAGAGATACGAGCTGTGCGACTTCAAGTCTGCATCTCAACGGGGACGAAACGAAACCCCTGCATCCAAAAACCAAGCAAATTTGATGCTCAGGCGAATCTCGTCAAGCCGGTGTCCTGCGCAATTGGTTTCCGGCCCGCTGCGGTGTAACAGATCGGCGTTTGCTTCGTCATTTGGTGGGACGGCGGTTTGGAGGATGGCGGCAAAGGGAAGGGAGGGGCATCTTGAGAGGACGGCGGGTGAGCCGAGAGATGCGGTAAAGAAAGATCCCTTTGCATCGTTTTTGGTTTGTTTGTTTGTTTGAATTGAATTGAATTGGGGGAGTTTCATTATGAGAGATTGGCATGATTGTTTGGATGGTCGATTATGTGCTCATTGTTGATGTCGTTAGGATCTTCATGAGGTGCGGCTGGGTCGGATTGACCAGGTCAATGAGAGGGTGAGGCTGTTTCGTCTGGATCTTGTATCAGGCCCGGCCAAAGTAAGTCAGCTCATCTTCTCTATTTCTTCTATCTATGCATTAAACAAAATAATTAAAATAAATTTAGTTCCTGCCCGGCCAATGGCTCGACACATACATCCCCGGCGTCGCCAAAGCAGGCGGCTTCACCATCACTTCCGCCCCCTCAGCCGCCCTCGCAAATCCCGAGCCATATCTCGAGCTGGCGGTGCAAGAGTCGCCCGACAACGAGCCCGCGGCGTGGCTCTGGCGTCCCGTGGATGAGATCCTGGGCGAGACGCTGCGCGTTCGTGTCGGCGGCAAGTTTGTCTTTCCGCCGGGAGATGGTGTGCCGAACAAGGTGGTTTTTGTTGCTGGTGGCGTGGGCGTGAATCCTCTGATTAGCATGTTGAGTTATATAGCGGAGGGCCATGGACGGGGCGTTGGTGATGTGAGGTTCCTTTATGCAAGCAAGCTTCCAAGAAACGGGAAACTCTTGGATATCGTCTTCCTTGATAGGATCACGGGATTGTTTGGGGAGGGGAAAGTAAAGGGCGAGGTGAAGCTATACGTTACAGCGGCTGGAGACGCGGTCTCTCAGGGGACGACGAGTATCAACGGGGCTCAGGTACAGGTGCAGCCTCGGCGTCTTACGCTGGCAGATGTGGAGGCGGCAATTGGAGAGCATCGTCAAGATCAAGGGACGGTGGTGTACGTCTGTGGGCCGCCGACGATGACGGATGAGCTTGTTGAGAAGCTTGGGCCTGTCATGGATCCCCGGCGCGTTTTGACCGAGAGATGGTGGTGAAGCCTTTTTACATGTTATATATAAGATGCCTCATCATATGTAGAGTTGGATTTGTGATGGTGATATTTATAGTGTATCCATATATGTGTGCGCGACCCCAACGCTCATGGTATCATCAAACTGGCCGTCCCAATAACTTGATTTTCGCTGGTCATCATTCCTTTCCTCCTCACACAAGCACTGCCGCTACCACGGCCCATTCCTCTCGCGAACCAAGCCAATGCCACAATCCTTCATCTTTCCTATCCTTTCTCCTCCCATAGCACTCATGAGAACAAGTCCTCTGCCTTCTGTCTCCTTTTTGATCGATTCATATCCAACAGTTCCTTGCCCGCATTACCCGATCCAAACTTGCCGGGAAACAACTCCCGGGCATTAGCGGCTCCTTTGATGGAGAAACCGCTGTCTTTGCCTTGAGTGCGCTGATTGGCGACGCCCCGGATGTTAAGACCCTCGCCGGCTGGCTCGTCTGGCCGCGCAACAACCTTGGGCATGTCCTCCTCTTTCAACCGGGCTGAACCAATGGCCTCTTCGAGCTGGTCCAGTTGCCCGCCCCTATTAGACGGCTTGGTGGGGAAAAGCTCTTTCGACTTGGCGTCGCTTGCCAGGCGGCCCCTGATGGACCGGGCCTGTGTTCTATTACTTGACGAGCTGGCAAGGCCGTCCATTGCCGCGTCTCCATCATCGTCACGGCGCGGAGATGCAGATCTGCCTCTCCTGTTGCTTGATCGCCCCACTGCGCGATCTGCGAATAGCTCCTTGCCGCGATTGTTTCCTCGAGCGTTTGATCCAGAGCGATCAGACCTGTCATCCTTGGAAGACTGCGGCGCATCGTCGTACATGCTTGCCTCGAATGTTTCAACCTCCTCATCTGAATAACGTCTTCGCCGTCCTCCACCACCACCACGGTGGTCGTGGTCGCGGTCACGATATCGAGAGCGGTTTTCCTGATACCGTCGTCGTCGTTCTTCGGGGTCGTGTTCAGGATGGAGGAGGTAATATCGGCTGCGAAGGGCGGCACCAGCCTGCTTCCTGTCGGCTAGGGTAGCAAAGCGAACTTGTAGAGAAACCTCGGGCTTCCCCTCGAGTGCTTTGGCGGGAATCGTCTCTCCAATGCTCAAAGCAGTCGCATCTGCAATGTCAATAGCACTCAGAGCAACAATGGCCTCGCGGGCGGTAGGTTCGGAGTTGAAGACGAGATTCGCCGTGCTGTCGTCAATCCATTCCACCCTGTCCACATTCCCGTAGTGAGCCTTGACGTATGCTTTTATGTCGTCTGTGTGTAGGTTGTCTAGGCCTCTAATATGGATCTTTGTAGGGACAATAGTGTTTGACGCGTCGTCCTCGTTGGCTTCCCCATCATCCGCAACTTCGCCTGGCTCTTCTGGTTCGTCCGGCACTAAGATATCGTCGCCTTGCGGGATATGCTCGTGGGTCTCGTGGGTATCTTGAAAGGCGTCTGCGACGGCAGCATCATCCATATCAATGTCCAAATCCATGATTCCGAGGTGGTTTTGGCGATGGCCGAGACACGGGGAAAGGCAGGTGGCGGATAATATAAGGTGGACGGGATAAAACTCGGGGGTTGCAGAAACGGGCAAGAAATGATCCAATTGAGAGAGATGAAGACAATGGAAAGGAGAAAAAGATGATTTGGCCTCTTCCCTCTCTTCCTTTTCTCTTTGAGTTTCCAAGAACTATATGCAATGTCAAGTCAGCAGTAGAGAAAGGTCCAGGGTGAAGGGATAAGACGGGAGGGATCGCTAAGTGGCAGAAAAGCGGCTGTGAGACACGAGCGGCGGATAAGAAGCGCGGCTGGTTAGGCGGTGACGGCGCCTGTGCACAAGCGCGAGTGACAAGGGATGCAACAGAAGTACCCTCTAAGCGCGGGTACCTTCAGCGCTCTGCCGCAGCTCGTGGCTGTACCACAGCGCTGCCCCGGGGGCGCCCCAGCGTGCTTCACAGGTACCTCAGCGATGCCTCAGCGCACGAGCCCGCTGGAGAGACGCCGGGGCCTTGCGCAGTCAAGCCACCTGTGGCGGCACGAGCCCCGCGAACCCGAAAAACCCACCATGGCAATTCATCACGAAGCTCTCGCACGACTCCAGCTTGGCCTCTTTGCGACTCGCACGATTGGACCTTTTGCGGTGCTCGCTCATACAACCAGAGTGCCGCCTATTACTCATCCCATTGATTTACAGCATCATCTCCCTCCCTTCCAGAGCCGCCGTCTTTTTCAGCGCCCGCATCACCACCTCCCGCCATATCCCCCACCAACAATGTGTCGTCTCTCATAACCTGCCGATATTCCAATGTCTCAAGATCCTCGCAACGCCCTCAGCGCCCTTCTCCGGGCTGCTGACATCCAAGACCACGAACAGATTCTCAACGCCGCCAATGCCGCAATCAAGGCCGACAAGAGCGACCATGACGCCCAGCACACCAAAGTTGTCGCTCTCCTAAAGCTCGATCGCTTCGACGATGCCCTCCGTGTTATCAGCGGCGGCGGAATCAAGCTTCAGGCCACATGCATCCTTGAGCAGGCGTATGCGCTTTACAAGACCGGCAAGCTGGAAGAGGCGTCTAGCCTGCTCGAGTCCGCCGGCCTGGAGAAGCGCAGTCTTCGTCATGTTGCCGCTCAAGTCGCTTACCGAGCTGAGAAGTCGCACGAGGCCGAGATGATCTACCGGCGATTGCTGGACACAGACGCTGCCGGCGAGGAGAGCGACCTCAAGATCAACATCACCGCTGCCACTGCTCAGTCTCAATGGCTGGGAATTCCGTCCTCCAGCCCCGGCTCTATCCCCGAAACTTTAGATACCTTTGAGCTGTGCTACAACGTGGCTTGCGGCGAGCTTGCTCGAGGAAACACCAGCCTTGCCGCTACCCTGTTGCAGCGCGCTGGCATACTGTGTGATAACTCGGACGAACTCACCGACGAAGAAAAGAAGACGGAACTGCGGTCCATCCGTGCCCAGCAAGCATATCTGTTTGCCAAAATCGGGAAGCCCAGCTCAGCCTTGGAAGTGTATGAGATGTTGGGTCCTGCAACGTAAGTTTAAGACACCCCATCATATTCTTCAATGATTTCAAATCATGTCCTTTTAACACATCACCACCGCTATAGCGCTAATGATGGCCGTGACTTTGCCGTCATTACTCAAAACAACCACTTTGCCCTGGAGGAGACTGGCAACCCATTTGTACGCCAGCGCAAGGCCGAGTCTTTGATGGCATCAGCAGCCCAGAGCGACCTCTTCAGCTACCAGGCCAACATTCTCAAACGCAACAACCTAGTCATCGATCTCGGTGCCTACAAGACCAATGGTGTCGCGGACAGAACAGAAAAGATTCTCAGGCAGACAAGGCTTCCTTCGGCAAATCCGCAAATCAACGCTGCTGCCGTCGTCAACGCTGCTGCCCACGTGCAAGGATTAGACGGCAAGGAGGCGATCCGCAAACTACAAACCGTGGCTGCCAAACGTCCCAACGACGTTGGCCTCGCCTTGACTATTGTCCAGCTGCAGCTTGAGCAGCAACAAGCCGGAGCCGCTTTGACGACTCTTACCACTTTCCTCAGCGGCCTAGAGGCTTCCACGGAGGTAAACGACACAGATGTCCGTTTCAGCCCTGGTCTGGTTTCTCTCGCAGTCTCCTTGTTCCGATCACAGAAGCGAGATGCCTCAGCCAAGGCCGAGATTGTCAAGGCGGCCCAATACTGGCAGACCCGGCCATCAGCCCAGTCCGTAGGATCACTTCTTCTCGAGGCTGGAATCGAGCTCATGCGATCCTCCAAGTCAGACGACCTGCTGCTAGCTGGCGCGTCGTTTGACAAGCTCTTCCGGGAACAGCAGGGCTCTGATGTGGCATCGGCTGGGCTGGTCGCTGCCTATGCGGCGTCTGATGCATCCAAAGTTAGAGAGCATGCCGACCGGCTACCGCCCGTCAACGACTTGATCACCGGTATCGACGTGGACGAACTCTTCGAGGCCGGCGTGGCCATCACGCCCGGCAGCACCGTCTCCAAGAAGCGGCCGGCGACAGAAGTAGGCAACGCCGAAAGGGCAACCAAGCGACGGCGGAGAAAGCTGCCAAAGGACTTTGTTGAGGGCAAGACACCCGATCCGGAGAGGTGGCTGCCGCTGCGCGACAGGTCGTCGTACCGCCCCAAGGGCAAGAAGGGCAAGAAGAGGGCCGGCGAGGCCACCCAGGGAGGCATCGTCAAGGAGGAGGAGACGCTGGGGCTCGTGGGCGGAGGCGGCGTCAAGGTGGAGAAGGCGGCGGCGCCTTCGTCGAACAATAAGAAGAAGAAGAAGGGCAAGAAATAGGTCATTGGCTATCTCGACAGTAATATGCAGATGTGATGTGGTAACATGTATACATATGTATGGCAAGGAGAGATATAAGGGTGGATTGGGGATCAGGGGGGAAGAGCAGGAGTTGACGGGCTGATGTTCTATTTTTGGGCTGCTTTGGAAAAGGACAAAAAGGAGGAAGAAAGAAATAAGATATATATGAATCTACATCATCTTCTCACAGCATCACCAATCTTGTCGTCTTCATAGGGGAAGGTTATCTCTCACGTCATGAGGCGAACAACGCAACGGCAAAATGAATTACATGTGGCTTTATTTAACGCCAGTTAATCCTCCTACGAAATACATGCAGTTATATAACAAAGAAGAAGAGGAATGGGAGCCTGTGAGCTTCAACAATAGTCTATGCGTGTGATTTCGTATGGTATAAAATAAAATAGATGGTATATGTTATTTCCACGTGGCCTCATTTGGGATATATAGCCATACCGCTGTCAAGTAATTAAAAGAGAGAGAGTTAGAGAGAAAAAAGCCATGATAAAAGAAAATAAAATGGGCATTCGGGCTCAAAAAAAAAAAAAAAAAAAAAAAAAAAAATAACAGGCTGTTGGCTCAACAAAAAAGAAAAGACAAAGGAATGTGACCAGTTAGTACGCATATTGTAGTTTCCCCCTTATCAACGGGACAATGAAAATGAGAGAAGAAGGAATGAAACACACAAAGTAAAAAAGTAATAGTAGAAAATAAAAGAGACGCTGGTGATTACCAGTACAGCCCGTCATGGTCAAAAAATGTAAAAACCTCCTTTTTTTGTTCGCCTTTCACACAGCCCGTTTGCCTGCAATAATCCGCTAAATAGACATACATATTTCGCACCCTCTAAAACAAAGAATTTCTGACTACCGTTTCTTTCTATCACTTCCAAGTTCATGCGTTGACTGCCTGAAGCGGAGGGTTGGGCAGCGATTCGGAGTCGTGTGTTGACGACGCCTCTGCCTCCTCGGCTTTTTCGTTGGCTGGTTCTTGTTCCTGCGCCGGGGTTTCCGGCTTGTGCTCTAGTTTCTCGTTTTCTTCCAATTCCAGTGTGGTATCTTCATCCTCATCTACAACCGACTCGGCCTCGGCTGCCGCTGCTTCTCCTGAACCATGATCGTCTTCCTCTGTTTCCATGGGGGGCAGAGGCGACCTGCGGCCGTCAGAAAAGCTTACCGCCACTTCGCTTTCCGCATCTGAAGGAATAGCCAGCCTTCCTGCTGCGGACACGCTTCGCGCTGCCGAGTACTTTCGGTGAAGCTCGCGAAAGCTTCTCGCCGTGGCCGTGCTGGCGCTCGCGGCGGATCCTCTCCGGTCACGAGACACGCTCTGCTCCAAGGGAGCTTCAAGCACGGAGTAGAAGTCGTCGTCTTGCTCCTCGTTTAGGGCGGGGGAGGCCGGCAGGTCGGTTGACTGCCGGTAGCTCTGCTGCTGCAGCTTCCGGGCTAGAATCTGCTCCTCGTTGTTCAGGACCTGCAGCTCTGACCCCAGGTTGATGACGGAAGCCTTCTTTCCGTGGACAACGAAGCTTCCAGTTCCTCGTGCCAGCATACTGTCGCGGACATTGTCCTCTGATGACGCAGCCGGACCCGTTTCCCTGCCCCTCCTGCTCCGATGATGGGAGAGATGACCAGCACTCTCCCTGAGTGTACGTTGGAGACTGCGCCGAATCTTGCTTCTCTCGAATTTGTCTCCTGGTGTCATAGGTTCACCGGCTTCTCCGGCCGTGGACGTGATGGACTTGTCTGACGGATCTCTGCCTATTCTTCCTTCCAACAGGCCAGCCTGTTTCAAGAAATGTCGCTCCTCAGCGTCCACTTCGTCGTGTGTGTGGTTCGACTTGACCGAAGCCGCCTCATCTTCATCGTGTGGCTCGAGCTGTTGCTGCCTGCTCTGCGTTGGTTGCACGGGAGAGGGAACAATGCTTGAGACCGAGCCATGTCTGATGCTTCCAATGTCCACCTTGGGCGTTTCTTGCACTTCAAGCTGTGACAGCACTTCACTCGTTGGTCGCGTTGCCGGCGGAGATGTTGGTCTCGCCGGATCCTGCAACTCCAAGGTAAAGTCATTCTTGTCCGAGAAAAATTCAGGGTGAGCTTCTACAAGAGGCGACTGGGGAAGCTTCTCAGACATTGCCTTGGACTGGGATTCGGGACGTTTGGCCGCAGTTCCAGATGGATGTGGTGCTGAAGATACACGGCGCTCTTCAACCGAGGGCCGGACGTCAATCGAGATCTTGCTCTCGACCACTTCCCCTTCCTCTTCCAAGTCCAGAGCCAGGATATCACGGTGGCATTTCTCCTTCCAAATCTCCATTCGCGCCCACCTAAGCTGCGCAGATATGCGAGCCGCAGCCAACAGAAGTTGTTCTCTCGTCCTTGGCTGGACAGGTGCAAGTATCTGAAGGTGGCGGGCATTCCTCAACTGCTCTTCCAGAGCCTTCTTGGAGTCATCTATTTTGCGATCCGCTTCAGCAATCTTTTCCTGCATAAATTCGCGTCTCGCCAACTGGATATCCTCGGCCATCTTGTGATCGATACGGCTCCTTGCAATCGACACAAGGCCGGTTGGTGTCTCAACAAGTTGCGTGGCATCAGAGCTGTCAAGCCTCCTAAAGGCCCTGCGGCTGTGGCCATCATAGGTGCCTCCAGCAACGCCACGCATCTTGACGCCGGATGTCCCAAAGGCAGCAGCGTAGTTGAGTTTGGCCAGCCAGTCGTTGAGCTCGTTTTCGTCGTCAGCCAAAAGAACCTCGTCCAAGCCACCTTGTCGGACGTAGATGAAGGCATTCTTGTGTTTTTTGTAGGACGTATCCAGCAGAGCTACGGCGCCCTTAGTAGACATGAGAGCATCTGGCTTGAATTCTTCCAGGGGTGGCTTGAAGGTGATGGGTATCCCGTCGTGCCCGGCCTTGATATGGCTCTCGTATTGGTGCATGAGATTCTTGACCCAGCCAGTGTTGCGGAAGAAGTAGAGCTGAGCGCCTGTCAGGATAGCTCCCCACTCCTGCCACGGAGATCGTGTCTTCCTCTTTTTCGCTTCTTTCCTCCACAGGAGTCCGACCTTTGTGATTTTAATGTCGACAATGCCCGGTGCGTCGTCTGGGTTGTTCAGGGGATTGTCAGACATGAATGCGTCTGGACGAGACCTTGCGGAGACGATTTGTAAGACGCCGGTTCTAAAGAAAGTCTTTTGCAGGTCCTTCAGATTGAGAGACTGTCCCGTGCCCAAGTACTGATACTGGTCTTCCAGGGGAATAGTAGACTTGAGGTTCGGTCTCAAGACGTCCAGGTTCCCGTCAATTATAAGAGTGTAAGGATCAAGGGGCTCCTTCGCCGCCCGCTTGGCAGGGTCGCCGGGAGGGGCCGGGAGGATCTTCCGCTTTGTCTTGATGCTGCTGTGGCGCTCGCTGTTAAGGTCAAGATCATCTTCGACGTGGATAAAGGGGGTATAGCAAATGTTGTCATAGAAACATTCGAGAATCTCATCAAAAATACCCTCTCCACGGGTATTCTTGAGGTAATCAGTCTTTTGCATCTTGTGTTTGTTGTTCTTATTGAAAACGTCAGTGTGGAGGATGAGGAGAGAGAAGGCAATGAAGTATGCCTGGTCGGGCGAGGAGTAAATGCCAGGGTTGCATTCGTGGTAGCGGTTGGCAAACGCCTGCAGACATCTGTCTATCTGCTGCGTTTCCTTTGGAAGCTCAGCCTCCATTAGGAGCTTACGGATGGCCATGTCCATCGGATCTCCGAAAAAGCTAAAAGTCCTCATGAAGCTTCTCAGAGCGGCGGTTGAAAAGGCATCAGTCCCTTTGGATAGTGCGGCTGCCACGACACCACGGCTGACCATGCCTTCTATGCGAGCAATATACTTGGCGGGGGATTCGTCCTCGAAGCGCTCCGGGAGAACGATGGAATCCCTTGGCAGCTGGAGCGAGTTGCTCTTGGACGCAACGGACCCCGGCGTGGCGGGTGTAAAGGAGCCCTGCCGGCTGAGGTCAGAGTTCTGGCGAAGGCGGGTCAGGCCCAGAAGATCGCCGAAGCTCTTGCGGCCGATAGAGGTGGACGTCCGCATATTGGGGGGCGGGCCGAGGCGTTCATCGTTGGAGTCTCTACCTATGGAACTCAACGTGGACGATCTCCCACGCAGCGTGGTCCTATTTGGAGACGACTGGTCGGAGCGAGGGCCGCCGTTGGCGTTGAACAGGGCAATGGCCGGGTTTAGGTGAGGGCCGTGGTCATTTTCGGCTTGGTGAGAGCCGGTGCTCTGGACTGAGGCTGGGCGTGGTGTAGCCTCGACACCCAGAGATGTGGTCGAGGATCCGTCTGCTGGAGTGCTCTTTTGCTGAAGGTGTGCAAAGGGAAATAGCGGCTCCGGCGGCCGCTTGTTTCTGCGCAGCTTGAAGAAGGAAGTAGATGAAGCGGACTTTTTGGGAGTGGAACTGAAGCTGGTGTGAGACACTCGATCAGTGGAGCTAACATCTGATCTTGAGGACTCGGATGGTCGAGGGGCGATGTTGAGTCCAGTGCCGGTGGAATCAACTGTCGTCTGGGTCGAGGGCCGTGGCGATTGAGGCTCGGGTTCGTCTGCGACGCTTAGTGAAGGTCGTCCCTGGTCGCCCATGGATTTTCTAGGCAAGGGTTCGCGGCGATGGCTGGACAGAGGATCGTCACGAGGGATGTCGGTAGATCGTCGAAGCATTGCGGCCAGCCCCAGGCGGGAGGACGATTTCTTTAGGTTACTCGTTTCCATGGGCATGGTGGGAGCGGTGGTGATGATGGCAGGAGCTAGAGGAGCAAGAAAGGAAGAGTCAGTTGCCATGATGTCTCGAAGTGCTACGCCAGGGAGAGCGTGGGGTTTTGGATCTCGGATCTGGATCTAGATATATGCGCGGATGTAGAAATATCTATAGATCTAAACGTTGATCCGAGCCTGGATTGAGGGGAGGCAGAGGGGGGGATGGAGGGAGGGGAATTGATTACGTCGAGGGACAGGAGGAGGCTTCTCAGCCGCCTGCTTGACGCGGAGAGACAGCTGCGAGTCGGAGGCATTTCGAAAGCGGAGGACGGAGAAGCGGCGGTGCTTGTTTGACTGCTGCTGGACGGGCGGCGTGGTCGGACGGTCAAGCGACGAGACAGACTCTCGGCTCTGGGGTCGTGAGAGAGGCATGGCAGCCTCGTCTTCGGGCTTGGGGAGCGGCAGTTCGGGGACGTCTTCAGAGGCCGGCGCAAAGGCAGTGGTTAGGCGGCGCATGTCGGTCTCACTGGCCATGTTGCCGCGGCGGCGTAGAAAAGGCATGATGGCCGATGCTCATGGTCTGCCGCCGCTGGGGTTTCCCGGTGAGGCCGTGTCCGACCAAGGCTGGTTGGGATGCTAGCTGGATGCGCCAGGCGCGTCGAGAAGGGGCATTGAGATTGGGCGAGGGAGCGGCAGAGCGTCGAGGCCAAGACTGCGCTGCTCCTGCTGGTACTCGGTAGACGACGCACAGATGCGGGCAGCAGGAGATGAGATGAGGATATTGGAGCGGAAGAAAAGACCCAGGGGAGGGGGTTTGGCAATCAGCACAATATCGACGCCATTCTGGAGGTGCCAGACTAGAGATTACAGATTACATGGGGGTTGGCATTTGGTGAAGGGGCTCTGGAGCTAAAAGTGTACGCGCGTGTACTCGGTACCGCTCTCGTCAATTGGCCCCAAAACGAGCGACGGCCGCTACATGGCGATACATGGACTTGGGCAAGCGTGAGGCTGATGCGCCAGTGGATCCGCACGTCCAGAACACTCGCAGAATGCCAATGCTTAGCAGTGCCTCCAAGAGTGCTGCTAAAATAGGCATGTTCCATGGATGCACTGCACGCTGATTTTGCTGCTCCGGGGGCTCTGATATGTCCGAGTGCCACGATTGCTGCTGACAGGCCGTGGTAGCGGCATGACAGCAGAGCGCTAATAGGTACCTATGGATCAAATGCTATTTCTCGTACGGCCGAGAGCTTAGCACCTAAAGTTCAAAGTTGTTGTGCAGCAGCCCGCCCGAGGAGAAAACCCACGTTTTTCTGTCAGTGCCGCGTGTTGCTACTGTACAAGCCTCGAGGGGATCCAAATTACGAGGCCTCGCTCCATGTCCTCTTCATGCACGCAACCCCGGAACCAACGGAGTACCTGTTACCCAATCCATACGAGTACCTGTCCAGTAATAATACCTGTACGAGTAAGGCATAAGCTACCAGACTCGCACTACTACGGTAGACCTACTATGTACAGGTATCCATAGTAGCCTCTGCTCTCTGCATGTACCTCTATGGATCCTCATCCTCCCAAGCAACGTTCCGGCACAGCCCCGCCATCAAGTACTCGGTACCTACGGGGTGTTCCTCCGCTCGGTACCTTGCGCACCTCCTCTCGCAGCATCGCTACAACCCCCCCGGGTCCCCGCTACTCCGTATATTCTCCGGGGCTCCATGTCCAGTTAGTGCCTTAGCGGTGCTGTAACCGCCTGCTATCAATGCGACTGACCTGCTCGTACAGCGCCAGGTTTCTAAAGTCAGTGCCTAGAGCATAGCCTCGCCCCATTCAGCCGTCTGTCACCACCACGTTTTACTAGGTAATGACTTTTGACTTTTTTCAACCATTTCCATCTGCTGGCCCGCAGGTACCTCGACAGCTGTCGCCTCCCAACTACACGTCATCCCACACGGATAATTAGATGCTTTGCTTTTGATATTATTTTTATTTTTATCTGACCGCCATCATTTCATTGACCCCACCGAGCCGAGTCGCTCACCAAAGCCGAGATGAAGCCAACGGTCGCGGCCTTGGTGGCCTCGTTGGCCCTCCTCGGTCCAGCCTACGGCGCCGGCATTGGCTCGTCGGGAATGCCCTCATCCTCGCCCTCACACTCACAGAGCAGTCGCAACGACCTGTTTCCTTTCCTCACCAAGCTCCGCGATGGCGCCATTGAGCTCTTCTTCGGCCGCCATCCTTCCAAGGCCGCCCCGGCGGCGCCCAGATACTCGCACTCGCGATACGCCAGTGAGCTGGTCTTGCGATTCAACGTCACCACTGCCGCCGACGAGGCCGCGCTCGCGGAGGCTGCCGCCCAGCTCTTCCTCGATGTGTGGGCTTTCACGACTGACTTCGTCGACATCCGGCTTCATGCAAAGGAAGTACAACCGCTGCTCAGCCTACTACCTCCGTCCCTTCGGGCATCTCAATCAACCTTGATAGCGGATCTGGCCACTGCAGTTTACCAGCAAATGCCGTCAGCCAAGGGCAACTCCTTGACTTCAGATAGAATGAGCTGGGCGCTGTCGGAACCGCTGAGATCTGTTGATAACCTCTTCTTCCAAGACTACCAGCCTCTGCCCGTCATCATCCGCTGGATGCGTCTGCTGGAGGCCATGTTCCCATCATATGTCAAATACATTACGATAGGAAAGTCGTTTGAGGGGCGAGAGATTCCCGCCCTCCGAGTCGGAGTACCAGAACTCGCCGACCCCAGCAAGCCTCGAAAGATGATTGTCGTCACCGGCGGTCTCCACGCTCGCGAGTGGATTTCAACCAGTACCGTCAACTACGTGGCGTGGTCAATGATCACATCGTTTGGAAAAGAGCCAATGATTACCAAATTCCTGAGCCATTTCGATGTAGTCTTCATTCCGGCAGTCAACCCTGATGGAGTGGAATACAGCTGGGAGGTTGACCGTCTGTGGCGCAAGAACCGACAGCAAACAAACCTGCGCTTCTGCCGCGGCATGGACCTGGACCATGCCTTTGGTTTCGGTTGGAACCATGCAGAGACCCAAAGCGACCCGTGCTCAGAGAGCTATGGCGGAGATAAACCCTTCCAGGCCACCGAGGCCAATGTGCTTGCCCAGTGGGCCAAAAACGAGACACAGCACAATGTCAAGTTCGTCGGACTGCTGGACCTCCACTCTTATTCGCAACAGGTCCTCTTTCCCTACTCCTACACGTGCTCCACTGAGCCGCCCAATCTCGAAAACTTGGAGGAGCTAGCCATGGGAATTGCCAAGGCGATTCGCTTGTCTAACGGAGAGTCATACTCGGTCACCTCTGCCTGCGAGGGCGCTGTGGCTTCCAAAGACTCCGGCGACCGCCATCCCGTCTGGCCTCGCATCGAATCAGGCGGCGGGTCCGCGATCGATTGGTTCTACCACGAGCTGGGCGCTCACTTTAGCTATCAAATCAAGCTTCGAGACACGGGGAGCTACGGCTTCCTCCTGCCGAAAGAATACATTATTCCGACAGGTGAGGAAGTGTTTGACGCGATGAAGTATTTTGGGGATTATCTCCTGGGAAACAACGGCATTGAGAAGACGGTGGGCAACATGGAGGAAATTGTGAATCTGGAATTCGACGAGACCCAAGAAACATTTGCAGAGCTGCGACGACGCAGATTGCGAAGATAGGATCTTGCGGGGAGGCAACCAAGTTGAGACGTCTTTTTAGGGGGCTTATATTCTTCTTTTTTTCGCTTTGGTCACCATGTTTTTTTCTTTTTTTCTTTTTTTCCATTTGATATCCTGTATAATAGTTAATTGGCACATGACGGGGGAAACCGTCCTGCTCACAAAAGATGGAATTTGGGCACAACATGCTCCAACACGAATTCACAAACCAAGCGCACACACAACCCAACGATGGACGAGGGAAACAGTAATCGTTGATCAAGGCAGAGCAATTATCTTACTCAGGTGATGAACTGGAAGCTCTGTTTTGACAAGGCCAGGGGAAGGGAGGGCAATAAGCGTTTGTTTCCACAGCGTCTCTGGCAGGGAGGGAAACCCAAATAACTCGAATTAAACATATCATTACTATGTACACGTGGTAGACAGGAGTAATTAATTAATGATCCAGGATAAAGTTGATGGAGGTGTAAGCAGCCATGAACTTCAGGGCCAGATCTGCGGCACCTGCGAGATATGAACCACTGGGCAATTGTTAGTTGAGACGAACAGATGGAAACAAAACCCATTTGCTTTGAGAATTTTGGACTTACAATGCTCTGCCCTTGGGACCGGAGCCAGTGTAGCCGTACAGGTAGAGGGTTCGGCCAAAAGCCCAGGTTCCGCCAAGGATGGCGGAGGCGAGGGGGAAGGACAGGCCGGCGATGAAGAGGGCGCCGAGGGCGGAGGGCTGGTTCTCGATGAAGTTGGCGTGGGCACGTTGAGCTGTGGGGGGAGGAGAGATGTTAGTTTCTTTGGTGTTGTGATTTTTTTTTTTTTAATTCTTTTTTTTTTTAATGTGATGGCTGAGAATTGAGCCATTAAGACATGTGTAGGACAAGCGGAAAAAGGAAGAAGACAAGATGATGAATAGACAGGAGGAGAAGAAACATTGGCAACATGAGATTCAGTGTGAGATTCAGCATGAGATTACACATACCGCAGTTGAACTTGAATGCGTTGGGGTCCTTCTCGGCCTGCTCGTGGGTGGCATAGGCGTTGGGATAGGCGATTTGGCTGGCCTTGCGGAACTTGCCTGTGCGCGCCATGTGCAGGACGTTGACGAAGAAGGTGGATGTGGCGGCGGCCAGGACGAAGCTGCGGCGGGATGTTAGAATTGTGTTCTTTCTCTCTCTCTCTCTCTCTCTCTCTCTCTCTCTCTCTCTCTCTCTCTCTCTCTCTCTCTTCATGATGGTGATGAATTCTTTGGTGTTTCATTGGTGTTTTAACTTACCCGTAGGAATCAGGGAGAGTCAGAGTGATGGCCATTTTGGGTAGTTTTTTTTAAATCAAACAATTATAGTAAAGAGTATTGTGAGAAGAGATACTATCAGTGAATACAGCCAAGTCTTGTCGAGCTTCACAACATTCGAAATCTCAGTGGGCACAGTTGTCCATTTAAGCGTCTGATGTCCCCCCCCCCCCTGAACTCCAGACCGGAGAATCAAATATTAACTATTTCCTGGTGCTAGCGTGAATACCCGCTATTAGCATCTCCTACTTGCATAGTACTAGCATCAAAACAAAGAATCCCTCGCTTCCAGCACGGAGTACGGAGTGATAGCCTAAGACATGGGGTGGCACTAGTATTTTTCTCGAGAGGAATACGGGAGAAAAGAAAAGAATTGGAAAAGAAACGAGAGAAACCCACCCCCACTCCCGCACTGTTATCTCCGTTACAGTAACGTGGTTTTTTTTTTCTCCTCTATGCTTTTTTTTTTTTTTTTTTTAGTTCCCCCGACGAATGGGGAGCTTGGCTTGCGGACGAGGAGGATTTCCGAATGCCGCTGCTCCTTTAGTTTTATGTTTGTTTTATTCTGGGGCATGGATAAGACGGCAGCCCTGGTGGGATTTTGGTAGCGGAGAAGAATACACGTACAAGGACCAAGAGGAGGATCAATTGCCGGTGAGGAATAGGCCTGTATTGTATTGCAGGGTGTCAATCGTCTGTCTGTATCCACGTACGATAGCTGGCGCCTAAGACGAGACTAGAGACTTGCTTGTTTGCGTGATACTATGGTTGTTGTTGGTGTTGTTGTAAGTGAGAGGTGTAAGACCAACGGCCACCTCATTCACCTCGCCTCACCTCTCCTCTCCCTATAAGCCAACCAAGCAAATCTCTTCAGAAACAATACTCTCTGTGCATCGAAAATACTGTACATTCAATGCCCAACACCGTGTGCCCCCATTTCTACGCCCTTTCGCCTCGATTCCCCGGCATTTCAACATCCGCCGACGGTCCGTATCGCGCGCGCCACCCACTCGGATCTTCGCCTCACCTTGCCCCCCAGCCACACAAAAGTCAGCATCATGACAAAACGCAACCCGCGTGTTGCCTAAAATGCCTGCAAAAAAATAAAACTCCTGCCTTGTATGCTCCCATACGCATCATTCATCACATCCTCAGTCATGATATGTAAGCCCTTTGCAAAAAAGAACCCATGTGTGCGTAATCTCTCGGCTTGGCCTGCATGCCTCGCGCTTGTTGTCGAGCCGTTTCCGCATAAAGTCCGCACGTATACGCTAAAAGTCCGCTTTCAGCTTCCCGTTCCTTGCATGATTCAAGTGCAGTCATTGGTCTTTGTGTAATGAAGGGATTTGGTTGTCTTGAAACTACTGTAGTACATGTGATGAAAAGGGCGCAATGTTTCCTTTGTTTGGGCTGTATTATGGATAAGCTTCCTAGGTTTAGGGTGTGAGTGTATACTCGTATATATGGGCTGTTGGCTTAAAGACATTGATATCATCATGCCAAATGAACATCAGGATCATTAACAACAACTACAACAACAACATCAACAACAACAACAAGAACACCACCACCAAAATCGCCTGCTAGTCTCCATGTAGAAAAGATTCCTTCACCCCGTACACCTCTCTGCCGGAGGTCGCCATTCCAGATCCAGCCCCTCAAACACTCGCCTCTCGGCCGTTTCCATGTCTGGGGCCGGGCCACGCTCGGAACTCTCGAGATCCACCCATGACCCGTCTGCCCGACTCCGAACGCCGCTGCTGTCGAACTTGAATCCCATCTTGACCTTGCAGTAGCGTCGAAGATCCCGCTGGAACGTCGTCTCTCCGCTCCATCCAAGGATTGCGCACCCGGCCGTCTTCCAGGGGCTGATGATGATGTCGACTCTCCGGTGAGGCCCCTTATCCTGGGGGTTTTGCCAGACCACCATTGCTTTGTCCAGCGTGTCAAATCCCGATCCTGCACGGCGGCCTTCGCCTTTCCACGCCAGGGGGGCCTGTCCACGCTCGCTATTCTTTGTCCATACGCTCAATGTGTGCGTAATGAAGTTGCTCTTTTCCAAGCTAGAAACTAGCCTTTCAATAATGTCGAGTGTTTGAGCTTCATCAGGATGGCTCAAGACCACGTCGACATCGCCACTCGAAGGCTTGCCTCGCCGATAACTACCCACGATTACCATTTGGAAACCAGGGTCAACTCGGCGTGCGTGGGCGAGAATGACACTGGCAATCGTCTCTGTCTCGTCCCGCGGGATCTTCAGCTGAAATTCATCGTAGTACTTGACGCCAATCTGTTGTACCCGACTCAAGGAATCCCATCCATATTCTACAATGTCATCAAGATCTCGCCAGCCTGGTGGGATGAAAGAAAAGCAATCTGTTAGTATCCAGGTGGTGATTAATCTCAAGTGCAACAAGACATACCCTTCTTAAAGAATTGACGAGCAGTTGTATCTCCGACTCCCCAAATATCATAAAACGTCTTCAGCACAACAAGCTCAGTGTCTGTTTTAGCCTTCCTAGTCTCGTCGGTGCAGCCATCTTCTGTCCACTGCTGATACAGCTGTGCAATCTTGGGACCGCATCCTGGTAATCTTTCAATCTCTATGTTATAGGTCCCGGTGATGGGACAATATTAGCTCCCGGGTATCTGAAGGAAAACAGATAATATATGGCACACTTACCCTGTGGTCGTTGCAAAAGATGCGGATACGCAGCAAGAGAGGCTATCGAAGTAGAGTAGGCCCTAACACCCACCTGGTCTCCTCGTAAAAGCCGAAGCGTGCGAATGGCCTTGAGTTCTGCGATAAATGTTGCGTTTGGCGGGCTTACAAGAGATGGTCTTTGGCATGAATACGTGGTGTGAAGAAAGTCGGGAATCGGCGGCAGAGGAACCTCGTGTTCAGATGTGGTTTCACGATGTAGCGTTGGCGGTTCAGAATGCAGTCGTCCATCTGAGGCAGTCGAGGAACTCGTTCCAGGTCTTGTTGTCCGCTTCGAATACGGGCTGTCGTTGACCTTTTGCCGATCTCCCATGGCTCGAGCGAGCACTGCCGAGGCTGATCTAGTTGTTTCATCCTCTTTCCTTGGCTGGGGGGTTCCAGGATTAGAAGCTTGTGCAGAATGAGATGATATTTTGCGTCCTTGGTAAAGCAAATAATCATCGGCGGGTAGTACAACGTTTTGTTCGAGCGAATCCAACAACCAAGCCAGCTTCAGCACCAAAACGACATCCCCCGACCCTCCCAACAAATCCAGCGTAGCAACATGCCCTTCATCCGCTCGACTTCGTAGAGCCTCTGATCCCGATAGCCTCGGGCGTTTTGATGGAACCTCTGCCGCATCACTTCGCCCGCGCTTGTCGCCTATTGCTTCATCTCCCTCCGCTCCCTCCAGAGCCACCGGTTCCGTCGCAAGCTTAAGACGCCTCAGCTCAAAAAGAGCACGCTCAGGTCTAGATATCTTTCCCAAAATTACCTTGGCTTCGTGAGCGTTATGCGTCAGCGTAGGGATTCTCGCCTCCAACTCACGCAGCTCGTCTGCTTGTAAGTGAGTTGGGAGCAACAAGATGCGAGGCAGCTCAGGAGCCATGGCGCGGGGCCTTGCGCGAATCCAACGGGAGGGCCATTATCTGTTTATTAAAAGAAGAATCAGAAAATTCACACATGAGACAAGAGTCAGAGGATTCACTGCTTTTATTGACCGGTTAAACTTGCAATGGACGGCTCTGGTGTTGGTGCAGTTTCGTCATTGCAAACAGCGTGAATCCAGCTTTGGAAACTTCCTATTGGCTCACCAAGACGCACTGGGAAAGACGCGGCCCCGCTCTTTTTTATTATCGCTGTTTCTACTCCGTAGATGAGCAAACATAATAGAAAATGACAAAGACAACCAGCCAACGGATAATGGAGCCCAACAGACACATTGTTGCTGGAGAGATGAGCAATTTCGTTGTTGCTACTCAGCTATCAGAAGAGCAAAGCGTTCTGCTAAATAGTGCCAACTTGTCTTATGCCCGAGAATTGCTCGGTAATATCAAAAACGCCAGCTCCAAACTCTCCTGTGCATTCAGCGCTCTACCAGGTTGAGTTGCCCCTATTCTGTCTAAACGCCGCTGTAAAATTACACAAAAACTTTTGAGATAATGTTGGACATGCCGTCTTTCAAACATCTTCAAACTCGAGCTCATCGTCGTCCTCGTCTTCGTCGCCGCTCTCTGCCTTTTTAACTTCAGGCTCAACCTTGACCCGCTTGTTTGCCCTCTCATCTGAGCTGTCTTCAATTCGTGATGCGTCGCCTGATGGAACATCCGATGCCTCGGCCTTGATGCCGGGCGTGCCTAGGCCAGAGTTGTTGCCCGTCGCTACGACATCCTCGAATTCGTCATCCTCTTCCTCGGAGCCGTAGTCCTCTTCTTCATCCTCGGCATCTGCTTCTCGCGCCAAAATGGCGGCTTGTTCTGCTTTGAGCTTCTCGAAAATGTCATCAATCTGCGTAGTGGCATTGTTGTCGACCAATTTGCCCTGAGACAATTTTCGCTCAGCTGCGTCCCTGCCCAATCCCAGTGCACCAGCATCAGCTGTTGCAGAAAATGACTCTCCTGTAATAGTACTGTTTGACATCCAGGATGGGAGCGCGTTCTGCTGAGCAATCTTTTCCTTTCGGAGTCTCTCTGCCTCCTTTTCAGCCTCTGACGGTCCGTCAGACGTAGATATGTTGACAGCAATGGACTGTGGACCCGTATTGGCCAATCCTCTTACTGCCATGGGTCGAGATGAGGCGTCATCAACGGGTATCGTAGCAGCGCGTTGGTGCGTAGCGTCGCGGATCACCGGTCGAGCCTTTGACAAGGCCCGATCAAAGTCGCATTCCGGAATGTGAGCAGCGTCGATTTTAGGCAAGAGCTCGCTGATGAACTTGAACTGATCATTCAGTCGGGTTGACTGTTCGTGGCCGCCAGCGTTTCGATCCGCTTCAAACGATAGAGGTCGGCGGCATCGGTGACAGAGGAAACCCTCCGGCCCAACGCTGTCCAGAACTTCCATCGCCGTCCATTCCGCCTTACAGAATGAGCAAAAATATTCTTTCTTTTCGTTTACTGGCACCGTAGTTCCCTGGACTTCTTTGTCTATGTTGTACACTCGCCACTTGATAGCGTCGATGGTATGCCGGTAGTTGATGTAGTACCATGTGCGATTGCTCGGTCGCGGATTGCCTGGTCGCAATTCGGATCTCGTGTGACTACTGGAGTGAGCTACCCGTCCCCAAGAAAAGCATGGCTGACATCATCAAACGTACACTGTTAAGAAGCGGTCTTCTCTAAGCTTTCCGCATATCTTGTGCAAGTCCTTGGTGTTTATGGCCATTAAATAGGCAAGATCGTCATCGCGAAGACTATCCATAACTTTTCAGTTCATCTCTCTTCACCGAGAACCAAAATCCACCGAGGAGACGTACGCTTCATGAAGAATCAGTGCGTCTACGACGAGGATGTCTCGCGTTGGGTAGAACGCCCGCATGACGGCCTTGATCAATGTCACAGCGAGATCCATGATGCCAAACAAGCGTCTATGATCGTCTCGTCGGTAGGTTGGCGCAATCGAGGCAACGCGTATATCGATAGAATCCGAGGTTGAGAAAGCAGCCCGTGCCGTGTGAAGAGGCTCGCGTGATGTTGGAGTGTGGTAGCTCTGGTTTCGATGCGAAAGGAGATTAACGGTGATGGGAGAGAAGTACCGTAATGTCGAGAGAGCTAATAGGCATCAAACATAGAGAGGCGACGCTGCTTGGGTAGGCGGAAGAGGAAATCAAGTCATGGTCAAGGAAATGAAAAGAGCATGGCTGAAGTGGCCTGTGGCTTTATCGATTCGCCCCAGTCATGCAAAGTATACACACACAGGATTAACTGTGTTTGCCTTATTCTCGGTGGCTTTTTGCTGGAATAGCGATGCGTTATCTGGAGAAACGCAAGTCAATCTATATTTCGGGCATTGATGCTAGGCCAAGTCATTTGGCTGCAAATATGAAGGTTTGTCGCGTCTTGCATCTTGCGCTGTGCTGCCTAATGTGACCGATCGCGATCCCAGCCGAACCCGGAAGTCGGAAAAAGGTTCGGCCAGCGCATCTCTCTGAATCACAGTGTACAAGCACTCATTTGTACCCTTCCTCTTGAGCTAACATCCAGCAGTCTTGATTGCATAAGTTTCATGACAATTCACATGTCCTGGTTTTCCCTCGGATTCTATAGACCTTGTTACTCTAACCTGGTATATACAACATAAATACACACATACACACTCTTCTTTATTTGACATCTTCATGGTACCTGGGCTTCAAGATGAAGGAGGACACTAAGCCACAGAAAGCCCAATTTGTACAGCGGCAATACCTATGAGGGTGGAATCGATTAATTTATAAAAGAGAAAAAAGCATTGTATTCATCAATGCGCCAAGTAAATCATAGCTCGTGGTTCTCCAATGGTCAGGCGGTGGCACCCGCTCATTGGTTTCCTGCATTTTCCTATCCAGCCTGCCCTGCTCTCTACATACAGCCTCCCCAGTCGTTAATATTGATACATAAACAAAGAATTCCGGGTTGGTTGGCCTGCTATCAGGCGTATTTCCTGAGCTACAGTGAATAAATGGGTTAGCTTTGCTGTGCACCAGAGTAGAGAGGTGGTTATTAAATGACTTACATCCAATGTTAGCGTCCGGGAGCTGTTCACCTCCTGATCGCGATATACGCCGACAAGACTCTCACTGTCTTGGAATAGACCAGCCTTCAAACTGATGACGATGAACTGCATGCCAGGGCCCGCGTGTTCCCGGATATACTTCTTGATCTTGTCCACATTGGCATTGTCCAACGCAGCGTCAACTTCGTCCAAGACGAAGAAAGGACTTGGTTGGTAGCTGTGGATGGCAAAGAGAAGCGCCAGTGCTGCCATGGTCTTTTCACCACCAGACAGATGCTCCATATCTCGGAATCTCTTGAGGGGCGGCATGGCATGGTATTTGATACCTGACAAGTATGGCATGTCTGTGTCCTCTTCAATATCCAGATAGGCCTGACCACCCAGCGGGTAAGCATCTGATCGCGTGAGATCCTTGTAGACGTTGGATATCTGCTCCTGGATATGAGTAAAAGCCTTGTTGAAGAGCTCGTATCTTCTCTGCTTGACGCTGTTGAAGGCTTCCTTCGCCTTGTGGGCCGTTGTTTTCGAGTCTTCGTATTCTTGATCCGTTTGTTTGAGCCTCGTCTCGACGCTTTCTAGTCGTTCCATGGCTCTCATGTTGGGATTCAGCTTCTCCAGCTCTGCTGTGAGGGATGAAATCTTCTCCGTCAACGTGTCCTCGACACTGGGTTCACCGGATTGCTTCAAGTCCTCCTCGAGACCATCGAAATCGATTTCGATACCATGATCATCCAGTGCAATATCCATCATATCGTCTTCTCCGCCATCAACGTCCATGGCATCCGGGTCCTGCCGCAGCAAATCGTCCTCTGTCGGCAGGTTGTCAAGAGCGCCCTCAGCTAGCGGAATCTGGATCTGCTCGAGCCGGCATCTTCGCAGGAGTGCAGATTTGCCTGCGCTGTTCTTCTGCACGGTGGTTTCCAAGGCATTAATCTCTTGCTGGCAAGCTTCGATGTCCTTGCTGCGCTTCTGTAGCTCGGCTCGAGCCTCGTTAACATTTTGGTTCTTTTCCAACTGCTCGGCCTTCAATTCTTCTAAAGTCTCTCCAAGAGCTTCCAGTTCGTCCTGATCTTGGCGCATCGACTCCTCGATTTCGGCCTTTTCTTTATTATACGTCTTCATGTCCTGTTTCAGACGTCGAATCTGATCTTGTATCCGCTTGATACGTGACTCCGTGTCGCTATGGCGCGTGACTTCCCATTTGAGTCGACTTTCCAGTCTCTGCCTCTGAACCTCATACTGGTTGCGTTTCTCGGAAATCTCCTGCTCTAGTTTGCCCTGCGAAGCATCGTATGCGCGAATGTCGCTGTATCCGAGTTTCCTGCAGAACCCATCAAAGATCTCATCCTCCACTCGCGCAATAGCGTCTCTAAACTCCTGGACTGTCTCCTTTGTACGGTCTAGCTGCGATGTTTGCTGCTCATATTTGGGCTGAAGCTCCTGGAGCTGCTTCTTTTGGTTGTCCAGTTCACGCTTCTTGCTTGTCCAGTTCTTGTTCAAGGCCGCCAGCTCATCCCTAGTCGCCGCCAGTTGCCGTTCAAGACCGTTGAGTTCGATATGGAGAGATTCCTCCTGCGTTCCCCGACGATCCGCCTTGGGCAGACGATCGATCTCGCTCTTCAACTTGGCTGCCATACGCTGGAGATTCTGGACGTCGGCCTCTTCAAACTTGCGCTTCCCGCCCTTAGGCTCAGGACCGCGACCGCCTGTCATTAAGCCTGCCTTGTGAATGATGTATCCTTCCAGCGTAACAGCCTTGACGGGGATTTTCTTATCATAGCATATGTGCTTGGCGATATCAAGCGTATCACAAACCACAGAGCTGCCGCATGCGTACGACATGGCTCTCTCAACTGCTGCATCAAAGTTTATGGTGTCGATCGTAAGTCTCGCACCAGGGAAGCCCTTGATTGCGGTGTTGACAGCATTGACCTTGATGTTGTCTAGCGGAATAAAGGTCATGGGAGGAAATCTCTGTTCCTTCAGATACTGAACACAGTCCACACCGGTTTTTTCCGTATCGACAACTACGGAGTCAAAGTCTCGTCCTAAGGCGACAATAACGGCCTCATCAAACTTCTTTTGCTTCGGCGTGCACAGGTTTCCGATGCGGCCGCGAACTCCAGGGAATATACGCTTCAAAGTTGTCACCATTTCCTTCATGCGTACCTCTCGATCGTTTTGACGGCGGCCATCATCAGCCTCTCTCAGCTTCCTTGCGACATCTTCGAGCTTCTCTTCGAGCTCGGTTCGTTTTTGGTTGGTCCGGACTCGCTCAGATTGAAGTTGGTTGAACTCCTTCTTCTTGGCGGCGATGTCATTGGTGATATCTTTCGTTGCAGAGTCAGCGGCGCTTCGCCTCTCGCCGATGCTGGTTAGTTCTGCCTCCATTTTCTCAATGGTTCCGGAGATACTGTCTACCTTGCCCTTGAGACTGTTGACAGTGACTTCATCAGCTTTCCTCTGTCGCTCAAGGTTCTCCAACTTTGCCTGGTTGGAACCAGTGCGGGCCAAAACCTGGGCTCGGAGGGTGTTGTATTCTTTGCGGTCGTCGTCACTAATGTCTCGGCCATGCTTCTTCATCTGCTCCTTGACGTCCTTTTCAAAAACATCCTGAGCTTTCTTAACGCTTGCAATGTCTTTCTGGACTTTCTGCACAATGTCTGTCTGTTCTTCGAGCTCCTTGCCGACTTTCTGCACCTGAACTTGCAGCTTTTCAACTTGCTGCGAAGACTCGTGAATCTTCTCGTCAAATGGAACCAGGGCGTTCTCCTTGTCTTCGATGCTTCTTTCCGTGTGCTTGATATCCTTTTCCACCTTGCTGACCTGCTTCTGAACTGCGGATTGTTCCTTTCGGGCAGATTCAACTTGAGATTCAAACACATCCACGTTTCTCCGCATCTCCTTTAGGTCTTCCTGATGGTCCCGAATAGCGGTGCTTGAATCGTCCATGGCTTTCTGAAAATGGTAAAGCTTCCAGAGGCAGTGGGTGACAATGGCCGCATCTCGTTCCTCCGTTTTCTTCTGGAAACTGTCTGCCTCCTTCTTCTGCTCCCGGTATTGTTTAATTTCGGAGTTGATACCACGGCGGCGATGGAACTGGAAGTTTTGGTTCTCGATGGCCTGTTCTGCCTCGACCTGGAGTTTTTCGTACTCAGTTTTGTATTCCAAACTTCCCGAGATTTGCTCAATGAGCCGCGTAAGGTCTTGCGGAGATTGTGAAGCGATGGCCTCGACATCACCCTGGAAAACCAGGAAATTGCGGGCTTTGATCAGGATGTTTTCCGCTTCCAGAGCATCGTTGTATTGCTGGGCCGTAACCACCCGGTCGTTGATACGGTATTCGCTGGCTCCTTGGCTCGTGATGGTTCTCTTCCATCTCTGTTCTTCGCCAGCGTCGTCTTCATATACCGCCATGACCCAGGCGGTCTTTGGATCGCCTCGAGACGCCTTATCGTCATCGGCAAAATTGCTGGCGTCTGCGGTAGCTTCAGCGGAGCCATCGTCGTTGATTTTTGAGGTTTTCAAAACACGTCCTCGATAGACGAGCTCTTTAAGGTGCGTGGATCGCAAATGAGAAGACTTGATGCCAAGGACGAAGGAGATGGCGTCCATCCTACCCACCGACCCATGGTATTAGTATACCGATCAAAAGAGGCCACATGGAAATTTGACCACGGTGACTTACGAATTTGATTTACCCGATCCATTGGGCCCGATGATGGAAGTAAAGTAAGAATCGCCAAACAGGAGGGTGTGGTGGCCCTTGTAGGACTTGAAATCTTGAAGCGCATTGTTAGTTGGGGCAGGCGACCACGAACGGAGATTCGACAGGACATACTGTGCAGCTCGAGGCGAATGAGTTTACCCATGGTGAACTAGATGCCAAATCCCAGCAGATTAAAACGCAAGACGGAGTGTTGGAGACGTTGCGGCTCCGGCGACTTGAGCACGCGCGGAGAACAATTCAAGATGCTGACAACACCATTCAACGGGAACGATTCGGTGCACTGGGCTCATAGGCGGTGTCGCGTAAATCAGAAATATCTCGCACAAGACATGAGACACCAGCCCGTCATGCTAGAAAATGCGAAGCGGTGCTGCTGAGCGTTGCGCAATGCAAGATGGCACTTGACGCGTCGCGAACTGGCGATTCTGTATAGCTCACTAAATCAGGTAGCACCACTAAGAGGACTTGGACTAGTGTGGAGCACAGCACTCGGTAGAATGGTGGGGGAATGGTGAATAGTAGGGCCACTTCCTCCCAGCCAGAAGCAAACGCTATTATGAGAGTACTAGCAGTGCCTCGTACTGTACCATAGAGCTTTGATGCTTGGATCGTTGGATGTACCGGATTAATCTATTCTCCGTATTCCGCAGTCAACACTCCAGCTGCATTTCCTCATCCCACCATCTCCTGGATTGCTTTTCGCATCCCATTCTTCTAATCCTTTCACGTGACTCGATTCCGGATTCACTCAAAAAGCCAGACACATGCCCCCAACAGCTGACTCAAGCCTTTGAAGCTTTGCCTTGTTAGCGCCCGGGCGACCGTCCTGCTGGCTCCTCCAACCAGAGAGCGGAATGGCAGCACCTGCTATACAGCAATGGCTCTGAGTCTACGATGAATCTTACCCTTCCAAGCTCCTCACCTTGTGGGAAGAAAATTCAGCATCTCGGTGGACAGCCAGGTCAGGTGGACAAGGCCACATTGCCCTTTTTCTTGCAATTTTTTTTTCTTAGCCGCCGTGTACTCCTCTATACCCACGGATATATCCATCCAGGCATATACTAGACTTGGTTGTTGCGCGCGAGACCACTTCAACATGTGCAGTATCTGCTGCTCCTGTTCTCTCTGCTGCCAGGAAGACGTCCAGAGTTGCATGTGAAAACGTCACCAGCCCAATGAGACACTGCCTCTACTTCCACTCGTCGCTGTGTACGGCATAATGCTTACCCAGCAGTACTTGTATGCATGTACACTCTTTGTTGGGTGCAGGGGTCCTGGAGCCGCTAGCGGGGAGCATGTGGAGTTGGGAGTTGCTGCCGTGTTCTAAAATACTTGGGTGGCTTCACGGTGGGTGACCATGCAAGAAGCCGTTACTCAAAGCTACTCGCCTCATGTAGCAGTTTCGGATCGCTTGCGGGTAGATCCAAGTACCAGAATGTAGCCCCTGGTATCTCTTAACTGCAGTGGACTCGTCGGAAGGTAATCACATGGGCGTGCCAGCAACACTACAAGGTGTTTCGCGGATGATCATCGAGGGCAGCATCAGTAGTCATTTAGGCTCGTGTCGACCTGCAACCTAAAAGAGAAGCTCCTCTTGTATTCTTCTAAAGTTTTGCTTTTCCCAAGCCATCTCCCGATACTTCCAGCATCAGCGGTGCTTCCCGACTGGCGGTCTCCCTCCCTCCTTTCATCCTCTCCTCCCCGTACTTCTTCCTTTTTGCTTCCTAGGCTGGGCGCCGTATCCTCTTGACCCACGTGTCGATCTGTTGTCAATCTGTTGTCATCGCCTGCAGTGTCAATTTTGCCACCGCTGCAGATAACATCATCGCCCAATCTTGCCGACCTGGCCATCGTTAATTGATCTGGCCTCGCTGTTGGGATACTCGAGGGCTGTTTGCCGTGTCAGATCGCTCGGGTTGTCTTCTATGGGTTCATGAACAAGGTGCAATCATAGCCCTAACCCCCCCGCCAAAATGGACGAAGAAACTTCGACTCCTGTCTCAACGCCAGAGACCAGGTCGACCGTCAACGGCGACCGCTCGGTGCCCGCCATGGCAGAGGCCGAGCTTGCTTCCCCCCTGAGTTCATCACCCGTGGATGCTGAAGTCCTCGACTCTCCCAGTCTCAGTGCCACGACCCCCAAGAGCCACAGGCTTTCAAGGAACCCCTCCTTCTCTGGCAGCAGCAGCACCTACCAGGATGACTGGGACGCCCTCCCGCCGCTTGACCGCTTGACCGTCCTCGACCTTTTGGACAATTTCGCCCTGCCCCAGCAGCTCGAGAAGCTCCAGAGGGGCATCTCTGCCCAGACCGACAAGGTGCGACGTTCCCGAGATGCCTTCAAGTCGAGAACCCAGAATGCCCGCGACCGAATGGTGGAGGAATGGAGGCGGCGTGTCCCCTCGGCCGACGAACAGCTCGAACGATACAGGAAGCGCATGAGGCAGCGAGTTGAGAAGCTTGGCAAGCAGTGGAACGATACAAAGGCCATCAGCCTCCGAGAGAAGATATCCTTCATCTGTGGCGTTATGAACATCTTTGCGAGCGGATATCTCATGGGTGGCTATCCGGAGTGGTTCCATATTTGGTATACGGTTCAGTTGATATACTTCATGCCCATCCGTATCTTCACGTACCACCGGCGTGGATACCACTACTTTTTGGCCGATCTCTGCTACTTTGTCAATGTGCTGCTGATGCTGAGTCTCTGGGTCTTTCCCCATTCCAAACGGCTCTTCACGGCTGCCTACTGTCTGGCTTATGGAAACAATGCTGTGGCAATCATCATGTGGCGCAACTCTTTGGTATTCCACAGCTTTGACAAGGTCACGTCGCTCTTCATCCACATCATGCCTTGCGCTACTCTTCACTGTATTGTCCATCTCTACCCCCCCGAATTACAGATGACACGCTTCCCCGCCATCTGGGCCATCAAGACCGCGATTCCTGGGTCTCCGACTGCATACGCCAATGTCTTGTCTATGCTCGCGTGGAGCACGATTCCGTACGCAATCTGGCAGCTGAGCTACTACTTCTTCATCACCGTGCGCCGAAGGGAAAAGATTGCTGCCGGCCGGCCTACGTCCTTTACTTGGCTTCGAAGATCCTATGCAAAGACCTGGATCGGCAAATTCGTCCTCGCCCGCCCAGATGCCCTACAGGAGCCGACGTTTATGATGATTCAGTATTTCTACGCCTGTCTTACCATTCTGCCATGTCCGCTCTGGTTCCTTAGCCGGTGGGCATCCACTGCCTTCCTGCTTATCGTGTTTGCCTGGAGCATTTATAACGGCGCAACGTACTACATCGATGTCTTTGGCAAGAGATTCCAGAGGGAACTCGAGGCTATGAGGGCAGATGTCATCAAGTGGCAGAACAACCCGGAGACACTGCTTCAGTCGCCTCAAATTGTTCCGCACATGGATGGCCCTCCTGTGCAAGCCACGAGCTTGGATGCTCAGCTGGCTGATTCAGCCCTCGCACCGTCACCAATGCGACCTGACGCCGGGAAGAACAGGTCTACTAGCTTGGACAAAATCCCAATGCTAGATGAGAACTCCAAGATTGGCGCAACTGGCGTAGACGGGGGAGATGAAAGTCTTGCTAGGGAACGGAAGCCGAATCAAGACTAAAGAAATGGCTTTTTGGACGAAAGACTACACAAGGAATTGGGGACTATATTGTGGCAATGACGTCTTTTAATGTCACGCCCGTGAAATAACAGTAGACGAGGACATACGGGTACAAAGGTGGGAAACGCGAGCCGGGTTCTTAATGTATCTTTGGGATGATATCCTGTGGGGGTTTGGTTTTTCAAGTCTTACGAGAGTCCATTTCATAGCGACAAAGGGAGTCAGTAGCTACAACAACAGGGAAACTTGAGCGTGGGTTTGTTTGGATGACGGATTTAGAGTATCCTTTTGTTTTGAGAGTTGGGATTTTTCTTTTTCTTATAACGTCTTGTCATGTATTTATTGCTCAATGATTATGACTGCTCTTTTGTTTTCTACATTTTCTCATATATACACATATCATCACTATCAACTTCACATTTCCAAGATGAGTTCACTTATCAAGTGTAGATACGTAATATATTTGTCTCTGGTTCATGATCAGACATGTTCTCCTGTCCTCTCTATAAAATGCGCTAAAGTTGCCGTGAAGCAACAACAATAAAAACCGCTACCAGGACGTTTTCCCTTTGTCGTCCCATTTGACTTCTCGCCCCTTCATCTGCGAGGGGGGAGGTTGAAATAAAAGCCAACGGCCGCCTGTGGGCTTTGATATATAAAGCCCAACCCAAACACCAGAAAAATAAGTGGTTACCATGGTAAAGAAAAGAGTGCCCCCTCATCATCACCGCGCCGGATTATGCCAAATGATACAGTCAGATGAATAGTAAAGACGTTATCGCGTTTCCCTTCCGCACTTTCAATATCCCAGAGCTGGCGTGGAAGCACGCTTCCATGCATTGCCAAACGACACACAACTCCTTGCGTGAAAAAAACCAAAAAAAGCAACCCAAAAAAGTGTTTTGAGAAGAAGATACGAGACGCCCCGGGTATAAACATAAGAAATAGAGCATCTTGTCAAAGGAGAGATATGAATTCAATCAGATTATCATGTCCTCTTTATGACTTGATCAGCCACATGTTAGATTTCACCGAATGATGCCCCAGTCAGCGAATTTGCCGCCTCCAGTCTCACCATCCTCGCGAGTGCCGGGCCGTCGACCGAATACGGACCAGAACCGCAGGGTTTCATCACCAGCTCCCGTCACGATGACACGGCCATCGGGACTCATTGCTAGGTATAGAACGCGGTATGTGTGTCCCGTCAAGCTGGCTACTTGCGTCATGGACGGGTACTTCCACACAACAATCTGGTTTTGGCTGTAGCCATGTGTCGAGACAATCTCGTTCGAGTTTTTGGACCAAGCGAGATTGCACACCTGGCTTCCGGTGTCGATTTCGTTAACAACGGTTCCTTTAACTGTGTCGTGAAAGATAATGCGTCTGTCGGCTGTACCGCCGCCCGAGGCAAGTAAGCCTCGTTGGTGCGGTGACCATGCAATGGCCTTGACGGCGGCATTGTGATCTGAGAATTTCCACAGTGGCGTGTCTGAGAGCTTGTCCCAGACCATCAACTTGTTGTCATTGCCACCGCTGGCCAACTGCCCATCTTCGCAGTTCCACTTCAAACCACAGACCTCTTGCTTGTGCCCGACAAGCTTTTTGAGCCACTGGTCTGGTGCTCGAACGTCTCTGTGGTAAATCAGTCGATCGCGGGAACCAGACGTCAGGATATGTGAGTTCCACGCCAGGGATCCAACTCGTGCCGTGTGTCCAGTCATGGTCCTTAATCTTCTAGCTTTTTCGGCATCCCAGATCTGAACGAGGCCCTTCCCGGTTCCAATGGCAAGATGAGTGCCCTTTTGTATCCATGATACGCTTGTTACGGTATCATCTTCCAGAGTACACAGCTTATTAACCTTGGAGGTCTGTGCATTCCACATGTAAACGCTGGATCCCAGCCCGACCCCCAGAACATTTGCACTCCCCCAATCAACCAGGTTGAGGTAGAAGTCGTCTGCCAGCTCGGGAGCGTCAAGGACTTTGTAGGGGACTTTGCTGACCGCTCTGGGCTGGCGACGTGGACTCAAGAGCATCTGCTGACTGCCGAGACGCACAGGAGATAGACTGTAGATCTCTGCTCTTGTGTCCAAATTCGGGCCATGCCGACTCTGCGGGGTTTTTGAGGGAGTAAGATGGCCCACAGGATGACCATGTTGGCGTGGTGAGAGATATGAGAAGAGGTTCTTGTGGGGGGTTGATGGGGTGAGTGATGAAGGCAGGGTTACTACAGAGTTGTGGCTGGGAGGAGTGTGAGACCGTGTGCCATCCTGAACACTGACGAGCGAGGAGGTTGCCAGGTTGCTGTCTGGTGAGAGAGCGGGTGTCATCTGTGGCACTGATCCCTCAAATAATTCCGCACGCAACAGTGTTGAGAATGTGCGATTGGCTTCTTCGGCTGTGTCATAGTTAGTAATTGCCTCTTCGTCACTGCAAGGGGAGAGGACAATGTGCGTACTCTTCTGGAAATGAAGTTCGCCTTGTGGCGTCCTTTTCTTATGCCTTGACGGTGTAGCGGGAGAGGCATCTTCATGTAGAAGGCTAAAGCTGGCTTGCAAATCCTGGCCAGTGCGAGTAGGGATGAAACTAAAGATCCTGTTAGAACCATGCAAAGCGTCACCAGTGGGGATGACCAACCGATCGCCATTAATCCTCTGGCGTTTGCGATGGGGACTGGCTCCGGGAGTGCTTTCACGCTGGGGGTGTTGCAGCTCCCTCAACAGGAGACTGTCGACGGCGTCGACGTCGAAAGCTGCTGGATGTGCCACATCACTAGCCCTAGTTCGCATTCGTCGCATAGCAGTGCCACTGCTTTCGGCATTTGGTTTTGAGTCTAGGCGGCCGCGATCTGATGGAGGAGGAGGAGTTGACATGCGGGCGGAATTGGAGGGCAGCTTTGACTCGCCCATGGTCTTCTTGGAGGCACCCATGGCATCGACAAATTGATTGAAGGTCCTTTATATGGTGCTGAGAGTGGTGAATTTAGGCCTGGCGGACGTGATTTGGCTGAGAGAAGCGGCACCGTGCGTCAGATCGGATATCGATGGTCGGTCGTGGGCTGTGCGGCGGGGGAATGGCGTGTGTAGAGAGTGGTGTTGAGGTCAAAGACGGACGATGTTATGCTAGCAGCGGCCGTGAGAAAACGAGAGAGCGCGCATCCAGTCACAGGGCGAGGCCAACGCCGGTGGTGATGGAGCAGCGTCAACCAAGAGAGGGCGGGTTTGGCGGCCTATCGCATGCCACTGGGTGGTTGTTTTTGTATCGAATCAACAGCGATCGCACGGACGGGTGATGTGAATGGTCCAAATACAAAAGAAGGTCGAGAGAAGCAGATGGCCCCGGGATAGTCGGTCGCTGTTGATAACCGTCTTGCAAGCGCAGAGGCAAAGAGAGGGGGTTGGGGCGATGAAGACGAGACGGGCTCGTGAAAGCTGCGAGAGGCTGATGAGGGAGGTTGAAGCTGCTGGGGAAATGGCAGTGCGCCTGGCGAGAAGCTGGGCTAGGCCTGGTTGGGGGGCGTTAACGTGCTAAAGGGGGGTGGAACAATAATACTGGACGGTTTAGGTGCTAGTGGGAAAACGCGGGCTGCGTCGAACAACAAATACACACCAGAACGCCATTTTGGCTGCTACCATTCGCCGCAGCGCACCGGAATAAACAACCAGGGCGAAGGGATTCGGTTTGATTGTTATTGATTAAGACTATCTATATAGTTCTGCCACCACAATGCATGCTTTTTTTTAGTTGACTCACGCGATGCAAACAGCGGTTTTCTCTCTTCTTTTTTCATTACACTCAAGCTCAAATAGTAGTGTCAATACAACGCAAAGGGCCGTAGTATTTCTTGTACCTCCATGTACATGTACCCTTGGTCTTAAGCAGGGCGGCTCCTGCGCTGGAAACTCAATTAAACACCAGCCCGCCAGCCCTCAAAGGAAGGCCGACAGCACCTGCATGCGCGTCTTGCCCAGCGCTTGCAGTGCTCAACGCTTGCCTGCTGCTTTTGTTCCGGTACATACGGAGTACTTGTATGCGCCCACACGTGCCTCTGCGCATTGAATGGCCGTCTGCAGCCATGTACATGTAATTAAATTGATGCTGCCACTGCAATCACACCACTAGAACCGGGAGGGGGCCGAAAGGACGCATCGCCACTATCCCACTGCAGCATCGCCTTGTCCTTGCAGCTGTTATTGTTGTTTGTTTTGAATCTCGACGTTGCTGCACCTGCATGGGACAAGGTCAATATTATGGGGGGCCGTTCTCAGTGGACGCGCCTAGTGGCTCGGTTGGCTGTCAGTGCTGTCTCTCCAGCGAATACAGCGCCCAATGAGCGCCGTTTCTCCTCCCTGGCCCTGGCTGCCCCGCTGCTGAGGCGCGTTTTTCGTGCCAGGCGCCTCTTTGACGCACCACTTTCGCGTTGGCGATGTGCTCACTTTCGCTCAACGCACCAGACAGGTCTAGTTTCGTGTTGCAGCCAGACGCTGAGTAATCGGGTCACAATGCCGTCTGGACGCTTTTGTTGTTTCTCTTTGAGCCGGCTGCGGATGGCAGATGCAAGGGGCAGCTTTGGGGTCTTGGATACCGGAATCCTACTGGCCGAGTAGAGGGCTCAGCACCTCGCCTTTGCCCGAACAGGTTGCGAGTTGAAAGGCCATAGCGCGACTGACCTGAAGGCATGTACTCGTACTTTTGTACCGTCAACTCGAGAGTCATCCAATCATTGGCGTCGATGTTGAGGCCATCTGAACTTGCTTTGTAGCATTTCCTGTTCCTCGGGAAGCTTCTTCCGATGGCTGAACATTAACACGGTGAGAGTCGAAGCCCGCCACGGCATCTGCCGGTGATAGTTGGCAACCTCATTGGTCTGAACGGCTGGAATAAAAGTAACTTTAGTATTGGCGTCATCCGATTGATCCAGCTCTGAATAGTGGCATCCCTCTTCGTATCTGGGTACATCTCTCTTCATTGAATCTGCAACTTAAATTAATCGCTTATATGGTATCGTGAATAAAATCTCTATTGAGGTGGCCATCGTCAATGTCCTATTTCGTGATTCTATCTATCAAACGAGTTCGGAAATAAATGAGCTTAAAAAAGGTGCCGTTCGCTTATCAGTGCAGCCGCCGTCATCTTTATCCTGTCCCTCTCTATCCATGCAGTCATGCAGTATCTATTTATTTACGCCTGGGATTCTGCCTGGGCCAAAAGCCGCTCTCTCCAGCCATTGCAGACCTCTTCAAACCCGCCAATTACTTCTCCGCATACGCTCGCACACTCCCTTTTCTCTAGCCGCTCGCCCCAGTTTCCTCTGGTCAGCCACTGCTCCCCCTGCTCCCTCAGGTCATCCTCTTTTCTCATTTCGGCAACGAGCTCTTTGGCGCTCTTCAACCTCCGACTGGCTGCGGCTGTTGTTTGACGAGACATGTGCAGTGTGTCGGAGAGGTAACTCAGTGATTGTATCAGTTCTGATGTGATGGAATGCAACGCCGTCAGCGAGTTGAATGCCGACGTCGATGGCCGTGGCATGTCTTCTGTGAGGGATACGAGCAACGGTAGAAGCGTATCAATCGTTTCGACGTCAGGGGCCGGTGCAAGTGGAGAGAGCAAAGGAAAGGTGAGGTTGTGAAGTTGACGGGTCTGATGTGCAAGATGCGTCGTCAGCGCCGAGTGTGCTGTTATAAGCCTGTGATGGATTTCACGTTAGCAACAGAAGGTTTCTTCACGGCTGTTTCCCGGACTTTGGCTCACCTCGAAGCGCTGCCCTCAACGCTAGATTGCGACCCCAGGTCACGAAGCTCCTGAATCACCCTCTTCAAGACATCGTCTGCCGTGCCTCCGTAGTTATCTGTCCCGCGGATTGTGAGGTTTTCGACAGCGTCAATCTTCGCCATGAGACTTGGAGGTATGCCGGCGATATCGAGGTCTGAGTCGGAGCCGTAGTCGCTGCCATCGTATAGACTGGTTTTTCTCTGGTGGCCCTTTGGGCGAGGCGAGAGAAGGCCTGCATCACCATCACTTCTTTTATCATCATTTGCCGACAAGCCCCGTGTTGCCTCGTCTTCGCGACCTGGCTGGTCTGCCGATTTCTCGTAGTCTTGCAGCTCGGCGTCGTAGTCGCCCTCTTCCCCTGAGTCGGAAAACGCATCCGCCAACTCATCAGCTAAATTTCCCATTCCGTTGCTGGCCCCTGTCCCGCCACCGCCTAGCACCACCAAGTCGAGACCATCATGTTGATTCGGGCTGTGCTGGAACGACGTTATAGCATCTTGCGCAGAGGATCTCGAGAAACGTCGAATCGGGGGTGATCCTGCGAAGCTGTCGATTGCTGATGAGTTGCGCGAGTGTCGTGGAGTTCGTGGCGACCCGGGCATAATGGTTGAGCGCAAGCTTGACGGTCAGGTTCTTGGGATATATCAGATGCAGTACTTTCGCAGACTACGGAATAAATATCTGTCGTCTTTCTATTAGCGACTGAGGGACGGTATGGTCTTTTATACAGCACCAACCTTGAGACCGGGTTCTGGTATTCAGTAGGAGAGCCTGAGTCGTTCAAATCCCAGGTCAAGAAGCAGCGGAAGACACCCCCCCAGCCAGGAACCAAAGATACGGTAAGCAGCTCCCTATCGCGATAAGATGCTAATGCATGCAGGTGCTTGTCGATACTTTCTGTGACAACACTTCGAAACGACAATAGCGTGAAGAGCAGGCGGCGGTGTAGCTCCATGTAGGTACCTTATAGGTACTTGCTGCGTTTAATTCTTGACTCGCTTGACCGCACACCTTAGCATGCTGTAGCGTAGCGCAGAGGGGGGAAAGCCTCCCACTTCCAGCATGTTGATCCTTAAATGAACGAATGAGCCGACAACGTGTTCATCTACCTAAATTTAAAAGGGCGAATGGTATCATCTAGCCTTTGAAGAAGAAGAAATGATACTTTATACGTAGTTTTGGTCTGGTGAGATGCAAAGAGCTCCATATCGACTTTATTACCAGTATAAGCGGGCGTGCCACTGGTGAAATCTTCTCTCAGCGCAGTTGTGCTGCAATAAAAACTCCAACATTCCACCACTAGGCCGGCTGAATGGGAACCCCCCACGACCATAAATCATTCACGATTGTTGCTCCGCTAGTGCAAAGCCATAATCCCCAAGCAAGACAACTTCAATTCTTCTGAATTAGTGGTGAGCCTTGAAGAGCCAGGCTACAAGCCGCAACGATGACCACCTTCCGACGATTTCGGCCCGACGACGTCAATAAATTCTCAAAATGCAACTTGGATCCCCTTACAGAGACGTATGAGCTCAGCTTCTATCTTCAGTATTATGCAAAATGGCCTTCTCTGTTTCAAGTATGCGAGGATTCGGAAGGAAACATCGTTGGATACAGTGGGTTACATCCATCCGAGACGTTGTGTCACGCTGCTAATCGATATCTCCGTTCAAAGTCATGGGCAAAGTTGAATCATCGCCAGATGCATACAAATTCTCAGAGCATTACCTTCCTTGGCATGCTCACATTACAGCCCTGACTGTGGCTCCGGAGGCAAGGAGGCAAGGCATTGGCAAAATCCTGGTGGAACAACTGGAGGCTGCCGCCGATGTTCACAATGCTTGGTTCATGGATTTGTTTGTCCGCAGCAGTAATGCAAAGGCCATAGCTTTTTACAAAGAACTGGGTTACAGCGTCTTTCGTGTTGTCAAAGACTATTATGGGGAACATGCCACGGATCCCGACAAGGACAGCGAGGATGCATTCGACATGCGCAAATCTATGAAGAGGGACACAAAGGGCGAGCACGTTCGTGACGACGGCGAGAAACACGAGGTACACCCTGAGGATGTCTGGTGACCTCTGTAATTTGTAGGAAGCGTCTGCATGACGGCAATTGGCAATGGGATTCTGCAAACAGATTCTTTGTACATTTTGGTCATGTTTTCTTTGTGAGGGGGACAACGGCGGGTGCCTTTGAGCTTTAGTTGTGTTTTAGGAGGAGGAGGGTTTGTCACAGGAGGTACCACCCTTACTGATTCTGGAAACAAAGCCGCGGTTGGATTTCAAAGGCTATAAAATTAGAAGAAGAAGAAGGGAGATGGAGAGGAAGAAAGAAAGACAGCATTGATACAGGCACTAGAGATAGAAGAGATAAGAACACGAAGGCATATGAGTATTCGGCATGCGACATTCGGGTATTAATTAACCTGGTAACACAGCACTAATGCCTACCATTCAAGATGACGTATTCCACCCAGTGGCTTTTCTGTACTGCAATATCCATCATCATGGAACCCAATTAAGACCCTTGACACGGTATCGTGGGGAATAACGATGCTCAATTCCAGAATGCAATATATACATGTAACACAGGGATGAAAAATAAGGTACATGTACGAGTACCTATCGTCATTGTCGTTTTGCTGGCGGAATTAGGTAGGCAGTACCTTTAGTAGTGCTAAGGCATGCTGTTGGAGTTCCAGCTGCTAGTTCGCTTTGTACTCCATACCAAGTCGCCACACGGTTGGCCCATGCTTCGCAGTAGCCTTCACAGCTGACACTGGCTGGACAAGGCTTGCCGTCTTGCGAGCCTCCTCTTTGATTCGGGCTTCCCTTCATCTGCAGAAGCCAAGCCGCCAAACGAAGCTCCAGCCTTGTTCCGTTTGTCCCAGATCCCATTGACTGGCGACCAGCTGCAGCCGTTGTTGTGCCCTTTGTGTTTCGCCGCTCGCCCAACCCGCCTAATCATCGGCTTTCACTGTCACAGTACATCTTTTCGTGTGCCACCAGTTTTTTTTTCCTACCCTTCCTCCATCTTCTTCAAGTGGAAGCGACCTGCCTACCCATCACCCAATCACCAGGTTCCGTCGTCTGCTCACTTTCGTCCATCTCGAATCACTCGACAAGCATGGCGACTACTTCAATGGATTACGAGGCCGCCAACGGCGACCGTTACGATGGTTTGTTTCCCCGGCCCCGACGGCGATGGCCATGTCGACTCTCTCGACGCGTTTGTGCCGCGTGGATTCGATGAATTGGGCCGCCGCTAACTCATGTGCTTTTCGCCAGACGAGGCTCCTCGTTATGAGCGTGACAACAGAAGCGCCTCCCCCCGTCCTGCGCGCGACGACACTGGCAGCCGTCGCCGATCCATGTCTCCGCCCGGCCTTCCTGACGTGTAAGCTTGACCATGTCTTTGTCTCGTCGTCGCACTGCCCGCTGACCTAATGCGCAGCAACATCAAAGATGCACCCGCTCCCAAGGAGGATGACGATGGTGCCATTAACCCCGGCTCCAACCTCTTTGTCACCGGAATCCACCCTCGCCTGTCCGAGGCAGAGGTCTCCAAGATGTTTGAGAAGTATGGTGAGGTTGAGAAATGCCAAATCATGCGGGACCCTCACACCAAGGAATCCCGTGGATTCGGATTCGTCAAGATGGTCACCTCTGAACAGGCCGAGGCTGCCAAGGAAGGTCTCCAGGGCGAAGTGATTGAAGGCCGTACCATGAGCATTGAGAAGGCCCGTCGTGCTCGCCCTCGCACTCCCACACCTGGCAAGTACTTCGGCCCTCCCAAGAGAGGTAAGTTGGCATTTCACTCCATCTGCATCCTGATTCTGTTTCCCCATGTTGACAGGTGACTTGAATGACAGACCCTCGCTCTCGCTTTGATGAGCGCCGACGCGGCGGCTACGGCGGCGGTGGTTATTCTCGTGATGACTACTACCGATACCGTGGCAATGAAAGAGGTTATGACCGCAACTATGAACGCGGATACGAACGACGTGGATATGAAGAACGTAGCGGTGGCGGTGGCAGTGGCAGTGGCGGCTACGATCGCAACTACCGAGATGATCGACGATACGAGGAGCGTGGCTACGGAGGAAGAGACTCCGAGCGCAACTACGACCGCAACTACGAGCGCCGTGAGCGCGGCGGCGACGACAACTACGGTCGCGAGCGCTACCGTGAGGACCGTGGAGAGCGCGGCGAGCGCGGTGACCGCTACGGCGCTCGTGGCGGCAACAGCAGCGGCGGATACGACCGCGATCGATATGAGCGCACCGCTGACCGAGACGCTGGCCGATCCCGAGAGCCTGCCGCCAGCAGTGGCCCAGCATACGGCGAGCCTGCCTCACGACCTGAGGCACGTGAGTCATACGGAGGTTTGAATCACTTATGAATGCTACATTTGGGGTGTAGGCGCTAATTGTATCAGGTCCCGAGTCGACTATGCACTGATGATGCCGTCGATTCCGACTGCTCTTTATCGATCTTTGACGAACAAGACATCATTGTCATTAATGGACTGCCTGTTGCTGCTTTTTTCTTTTTCCTATTTTCTAGTTGTTCTTGTTTTATTTGTCTTGTCCACAGTTTGTCAATCGACCTCCGTGGACAGCTGTGGACTCTTCGTCAGGATCTCAATTAGGAGTTTCGTGCGATATGCGACTGCTAAGGGAGGGAAAACAAAATCGGGTTTTCGGCCGTCGCCGCTGATATTTACATTTTTCTTGCTGGTCGGTCTTGCGGCTACAGAGTTGCGCATTGGCCGTTTATGGGCAGCTTCCGGATCTTGCAAAATCAAACACTTCCATCACTCGTCACGTTGCGCTACAACATCTTGATACCGTTAACAACCTTTTCACAACAGCCCAACAAATATCAACCCCAGGCGCCCTGCTCTTTCTTTTCCTGACGAAGTGACCCTAATGGACCACTAAATCCGGTCGTGCTTCAGATGTCAATACTTAAACAATACCTTGGTTCTGCCAAATCTGAGTCGACGGGCAACCACTTCGGATTCAGATTAATACCAGCCGATAATGAACGCATTTACGCCATGAGACTGCTAACTACCATTCTGATAAAGCCAGTAGCCAACGTAAATTCTATCATCCTACGCCAGCCAGCAAATTCCGCCGTAATGTTCTTTTTGACGCGCCAAATGCAGTTATACCCAACTGTTTGTTATAGTAAGGCTTCGTGCACGCAACTCTCCAAATCAGATTCCGGGGTTTCTGCCAGTCCTGAGCTTGGCAGATGCTCCTCTCCGATCAGATACATGCTTCGCCCTTCTTGCTACGTTTTAGATGAGATTCAGAGACATCACTTTCATACCCGCCGGCTACACTGGAGGTGCGAGGTGCGAGGCATCTCGACGACTTTTGCAACGACTGCTCGTTTTCCTTTTCTATTGTCTCATCTCCAACTGCTTTCTGCGATCTTGACTACCATACTAGTTGACATACTAATCGAGTATAGGAGGAATAATATGGCATGCTCGCATGGGGGCCAAAATGCTCTCTCTAGGAGCTCTCGCTCTAGGTGAAGCCAACAATGTCCCAACACACGGAGCGCCTCAAATACGCCGCCGTCTTATAACAATCCCAAATATGCACGCTGCAGAGCGCTCGTCACCTCGCTTCGGTATGTTAGGATCCTAAGCTATACTCTATTTTGCCGGAGCTAGCAGATCGTAACGTCATGTATCAATTATGCTACCTCAAGCCATGGCATACTGGATTATTAGTAAAAGGCGAGCCTTGATCGAATATGTTGTAGTTCGGGGTCTAACTGCTTGAGATTGTCCGACACGACAGCACTTCATATCCCCATTGTCTGTTTCTAAGACAACTCCCATCCATAGTTCAAACAAAATTAAGAACAGCTTAATAAGCTAGTTGTAGAATATCGTATCTGAATCATCAAAAAAAAAAAAAAAAAAAAAAATCAAGTTTCTGTTTGTTCTCGATTCACGCTTGCCCCAATCAGCCAGCCAACTCCAGAGACGAGTGTGCCGGTGGCGGCCTCTCTAAGCTGATCCCTCTTCCTTAACCGCTGTGGCGCCTGCTCTCCGGTTGGTGATGGTGCTGAAGGCCTCGAGGTGGCGAGCGATGACAGGCTGGACAACTTTGTGAAATTGCGCTGTGCCACACTGGCGGTTGCCCGTGATAGGTCAAACAGGGACATGGGCGCCTCCTCCGCCTGTTTAGCTGCAGCCGTGGCCGTCATGTTCCGCGTCGACTGCAGATTGTGCGAAGTAGACGACTCAAACGCGCCGGGGACCTCGCCAGCGGAAGCCCAAGAAGCCTCAGCAGCGGCCTCCTCGCTAATGGCAGAGTCCAGCTGCTCTTCGCAGCGCCGGAATGTTTTGAGGATTTCCTGCAGCTGGGAGGTGGGCGCGACGCGCAGCGCAGTGGCGAGGCACTCTATCCGCTGTTCCAGGTGACGGATCTCGGGGTTGCCGCTCGCTATGCCGAGGTGTGTTGGCAGCAGAGTTCGCTCGGTGCGGATGTACTGCCCGGCTTTCAGGGCGGCCTTCCAGGACCATTCGTCTTCTTCGTTTGAGCGCTCTTGGGTTCCGTTGGAGGTGGTCGTTTCCAGGCGACTAACCACATAAGAGTATGCCGTCTCGAAATCGTCTTCCCTCAGCGCAGCTTCTATGCACAGGGCTGTGATGAACTTTTCTACTCGAATAAGCTCCTTGCTGTTGTCTCCTGTTGTTGACTCTAGCTTGACGGAGCGAGCTTGTTGCGTGATGCCAGCGCGCACCATATTGGCCGCCATTTCCAAGAACTCGGGGAGACGAGTGTATGCCTTTGGATTTTGTTCCAGAACCTTGTCGATTATGGATACTGGATCGGAATGAACGCGAAGGACTACAGGCTTAAACGGTTCGCCTTGCTTAAGCGTAAGCCGATATTCACTCAAAGCATGCGTGCATCGTAAAAGGGCTTCCACCCGTTTGGTAGCCGGGTGCGTATTGGTTAATGTCTTTGGGAATGAGTGAATGCTTGAGATGATGTCAGTGTTTCTTCTCGACGCTAAATATGCAGGGCTTCATTCTTACATCTCATCGCACTTCTTCAGCCCTCCTCTTGACCGATTGGGGTTGGAAGCATTGTCAAAGGCACGCAGGGCCGCTTGGTATACTGTATCTTGTATGATTTCCGAGGCAAGGGGCTGCTTGGGATCGTCTTCGTAGATGCTCTTAGCAAGTGTATAGCCTGTAACTCACAGATTAGTAAAAGTAAAGGTAGCCGATGAAAAGGTCATATCGTACGTGAGTTGGAGAGAAGAGCTTTTAGAATCTCCGTCTCGATGAATTCCTTGGGAACTGCTCCGATAATCCCCCTTATAGCTTCGGAATTGGTAGACTGGTCCCCATCATAACCCCAATTGTTCAACCATAGCAAACGGTCCCTTATTTGTGACCAGTACGTATCTTCGTCCCCATGTACTTTGGTGGCCGCGCTGCGAATAAGCTTGGCGATTTCTCCTTTTTGCTCACGCTGGTCCTGAATAAAGGCCAAATCTCCAGCTTTTCTAACAGAGCAAGGTACGCCCAGGGTGGTACAGATATAGGCACTCAGAATCAACGCTATTAATAAAGTCATTGCTCCCTCTGTGGGGGAAGTTAATGGATTCTTTTCTTCAAGTAGATCGTTCCTCATATATGTCGCAGTCTTCATGCCAATGAGTGACGACACATCAAAGCCCGACAGGCTTGGTAGTATGGAGATGGCCATCTCCAGGGTGGAAGGAACCTCACTGTAGCCAAGCATCCGTCTCATCTTGCTCGCCATCTGATAGGCGCCTGGAAGTGCTCCCACCGTGGCTTCAGATACTAGATAGGCAGACGCAAGCACCGCCCGTACATAGCTGCGTAGCAGATACTGTTGCTGAGACTCTGTGAGTTCCAAGTTGGCCGCCTCCCCTAGATCCAGGTCTCTGGGACCTCCCCACTGCTCGGCTACAGCAACAGCAACGGTCCATGAAGTAGTTGCTTGGCCGACGAGCCATTCTAGGAACTGCTCCCACCCAGCAGACAAGATTGCCGGTCCCGTGTCGCTGGCGGTATGCTCTCCACTTGTAGAATTTGATGCCCACCGGGACTTTCCCTGAAGCCATGGCCCAACCAAGCCTCTAATATCACGGCCGATGAAACCTCTATCATCCTCGCGGCTTCCAGTCCGTGAGAGCAAATAGAGCACGGCTGCTGGATCTGAGAGCTTCTGAAAATCGAGAAGAGAATATGGATGATTCTCATCAGTGTAATACTCCACGTTTCTCCTTACATACGGGACCACGGTCGACGTAATCCAAGATGACAGTGCCGGTGAACGGGATTGAAATAGAGCCAGTAGACTTGGAACTTGTGACAGAAGACCAGTTTCGCTATCCATCTTATACGACCTCTGGATAAGAAAGATGGTTATCGCATCATCTTGAAAGTCGCCTGGTGCCTCGGCGGACGTAAGATGCTGCAGACGCAGTTTCCTTGCCTTCTTGGAAGCTTCATCTTCAGACAAGTCGTCAACAGGAGTTGTGTCCAATCCACCCTCGTTGTACTCTTCAAGATGATCCCCAGCCAGCGCGAGTAAAAAGCCAACGTAGGCAGAGGGCTTTACAGTTTCAGGCAGGTAAGTAAGCAGAATCCTCAACAACAGCTCTTTATGCAGGACTTTGTCTCGTTGGCTGGACAAGCGGGCGAGGCTCTCAATATCGCCGTGCGTGGCATAGTGTGCGGCGAGAAGTAACACCTTTCCTGGTGAAAGCGAGGAGCTCATATTGGAGTTGTTTTCCCACAGATTTGGCTGTGGACAATCCAGGCCTTGAGGGCCGGTGAGATGAAATGATAAAATCTCCTGGAAAATAAATCCGATCGCTCGCCAACGAGGAAACCAGCTGTAATAGATTAGCTATTGCCTGCGAGCATTCTTGATGCTGTCACCAGGGGAGATTATTGAATTAGCCGGACTTAACTGTCCCGATTCGCCAATGGGGGGCATTCCAGCTACATAACGGGGCTGAGAGGATATCGGGGCGCATGACTTATCTAGAGATACTTTAATTATCATAGGGGATACTAAGAGATAAAAAGTACTACTGTTAGTGCCCAGACGAGCACTAATCCCGATGTACCGAACCTTGACAACCATCCATTGATTGAAGGAAAAGGTGAACCTACTAGGTAGGCGTCGCAACAAACAACCACTCGGCACATCATGAGTTCAGGATATGGCATGCATGGCGGTATGTCCTACTATCCAATGGGGGAATCTTTGGACATTGACTGACTGCATTTCCAGGCGTCGGCCGTTGCTTTCCTTTCTGGCAGGAGGTCATGGCCTGCTATGTCGTCAACACATCGGCCGCAGACGACTCAGGCAAGAAGAAGTGCTCGCCCGTTCTAGAAGATTACTACGAGTGCCTGCACCACAAGAAGGAGGTGTGTTTCGGGAGCTAATGTGCTGGACGAGGTGGACGCGGCTAACGAGGAGCAGCATGCGAGAGCGCTGGCGTTACAAGCCGCATACGCCCGAGCTCAATCAGCAACCGCACGAGACGATGCGCCGAGTGCAAGCCAGATCCGAAATCTGGGACTGCTAGGGAAGACGGAGGACACAAAAGCGGTGCTTGGACAGGGGAACTGAGGCAATAGACGTGGCGGGGTTTCGATTTCTTCTGCGCGACTACAACCTGTTTGCGCGCATAGATAGCGCAGCAAGTTCAATATAGGAAAACCAGGCGGAATTGGAGAGCCTCTTCGAATGTTGATTGTGAATTGGCGACTATTCCTGTCAGCTTGAAGGCTGCAAGTCTGTACAATATCAACAACGTATATTTTCACTCATCAAGGAACGCGGGCAATTGCGTGTCACTTGGTCAACTTCAAAGATGTGTGAGTCAAAAAACACTCACAGATGTCTCCATTGATATACATCGTTTGTTATGGAGACCAATCAAGTCCGGATGTGGGCAGATTCTGAAGTCTAGCCAGAGTGCTCGGATGCAGGTCACAAATCTTGAATTGCCATGCCAGCCATATCTGTTGGGTAACTCCCAGCCTCTCAGCCGGCAAAAGATGTCCTAACAGCAACGGTGTACTTGGTAGGTTAAAAAACATGGTTGACTGCACACATGTGCCCTTTCTGCCATTTTCAGGATGGACAGCTGTTAATGTTGACTTTGTAGTGGGTGGTTGGTGCTATTTGGGCATTCGTTCACTAACCGACCTGCTCTATGGAGGTGCTGCTCACCCTGTGACCCTCAGTATACAACTTAACCCCCTATAAACCCAATACTGCAGGCTCCCGTTTTCCTTCTTTCATCAAGTTCCACCTCTTTTTGCCCATGCCATCACGAGGGCCGACATTCCGTCTCCTGTAAAGCAATCATGCCTTGCTTGCGAGGGATCGAACTGTCTCTCGTTATTCAGCCAGACTCGGTGCTGCTACCTGAATTTCCACACCCCGATGCTTCCTCAGTTCACGTTGCATCTGTAGCCGAAGCAGCTCGCATGGTTCAAGAAATTGATGAGATGCCTCCTGGCTTGGAGTCGCCTCGAATCCAAAAGACGGCTCCAAGGGCCTCTGTCTATATCCCTTCTGCGCCTGGATCACAGTTCTGGGTGCAGTATTCCATTCATCGCCACCCGGAGCCTCCGTGTTACCTTTTCTTCAAACTGCTCATAAATGGCCGTAACATTACGAGCTGTGGGATTAAACCTGGTACAACGTCAGGCACAATCACACGGGCCCTCTTTGAGCCAAGTGACAGATGGTGCTTGAAGCAAGACGGAATGCTGCTCAAACGAAGTGGGATTGAATCGCGGTCCTTTTGTTTCTCCCCTGGCCCCGATGCAATTGCTGCAGCCGATGACGGTGGCCTAATCGAAGTTCAAGTCTTTCGAGCAAAAAGCCGCCGGAGAAGTACTCCTCGATTGACTGTTCACCGGGATCAAGAACGATATGGGATAATGTAAGTTGAGCCCCTGAAACTCAAAATAAAAGTGATGGAATGAAAGAAGAAGCAGAAGAAGCTTTTCGTTCAGGTCAATATTGCTCGTGTGTGCTCAAGCTAATATGTAACCGCATAGATCACCCTCAACGGGACTCCTTGATCATCCTGAAGATGCAGTTTACTACGAGTGGGTTTTACAGGATTCAACAGAAGCACCATTTGCGACTTTTTGTTTTCATTATCGTGCTTGGGCTTATCTGTTGGATCTCAATCTCGTAACAGATAATTACAACTCTCTGCTATATAACACCAGACTTTGGGAGGGGCATGGAAGCAGCCAACATAAAGCCACTACGCATGGTATGTTGGAGGTTCAATCAACGACTTCACACGTGGGATTGGATTTGGAATATTACAGCAAAGACCATGATGTAAAAGTTACTGTATCACCTCCCGGCAGCGATCTTAACCATTCACAAGACGTTGTTCAACCAGATGTGGAGCAAAATCCGTTGGAAGTACGAAACGGTCTGTTCTCACGCCGCAGGGAAATTGCCACATCACCAAAGACATCATTTGAGGAACCATCAGACTCATACACCCGCTTGAGCACGCTGTTGCTTCTCCCACCACTCATGGAGGAAGACATATTCGCCAGTTCCTGTGAACCACTTGAGCACGAAACAATAACGACGTCTCAATACCGCTTCTTGTCCCGAGAAAGTCGCTGCTCGCGCTTCCGTCGGCCTCTCCCTACAGTGAATGAGATCCCAAGGCTAGAATGACCAAATGGGGTCTCTAATATGTCATGTACATATCCGCTACTCTGGTGATAAGTAGATGAGCCGTGATGGCGCGGCGACTAAGGGGGCGTTTTCGAGTTTAATGCTGCCACAGATGCAAAGAAATTAATTGATGTACAAATCTATGATTAGATTTGGTAAAGATTCCCCAGGGTTTGAGGAGATTAAATGTTATTTCTGAGAAAAGCATAAGTAGAACTGTCAGTGTTTAGTTATACGTCCTAGAGCTCTCTATACGGAGGCTGTTCTATCTCCTGGCAGAACTGCCAGATAATGCACGCCTAGAGACACATAGGCAGATGAATACTGAGGTGAAGAGAGATTATGTAGCAATAAAGATGTATAGATAATTGACTCGCTCGCCGTTTTAATCTCTTCCTGGATGCCGTCACAAGGCCTTTCCTCCATATTCACCTCCCAGCCGGCAGAAAGCTGCTACACCTGACCGCCCAGCTCCAGAACAGTTCTGTTTCTATTTTCTTTCTCACCATTGGCCATCTCCTCTCCCTCTCCCATCACACAGGTCCCACACAGCGTTTTTCCTAATCATCACAAATGGTCTCTGTGATATCCTAATCAGACATGGCAGACTCAGGCTGGATGCGGCTCCTGCCAGGCCAACGATGCCGCACTCCAGTCTCCCCCCTGAGCCCCTACGAACAAGCCGGAAGCGAAGATGCCTTTGAAGCCAACCATCTGAGAATTGCTCCACGCCCCTTGGCCGGATTCTACCATTCGCCGGCGGATTCTGGAAACGACATCCTTGTCAGAGAGGCAGATAGACTCCAGAACACGCCGTCTGTGGACGAAATGGCGGATACGTTGCGGACTACCATCATGGTGTCTTCGACGCCGCCGACGCTGGGGCCGCAGTATACGTCGTATGTGCTTCATCTCATCGAAGGCTACAGCAAGATCCGGATGAAGCTGTCCAAGAAGGAGAAAGAAGTCACCCAGCTAGAAGCTACGCGGCAAGAAGACAAGGAGCGGAGCAAGGCCCTCGTTTCCGACTGGGCTGCGCAAGAGGCCCGATACAAGGCTGAGATCAAGCGGCTGGAGCTCATCATCCAGCATGTATCTGGCAAGGGCGTCGAGGCTGTGGCGCTGGCTCGATCGGGCAGCCTCATTCGGAGAGGTGGACATATTGTAGAGGCAAATGGGACGGAAAGGGTGGGTGCAGGAGAATCTCGCCTTGACGAATACGGACTTGATTCTTCTTGTCTTCAGGGCAAAGATGGCCAAGGCAGGCGAACGTGTGAGTCATGGTTCAATCCCAACCATCACAGATTCCCGTTTGCACTTCTTGCAGAGACTAACCACTTCTTGCTCTGGTTCAAACTGGGTATAGCATCGTCTAGTGACACCGTCGATTTGACAGCCCGTTTGAACACAAAGAGAGAGCTTTGGAGACATCGCTCCGAAAACAACCTCTTGGCGCCGTCTCGAAAAGGCAGAATCGGCCGAGGAGAGCACCGACACGGCCAACTTTTACTACACTTATCAACTCCTCCCACGTCTTTTACAGCAGATGCCTTAAAACGCGAGGCAGAAGAGGATGACAGTTTGTCATGTGAAGAAGCTTTGATTGAGAGCGCAATGGGTGGTGGTAAAGAACTAATTCTGCAATGAAAATCACGTTGTTGCCCCCTGATCTGCTATATCATCTTTATATTTAGCAGCAGCAGATACCGCCTCATGGACGCAGCCAAGTACACCGATATTCTGATTTTCATTATTTCCAATCTGCTCAACTTTCCTATGGACTTCTGAGTTTTGCATGGTGGTAATATGCAGGCAAGATTGCGCAATTCCTACTGATTCCATATCTGAGGGCACTCTCCAACCCTAAGCAATTTTCCAAATCCAGGGGCGACTACATCGAACAAGATGGTGGCTTAAGAAGAGCTACCCTGAAATAGGGGTAGATAATCTAGATAGAAGAGAAGAATCACGCCGCAAACAGATATTGTATCATTCTGGTCAAGGGCACCAGCTCCCACATCTTCACTGTCACCATCTTTCCAAAGTAACAAGTCAAATAGTACAACGCCATCCACAGGCAGAAATCCAAAAAATCCATTAAAAAGGTATAATGCTGTCCGTAGCATCCACTAGCCTGCTAGTCCGATACAGATCAAGCCCCATGGCATTGGGAGTACTTGCGTTTCTCCCTTAATGCAACGCCCATAATTTCATGTATCCCAGAAACACAACAAGTAGTGCCATCTAGAGAGAACATTCACAAGTATATGTCACCGCCCTTACCCGCAACCCATCGCCGCCATGCCTCCTCGTAAGCCATTTCCAAGTCAGTTACCCACCGGCGCGTGTCGAAGAGTCCGCACTCCCATTTGCTGTCCCATAGCAATTTCCGTAAGTCCGCCAGACGCCCCGTACCCCGGCCATATCCTTCGTCTGTTATCACATAGCTTAGTCCTCCAGCCAATTGTGTGGCTGAATCCTCGTATTCCGTTTCACTATCCGCAATCAACTCCTCTGCTGCTTGCCGACCCTCTGCCGTTTTGGGCAACGCTCCTCGGAAGATGGATGCTGCCATTCGGGAGCACATCTTGTATGAATATCGGGGCAAGGTGAGAAGAGGTGTGCTTGACCACAGGACATCGGCAGCGGTCGTATGAGCGTTGCATTCTGCAGTATCGAGAAACAGGTCGCATACTCTAGCTCTGGTGATGTGCTGGCTCTTTGGAGCTACATCAGTAAAGATGAGCCGACTGGCAACCTCTGCACCAGCCCAGGATTCAGCTGTTTGTCGCAGGTTGGTCTCTCCCAGTTCAGGGAATCGTAGCAGCCAGAGTATGGCCTTGGGGGTTCTGGCCAAGATTCGTAGCCAAGACCGGAAGGTAGTAGGATCAATCTGCTGTCAGGTTAGCTCTCAGTCGACATGTTATATCTATATTCATCCTTCACTTGCCTTGTAGAGTTGATTGAAGTTGCCTAATATAATGACATCGTCTGCTATTGTGGGAAATAGCTCCTTGCGCATCTTCCACCGGCGTTTCTCTTCATCCTCCCACGTCATGCCACGTTCATCGGCATCAGACGACTGTGCATGGTCACAGCAGAAAAAAGTGTCACGGCAGAATATGATATTCTCCGAGTACATCCACTGGAGTTCATCGGTCTCATTGTTGTCGTGAAATACATCGTTGATGTTAGTATTCATCCTCCAGGGACGCAAAGTGCTTGGTGGGATAGCGGTTGTGTCGGCGAGTAGGTAATCGCACCACTCGGCACCAAGCGTTCCCGCGAATCCCATAAAGGACATCTGGATCGGGGCTGGGCGGGCAGCAAAAATTTCATTGCGAGCACCTCTCGTGTAGCCATTAAGATTAACCAAGATGTGGATCTCATCGCGAATGATCTGTTCGATAAGTTTATCTGCTGGCCAAGAACTAACGTCACGAAACACGGGTGCCTCTCTTTCAATTTGTTGTCGATGGATAGATCTGTCACTGGGGGTTGTGGCATAACAAAAAGCCCGAGCACGTCGAGGATTGTGAAATCCAAACACCGATTGCATTCTGCATTGAGCAACAGCCTATTAGTCCTGTTCCACCACATGCCAGTTACATGGGAAGGGGGTGTGTTACTCACAGATGAGCCAGTGGGTGGTTATTAAAGTCTGACGACACATATCCGACATTCAAATGGGGGTTTGGCGGAGGCGGCGGAGGATAGACAGTAGCCGGCAGCCAAGGGGCTCGAAGAGTTGAGCAGGATATTCGCATTGCATTGCGCTGAGAAATCGATCGAATGTCTTTGGCAGATAGCGGGTACGTGAAAGTGTGGAAAGGAAGCACAGTTGGCGCGGAGGGAATGGTAAGATTGGGAGGCAGCTGAGGTCGTAGATAGCGTGAAGGCGTAACCTCCCTCATCGTAATGTACTTGTCATGATACCAGGTCCACATGATGACTCTTGTAGCCCGTTCCACGAGGCGCACCAGGCGTGAGCCTTCCCACGGCTCGCCAGCCCAAACACTTATTGCATCCTCCAAGGTGAATGCACGCGGGCGACAGAAGTCACCCAGCTGTCTCGCCAACGCATGAATAGTTGGCGGTTGTAGAACGCCGCAGCCCCATTGCGATGCGTCACCTAGCTGCTGACTTATTATGCCAATCACTCGTTGTGTAAGGCCGCTCCCATGCATGGCCGTCTGCACGTCCACCAAGGTGCCTTTATCGTCGACGTGCCATCGGTCGTATTTGCCCAATTCGAGAAGCGCTCCACCTCTGCCACGCCAATCGCATACAGAGTTAAGTGCTGTTAAGAGTCCGCAGACGGCTTCGGCGAATTCTGGATTCGCTTCCACCGCTCGTCTGTAGTAACCAATAGCCTCTTTTATACGGCCCTTGTCTTTTACTGCATTGGCTAGGTTGGTCAAGGCAATATCAAAGGTCCTATCGCATGAGACCGCTCGCTCATACATTTGGATTGCCAGGTCCAACTGCCCAACGTCTTTGAGGAGGCTCCCCAGGTTGGTGTGCAGGTGAACATGTCTGGGATCAAGACGAAGCCCGTAATTGTAGTACGCCAAAGCGAGAGAAAGACCACTGCCTGGCACAACACCAGGCAAAGTAGGTCGAGAAGTCGCTGCTGTTGAAGTATTAGCATTGTTTGGAGCCATTTGCTGCTGTACGCCCGCGAGGAGGATCCCGATATTGTTCGCGGTAGAGGGACTTTCTTGGAGCGAAAGAGATAGATAATACAACGCCAAGATGTCACCGATCCCTGAGGGTTGCCTGAGCAGAGTGGGAACAACCCCCCCGCCAGACATGGCGTCCTGAAAAATCTTGGCCAGAGAAAGCAGAGCATTGCTCGTCGTCTGCACGGCGACTCGCCTGGCGGCACCTTCGGGAACGAATGCCAGTCCAGGCAGTTCGCTGCCTCCGCCGCCAGCCGCAAAGACAAGACGAGCAGTTTGACGAGCCCTTTCCGGAGGTAGTAAAAGGGGTCGCCGAGAAACTTGTTTTTGGCTGTTGCCAGTCGGGAATGAGCCTGCCGGCGAAAGCACAGCATGGATTCGATTTACCAACTCTTGAACGCTTTTTATGCGCTCCCCGACACTGATCAGCACGGCTTCTTCAAATGCCTCTGAGGCTCTTTCAATATCCTTCAAGCCATAGAGTATTGTGCCTTTGGCGTGAACCAGTGCTAGAATCCTGCCATTCTCGCTGTTAGGGAGCGCATATCCGCTAGACCCGGATTCAGGACCCCCCGCGATGCGGTCACCTGTTAGGGGAGCAGTCTCGGGTTCAAAATCATAACGCGCAGCAGTTGATTGTTGGCTGTGAGAATAGTCATCGGAAGATACGGAGCGAACGCCACGGGGAGGGTAGGCAGACCGGGTGGATTTTTCTTTGGATAATTTCAACGCTTGCTGCACGAAGCAGATGATATCGATGGCGTCTCGGCTACGTTTTTTGTACAGCAATCCAACGAGCTGTTCCGTAGCTTCTAAATGAGCAGGGCATAGCTTGATAGCCTTTAACCAATGCTGCTCAGCTTCTTCTTGACGGTTGAGGCAATAGAGCGTTGCGGCTATGTTTGTGATAGCCTCAACATGGCTATAATCTGAGTCAGATATAGAACAACCACTTGATAGTTCATCTGGAACAGGTCGAACCTTGAATCTAGAGCAAGAACTCTGGAGAACCATTCCACAGCATCATCGAACCGCGACAGGCCATATAAGAGACACCCACCGAGTAAAATCCCATCAATCCATTTCCAATTACTTTGTTCACACAAGTTCTTCAAAATATCCAACGAGTTTTTTGCATTCAGAATGGGTAGCGCTTTCGCCATGGCAGCAGGACCAAGTGTACCAAGTGAAGATGACGCGGCATACGCAGCAGGTGAAGCGTGGAATTGCGATACCGACGTGCCAGGCCGGTGACCTTTCACATGGGCGTCTTGCCCGGTCTGTTGTCTGGTGTTGTTGCTCAAGGTATCCTCAATATTGGATGTAAGAGCCCGGGGGTGGCTATTCGGCATGATTGTCGAAGAAATGGGTCGCTCAACACTACGATACGCATCCCGCACGGCACCAAGATATTCTTTTCTAGCCTTTGGGGGCCTTGGAAACACCAGGATCTTGAACCTTGGGTTGGAAGTGCCGCCACCACTCATCTGGTCGAACCTCTTGGCAGTTTGCAGGTACGCCAGCAATTCAACATAATGTTCTTGAGCCTGCGAATAGGCCTTTTCCGTAAAACTCGGCTGAACAGCATATTGTTCGTTGATGGGAAGATTTTCTACGATTGCGCTCTGGCCCATATAACCCCCCTGTAGCAATGGTTGTGGGGGCTGTGGGATATTGAAACCGACTTTCAAGTCCGCTGTAGGTCTATAAGGTAGCTGAGCATCTGAAACATGGTGCAAAAAGCTCCCCGAAAGGCCGGATGGCACACTCCTCTGATCAAAGTGTTGAGGGGTGTCAAGATGGCCATAGCTTCGCTGCGAGGCACCCAACTGCCAGCCAAATTGATCAAAGGTCGCGGTGTCGGTCGTCGAGGCTGGGGGCGGACAAAAGGCGCGCACATTGTACTCTGCCGCCCTCATAAGTGGTTGATAGGCATCTGGGATCTGGTTGAACATGGGGTATCCATATGGTTGCCAAGGGAGCACTGGCTGGAGGGGCATTGAGGAGCCGCTGGAAAGAACAAAGTTGGACCTCTCATTGCTCAAGGGCCACGGCGATGCCAGATGGGGCTGCCCCAGACTTCTCTGATTATGTTCCAGGAGACGGGACTTGGCGTGGAAGGGTAAATTATTCGGAGGTAGATACGGGTATATGCCCGAGGGCGTCGGAAGGATCACTTGCTTGAGTGGCGGCGGGCCAGGCGACAGCTGCGTCGGCGATCCATCATATCCTGCGTCGATGGTGCCCCGAGGAGTCTTGCGGCGCAGGTGGTAGTCGTAGTCTCGTGAGCCCTGAGAGGAAGAGGAAGAGGTGGCCGAGCCAAGGTATGGCTGTGAGGAGCGGTGGTAGGGTGACGCGATGGCTCGTCTCTCAGACTCGGGCCTGGCGCCGTGGCCCGTGGATTCCCCAAAGGCGTCGAAATTGATTGGCACCACGCGAGGGTGCGTCTGCACTAAGGGCAACATGCCCAAGGATAGTCGGCGAGTTTAATGGCGAATGCGAGCTTCAAGGAGGGAAGACCGCGGACGAGGAACAATGTCGTTCGTTCACATCATGGCTGAGGACGCCTGCAGGCATCGGGGGCTGGGCTGCGCTGATGTGCACGGGGCCAGCAGCTGCAATAGCGGTAACGACTACGTCCCAGTCTAACGCCGCTTCTTGAGGTACCGGGTTTGTGCGTCGTACCTTGCAATGAGCAAACACAGCATGGAGTTTCAAGCAAGGGAAGCGTAGTGACAACGGGCTGAGCTAGGGAACTTAAGGCTGGGTGATTCAAGCAAAAGCAGGGGGGGTTATGATGTACCAACTAAAGCGTTGGTGCCAAGCCGTGTGGCATGTACTTTTGTATACAGTGTGTATGTATGTGCTGGCATGTACCTCTGTATGATTATGAGTACATGTGAAAATATCTGCTGGGGGAAAAGGGTATTAAGCAGGTATTTCTTTTGCAATAAAACACAAGGATCACGGGTATTGCGCTTGAGGGGAAGCCGGAGTAATGTCAAACACTTCTAAACAGTACCCTGTTGAAATCTAAATGTAAAGTGCTCATTTGACAAAGGCTAGAAACAAAGGCGATGGTTGCTAACATGGTGAAGCCGTCAAATATTGCTGGAAAAAAATCTATACCGTCCAAGTCCTCCTCTATAGTCCTCTATATGAATTTACCGTCCAAGTCCAGCTTCCTTTGCGTTCTATGGCTCTTGCAGGAAGCCCACCACAGCTATGCGTGCATATGTCAGTAACATGGATCTTGCGCAAGCGTGCTTTAGAGTGTTTGTTAAATTACCTTGCCTGAAAGCCTCAGGCTGTTCCGATATTAGCCAGTGACCAGCGTCGACGTCGGCCAATCTAAACCGCGGGAAAAATTGACCAATGATAGGCAGCACATCGTCTGGTACGTATTTGCTCTGGGTGCCTCGAACGAAAAGGGATGGCTTTGTGTACCGTGCCTCGCCTGGACTCTTGTAGGGAAAGTCTCCAAGGTGGTCGAGTGATCGACCTAGGATATCCAGAGGAACACGAAACTTTTGAATCCCATCTTCTGGTGAACGATACAGGTTTCCTAGCAGAAATTGACGAATTGGGAGCGACTGTTGCAAGACACTGTCAGTCTTTAAAAACGGATGTAGGAGAAACTGACGATGGAACTGACCTCTTCGTACTCTTGGAGAATGGCATCTGCTTCGGATTGGCGGCTGACTTTGGCTTCCTGGATCTTCTTCATCCCTCGAACGTAGGAAGCAAATGTTCTGCTGAGCGTGACGTCGATAGGGGCATTATCAACTGCGACAACCCTCGCCACTGTTTCTGGTGAACGAAGGGCAACAGACATGGCCGTCTTGGCTCCCCTGCAATGACATCAGCCGACTGTGAGGCTTCTAGCACTCTCGGAAAGCATACATAGAATGGCCTATCAGAGTCGGCTCTTTTAGGCCATGATGGTCAATGAAGGCCAGAATGTCTTCAGTCATGGCAACATAGTCATGACGGGGATCGTGGGGAGATTCTCCATGATTCCTAAGATCCTTTACCCTACTTATTCAACATGCTTGCCGTGGCTAGTTGGTTCTCATGAGATTCACCTACCACAGTGTATACGTGGGTTTTCAAATCCCGGGCCAAGGCTCTACCAAACTTGTAAGTTGAGATACCGCAGCGCAAGTTTGGATGCCGCTTACTTGCTAATTCCTCTGTTGTTCTTCTTGGATCCAAAAAGACCATGCATAAAGATTATCGGCGCAGTTTTCTCATCCGCCTTGGGGCTCGCCGGCGCATGGAGATCGAAGGCCAATGGCGAGACAGGCTGAGGATACGGCGTTGTAGAGACCAGTCGCACATTGCGACACGTGCCCAGCCGGGTGGCATTTACAAGCCGCGAGCGCAGAGGAGAGAGCATATTTAAATGCGTATGATTAAGGAAGATGAATAATTCTCAATGCCCCCCATCACCAGGTCGAAGTACTAGCAGATGCCACTAAGGTAGAGGCGGATGAAGATCACAGTGCCAGTACTGAGTACATGCAGTACCGCAAGAGGCTCAACCGCCTGTAAATTAGAGAGGTGGGTAAGCCAATCTGCCTGCTTACAGGATTCAGTACGGAGTAGGTAAGCAGGCAAAGCAGGTAGACGTCATAGGTGAGGTGCGTCTGTTTAGCGCCATGGCAAAGGGTCTGAATCAGTCCACGGCCATTGATATTACAATAATATATTGTGAAAGAGAAAAGAAAAAAGCAAAGAAACAATACTAGGCGGGTTGATTAGTAAGCGAGCCTATTAGGCCCCCGCCTCTCTATACTAGAGAGGCAGGTATATGACCTATATTGTTACGTTCCGTTATACCGTAGCACCAACAGGGCAAAAGATTAAGCCAATAATCGCAATTGCAGTAATTAAAGTAACGGAACCAGCTATTTATAAGGGATCTAGCTGTTACGAAGGACCGGGTCGTAACATATATTTTATAATAATATATATTTAACTATTTTAACTTTATAGCTATAATATAACACTATATTAAGAGATTTTAATAAAAAATAATAATATATATATAAAATTATTAATAAATTTATTTTTAATATAAATTTTATTATATTTAAATATATAATTAAAAAAAAAATATTTTTATTTAATAAATTAAATATTTTTATAAATATAATATATTAATTTTATATTTTATAATAATAATAATATATAGTTTTATTTTAATAATAAAAAATATTTTAAAAATATTTTTAATTTTTAATTAATTTTTTTTATAGGTTTAATTTTTTTAAATTATTTTATAATAAATTAATATATAAAATTTTAAAATATTAAAAAATTAAAAAAAATAATATATATATAATTTAAAATTATAATAATTTAAATTTTAGTAATATTTTTATTTTTAATATTTTTATTTATTATTAAAAAAAATATTAAAATATAATTAATTTTAAAACTTAAAATATTATAGTTATTTTTAACTTTAAAATTATTATTTATTTTTAACTTTAAAATTATTATTTATTTTTAATTTAAAAGTTATTTTAAAAGGTTTTTATTTATAAAATTATTTTAAAAATTATTATAAAATTACTTTTTAATATTATTTACTATAGTAAAAATTAACTTGTATTAATAATTTTATTTTATATTTTTATATAGTTTTTTATTAATGTTTTTTTTTTTAAATTTATTTATATTAAAAATATTTTTAAATAATTTTTTGATATTTTTTTATTAATAATGATATAGTTTTATAAATATAATATTAATTATATTTTAATTATTTTTTTATTTTATAATTATTTTATAATTATTTTATTAATTTTAAATTTAATAATAAATTTTAATTTTAATTTTATATTATTACTAAATAATTATTTTTATTAAATTATTTAAAATATTTAAATTTTTTTTAATTTTTTTATTTATATATTTTATTAATTATAATACAATTATATTTATAATAAAAAAAAGTATAAAAAAAAACTCTTTTATTATTAAATTTAATTATAATAAAATATAAAAAATTAATTTTTTAAATTTTTAATTATAAATTAATTTATTTAAAATTAATAAAAATATAATATATATTAAAAATAACTTTAATTATTATATTTAATTAATAAAAAAATATTTTATAATATTAATTATATAAAAAATTTTTTAATAAATTTTTTTATTAATATTATTTAAAATATAATAATATATTATAAATTATTTTTTATAAAATTTAATTATTATTTAATTAAAAATATTATTTTAATAATATTAAAAAATATTTTTAATTAAAGTAAATTATACGAGTTATAATATAGTAAAGTTAAAAAGTTAGATATATATTGTTATAAGATATAGGTTATATACCTACCTCTCTAGTATAAAGAGGCGGGGGCCTAGTAGGCCCGCTTACTAGTCAACCCGCCTAGTAACTCTCCGTCCTATCACAGTGCAATGTCACCTAATCGCCCTCGTGCACTAGTCGAAAAGTGGTAGCATTTGCAGCCTCCAGGTGGGGAGTATTGGCCGCATTCCATCGAATTGTCCCGCCGAACGGTGATTTCGGCCGTGGATGGTGCATTTTCAGAGTGCGGTGGTGCTACGGTCGGGACTGGCAGCAAGTGGCCGCAATTGGCCGCATGCCGGCGTCGGCTCTTTTAAATGTCAAAATTATCTGCCCGATTCCAGAGTTTCCAGTGCTATGCCTAGTGAGTCATGTTGCGACTCTGCAAGAGCTAAGGGACTGCCTTAAAGATCTTACGATCCGCCAATTTTCAGCTTTGCGCCTCTGTGACATAGAAACCACCGAATCTCGCCATCTCTCCAGCTCTTTGTGCTGTCGACACCCATAATCCTCTCCAATTCCAGCACGGCATTCTTGATATCCAGCAATCTGTCCGATTGCACCGCCGCAACCATGTCTTCCGCTCGCGACATCACTCCCAGCACCCCAATTACCGAGAGAACTGTAGTCTCTAGCTGGGGCCAGAACCTCTCAACTTCGCCCATTGCCACTTTCCATTCACCTCCAGCCAGCCTTGGTGGGAGACTGCCTCGCAAGAGCGTGGCGAAGCTGCTGAAGCCCTTCAACACCCAAGATATCAGGATCCTGTTGTTGGAAAATGTCAACCAGACTGGACGGGATATTCTCACGAGCCAGGGCTACCAGGTTGAGGCTCTGAAGACTTCACTTCCTGAGGATCAGCTCATTGAGAAAATCCGGTGAGCAGCTCTTCTTGAGTGCAATTGACCGTGTCTGACCTTGGCAAATGCTAGTGACGTCCATGTTATCGGTATCCGCTCAAAGACAAAGCTGAGCGAGAAGGTTTTGAGCGAAGCCAAGAACCTTCTCGTCATCGGATGCTTCTGTATCGGAACCAACCAGGTCGACCTCACTTACGCTGCCCACCGTGGTATTGCTGTCTTCAACTCTCCTTTCGCAAACTCTCGCAGTGTTGCTGAGCTGGTCATTGCCGAAATCATCACCCTGGCCCGACAGCTCGGCGATCGATCCATGGAAATGCACCGCGGCACCTGGAACAAGGTCAGCGCAAAGTGCTGGGAGATTCGTGGAAAGACCCTGGGTATGCTCCAACTCCGTTCCCAGTGACCTTGGCTTGTAGATGTGGCCACTACTAGAGGGTTATATTAGTTTAAAAGTCGTGTCCTAACGTGAAACTGCCAGGAATTGTCGGTTATGGACACATCGGCTCCCAATTGTCCGTCCTCGCTGAGGCCATGGGCATGAATGTCCTCTACTTTGATGTGGTGACTTTGATGGCACTGGGAACCTCTCACCAAGTTCCCTCATTAGACAACCTCTTGGAGGAGGCCGACTTTGTTACTCTCCACGTACCGGATCTCCCCGAAACGAGAAATATGATTTCCACTGCTCAGCTGGACCGCATGAAGGTGGGATCTTATCTAATCAACGCGAGCCGTGGAACCGTTGTAGACATTCCTGCCTTGGTAAAGGCAATGCGCTCAGGGCACATCGCGGGTGCTGCTCTTGATGTTTACCCCAACGAGCCAGCTGGCAACGGCGACTATTTCACCAACAACTTGAACCAATGGGCTGAGGAACTCCGCAGCTTGAGCAACCTGATTCTCACTCCCCACATTGGTGGAAGCACAGAAGAAGCACAGCGTGCCATCGGTGTTGAGGGTTAGTCCACAATGTCGCAGCGCCAGAATAGTGTTTTCTCAAAGCATACTAACTGTAGTCTAGTTGCTGAGGCATTGGTCCGTTACATCAACCAGGGTATCACTCTGGGAAGTGTCAACCTTCCCGAGGCTCAGCTGCGTTCCCTTACTTTGGACGAGCCAGACCACGCCCGAGTGAGTTGCCCCCTCCCAGCAATGACATTCTGCTCTAACACTAGGTACAGGTCATTTACATCCATCGCAATGTTCCCGGTGTGCTCCGCAAAGGTTTGACTAAAGCATCCCAGTCTTCGCATTGCATCACACTGACGATTTTCTAGTCAACGAGATTCTTGGCGACCACAATGTCGATAAGCAGTTCAGTGACAGCAAGGGAGATGTAAGGATGACCCACATACTATTAGGGATGAAGTAGCACTAACAAAATCTTAGTTGGCATACCTGATGGCCGACATCAGCAACGTAAAGTTTGAGGAAATTAAGGATCTCTATGAGAAGCTGGAGGGCTTGAGCTGTGAGTTTCAGACCCCATGCTGTTGCATTAATTGTGATGTCTAACAGAATATTAGCTTGCATCGTGACAAGAGTCCTCTACTAGATCGACTCTGTGCAATGAGAATACTTCTTCGAACTGCATTTTGTTTTTATTATTGGGGCATTATCGGCTGGTAAAAAGTTTTAAAAACATGGCCCTGTGGGCCTGAGATAAAGAAAATCAACATCACATGCGGGCAATGGTATATATTGCTTCAACAGCTGTGAACTTGAATGCTCTAAGGAGAGCATGCTTACATTTTGGATGAGATGCTGGTGCCATTTTGGCATACAGTCTTTTAGCATGAAAGTTAGACAAATACAGATCTATATTGTAAATGAGTGACTTTTCAGCCTTGTGTTGAGACTGTAATATCTACACTTCTTACTTGCTCTTGTTGAAACCCCTGACTATTGTGTATCGCACTACTTGCTTAGTATTGGATGCTTCGAAAATTAATCGCCGAGAAAACAATTTGGCTCAACACTAAAGGCTATACTAATCTCTCACGGCTCTACTAACACTCTCGTCGTGATAGTGGCTTCTGATAGGGGCACAGCATCGGAGAACATAATCTGGCAAGTCGGAGACAAATGGTTTCACCACATATCACCACCACCTCTCAGTAATAAAAAAACCGAGTAGATACGAGTGACAAGGAGCGTATTATTCAATATATGCGTCGAATCGTAATGTAGATATATTTATATAGCTCGTCTTGTACTATTGTTGTTCCAGCATCCCCCTTTCGCACTTAAGGAACTGTGCTGTATGCGATTTCGAGTCGTAGCCTAAGTCACACCACAAGCTATAGCCGATATCCCAGTGACAGAGTAAAACGCCGTTCCGGATCTCGAGTTTCGACCTGGTCGAGTTGTCTAGTGGTCCCAGGGGTGCTTCCAGCCAAGCAATACGGGGCCTGTAAGCAATTAAAGACATTAGAGGTGACCATATAGAAATGTGTATGCGAATTGGGTGCTTTACCATCTTTCTTTGCCCGGTACATCAGCTAAATACGGCTGTCAGCATACAGCGTCCTTTTTCATGATTGATTCCCCCGCCTAGGTTTGGCCGCCAGAGGCATTGAACTTACCCAGAACCACATGCCCGCACCAAGAGCTGTGGCCGTTACTCGGTAGATCGGGGCGACATGAGGGACGGGGGGTTTCGGGGGGCCCATGGCTGCTGCGGGTTTACTCTTGCACCTGGAAGCAATTCAGTCAACTGAGCGGGATGGTCGCATACGGATGATAATACCTGGACAATTAGAGGTTTAGTGTCTGTCTCTCGCTATTCGGTACTGATAGCTCCGCCACGCAGAGCGACAAGGGCGCGCTTACCAGGCAGATTAATTGATAGTCGCTGTTTTGCGATATGCGGAATTGCAACAGCCCATGAAGTATCTCGAGCAATCAAACGCAGTTCGGACTCATGATGACTAACACATGTGTGCCCACTTTTCGCGTGGATTAACTTCATCAACACCTAAGCCCGGATATAAGGATAGTAGGCAATTATGTCATCAATAGGACAAGCAAGTAGAGTCTGTCTCTGTAAGAAGTGCGTAATTGAACGGCTTAACATGCATCAGTGGAATAAATGGTCTGCTTCTGTGATGCTTCTGTTCTCTGTCTCTGTGAGAGAGAAAAAATAATACTTCGCCATTATGTACTCGCTAGTAGTATGTGTCTGACTGTTAGGGCACTTGGCCATAGGAAGGCATCAGACTTCATCACGTAGTAGAAAGTATATCTCATAGTTTAGGGGAAGCTACTGCTTGGAAATTGACACCTAATTCCCAAGTTCAAGCAAGCATCTTTGCAGAAGGTCCAATGCCAAACGCAAAATGTTCGTATTTTGATGCACTACCCAAGCAAGTCCCTGCGTTATGCGCCAATGAGCTGGACCGACGTCTCGGGTGCTTAAAATTCTGAAAGCGGCTACTGAACGCACGCGTGCCTCACGTGACACTCATCACCAACTTGCCAACTTTGGGCCTTAGCGCGCAAGAGGGCCAGAGAAGGGCTGGGAGGTTTGTGGAGCTGAAAAAATTCCCACAAGATTAGCGGAAAAATATATGCCCCGGTACCTTTTTGGTTTGGCTCGCTTAGATCTTGGTTGATGCACACAAGAATTGAAATTCTTCCAACCCCTCCACCAACTTTTTAGTACCTTTGGATTCCCAACTGCTCGTACGCTGGTAAGGAATCATGGCTGTTGGAAAGTGAGTATCTATGCTGCGAATCTCTGGAAATGAATATCGGCCAACAAAAAGAACAGGAACAAGAGACTCTCCAAGGGCAAGAAGGGCCTTAAGAAGAAGACCGTGGACCCTTTCACCCGAAAGGACTGGTACTCTATCAAGGTATGGACGCGCTCAAGAGAAGAAGAGAAAAAAACTTGACTATATACTAATATGCGTGCTTTGCAGGCTCCTAACCCCTTCAACATCCGAGAGTGAGTCGCATTGCAACAGTGTCATGGACAAAAAATCGTCGAGAGTGTGGACTGACGGGTTCTTGCAGTGTTGGCAAGACTCTTGTGAACCGAACAACCGGTCTCAAGAACGCGAACGATGCTCTGAAGGGCCGCATCGTTGAGGTCTCGCTCGCCGACCTCCAGAAGGATGAGGACCACTCATTCCGCAAAGTTCGCCTCCGTGTCGATGAGGTCCAGGGCAAGAGCTGCCTGACCAACTTCCACGGACTGGACTTCACATCCGACAAGCTCCGATCCCTTGTCCGCAAGTGGCAGACTCTCATTGAGGCCAACATCACCGTCAAGACCACCGATGACTACCTCATCCGCCTCTTCGCCATTGCCTTCACCAAGCGACGCCCCAACCAGATCAAGAAGACCACCTACGCTGCTTCTTCCCAGATCCGCGCCATTCGACGCAAGATGACCGACATCATCCAGCGCGAGGCTTCCAGCTGCACCCTCACCCAGCTGGTTTCCAAGCTGATCCCCGAAGTTATCGGCCGTGAGATCGAGAAGTCCACCCAGGGCATCTACCCCCTGCAGAACGTATGTTTTGGCCTAGGACTGCTATCTAGCTACTGTTGAAAAAAATTTGCTCAGCCGCTAACTCTTCTTCTCTGCAGGTCCACATCCGCAAGGTTAAGCTGCTGAAGTCGCCCAAGTTCGACCTGGGTGCCCTGATGGCTCTCCACGGTGAATCCGGCACTGATGACCAGGGCCAGAAGGTCGAGCGGGAGTTCAAGGAGCGTGTTTTGGAGGAGGTCTGAAAAGGGTTATTTGTAGAGAGATGAAGGCGCAGGGAGCCCTGCGAGTGCTAGATTCGCGCCTGGCCGTTTTCCCAGTCATTTTACATGGAGTAACAACCCATAGGCGGGTAGGGAGGTTAGGTAATGTCCCTATGATATATTAAAAGACACTCGGATTGCTTCTACCCCCTATGTGTGCTTGAATGGACCTTTGGCAAAAAGCAAGTTTTTTTGGATGAGGAACTGTCCTGTAAATATGTGGCAAAATACTAGCTGTTCGAATACTGGATGGAATAGACTGTATCTTGTGTATAATGGTGGCAAACTATAGTGACTTGATATTCTGTCCCAGTTTATTGGCACACAGAACTATTAGGGCAGTTGTCTATTCTTGGTATTAAGGCAACCCGATGCATTGAACGCGTCCAACTTTAATAACGTTAAGTCTACTAGAACTGGTATCAACATAATTGTAGTCAGTGAAAAAGTAAAGCCCGAGCTGCAGTAGCCAGTTAAAATCAAGATTTTATTCATTATATCATGCTATGTATGAGCCAAGTCTAAAGACTTTTAACATTGATCAAATAGTCTTGTTTTCATGGAAATATGAACAGTTCATCAATAGCAATCATTCAAAAAGCATTGTATGTTGGCGTGATTGGAAGGACCAATATACCCACAGAGAGCAGGGTATAGAGGTGAGTAAGTGGCCAGAGTCATTCTTCCTTGAGCAAAAATAGAAATACACCACTGCGCAGTGACGATGTATCTCGGAGTGAGCCAAGGGGGCGGTGTTGAGTCCGCAATGGGAATACATTTTGAATACTTCACGTGGGGGCACAATGGATATGTTCTTTGACCTTTTTTTCTTTTATTGATGTGTCACCACAAACGAGAATTTCTTCTCAGTAGGACAACTGGTTGGTCTGAACCAGACACTCTACTCCTCAGGGACTGCATCAAACGTTAGCGATTTAAGGCGTATTACAGCAGGAAAGGGGTGCATACTATCAATCTCGCCGTTCTCGATGGCCTCGAGAACAGCCTGGGGGGTCTTGCCATCGACCTGGCAGCCAACACTCTGAGCAGTTCCCAGCATCTCCCTGACGGTACCCTTCAGCTCCTTGGCGAAAGACTTGAAGCGCATGGTGCGGGCAATCTCAATGATCTCATCGAGGCTGACGGACTTGTTGTGCTTGATGTTCTTCTCCTTCTTGCGGTCACGCGGGGGCTCCTTGAGGGCCTTGATGATGAGAGAGGAGGCAGTGGGCACGACAGAGACCGCAGCCTGACGGTTCTGGATGGTCAACTTGACGGTGACACGGAGACCTTTCTGTTTATAGCATCAGCACCTCAAATCTGCATTTCGCAAAGGCGCGCATTCTTACCCAGTCACCAGTGGCCTTGGCGATATCTTCACCGACCTTCTTGGGCGACAGACCAAGAGGACCAATCTTAGGAGCAAGGGCCGAAGAGGCACCAACCTCACCACCGGTGGCACGGAGGTGGCTGTGAGCTGCAGGTTAGACTTTTATGTTTTCGGGATCAGAAGCGACGCATTGTGAACTGACATGACCTTGACCTCGTTGGGATCGAACTTGGGAGCTGCCTGAGAATTAGTAGCTGCGACAACAATTCTTGAATACGGGGATTCTTACGCATGATGGCGATTGATTATCTGACAGAGGCTCGTGGTTTGCTTGCCAGGGGAGGATAATGAGAGGTGTGGTTAGGTAAAAGAGAGACCAAGATGAAAAAAAAGAAAATTGGAGATAAGATGTGTGCCCCAGATGGGTGCCCTAATCGTGGCCCACTCTACTGAAGGAACAGCCACGCCAATTGAATCGCCATGGACATTGAATGTTGACTTATGTAATCAAGTAAGAGCCCGAACTGTGCTAGTCAGATACAAGCTGCATTAATAGGCACGTACTGAAAACATGAAGATCCGCCAGTCTATCTTGATTTGAACCAGATTGCTATGACAGATGGAATGGTGACTTTTCTTAGGGGGCTCTAAATGCATTTTTAACTTATATAGTGAAATACATAGATTGATTAAATGCAGGTGTATTGTACGTCAGAACTGCCATAACACCCTCTGCAAGACTCTTCTGGTAGGTAATCGCCAATGCATCTGATATCTCGGCCATGCACATATGCAATTATTGGAGTGCACTCTCCCGCGGTTGCAAGTCTGACTAACTGCATGTGTTGATCTTCTGACCAGATGCCTACTTTGACAAAATTCACAGGGGGCGCAGGGACAAAGACAGGAGGCGGCAACAAGGATGGCTCTCTGCATGGCTGCTGGCAGTCAACCGTCTCTCCGTAGCTCCGCTAGCCACGCAGCTAAACCAGTGACCAATGCTTCCCATTCCTGAAGCTGTTCCCCCTCCGACGCCAGAGGTTAAACTTGATACCCATAATATGCAATAATAAACACGCTGGCGGCGGTCCCCGAATATCTACGTAATATGGACCCAGACCCCTCTTTATGTAAGGTTCTTTATCGCTAGAAGCCCGACTAGATATACCTGCCTATCTACCTAGAGATAGCTCCGAGTAGCTGCAACTATCTCGACCTTTTTTCAAGTGCAACTTTCTCTACAGACGTCCAATTCCATGGCTGAAAAACCAGCACCTGCTTCTGCGCCCACGCAGTGCGTCGGCCCGACTTTCAGGGCCGTCGCCGACAAGCCGAGTGCTACTGTATCTGCCGTGGTTTCTTCTGATAATGTCTATGTCTTGCCGCAGACCCCCCAGTTAATTGCCCTTCTGTCGTAGGTTTAGGTGCCCCCGGCTGACATCAAGTGCATGGCCCTTTACTAAACGTCCTTATACAGTATGATAAGAAACAAGGACACAGAGCGCGCCGATTTCATCTTCTACTCCAACAGAATTATCCGACTGCTGGTAGAGGAAGGCCTGAACCACCTCCCCGTGATTGAGAAGAACATCACCACCCCCGTCGGCCGCACTTATAATGGCTTAATGTTCCAGGGCAAAATCTGCGGTGTCTCCATCATGAGAGCGGGAGAGGCAATGGAGCAAGGGTTACGTGACTGTTGTCGTTCCGTAAGAATTGGAAAGATATTGATTCAACGAGACGAGGACACAGCGCTGCCCAAACTTTTCTATGATAAACTCCCTGAAGACATTGCAAATCGATGGGTTCTTCTGCTAGATCCGATGTTTGCAACAGGTAACCATATCATCTCCCTCCCTGTTCTTCGCTGTGTATTGTTAAACACAGCGAAACGTTCCCATAACTGACAACTGTAAAGGTGGTTCCGCTACAATGGCTGTCGAAGTCCTCAAGGGCCGAGGGGTCCCTGAAGATCGAATCCTGTTTCTCAACTTGATTGCTAGTCCGGAAGGAATAACAAGCTTCGCCGCCAAGTTCCCTCGCCTCAAAGTTGTGACGGCCTTCATTGATGAGGTAAGTGTTGATATTTGATCGCTAGTTCACACGACCTGTACTAACAGAATCCGTGCGCAGGGCTTGGATGAGAAAAAGTATGATGATCCTGACTCCATGATGCATTGGCTGACCCTGCTGCAGTTACATTGTGCCTGGTCTTGGAGACTTTGGCGACCGATTCTATACGATTTGAAGATGGGGGTTTCCGATGAGACCCTGGTATTTAGTATGCGTCAATATCCCCAATTCTGTAAGGCCCTAGCCTGCTTTTGTAGAAATATACAGCAAGGCACTCAATAATCATCGTGCTGGTCGATTTCATCGTGCTCGTCAACCGTAGTTTTGTCCAAGGGTCTTCGAGAGCCATATGATTTGGAGGCATTGCCTTCTCCAGCGTCTTGTTTCGCGACGGCCTCTGTGAAGACGAATATTAGTTTTTTTGGGATCGTGTCAAGCTGAACAGGACAAGCAGCATACCAGCAGCATCAACCCACTCTCCGTATACATCGACCGCGGCCGAGAGGTCTGCAACTTGCGGTTAGCGCACAAAGCGTTCAAAGCGTGCAGGCTGTCGGAAAGACGAACAGTTGACAGCACACTGGAACTTCTGCCCGCAAATGCGGCAATCTAGCTGGCCAACGCCAGCCCTCCTATCGAGCTTGACGGTGACTGACTTCTCATGGTTGCAGAAGAGGCATGTGAACGTGGTTGGCAAGGGATCAGCCTGCGGTCCAGTCAGTTCCGGAAGACGGGCATTTCAGCAAAATCGCCTTACTGACCCTTTTAGGCCCCATGGGCTTTCTAGACGAAGACTTGCGCTTTCCCATGGCGTCGGGTTGGATGGCGATTGTGCTCAACGGACAAACGCAATCTCTTGTGCCGTGATTGAAAGTCGCATCGCGTTTCCGTTTGGTACGTGTGAGACATGCTGCAGCCGCTTATCTTATCGCGCTGGATTACATACTCGTACTCGCAGGCACACACTCATCCCCTGCCGTTACTTACTGTAGGTACCGTGCATTACAGTGCATTACAGTGCAGACACACTTTTTATCGTTATATCGGTGCGCTAGCGTGCTCCTGCGGGACGGATGCAGGACAGTGCTATACTGGGGAGTGCCCTCTAAACGAGGCTGGGGTCCGCTCTTCGGCGCCTGCCGACAATCAGTAAAACAACCCCGCATCCCGCTATCTTGATGTACGATCTAAAGCTCCGTTCTCCGTACGAGAGCGTCACCACCCAAGCACTTTAGGTACTTTGGGTACTTTGGGTACCTCTCCTGCCCGTTAGGTACCTGTACTGTTGGACTAACTCAAGGCAGCTGATACCGTTTGCTTACTTTAGACACTTTGGGTAAGAAACTCAGTCCGCTCAATGCCTATCAGATACTGGCGGGGTACGTAAGAGATATGCGGTTCCGCGATTAGGATTAGGTACCTACTGCTCGACTACTATAGAATGTCTCCCTGCCCAACCTGACGGTGCTTCTGCTTCTCCCTTCTGTGTTGAAGCATGCCTTAGGTATTCACTTATATCTACCTACCTATATTCGCCACGGCCCTTGTGTAGACACTTGCCTCTTCTTCCTCTCCAACCTACGTTCTGCCTTCTTCAGGGAAACCCTCATCTCAAAGCACCCTCCTTTTCAGGCTTACTATCCCGATTTAGCGGACCTCCGGCCCCCCATGGCTGCAGATGGACAACAAGATGGTGTCCTCGACGCGCTTCGGGACATCCAGCAAACCCAGCAGCGCCTGTTGAGCTCGGTGGAATCACTCACCAGTAAACTTGGCTCCTCTGCACTTGGCTCCCCTGCACTTGACCCTGCCTCCAAGCTGCCAGTGACTCCTCTGCTCTTGGAGAGTGATAAAGATGCGAAGCAAAAGGACGCAGAAGCGTCTGCAGTCATCCAGTCTTTTGAGAATGGAGCGGCCCAGCCAAGTTCGGCTCTGTCTCCGAGCAGCCGACAAGGCTTCACATCGCGAATTGTGCTCACGTGTGTGCTGCCTTCCCTTGCCACCCAGTGATATTGTGTGAACCGGCGTCTCATTCATGTGTGATCTCATAGGACGTATCCCAAGCAGATTGGTATTGATCCTCTCCAGATGGACTGGGGAAATCCCGATCCGTTGCAGCGAGGACCCGTAGTTGTTTCAAGGGCTGCGTCTACCATTCGTCGCAGAAATGGTTCGTTCCCCATGTTTGTAATGTGAAGTGGCGGATGTTGGACTAACATGAATTGTCATCGTTTCAGCCATTGGAGGTAAGCTGACGCTTTGTCCATATCACTCGTCCTGCTTGCTAACATGTGTATCCAGCTCAGTAAGTTGCGAGAAAATCCAAAGACTCAGTCATGTCATATTTTGATGTATATTGACCGATATTCAGCGGAGGCTCGTATTCGATCTACTATGCGCTAGCTGTTGCCAGCAAAGAACTCGACGTCGATCATAGGTGCGTTCTTAGAAAGAGTAACAATCTTGCATTCGATCTGACCCCGAGCATCCCAGACCCGATTACACAAACACAGAGCCTGCTGCTAAGATTGGGCCATTCCCCCAATGGGGTGATAAGAAGAAGATAGTTGCCATGGATCCTTGGGGCCACCTGGTTCCATGGACCTTCAAGGACATTATGGAAAAGGAGAACGGTATTTGACTGCGCTCATCGCAATAGCCATCATTCGCTCATGGAGATTCCAGTTGACATGCGACCAACAATTGCCATTACCAAGGCTCATATGAAGGTACAAAATGCTCTTGGCCATGGTTATTTCCGACCACGCTAATCATGAAGTAATAGCTGCCCGAGCTCGAGGAAAGTGTGAAGAGTGGCCGACTGTATGTTTTGGGGATAGATGATATGAATTCTTCCAACGTTGGCTAACGTATTTTACAGGGTTCCTGACGGAAAGGTTTGCCTGAATAAACTTGGTGAGCTGGCTGTTACAAAGTTTGCCGTCGAACCAGTATGAATCTGTTCTCAAGAAAACATACCTAGTACCCCGCTAAGTTTTGATGCTCTAGGTCTGGTATCTACCCGGTGTGGCGGAGAGATTCGGAATTGGTAAGTGCATTCATCTTGGAATCATAGATAATAATAAAGCTAACCATTTGCAGATGAGGCTACTTTGCGGCGCTCGCTGTTTGAGCATACCGGAGGAAGCTACCCAGAGGTAAGTTGTCGCCCATTACCAGGCTGGACGCAACCAATGCTTACCAATAACAGTTGATTACTCGTGGAGATATCAAAGTGTTCCTTCCACCCATCGGTATGTCAATGAGCCACTGGCTTATTCAATGATACAACTGGACAATGAAGGAGGAGGCTAACTACATATCTCAGGGGGCCTGACTGTTTACTGTTTCGGCGATCCCGAAAAAATGTCCGATGAATCTGTGCGGCTATCTCTGAGAATTCATGACGAGGTAAGCATAACCCCGGTGGCTGATATCGATGGAAAAACTAATTGGAAATAGTGCAATGGAAGCGACGTGTTCGGCTCTGATATCTGCACATGCCGGCCATACCTGATTTTTGGTATTGAAGAGGCTGTCAAGGAGGCACAGAATGGCGGCAGCGGCGTAGTTATTTACTTCAGAAAAGAAGGTCGTGCTCTTGGAGAAGTTACAAAGGTATGCTGCCTATGTCTTGGAGTGTATGAAGCTCACTAACACCTCTCACAGTACCGTAAGGCTACCCTCTTTACCCAATACCCACGGAAGGGTCGGGGATGAACTGACGAGGAATAGTTGTATACAATGCTCGTAAGCGTGGCGAAGACCGAGCGTCAGATTATTTCATGCGCACAGAGAACATTGCTGGCGTCAAGGACATGCGTTTCCAGGCTCTGATGCCAGACATTCTTCACTGGCTGGGCATCAAGAAGATTGATCGCATGCTAAGTATGAGCAAGTCAGTGATTGTCTAAACACTCCTGCCACTTTTTTTCTTCTTGTCATGTCTAACGAGTGTCATAGCATGAAACACGATGCAATTGTTGGTCAAGGGTAAGTTGTATCTCATGCATTCTGCAACGCACATTTCAACCTCTAACCACCGCAGAATCCCCATCCACGAGAGAGTTGAACTCCCAGATGAGCTCATCCCAGCAGATTCAAGAGTTGAGATTGACGCCAAAATCACTGCCGGTAAGGATTTTTCATCATCATCATCATCATCATCACCACAAGGCGAATGTGTCACTAATTCACCAAGGCTATTTTACGGCTGGCAAGCGGATGACGGCTGAAGAATTGCAATCGGTACAAGGCAGACTGTGGGAAGAGTAAGTTTCAAACATTTTGTCTCGATAACCGTAGCAGGGAAGCTGCTGACACATGATGTAGCATTGATCATTAAGGAATTGCTGTCACAGAAGCAGTCGAGATGGTACATTGTTGATTTCTTTTGCATAGTTGCGTGTTTAGGCCTAGAACTAGTATGTTTAAATACGGAGTATGTTGGTATGAAATGTAAACATAGCCATCAACAGGGCATCTGCCCCAGTTGGTAAATTCAACAAATCCATCATGGCACTAGGCCATCGAATAAACGAAATAGTATTGTATTGTCACAATATTGTTGTTGTATATGACCTTTGTTCCCGTCCGTACTTATCCAGTGCTATTTGATGAATAACATAGCAACATAATTATGGTGATGGTCTAGTAGCAGCATTATCCTATACCCCAAATAGTATCATGGCTAGCATAGGTATGCTCCAGAGCCTGTGTGAACAAGGGATTCTCAACTCTAAAAAAAATGTCTCCTGAGGGTATCTTGGACTCGACCGACTTGGGCTCGACTTTGAGCTACATCACACGGCAATTGCTCTTGGCTGGGGGCTCGCCAGGGTTCTGTGATTTCTCAATCTGGGCAATCAAGAGCTCAAACGCTCGGCCGACGTTCTGGTTGTACCTTGCGCTAGCCTCGGTCCAGCCGCACTGGAACTTTTCTGATAGCTTCTTGCCTTCTTCGGGGCTGACTTGGCGCTGCTCTGGTCGGAGATCGCTCTTGTTACCTACTATGACGATGGGAACGGACTCGGTACCCTGTTGGGAGATGGGGGGGAGACATGTCAGCGATGCGATGCGATGCGATGCTTTCGTCGGAATGCTGGGGGGGGCCTTTGGTTGAAGGGAGATGACGAGGGAGCACATACTAGATGATTAAGGATTTTCTCGCGGACAACCTGGACCATTTCAAAGGATGGCAGTGACGACACTGAATAGACTAGCATGTAGCCGTGGATGCCGATGAAGTGCTTCGAGTTGAGAATGCTGTATTCATCCTGTTCGGCGGCGTCAGCGTCTCGAGGGCTGCGGCGCTGCGGCGGCAAAAGCGCCCGAGAGAGCCTACCTGTCCAGCAGTGTCGACGATCTCCGTAGCATAGTCCTGGCCCTTGTACTGGATGGTCTTGCTGAAGGTGTTTTCTATCGTGGGGTAGTAGCTATCGACGAAGTGACCATCAACGAACTGCACGGCGAGCGACGATTTGCCTGGGCGTCAGGATCAGGATCAGGTTAGTTCCGAGTTTTGACGGGTGGGCCAAAAGACCGCGGGCGCTGGGGGTTTTCCATACCAACGGATCGACTGCCGACGATGGCGACCTTTCGCTGCTTCAGGGAAGGCATTGGGGGTTCTTTTTGGGCGGCCTTTGGAGGATGAAGATGAAAATCGAGGTTTGGGTTCGAGGGCGATGATGATGATATTGATGCGGACTTACCTTGCGGTTGGGGGGATTGCAGGCGCAGGTGGGATGGGCTGAGGGCGCTATTATCACATGGGAACAGTGGACGCTAGCGGGTGCCGGGGATGGATTAGAGCGGGATTAGCGTCTATAGAATTGGAGCAGCGCAGACGGGCTACAGTATGGATGCATGGCAAAAGGCACCCTCTTCTAAAAATAACAACCTATATAATGGAATGTTTATATATTGAAGTATTTGTGCACAAGAGGCTTCCTCTTTGCAAGTCAACATTTATATAACTCATAGCAAACTATGCAGTATTTAATACTGATTTGTTTTCTATTCACATGTTGTAACGCAGCACGGGCAAACCCGGGCGGTGCATCCTCCACCATCACGCCAAGGTGCATTGATAGAAAAGCAGCCAACACATCCACCAGACTTAAATCCATTCAAGTACTTCTTGGCTTTCTTAATAACTGCATTGGAAGCCAGACTTTATACCGTACTGCAAGGGAGAAATATAGGCACCCGACTGTATATTTCACGTGGTAAGGTTGTTCCAGGATCGGGAGTCCAACCACATAACAACGTCAGTCTAAGTTGACACAAGCAGATTACAACCCAACTCAGCTCCAATCTGGATTCACCACAAGTAAAAAGGTAGTGACACCGAAGATTTACCCCTACCCTTCACAATCAGTCCATCGGCAGCGCACCATCGAATATCTACCATGTCTTGCAGTTCACCACTAGATCGATTCGACAAATTCCCACTCCTTCCACCAGAACTTCGGTCAAACATCTGGAGACTCAATAATCTGAACCCTTCATTGGATAACGTGATAGAATTCACGTTTGTGAGGAAAGAATACGGCGATCTGGAGCGAGCAGCCGCAAGGCGGCTCTTGACGTTCATTTCTCGAGAAGCCCACGAATCCCACCAAAAGCCAGGCCAAATTCCTACGATTCTACGCCCCAAACCCGACTTAAAGTATCCGAGTTTTGAACTTCCTGCCATACCCCTTGATCCAAGTGATGATGTAATCTACACTAAGAGTCTCTCTGACGCCTGGCATTTTGTGAGCTATTATCCAGTCTCCGGCATAAAGCGTTTCGCTCTACGAGATGACTTTAAGAAATCTTGGATGTTTCATCGGGCCTCCGCTATTCGAGCCTTCGTTCTAACCGCAGAGGAGATCATCATTGTGGACACCTTGGATACCTCCCAGGCTAATATGGACGATTTCATCAAGGACCTTAAGGCCACCTGTCAGAATGGGCTCCCGAGCAAAAAAATTCTTGGGGAGATCAACCTGCGGGTGTGGAAGGGCACTACAAACGAAAAGGGCGAGATCTGCTCACTTGTTGACACTGGAAGATTAGAGAAATAGAGGTTACGACATACACATAGCGCATACAAAACGATTAAAATCGCGAGTCCCCTTTTCAGGCACCACAGTCAATGCTTTCAAAGTGGAGAAATGATATACAAGCATATTAGTACCTAGAGGACTTTCTATAACTTCAAGTAACTTATTTTTACCAAGATAGGTACTTCATCCTGTAATTGTGGTACATATATATACATGGTATCTTAAATGCTCTTACTATCGCAACCGGGTCAGGCTATACACAAGATGCTCCAGCTCTGCTGTTTTATTGTTGACCGTCTTATTTATGTTGATGAAATGTTGGATAGCTGGAACCAAGCCACTAGGCAGCGGCAGCGCCGTATGGCCCAAATACAGATAGCCCAGGATTATGGCCAGGTAGCTGTATGCGATGCCGAGTTTGGACGTCTCGACTGAATCATCCTGTTATCGCGTTAGCAAGTTTGCGTGCGTTTGAGCTGGCATGTTTTGTATACACGTACCGTTTCTATTGATCGCTCGCTTTCAGACCAGGTCGCAACAAGCTTATCAATCTCGTCTGCATGGATGGATGTTCGGGCATCCGAGCAATGCTCCAAAACATTAATCATGATGCCGAGAATCAATGAAAGCTCGTCGTATATATTGCTTTCGAATGCCGAGTTCTGTATGGCACTTTGGACGGACGAGAATCCAGAAGTAATGCAGCACACCAGGCTCGACATCAGCTGACTGGTTTGAAGTGCAGCCGCCCTCGTTTCATTGTTGGTCGTATTGATGGCCAGCTTTAATAATGTGGCGTCAATATTATGACGGGTTCTCGGCCAGCATTGCAGCGTGCTTTGGAGGAACGCAGCAATGTCAGACATCTCTTGCCGTATCTTCATCAATGGTTCCTCGGCCGGCGTCGTGGAATTGGATTCCGCCTCCATAATGAGAATGGTAAGAGCATAATCGACTTCGTCTCGGGAATCATCCTTTGCAAAGCTGGATCTCAATTGCGAAAAACTTGCAAAAGTATCATCCAACAGAACCCGGACATCATGCGGGTCCAATAGCCTGACCAGCATAGAGAGCAGTTGCAAAGAGATGGTGCGTGGAGAAAGTTGCTGCAATTTGTAACCCTGCCACAAGTCCATTTCTAGCAGCGCGCTCTTAACGCCAGCCAGTGCGCTTCTACCTGCTCTCGACATATTTGCCGACTTATGTGCCGCAATTGCAGTAACATCCTCTTGCATCATAATGAGATTACTCAACCACAGGCCTACTCGGTTTTCAGTTAATTGGTGAAGCAGATGTGGCGCGGTTTCAGCCGATAGGAAAATGACAAAGATGGCTGCAAGGAGAAATCCGCTAATGGTATCTTTCTCATGGCGGATTCCCTTGGCTATGTTGTCTCGAGATGCATGATCACGAAACTGATTCATAAACTCCTTCTTTTGTAGCTTGCTCGCTAGCTCACACAAGCCATTTCGACGCATGGATGAAGCCAAAGACCCTGGAGCCCCAATTCTTGACAGCAGATCGTCCACTTCATCTGATGACCGGTTGTTGGCACCAGCTCGTCGCAGTTCGTGCACACTCCGGATGGCAACCTTGTTCTTCAAGTCATCGTCGTCGTCATCTTCGTCGGGGGTTGGAGATGGTGGTCTCTTTATCGGTTCATCAATTTCGTCCATGAGCGAGGGGTAGTCGGTAGATTCAGCCGCGCTTGATTCCTGGGAAGCTTGGATAAAACTTCGAGATTGGCTGTAAGTGAATTTGACCCTCCTCCTCTCCAGCACACTGCTATCGGAGCCGGCCCTGCGCAGTGGAGCCTCTTTGCGAAAGCTAGGCCGTTCGACTCGAGCATGTTTATGCTCCTTGTTGCTGACATGGTCTAATCCGCCAATGTTGTGGTTTTGGCTTGAGCTTGGGCTTGGACTAGATTGAATACTCTTCTCGGCTGCCAGTGCATCGATCAAACGACGTCGACGCGTCGGCGGTGTGTCTGGTGGTTTACTTATGGAAGAAATCTTTGCCTCGGTTCCTTTTTCCAACTTGGCGGTGCTTGTACTAATCGCGGCTGATGCTTTCGGTGTCACCGCTTCCGAGACTGTCTCGTGGGAATCGGTGAATCCCTTTTCACTGGAATTGGATTTTGAATCTTTCGCATCTATTCCATGCAGGGTCCATGTCAGCTTCTGGGATAAGGGCAACTTAAGGGCGCGGCGAGTGGGCGACATGTCCACCGTTCCTGTGGCTGATTCCATACCAAAAGCAGATCTATGGCTCCGTTTCCGTGGTGTCTCTACTTCGCGCTCACGTTGTTTGCGAACTACTTCCAGATCGGTGGCCGGAACACTCTGGGGCGCTTTCTGTGGTCGCGAAGAGTCGCCAATTTGTGGCGGAGACAAACGAGGGTGCTTCGGTCGAAGAGTCGTTGAGGGCGTCACATCTCTGTTGGACGGTGTTTGTGGAGCTGATGTCGCATGAGCGCGAGGTCCACGAGACGACAGTTTCCCGTAGGTGGCGATTTTCCTGCGCGGCGCCTCGACTGGTCGTTGAGGATCCATGGTTGATGGATGATGAAGAGTATGAGGGTTTCACCAAAAGCCGCGTCGAAGTTGGCGCCTCTCACATGTTGTTGTTAAAAACAACAAGTATAATGCAAGGAATCGCGATGCAAGTCGGCGCATTGAGAACGGCAGTAGCCAATGCAGATGCTTAAACCCGGCATCCAATCAGGTGAGATACATGACAGTTCTAAAACACCCTTGCCAATGAGGGGCATCCATCTAGTACCGTAGGCAGGGCCACATTGGCGGCGTGGCTATGGAGCAGATCCGTAGCGGTCTTGGGATGATAAGTCAGTCAGTGAGTTGGTCGTTGGAAGTGCAGATTGTTCAACGGCCAAATATCAAGGAGCAGAGACATGAACAAGAGAAATAAGAAGAATAAGAGTCGCAAAATCTGACATGCAGGAAAATGAAATCGAGACGCATGGCAGTATGGAAAATACACACAAATAGATGTCGGCATTCACATGTGCCACGGCGTTTTCTGGCGACTGCTTCTACACCTTCTACACGTTCCCCCCCCCCCCCCCCTTTTGATGACTCGCCTGGTGAGCTTTCGGCAGGGAAAAATTGCCTTTATTGCCCTGGGAAACAGTCACAGGTACGGTCACCGGGAAATACGTGAATCATTGCCAGAAAATGTCGTGGCGTGCGATGGGCGGACGATTTTCCAGCAACGTTCCATCAAGTTTATCTAGAAGCCCTACAGCGCCTAGTAGCACTATAAAGGCCAAAAAGGCCAGGGTCGCGCAAAACAGTCAGAACCCCACCTTGCGCACCCCTCCATTTTTTGTCTGTGACTCGATAACCAGCTTCTTTGGTCTAGTCTAGTCACCTCTATCTTGATATTTTTTGGTCCTGGCAAACTTGCAACTCTTATAGATTCAGACAACGACCCGAAGAACAAGGCCAGACCAAAATCTTTCACCATGCTCGACGTCAACGACTTCATCGCCGAGCGGGGCGGAAACCCTGAAATCATCCGCGAATCGCAGCGCCGGCGCTTCGCCAATGTTGAGATTGTGGACGAGATCATTGCACTGTTCGAGGACCACCGACGAAGTAAATAATGATGTTGCTCAAGTTTCGGCAAATTCATAAATGCTAACGCCATTCTTGACAGCTCAGTACAGCGCAACCCAGCTAAATGGCAAGATAAACGACGTCCAGAAGCAAATCGCAACCAAGAAGAAGGTGGGTTATATCTGGCTGTAATCCTGATGATCAGTCGGCTGACGATGTGGTGCAAAGGCCAAGGAAAATGCCGACGATCTTCTCAAGCAAAAGATTGAACTGGAGAAGGAGAAGAAGGCATTGATCGAGTCGGCAGCCGAAAAGGATGTGCTGCTGAAAGCCAAGGTCAGGTCAGTAGGCAACCTGGTTCACGACTCTGTGCCCGTGAGCAACAACGAGGTGCGTCTTGCTTCAATCCATCCATCTGGCTGCTCTCCCCCCTAACCTACTGGTGGTAGGACAACAACGCAGTTCAGCGAACCTGGGCCCCCGAGGGTGTTACCGTGGAGAAGCGACCGGTTCTGTCTCATCACGAGGTTCTCCTTCGACTTGACGGATATGACCCCGACAGAGGTGTCAAGGTCGTTGGTCACCGTGGATATTTCCTTCGCCAGTGGGGCGTCTTCCTCAATCAAGCGCTGGTAAACTACGGTCTCGAATTCCTCTCCCAGAAGGGATACACTGCTCTCCAGGCACCTCAGTTCATGCTCAAGGACTACATGGCCAAGACAGCCCAATTGGATGACTTTGACGAGCAGCTGTACAAGGTCGTGGATGGAGACTCAAAGAACGACAAGTATCTCATTGCCACGTCTGAGCAGCCCATCTCCGCCTTCCACGCCGACGAGTGGCTCCAGCCCAAGGACCTTCCCATCAAGTAAGCCCAGGCTGCGGTCATTAGGTAAATATTATTTCGCTAACCATCGGTGACAGATATGCTGGCTACAGCACGTGCTACCGACGAGAAGCCGGTTCTCACGGCCGAGATGCCTGGGGAATCTACCGCGTTCATCAATTCGAGAAGGTAATTACGTCGCCCCGTCTAAAGGAAGCAGAAATATACTAACTCCTTTCTAGATTGAGCAGTTCCTCCTTTCCGACCCAGAGAAGTCTTGGGAAGCGTTCGAAAGCATGATTGCTGCTTCAGAAGAGTTCTACCAGTCTCTCGGCCTGCCTTATCAGGTCGTTGCCATTGTGTCCGGTGCCCTCAACGATGCTGCTTCTAAGAAGCTGGATCTGGAAGCTTGGTTCCCCTACCAAGGAGAATACAAGGAGCTCGTGTCATGCTCCAACTGCACTGACTACCAATCCCGCGCCCTTGAGATTCGCTGTGGAACAAAGGCCCAGACAGACATCAAGAAGAAGTACGTTCACCTCTTGAACTCAACGCTGTGCGCTACCACGCGAACTTTGTGCTGTGTTCTTGAGAACTACCAGACAGAAGACGTAAGTCCTTTCATTCCCTAGCTGCCGTTAACCAATAACGATTTCTGACACCAGTGTAGGGTCTGCGTGTGCCAGAGGTGCTCAGGAAGTATTTGCCTGGAGCCCCTGATTTCATTCCCTTCGCCAAGGAGTTGCCGAAAGAGACCCCGGCACAGAAGGCACTGCCGCAGCGGAAGAAAGAAGCAAACTAAATGTAAATGGAAAATGTCAAGATGGGAGCTACTACATGTATGAGCGGAGATTATTAGATCAGCTAGTAAAAAAAGAGCACCAGTAAATACCACAGCCTCATCTTTACAAAGGAATGCATACTTCAAAAAACAAAATCATTCCCTATTAAGCTATTAGAAAAAACCAAACAAGTATTGTCCTGGTACCTGTTACTATTATCGAGATAAATCTCCTAGTACGCGAAAGACAAAATGAAACATTCTTTTTGGAGACGATCACCAATGAAACAAAAAACATGTAGCGATGTCATTAACTCAGATACGCCATTCCTCTCAACCCTTGTTCACTTGAGCATCTTTTCCCTCGGTTTCCTTCCCTCTAAAATATTGAAAGCTCCCAGCCTCTAAACCTTGGCAGATTTTGTTGCTTAGCTCTGTTTGCACTCGGCAGCCTCCTGCTTAGGCTTTCCCGACTCGTCCTGTATCGTCTGTTAGCTTCATCACAGCTAGACGCTAAAAAGGTATGGGGAAAGGAACACTCACGTCTTCATCGGACTCCTCGTCGTCATCATGATCTTCGCTCATGTCATCCTCGTCCTCGTCATCATCATCGAAATCGGGACCGTCCATGTCATCCTCATCGAACTCCTCATAGGCAAGAGCCTCGCCGGTGAACCAGTCAACAGCACGAGGAATCAGTTTCTCCTTGATATCCTCACCCAGCTGGTAGTCCAACTCGAGACGCTCCTCGATATCGGAGGCAACATCGTCTTCCGGATCAGCATCATCGGTAGGGGGCTTAGGGGGGGAGAAGAAGTTGAAGAAGGACTCCGTCGGCACTGATTTCTTAACGATTCGGGTTTGCTTGGTGTCTACGGCATATGAGTTAGTGTTGAGAAATATTGGCCAAGACAGTAATGATCAAACTCACTCTTGTTTCTCTGCTTCTTGGCTTCGACACGGACTGTCAAATCCTTGCCAGGGTACCAGTTAATCTTGTAGCCTTCAGCATGGTCGTAAATGAAGTCGCCACCGTAGCCGCTCTCATTCTGATAAAAGTATGTCTTGGTGATGGTCTTGTCTGAGAAATATTCATTCTCGGCAAATTCGAAAATGAGACGGAAGCCTGGCTTGTCAAGATACTCCATGCGGATATCAATAAGGTGCTTCAGCGCGGCCTCATCCCGGTCGGTGATCATTTCCGCAAGCGTCACCTGGTTCTTCATGGCAGACAGCCAGAATTCAGGGATACCCTGAACATCCTCAGACGCCTCATCGGTGGGCTGTGAAGGCTCTCCAGCGGCCTCAGCGGCCTCTTGTGATTCTTCATCATCCTCATCTCCTCGCTTAACCTCCTCCTCTGTAGGCTCGACCTTGCCATTGACGATGGCAGATCGCTTCTCGTAAAGGGGAGTAAACTTGGCAAAGTATTTCTTCTCAAGCTGGAGGACTTCCTCTTGGAACTCAGCCTCCAATTTGGCATGGTCCTTCTGGATTGCTCGCAGACCCGAAACCCGACGGCGGACGGGAGCAGGGAGAGACTCGATGTATCCTGAAGATTGTCCAATGAGAGAGCCAAGTCGTCCTTGGATCATTTGAACGAGCTTGGGGTTTTGCGCCAGGAGGGAGGCGGCAGCCGCCCGCTCCATGTCATCTATACAGGGGAATCACCTCATTAGATAGGCTCTCCCTGGGGTCATCGTATGGATTGAATTACCTTCTTTGATGCTGGCCACACCGGGCTGCTGGGCTCGGGAAGATATGGGCGCGGCGGTTGCTGGAGTGTTCTGCGGTGTACTAAGGCGGGGTAGTTAGTATTGTTGAGATGCGGCTGAGATGAGGAACAAGATCATCACTCACGGCGCAGTAGACACGTCAGAACGCTTGTTTCGAATAGGCTCAGCCATGGTGTTCGCTGGGCAAACAAAAAATCATACAAGGAGAAACTGAGGCTGTTGGGGAATGTGCGAATGTGAAAACGGAAAGTTTTGGGAGGAGGCGTTGGCGGTGGCTAAGAGTGGTGGGGCCTCAGGTTCGAGAAAATTTAGCTAGCGGATCAGGCCTGAGGCGCGTCAAATGGGCGCGAAACCCTTGATTTACAGGGCGGAAGACGGTACGTACTCTAAGACATGGCGATACTGTTGCTGCCTGGGCAAAGGAATCTTGGGGAGATAAAAATAGAATGATATTTAATCATGCATGTATTCATACAAAATACTATAAAAGAACTGTCACATAGCATAGTCCTTGAAAAGATTCAGGAATTAATAAAAATTACAAAGATTTCAGAGAGAAAATTTTTAGTTAAGAATATACATAACTATAATTCATAATAACAAGATTTAATTTGCATTTTTAGTTGGGATTTCGTTATTAATGTTACATGTTAAGACTACTAATAATATAATAATAACTGTAGGCCTACATTGCATTAAAATCTCCCTTCTTTCTTCTAGCTTTGCATAATTGATTCTTTAGCAGGGTAAAGGTATATCCCCAACACGCACGGCAGCTACGAGGCTTATCGCAACTTATCGGGTTGCTACCTATTTTTTCCTAGGCCATATCCATCTAGCTGCATCTACTCCGTAGATTGTCATAATTCTTATCGCGCCTGTATCACGCGCTTGATGCTTCAAGTGGAATCGAAATCTCTACATCTGACGTACCGGTGCGATATTCAGTCTGTACAACCGGCGCCCGAGAGCGCTGCACACCGTGGTTGACACCCTGCCTGCTTGCCGCCGATCATCCGTCACCGGCAATTCTGTATGCCTCTGCACTATGACTTAGTTAAGAGTGCTGGATAAAGTCGCCCTTCACGCCATCTCTTATTCCACCAGCCTTTCCTTTGTATCTCCGTCATGAACCGTAGCCTCGGATAGACACAATCACAATGGATCACCGTGATACCGCATCAGCAGCTCCGGCTGGTGAGCCGGCTGCTCTTCCGGCTCGTCCACGTCCTCTATATTTGCACCAGAGTAGCTCGGGCATTTTTGACGATGTCGAAATGGCCCATGATGAGGCGAGTGGAAGCTTGAAGGAAGCCATTATAACGGGTGGCTAACCATTGCCTTACAGCTCTACTCTGGTCCCGTCGCCGAAAGCCTTCCAAGCAGTGTCTCTGCATTTTCTCATCGTCGATCTCGAGCCGATTCTACCACCAGCTTTGTTTATTACGAGGGCGATGAAACAAACCATGACATAGGTGCGGGATCTTGGTATAGTTGATACAGTAGGAAGCGATCGCGGAATGCTAATTTCAACTAGGAGACAACCACGAATTCGCCATACCTGCGCTCGACGACGACGACGATGATCATTCAGCGGATGACGATTTCTTAGCTTATAACCACGACTATATGCTTCATCGATGTTCCTCGACGCAATCGCGCGCCTCTGTCCATGCCCATCTTCTTCGTAGAGATAGCAACATTACGACTACCAGTTCACACCCGTTCAATCGCACCAGTCAAAAAGTTTACGTGGAGAGTGAAGATCTGACAATGGCAATTGCTGGATTCCGCACAAGAATCGCAGGTTATATAGCTTATATAGCCCTGTGTATACTATCTGGAGGTATTGCCTACCTGGTCTTCAGATGGCTACCCAGGTGGTACATCTCTCTCCTGGGGCAGGCCTGCCCTCTAAGAGATTGTAGCTGGGTTGTCATAGAAAATCAATGGGGGGAGATGGAGATTCAACAAGTCCGAATTCAGGCTTACGGCCAACCGCTTTCCTCGATATTTGGGCTTCCAGAAAAGTCTTTATCCTATGGTCTGGATGATGAAAATGATCCTGTCGTCGACGACCTTCGATCTCTGAATTATCGCTACGTTCGATTCTGTTACCATTCTCTCAAGGATAAATTCGTTCTGTTGAGCGGCTGGAAAGATCCGAGTTGGACCGATATGCAAGCTGTACGGACTGGTCTTGACAGCGATGAGAAGTCGACTCGCGAGATTATCTTTGGAAACAATCTTATTGACATAGAGCAAAAATCTGTGAGCCAGCTGCTCGTTGACGAAGTAAGCCCAATTCCCATCCATAGAGATATGCTAATAGCAATGGCAATGGGATTGCATTCTCTTTCCTAGTTATTACCATTAATTGACAATTATCCCAGGTGTTGCATCCATTCTATATATTCCAAATTGCCAGTATCGTTCTTTGGTCGCTGGATTCATATTACTACTACGCAATTTGCATTTTTGTCATGTCCGTTGGAAGCATAACGACGACTCTCGTTGAAACTCGGGCAGTAAGTCCCCATCCTTCCACAACCTAAACCGCATAAGGGTTTATGTATCTAACTCTTGAAGACAATGAAACGACTGCGCGAGATTTCCCGCTTTGAATGCGATGTCCGAGTTCTTCGGAATGGGTTCTGTAAGTAATATACATAGACCTCGTTGCATACGAGCCACTACTGACATTTAAAGGGACATACATATCGTCCGGCGATCTTATCCCTGGCGATGTCTACGAATTAAGCGATCCTAATCTGTCTCAGCTTCCCAGTGACAGCTTGTTGCTTACGGGTGACTGCATCGTCAATGAGAGCATGCTTACAGGAGAGTCTGTTCCTGTTTCGAAGATTCCGGCGACTGACAGTACGTTGGCACAACTCGACCTTACTGCTTCAACCATTTCTCCTGAAATTGCGCGCCACTTCCTCTTCTGTGGGACAAAAATCATTCGAGCAAGGCGGCCCCAAGAGGATTTAGGTGGTGATGCAGTTGCTCTGGCCCTGGTTGTCAGAACCGGATTTAGCACTACCAAAGGTGCCCTCGTGCGATCCATGCTGTTTCCCAAGCCCTCGGGATTCAAGTTTTATCGCGATTCATTTAGGTACATCAGTGTCATGGCTGTTGTTGCCCTGCTTGGATTTATCGCCTCTTTCATCAACTTCATCCGGTTGCAACTGGAGTGGCATTTGATTATTGTTCGTGCCCTCGATCTCATAACTATTGTTGTGCCGCCAGCTTTGCCTGCTACCTTAACCATCGGCACCAACTTTGCACTTGCTCGATTAAAGAAAGCCAAGATCTTCTGCATCAGTCCACAGAGAGTGAACGTCGGCGGGAAGCTTGATATCATGTGCTTCGATAAGACAGGCACGCTAACAGAAGACGGCCTGGATGTCCTTGGAGTTCGAGTCGTTTCAGTGGACGAGCACAAATTTAGTGATGTAATCTCGGAGCCCCATCTCTTTGAGCAACGAGAGACAAGCCTCTCCTTTCAGAGCATCTTGCAAGCCGCTCTCCATGCCATGGCAACCTGCCACTCTCTTCGTTCTGTTGATGGCGAGCTTGTTGGTGATCCGTTGGATCTCAAAATGTTCGAATTTACGGGCTGGTCTTTTGAAGAAGGGAAGCACAATGTTGTGGAAGGCGAAGATGAAGATCACGGGAGTCTTTCGCCTTCGATTGCCTCTCCGCCGGATGTTAGTTATTGATGGCATATATTTCTGAGTATTGCAAGCTAACAAGGTGTCTAGAAATCTGTACAACTAGGCGTTCTCAAGTCGTTTGAGTTTGTCTCACAGCTACGAAGATCCAGCGTTATCGTGAGACACTTTGGAAGAAAGGATGGTGATATATTCGTCAAGGGTGCACCAGAAGCTATGCGTGAAATATGTCGACCTAGCAGCAGTGAGTAGCATGCCCTTTTTGCCCACATCAACACAACAAATTAACGATTATCGTCCTTTAGTTCCAAAGGACTACGATGAGTTGCTCTCATACTACACTCACAAGGGCTACCGCGTCATCGGCTGCGCGACACGACATATTAACCGATTGAGTTGGGTTAAGGCTCAAAAGATGACCCGTACTGAAGTTGAGCGAGATCTTGATTTTATTGGCTTCATCATTTTTGAAAACAAGCTGAAACCAAGCACGGCTGGAGTTTTGAAGGAACTCAAAGATTCCAACATTGCTACCGTGATGGTAACAGGCGATAACATTCTAACGGCAATCAGTGTTGCCAGAGAATGCGGTCTTCTTGACCGCCATGCGCACTGTTATGTACCTAGATTTCTCCATGGTCAGTGAACGCAATTCCCTGGCCCCTTTCGTAACATTAGGCTGACCCTAGTGTAGGTGACTCTCGGGATCCCACGGCAGAGTTGCAGTGGGAGAGCATTGACAATAGCATCTATTGTCTCGACAGTACAAATCTCACGGTAAGACCAGGCATTATTACCGTCAGTCCTGTTTGAGCAGTTGTGCTAAGTATGAACAGCCGCTTCCAGCGCCACCGGAAGGTGACATCTCGCTTCCTTACGACATCACCAACATGCAAAACTATTCCCTGGCTGTAAGCGGCGACATATTCCGCTGGATAGTTGACTATGCCCCGGCGGACTTGTTATCAAAGGTACGTCCATCTGCATTCGCATGCTCTAGGTAGCGGTCTAACAAGTACCAAGATGCTCGTGAAAGGCAAAGTTTTCGCCAGGATGTCGCCAGATGAAAAACATGAACTTGTTGAGAAGTTACAAAGCATAGATTATTCTTGTGGCTTTTGCGGTGATGGTGCAAACGACTGTGGCGCTTTGAAGGCTGCGGATGTGGGAATTTCGTTGTCACAGGCCGAGGCTTCGGTAGCCGCACCATTCACATCGCAGATCTTCGACATACGATGTGTCCTAGAAGTCATCAGGCAAGTTCAAACCCTTTTCTGCTCTCCACTGGCTTCTTATTGACCGCTTGACAGAGAGGGACGGGCGGCTCTTGTAACAAGCTTCAGCTGTTTCAAGTACATGAGTCTATACTCGGCAATTCAGTTCACCTCGGTTAGCTTCCTCTATTCCAAAGGCTCGAATCTGGGAGATTTCCAGTTCTTATTCATCGACCTTCTCCTCATCCTACCAATCGCTGTCTTTATGGGCTGGGCCGGGCCGGCCGAAAAGCTCTGCAGGAAGCGACCGACAGCGGATCTCGTTTCACGAAAGGTCCTTGTGCCTCTACTTGGATTGATGGGGGCTAGCATCGTGATCCAAGCTATTACATACATCACAGTTAAAGAGCAGTCTTGGTACGTGCCTCCGGAGCTAAGTCATGACGAAACTAGCATCAAGAGCTCAGAGAATACTGCGCTGTTCCTGGTTTCATGCTTTGAGTATATTTTCTCCGGAGTGATCCTAAATGCAGGGCCTCCTTTCAGACATCCCCTGTGGGAGAACTGTGAGTATCATTACCCGCCATGATTGAATTCAACCAGTCTAACTTTTCCAGGGCCTTTCATCGCAACCATCATTCTGAGTTTAGCAGCGACTGTATATATGATTGCAGGCCCAGCACCTTGGTTGTATAATTTGATGCAGTTGAGCGACATGAGCTTGGATTACAACTTGTTCCTGGTCCTGCTGGGCTTCATGTATTTTGCCCTGGCCTGGGTATACCAAGAATTCCTCTCACTGCGACTGGCAAGACTCCTGGGAGCGGCTAACAAATGGGTTACCGGGCGAGCAAAGAGAAGGAAGCAATACAAACTGATACAGGAGGAAATGAAGGGAGGTGTGTTTTAAGCCCGTAAGTGCGGGTGCTGTACTGCGCATTATCCACGCGTTGGTGTATTTTTATGGAATCAATACATAGACTACCAGTAGATACGCTGCTTCTCGGCCAGCAAGAATCTGCCACAGAGATGATGTCCAAAGCCATCTATCTCTGCAAGGGCAGAAAGTAATCAATATGCCATCTTCCAAGAAAGGCGCACATGGATGAGAGGTCGTGGATGAAGTCCTTTGGGGCCCATGTCTGGAGTAGATGAATGGACCCTTGGCCTTGGGAATTGCCCTGAGAGAAAGACACGAAGCAGCAAGGCCAACGATTTGCGTTGATTCTTAGGAGTGCATCATCTGCTTCAGTCGGCATGATCCTTCTTCCACTGCTCGAGCCAAGCCTCAATCCGGTCGATGTTGGACTCCATCTCCGTCGAGCTGTTGCTAGTGAGCTCAACCACGATTTCCTCGTCAAACGCTTCACGCGCCTCCTGCAGAAGCACCTCCATAATCTCAGAATCTATGTTCTCCTGAAGCTTGGCCTCAGCGTAATTTCTTTATATAATCTGTCAGCCGGCTAATGTAATGTGTAATGAGAGGCGGGAGAGAAGAATGAGAGGAAGAAGAAGAAAATTTTTACCTGGCCTCCAGACGATCATAGAGCGTCTTGGAATCAACTCGCAGCACCACGACAAGATCGATCCAGCTGCGTGGAAACAGGTCACACGCATGCCAGTCGATTATACAGCCCCCTGCCTTGACATCATCCTCAATTACATCCAGAAGCTGCATCGTTTGATTTCACTGATATTAGCGCTGGGCCGTCTTAGCACCGGAAGAGCCTTTGCTTACCTTGTCCTCGTCCACGATCCAGCTCTGGTACTCGTCGCTCCAGCCCTCATGGCATTCCTTGTCCTTGACCACCTGGTTCACGGAAAGATGTCGCAAGCCGGTCCTCTCTGCGAGGATCTCGCTGTGCGTTGTCTTGCCCACCCCGGGCGTACCGGTAATAATGATGTTCGGCGATGAGCGCATTGTTCTAGATGTGGAAAATTCAATGATTTTTTTGATTTTTTTGGCAGCAGATGCAGCTTGAGAAAGTCGATATCAGGACTGATAAAAGGTGCATTTGCCCAGAAGCACGGCCAAACTCCACCCTCTTCGCGCACCTTGATTAACCCCTAAAAAAAAATCTTTTTTTCCTCTACCAGAATCACTATCCTCGTAATTATTTCATTTGATGCTAGCGGACACCGCGCAATTGCCTAAATAGGGAGAACTAAATCCGCTCCGCTCTATACATAAAAAATGCCCAAGTAAATGTTGTGCTGCAGCACAACACAGAAACCTTTTTACAACCCTCGCCAGCCGCTCTGCTAATGCGCGCACCAGACATGTTGGCAGATGCTTCATCTTATCAAGCCCATTATCTAATATGATGCATCACCCGCCGATATACAACCAATACGAATCTGCTTACTGCTCTGTCTCGGACTCCTCGACCTCAGCCAGTTGCTGGTGGCCGTCGAAGCCATCGACATCGCCTGCCTCAAGTTTTTCTTGTTGCGCAATAGCCTGTGCTGAGACTATCTCTGCTAGCCGCTTCAGACGAGGTGTTTGTAGCCCTGGACATTCATTAGCCGCCTTTCTCTGCACACGTCTTGTACATATTTGGACTTACACGACGGGGTATATGTTTCGAGCGCTGTAATGACACGGGGCTCTGCAATTTCATATGGACCGCTGTCTTCCATATCAACCGCCTGCAAAAGCAAGACGTCACTCTTCTCCGTCACTCGAGAGGCAACGGCCTTCATAATCTCTCCGTTAATAGGCTGCTCGTAGTCGGCAACGAGGTACTGGTTCAAGAGCTTTTGAATCTGGTTTGGTGAGAGCCTAGAAAAATCCGTTAGCATGAGAACGCGTGTCGATCAAGATTGACCCCCTCAAAAAAAAAAAAACTTACATCCAGCAAATGTCTTGGATAATTTCAATATCGTTCAGTGTCGCTTTCTTGAGTTGAAGTAGCTTGGTTGCTTGCTAGAGGCCCAGAGATGTTAGCATTCCATCACATATTCTGGTCAGCAGTTTCGTTTCATACCATCAAGTGTTCAAGCTGCAGCGTGCCTTCTGGCATGTCATGGCTCTTACACCATTCTTCAATGCGAGTGATGTTGTAGTTGATCTGAAGACCACGTTTCCACGACAGGAAATTGCGGCGCATAAGCAAATCATTAAAGGCCGTTACGCCAACAAGATGTAGCAGCTCCGTGATAGTTTGAGTAATGATTGAATCTTCCAAGTAATAAGCCTTCATGGCCCGGAAAACGCTGTTGAGCAGACTGAGAAGGTTGTCCATGCTATATGCCGGTGCGGAATTTGACTGTAATAGTTTGCCCAGGAACCGGTTACTCTCATTAGTAATGAAACCTGGCAGCGACTGTGATTCTATGATGGCGGGAATAATCATCTTTTGCAGCTTCTTCTTCAAAACCTTCATCCAGGTGTGGTAGATGTTGAACTCGAGACTTTCCAGGTCGTGCTTGACAATTTCCAGAAGACGGTCATACTCGTAGTTATCTGTCTTTTGTGTCTGGTACCAATCCTCTGCCAGGAAGACAAAGGAGAGCATTTCATGGACGTTGGATAGCCAGAATGCGCCAGGGTTAATGGCCTCATCGCCATCGTGCTGCATCACCTCTTGCTGAATCGATTGCATGACATTGGCAAGGAAACGCTCCGACTCCTTGACAAATCCATTGTTCCACATTTCGGAAGTTACCAGGTTAATGAGATAAGACGGGAACAGGACTTCCTTATCAGAGGGGGGAGGGTTTGTGTTTGGCGACGGTATCTTTAGGTTGCGGATAAGACCCATGGTAACCTCTTCATTGAGGCCATCCTCATCGGCAAGGAGGCTTTCAAGTTCCATTTCAATGTTGTCGACCCCGGGAATGAAGGTTGATCCTGATAGGTTTTGGCGATGAAGAGTGCTTGTGACAGCCATGGATACCGGTCTAGGGTTGTAAGTTCCGCTCAGGCGATCCAGCTCGCGGGGCTCCGCGCCAGCGCTTCGGCGCTTCGGTTTCTTAGATGAGACGAGGTTGATGAGTCCGCTGGCCACGGCTGGCGCATTGCTAACACCATTGGTGATATCGCCATTGAGCGTTCCGGTGCGCTTCGCCAGCTCCAGCGCATCCCGAAGTGCATCAAGTTCCTGTCGAAGGCTCATGTTATCTCTCTCGCGCTCCAAGTTGGTTTCTTTGGTTGTCTCTAGCTCAGAACTGGTTAGGCGAAGTGATTCCCTGAGCTCGCGTTCTTCTTCCTGCATACGCTTGATATTCATAGTCGACTCGTCGAATGCTTGCTGGAGCTTCTTCATTTCGTCTTCCATGGCTTGGAGGCGGGCAACTGCAATGCCTGCTTGGTTGGCCTCTGTTTGCAATTCTTTGGTTCTCGCCTCGAGTGCGTTATGGCGGTTCTTCCACGATTTGAGCTGGCCCTCGTAGCTTTCCACTTGCGAAATCAAATTCTTGTTCTTCTCCTTGACGGATCCTAGGTTCTGGGTCAATTCGACAACTTTGTTCTCCAACTTATACGAAATCTGCTTCAAGTCGCGGGCCTCTTCTCGCATCTTCTTGTATTCTTTGCGAGCAGTCCTTCCACGCCAAAGGCTTTGAATCAAAATCACCTTCTTGCGGTATTGCCTCCAGGTGCGAAGCTGTGTGCGCTGTCTCCATACCCTTTGGATGACAAGTGCAGCATTGCCAACCCTTGTCTCCATAATGTTCTTCCTACGAAGGTAACCCTTGGCAACTGACTCGAACAGAATCAAGTTCTTTCGGATTCGTAGGAATTCTTTGCGTTGCTTGTATCCGCGCCAAACTCGCTGAATGGTTGTTGCGGCGCGGATGGTTCTTAATTCTAAAGCCTTCTTTCTTGCTATATATGCGCGAATAGCGGCCTGTGTTTGGACAATGGACTCGCGAGCCTCCAGATAGCGACGGCGATAATACTTGGCTCGCAGATTCTTCTGGATGAGGATAGCACATTCGTTGAGGCGGTTGGTGCGTAGGTTTTCCAGGAAAGCAAGCATACCGGCACGGAAAAAGATCTTGGTTAATCCAAGCTGATACTTGTCGAGACCTTTTCCGGTGCTAGTACCCAACGCTTTGGTCAAAATGGCATCAGCCATTTGCCGGATTTCAGAGGTTAATTGACTGGAGTGAACAAGCATGTAATATCGCAGAGCAAATTCTTCATAAGTCCAGCGAGTCGGGTATCCAGCCGTGCTGATACGAACAGTCTCGAGCACACCACAAGCACGAAGCTGGCTGAGAACCATTGGTCCTTCGAATTGCCAGGCTTCTTTGGCTTCGTTGGGCTTGATGCATCTGATGTAGTGCACATCTGTGTTGTTGATGGTGTTCATCAGCTCTATCAAGGACGATCGGAAGATTCCTCCCAGAGTTGGTTTCCTGTTTACGGCCACGCCAATCTTCCTGCCAGCAGCAGGCTTGACAGCGTTTGACGAAGCCGATGCAACGTCCTTTTCTCGAACAGCTGATGCAGCATCCAAAACTTGCTTGAGGAATGAGTTGCTCGAGGCGCGTAAGACTGCCATGTGCTCGTCGGGCACGGTGTCTCGGTTCTTCTCGATGAATCCTTCGGATTCATACGTGACATCAACGGCATAGTGGCACACGGTAAAGGCCGACTTGCCAAATCTGGGCTTCTTGAAGAAGGGCTGCTTTTTCTCGGTTGCGAAATTGTGGTGAAGCTTAGTGACAAACTGGTCATCTGATCCCATGGGGAGACGAGACTCTTCGTCCAAAAGAGAAAGAATGCCCATCTTGCCTTCAATCAAGTCAATACACGGCTGGTTGTCCGAAAAGTCGATGAAAGTCCAATCGATCTGCTCCCGCAGATACTCCTCCTGTTCAAGCTTGAATACATGCTGGTTAAATTCTTGTTGCAGCTTTTCATTAGCATAGTTGATACAAAACTGCTCGAATGAGTTCTTGGCAAAGTGCTCAAAGCCGTAAATATCTAATACGCCGATAAACGAGGTGACACGGCTAAGGACTTCTTCTGTTGCGAGACTGTGGTTGATAATTTCAACCAACCAATCGAATAAACTGGAGTAAATGAACTTGGCGACGGAATCGCGCACCACGATAGCCTGTGCCTGGCTCAGGTTGGATGTAATCTTTTCACCTCGAGTTACGAGCTGCTTCTTCACAATCCACTTGGCAAACTCGGCGGCATCAACGCCCAATATGCCACAGGCTAGCTCCAGCGATGGCTCATTGGGCGCAAGGACACTGTCGTTTCGCGAAGCGGTGATTTTGACGTTGCCCAGGTGAAGCAAACCAGCCAACAGCTTGAAGATATCAGACTGCTGCGCTTCCGATACGCCAATTGTGGACAAGGATTTCTTGGTGGCATCAAACTCAGCCTTGTCGTCCACTCCGTCAATGGTTGGGCAATTTCCCTGGTTCAAATACTCAAACTGCTCAATTGGAAGGATGCTCAGTGCCTCCCGCTCTTCGTCTGAGGCTCCTGCAACCAACTGGTAGAAGATGTGATAGTTTCGCTCTTTGAGGGGCTGGAATACAAGTCTTGATCGTTCCAGCAGATAGGTGCGAATCTTGGCACCAATAATGTTTCTCTGGTCGTCAAACATGATTTCGATATATTTACCGAATCGTGATGAGTTGTCATTTCGGGTGGTCTTGGCGTTGCCAAAGGCTTCCATGATGGGGTTGGTTGCCAGAATCTGCTCCTCCGTCTCGCTCATCTGCTCGGTTCCTCGCTTGCCACGAGCACCAGGGTTGTCTGGAGACTCTCTTGTGGCGAAATAACGCATGATGTACTTGGCGCTGACTGTCTTGCCAGCACCGGACTCGCCAGAAACGACGACGGTTTGGTTTTTGCCATCACGCACCATGTCCCTAGAGAAGATCATCCAGTCAGCATCAGACGCAGCTCGCAAGTTATGGCCGTGACATACATGAAGGCTTCTTCAGCAATTGCAAACAAGTGGGGTGCTTGGGTTGCGCGCTGCTTCCCCGCGTACACCTGCACCATGCCCGGGACATAGAGAGAGTCGACTCGAGCAAACGGGTTGGTTGCTATCAAGACGATACCACTGTAGGTATAGATTTCCTTTTGTAAGTAGCGCAATCGAATCGCCTGCAACACTGCCCGTCCACTCTTGTAAGCAAAGGTCGGTATGGGGGAGGCGGGGTTCGAGGGACAACATACCGGCCGGCTCGTTAAGATGCGACAGGTTAGTGAGGTCATCACTGGCTTCCAGGATAGTCGGGTTCATGAGCGGCGGCAGTGAAGGGTCAGAGCCGCCGCTCTGCAAAATCTCCGTTGAGACATCAACGGTCCTAGTCTGGAGAGCCAGGCGTTAGCATCTACCCCTCCCCTCAGCTACCCAGAGGTATGCGACATTGCACATCGCAAGAATAGATTGTACATACCTCGCCATTCTCGAGCTGAAAGACGAGTTTTGTCTTGGTGCCTTCGACCGTCCTGCTGATGAGCTCCGAGGCTACCCAGCCCTCGGCTGCGTCAGGCTGCCACGCTCTCGTGCCGACATCGTAGGTCGCTGCCATGGAGGAGCTAGGTCAGGCGGGAAACTAGAGCTAGGAAGAAGGGTAAGACAGAAAAGAATAGAAAGTGATAAAAACTAGACGGGCTGACAATGAACGAGAGACATTCATGGGCAAGTCGACGCCGAGTCTGTTGTAACGATGAGAATGCAAATGTGTAGAAATGAGTGCCTTCGCAAGAAATGCGGCGGTGAGAGTGTTGTCCACTTCTCTTGAAGATTAGGGGATAACACAAGATGTCGACAGGATGCTAGCAAGGGACAGCACACCTCCAGCACAGTGCCGCCACAACGAGGGTCAGGGGGTTAAATTGGTGCCTCTTCCTATATAGGTAATGCCACTTCAGTGGGCTGGTAGGAGCTCAAGCGGTCACTTGCATGGATTTATCTGGCTAGAGCGCCGACTAGGAGGCATCCTGTGGCCAAAGAGCTGTGAGATCCAGCCTCTCCAAACGTTGGTTTATGCCTCTTCGCACTGCCCGCTTGTTAGTTAGTATACTTTGTACTCACTTGACGGGGTTTTAGTGTGCTCAGCGTCTAAAACGATTCGCGCGTCTCGATACCTACCCACCACTAGTGCCAACCAAGTGAGCGTTCAAAGTATTCACCAGTGTCTTGTCTATCTTGAGCATCAATAGAAGATACTGTACTCTACAGGTACTCTATCCATGCACAGCAGGTAAATGCTGATAATTTGCAGGGTACAAGGGCATCTCGGGCTTGTTGATTAAGGTACCCTGCGACTCCATCTCTCCCGCCAGGTAGGCTCACGTCCCCAGCCTGCTGGCAAAAAGGGGACTCGGCTCTGGCATGGTGGGATAAACCTCACCCCCACCCGCCACCATCCCATTGAACCCATATTACGGAGTATTTTAAGATCTAGTTGCAACAGCGCACAGCTTACCCACAAAGGGACCGCAAGCCCCTATGGACAGCTATGCAGATTCGCCCGCGTTGCGCAACATTGCGCTAGAGAGTCGGCGCATCGAGTCTCGCGCATCGCCAGTCTATGCTCGCCATGGCGAATCCTCTAATCCCGGTACAGCACACACATCTGCCTCCATGAGCGCATCCGTCGACCAGGAAGCGGCTCGGAGAGATGAGGCAGAGGCTTCCACCGTCCATGTGCGGGCGATGGCAGCAGCCGTGCAGCAGCAGAAGACGCGGCGCCGCAGGGGATCGCTCAGGAAAGTTGCGCTGCTGGGAAGAGGCGCTCAGCGAGACAGGAGAGACTGGCCGCTGGCTATTGAAACAGACGCGATAGCTGACGCGCCCATTTCTGAACCTGCTCGCTTTGGCCCTGCTTCTGGTTCTGGAAGCACGGTGCACAACGCTCTTGGCCTCAACATCTCCCCTATCTCATCCCCGGCAAATGAATATCCTTGCCAGCCCAATCTCAATCTTATTGGTTCGCCAACTCCTTCAGCCTGCTTCGATGCCGGGATGGGCGGGAGCGAGAGACAGGCGGACATGTACAGTTTCACAACCGATGAGGAAGACATCATCCAGCTGGGGACTCGTGCTTCTCAGTCGCTTCGATCTGGCCTCCCTCTGTCCTCTGGATCCGAGTCTTACTACGCTGGACGTGCCGCAACTGAACGTCGACAAAAGGCTAAATCCCCGCTCTCTTATTCCGCCTCAACTCTACCTCAGCCTGGTGTAGGCTGGGACTATTCCGAGACTGAGTGGTGGGGCTGGGTGGTTCTGGTGGTGACCTGGTTTGTCTTTGTTATCGGAATGGGCTCTTGCCTTGAGATCTGGAAATGGGCTTGGGATGTAGGTAAGAAGCCGTATGCACCGCCTGAGCTTGAGGATGACGGGACTTTGCCAATTATTGGTTACTATCCTGCGCTCATTACTTTGACATGTGTCATGGCTTGGGTCTGGGTGGTTGTTGCTTGGGTGGGGATGAAGTATTTCCGGCACGCAAAGATCAGCGGCGATTGAATCCGTATAATGTTAAAATAATAAGCGCGCTTGTGTATTCTCTTCATTAATTAGACGGGGTTGGTTTTATTTTGGAAACACTCAGCGAATGTATACCACCGCGATGGTTAATCGGGTGTTTAAAACATGCATCTCTAGGGTAGAAACATCCCCACAGGCAGAGGATAAACCAGTGATCGGTCCTCTCCGCCCAATGAGGTATTCGAAGTATGTAATAAGTGATGACTGGATATTGCAAACGGGAAGAATCAGGTGCTCGTGGGGTTGTTGTATTTAACTCATTCATTCAAGTTACCTTAGTAGTATACCAGCGAACTCGATGCCCATGAAGCCTAGCTCCGAAGTCTATCATAGTAGAGTTCCGATATGGGGAGGAGGACTTCTTGCTGACCTAGATAAACCTGGCCCAAAGGTTTACTATTTTCTGTCTTCAGGCACTGCTTTGTGCACCTGCAAGACCAATCTCATTTTTATTAAAACCTGCAACTCCTACCTCTGGTCTTATGTCTGAAACAATGCCCTTGCCCAACCTGCCTACAGAGGTTAGGCGTATGATACTCGAAGCTCTGGTGAAAGAAGGCGGCGAGCTGGCGCGCTTTGCTGCCGTGTCGCGAGAGTGGCAGGCAGTGATCGAGCCACAGACATTTAAACGGATAAAAATCACACCGTCACGCATCGCCGACTTTGATAACATGACTCGTCGTAATCGATCTCGTGTAAGGTACTTGTGGCTTTGCTTGGAATTAGAACGCTACGATTGTGATGCATGTTCTCCCGATGGTGACGATGATGACGTTCCAATGTTCAACAGCGCCGCAGACGACCTTCTAATCAAGACAGCCATTCAATCTTTTCTCTCAGTCCTCAGCGCCTGGGACCGAAACAGCTCTTTGCCCCTCGATATTAGTATCTACTCAACCAGTGATGCAGAGCACTGGTTTAAGTATCTCACATTTGAACCAGACGATGATGAAGATGATGCCTCATCTAACCAAGGTTATTCTCATGCTTCACGGTTCAGTCGAGCAGTTCCATGCGAAGTTGATGATGCACGACATCGATGGGATGCTACTGATTGGAGCGTTATCACGGCCCAGTCTGCTGTCCAGAACGTCTTTACCCGAATATTGGGCGATCCGTCAGGCGAATTCGAGGATGAGCAGACGGACCATCTTGAATGGTGGAGAGAGTTACCACCGGTACCGGCTATCACGCGTCTGCTTTTACGTCAACAAACCCGCCGGCGCTGGGAACCTGAAGCGCTTACTGAAATGTTCGCCAGATTTCCGAGATTACGTGAGCTACACTTTGAACCGTGGAGGGAGTGGGATAACATGCTCCAGGAAACTACAGACCTAGGTGAGACAGCGTTTTCCCCAAGCGTACTGCTCAACAACAACCTACATTACCATCCCGTAAGTATCTACACATCCACTAATACATTGTCTTTCTTTCCCTAGGTTATCTTACTCTCCTTGAGTCTCCTAGCATTCGAAGGCTGAATAGATTCACCATTTTCGAGAATTTTAACCAGCGCTACGTGCACGCTTACTCGGAGATGGACTGCTCACGCATTCGTCCTCCAAATCCTGCTCTTAGTCGAATCCTCTCTGAGGTTAGTAGCAATTATGAATCTCTTTCAGCATCATTTGTGGTGGATGCAGAGGAATTCCTTGTCTTGGACGCATATCAACCTCTGAAAACGTGGCCCAACCTGAGACATCTGTTCCTTACTTCACAGTTGTTGGCGCCTGATCAAGATATGACACGAGTTACAAATATGCTTCGAGCAGCAGCAAGGGCGGCCGTTTATATGCCAAAACTTGAAACATTGCAAATATGGAATGGACGAAAGAACCTTGCCGCGCTCTTCAAGTATGAGCCCGCCACAGAACAAGGCCAGACTTCTACCATTACTTGGAAGGGTACCTGGGAGTTTTCTTTAGAGGCTTCCGCCGTTCAAGCTTGGCAATCTCTAGCGCCCGAGCCCTCACAACATGGAATGAGAGTGATTCACGAAAGTTTTGACGGCGACCAGGTACGATGTCATGGCGATGCGATGCTCCTCCTAGAGCTTCCGGAGGTGGTCATCCGACATGTTTCACTACGACAGATTCGGAATGAACAAATGTACAAACCACTGGAGGCTCGTTCATCCCATACGTCAAGGTGATTTTTTGCATACTCAGCATCTATAGCCACCAACCCCAACTCCCTATATAACGGACCCCTTCAGAATCTCGATTCCCTCCGACTCGATTCGTCCATCATTGTAGTCAGGGCGAGTGTGCGGCGATGAATTGAAGAAAAAAGACTGTCTACTTATACGGTATTTACTGGCCGAAGCCACGGCGGCCTGGCGCGAATCTTCCAAAGCAGCAGTGCCCGCCAGATCCAAAAGCCTGAAAACAGTACTTCTCTCTTGACACCGCGCGTCAACAAGTACATGCGTTCAGAGGAAGTACTAGGTAGCCACCCCAAAGTTGGGAAATTCAACTGAAAGCTACTAAGTGACCTTCATCTCGATACACTACTTCCCCATAGCAGGATTACGTAGATACAGAAAGCAAGTATGACCTTTACCGGAGCAACCGCAATGCCGGTAACGTCGCTACCCGGTGAGAAGATGATGCAAATGATTTCCTGCGTTGAAGTGCAAGAACTCCTTGGTCTGCAGAGAAGCTGAGTGCTGAACTATGGCCGGTCAATAGCAACCTTCATGGCCCGGAAACCGATTTGGATATCTGTGTTCTTGGTGGTTGCTAACCTGAACGAATCCAACGTGGCCGTGTCTCTATGTCTAGACCCTCGGCGAACCAGAGGCCAAGAGACCAGTCACTGTGTGAGCCGGAAGAGGTGCTGGGGATCTTGCTAGCAGCCTCGGTTTGACGTGCTGTCAATGACGAAATACTGCCAGATCGAGGCGACATCTTGCGAGGCGGATCGCAAGCGGATAGCTAAGCATCAAAGCTACACGCTATCTATTTTCCTACCATTCAGAAACTGACTGATGGTTTGTTCGCTGAGCAAGAGACAAACGCGATCCATCGATTCGGGAAAATTGTTGGCTCAATACGAAGCAGTCATCGTTGCGAATCCCGTGCCAAAAGCTGCCTTGGGAAAGATGCTTAGCATCCCCTCGACGACATTAACGACCAGTTGGGACTTGCTGCATTCAGTGTTACACGTTCCACCATCAACCCATTTACCAGTCAGATTAATGCTACATGTGTCTTTTCGTATGATGGACGTAATATAACAAATCCTCAATAGTTGAAAAACGCTGGTGGTCGGCGGCCACCACCTAATTGTTATAGGCAGGTTGTAAGGGTATCTTAAGTCGTCTACTCCGTAAAGGCCGAAGATCTTACAGCATTGACTACGTTATAATTGTGTGTGGAGGACTAAAATGATGACGAGCATCTTAACGTGGGTTTAGTTAACCACCAATAACAGAATCATTTACATCCTGATTTAGAGCTATGGGATGCAAAAAAAGGAAAACATCACACTTGCATAGTAGATATGGTCATACGTACGGAGTACTCAAACACAGGGATAATTAGCTAGGAACATTAAAAAAGCAAAAAAACATACAACAGCCGGTGTTCGCTGATGGTCACCCACTCAACTACTAATCTGCCGGTTAGAGGCTTGTCTATGGGGGAGCAGACGGGACCCCGAATTTTCCTCTACCTATGGTCGTATGTGACAGATTATATATGTTCCATACTTATAAAGGGGTGTTAATGATATACTCTAAATTAAAAAGTAAAAAACATACAACAGCCGGTGTTCGCCAGTGGTCACCCACCTGACTACTAATCTGCCGGTTAAAGGCTTGTCTATGGGGGAGCAGACGGGACCCCGAATTTTCCTTTACCTATGGTCGTATGTGCTAGTTACACAGCAAATCTAATTTATGTAAGAAGATGTGCAGAGGCCTTTCATGATGCATGCCTTGAGCTGCATGTGGGATTGGATGATTTTTTTTTGCTGCATCTATGTACTCCACCTTGGCTCCTTCCCGCTTATTTTTGTCTGAGGTACCTGCTTGATGCGCCAAGCCCTCTCACCGCCTTCCAAGGCGGTGGAGAAAAAAAATGCTTAGAACGGCAGAATATGGAGATTTTTCCAAATGTCTAGGCCCGGCTTGTCTGCAAATATACACATAGACAGCCGAAAACACCACCACAACACAGCGCATAACCCTGCGAAAAAAATATTTAAAAATGGTGACGAGAAGCAAGCTGCGGTTGGCATTGGCCGCTGAAAAGGGGGTTGACTTTGCCAAGATGAAGCAGCAAAAAAAAGGAAAGGAAACAGCCAAGAGAAAGGCTCTCAAAGCAGGCAACAAAGAGCGAGAAGATGAGGATGAGGGCGCCTCAGATGATGAAGTGGAGGAAGACCAAGAGAAGGTTGGAATTGAAGTTCTACTCAACATGCTCTGCTCTCCTATCTAACATACCCCCATAGATGAACCTTGACGCCATCTACGAGAGCGATACTTCTGAATCTTCAATTGAGCTTGAAAAGAAATTGCCAAGAAAACCAGCAACTAGCAAACAGATTTCTCAGCCAGCGGAGGAAGAAAAGGACGAGGATGAAGACGAGGATGAAGACGAGGAAGAAATCCCCGTCTCCGACCTTGAAGACCTCGAAGAAGATGAGAAAGAAGATATTGTCCCCCACACAAGACTGACCATCAACAATACGTCTGCTCTACTCGCGGCGCTCGAGAGAATAGCCATCCCGACAGACAAAACCGTCCCGTTTGCAACCCACCAGTCTGTCGTCTCAACTACACAAACTACGGAATCCATACCCGACGTATCGGATGATCTGCAGCGAGAGCTTGCTTTCTACTCCCAATGCCTGGAGGCTGTGCGCGTGGGCCGATCTCGGTTGATCAGCGAAGGAGTGCCATTTTCTCGACCAAAGGATTACTTCGCCGAAATGGTCAAAGAGGATGCTCACATGGAGAAGATCAAGGCGAAGCTGGTCGAGGAAGCGTCTGCCAAGAAAGCAGCAGCCGAAGCACGCAAACTTCGTGACTTGAAGAAGTTTGGCAAACAAGTACAAGTTTCCAAGCTCCAAGAGCGACAAAAGGCCAAGCGTGAGGTGCTTGACAAGATCAAGACACTCAAGAGAAGTGAGTCTCATTCTGTTCAAAACTCCAGCTCATGCACGCTAGTTTGCTAACCGAAATCACCGCACAGAACGCCAGGAGCACAGTTCTGATGTCGGCACAAAGGAAGCTGATATCTTTGACGTCAGCGTTGACAACGAAATCGCCAAACATTCACAGCGCTCTGGGGCTGGTCGACAACAATCAGGAGCTCGTCCTGTGAATGCCAAGCGTCAAAAGAAGAACGAAAAATATGGGTTTGGAGGGAAGAAACGCCATGCAAAATCTGGGGATGCCATGAGCTCTGGTGATCTTTCCAAGTTTAGCGCCAAGAAAATGAAGGCCAAGTCATCACGGCCGGGTAAAAGTAGGAGAAAGGCTGCCGCTTCCAAATAATTGACCAGACACTATTGATTGACATTCAGTTTGCCAAAAGGCTCAATGGTTGATTAATGGATGCGTTTGGTCACGGATACAGTGTCATTATCTTTGCCATGCTTATTCAATACAATCCTGGAGCTGGCTGGCCTCAAGCCTCATCTGTTACTGCTAAACATTTCAATTACCTTTAATCTCACCAGCTGTTTAGGGATAGAGCATAGGTCTATTCATCGCATTAATTTAATCCGTGTGTATCAGTAAAAGAAAGGGGAGAAAGCTTCACGAATAAATTTCCGGGTCTCATGATATATCACCCTTTTGCCATGACCCATACATATTACAATAGGTTACATGATGAACATCCTGGGAGAGGGTTAAAAGAATCATTGCACAACACTTCTATGTATGTTCTCTCTCTCTCGTGCTTGATTCTTGGAGGCTATCATGACAGCAGTAGAAGGACGGACACTCTCAGAACAAGTTGCGTAATATCACTCTTCACGTTGCACCGTACCAAGCTATGCTGGTCGTTGGTTTGGTTTATCAGTATATTCTAAAGTGATGCAAAGTAAGATGGATGATGTATTGACAAATAACCCAATGAAGACCCCGACCTTCATCTAATGATGCCCTTACATCAATAAGTAAGTATGTGGGCATATATATCGTATATTTTAGTGTGTTTGCCCATGCCCAAAGGATTACGATCGCGCGACAGAGCGTACTTAATAAAACGCCTAGACTTTGAAACGCGAGAGCCTTGGAAAGGGCAAAGAACCAATTTGAACGACTAAGACGATACCAGAGGCACGACCCATGCTCCATGATTAAAAACCTAATACGCCATGAAAACCAGTGGTATCGAGAAGAAATGCTATGCGGTAATAAAACGCTTTATGATTTAATGAAGTCGCAATTTTCCAACGAAGATGTAAGACCAAAAATAGCTGTGATTTGATGAAGCTGGGGAAAACGAGCAGCTCATTCCAATGCGAGAAGTCGTCACTGCGTTGCAGCCACACACCAGTGACGATGAAAGGCCCAGGCACTCTTTTGGCAGTCCTTACTGCAGTACTTTGTCCGACGGCACCGACGGCATTTGGCGAATTGACGGGTGAACTCCTCCCATTTGCCGCATTGATAGTATGCGCATTGTCGAATTCCACCGCGCGTGTCATCTTTGCGACATAGGTTGCGCATCACCACCCCTGCCCAGTATTGCATGTCCGTGCTGTGGTACCGTACAGTAAACTTTTCGACCAAAGGAAATAAGTTAAAGTCATCTTCGAGCAAGTATTCGTCCTCAATGTCGCTCTCGTTGCCAGCAGAAGAGGAAGCTTCTTCCTCTTCTCCCCCGGCTTCATCTGCGTCCAGGGCAAAGAGATCCTTGGCAATTGCAAGAGTGGGCACAAGGTGGCTTTTCTGAAAGTATGTACGCAAACAGCAATACTTAGAGACATACGCCAGTAACTGCAGAGACATAAGTACATCCTCTTCGCGTGGCATAGCAGCTAACAATTGCGGATGCGGTATGACATGTCGGTCGAGCAAATATCGAGGGATGGTAGAACTCGGAGTTGGTGGGTGAGGCGTAGCAACTAAGGTCGGACGGCTAGGAGAGAGGCCAACTGGCGCAACTGGTGTATGTGTCATATCATCTCTAATGCTCCCATCGAGATTTGAACGGTGAGCAATGTTAAAAGTCTCAGCATCCTGGTGGGCCTCGGATGCAGTAGGATTAGTTAATTCAAGTGAGTCTCCTGTCAGGATAGCCTCATTATCGTCCATTGTGATATCTTGAATTCCCACAGCAGACTGTATCTCTGCAGCCCCCGTCATTTCAGTCTCTGGAGCCTCGTCAGAGGGCATACTATCACCGTTGAAATCGTCGGATTCGGCTGTTGAATTCTGATGTCTGATTGACGGGCGCCTTCGTGACCGACTGACCGTAACATCCAGGTTTGTTGCAGATCGCACTGTTGGTGGCCGCAGCTGAAGTAGAGGAACGGGAGTCGTAGGTGACATAGGTTGAGTCATCAAGTCGGTAGTCCCAAAGGTAGATATGGAGGTCAGACGGTCTACATCACGCAAGACTCGTGCGAATCCATCATGGCTATCTGCAATCGGGGCCCCGGGAGCTGGAGTGTGTGTGTCTTGCCGCGTTGTGGTAGCATATGGCGCATCCGTCGCATGAGACGTCGGTGGTTGGGGATTTGGTGCCAAAATTGGACCGTCTATGTTGGCATAGAGATGTGAATAAGATGCTGAGGCTGCATCAACACCCTGTCCAGTCGAATTGACGGATGGTCCAGCCAGAGCCTCTAATGCATCAGGAGTTGATGACGATTCCCGTCGTGTAGCGCTTCGTGGTTCGCCGTCATGAAGCGCCGAACGGCTGGTGTAAGATGGAGAAACTTTTGATGAGTGCCGGTGGTCATGATTCCTGTGCCGGTGATGATGATGATCGTGAGACTGTTTCTGTTTTAGTTCATCGGCCTTTTCGCGACATCGTTCTATAACTTTGATATAGTTATCAAGGATCGTGGCTATGACAGGGACCATGTCTGCTTCCACCACCCTCGTCCGCACATTCTCTGTTCCTCGGACGCCGATGTTGACAACACATTGGAAGGCAAGATTCCACTTCCAAATGCTCATCATGTCCCCATTCCGTCCTTGCTTGAGGATACACACCAAGCGTTCAATCCCTCCATCAACTGTCAGAATATCGCGAATACGTGCCGAAGATGTTGTGAGATAGGCAAGATGATTAAGTGAGTTGATAAGAGGTAAAGTGGAAGTGCAGTCCAGTGCTCGGCGATCGTATAAGGCTGTAGTAATCCCCACTGACGCCTTGTTGACGTTGGGGATGCTGAAATTGACCTCTCTCATAATGGGTGAGCAAATGCAATGCGCAGTTGAATTAGCTATGGTCAACTACAGCGGCGAATATTGCGGCAGGCCACACGCGATAAGTTTAATGGGTCGTTGTCAAGTTTGTCGGCGTGGTGAGATAAATTTCGTCAGGCAGGCGGTGATGATGCGCGATTCGACGGACACAGGTTTCCCTTTGCCACAGCCCGATTTGACGGCCTGTTGACTGCGTAAAGCTCAGATCGCGTGATCGTTCGTTGGCAAGATAACGCTGCGGCAGAGGGACAAAACAAGAGTCGGACCACAATAGTAACGCCTCGAAGACTGTTGGATGACAAATGATGGGATATCGAAGAAAAATGTTTGACGGAAAGTTATCGAAGTAGTGTGGTGTTGACCCTTAGCTTGGCGGCTGTTTCAGGCAGGGATTTGGGCGAGGGGGCGAGTTCCATAAGCGCTCTTGGATGAGAGAGGATAAGGGAGGAAAAATAAGGGAGAGAGACGGGAATAGTCGAGGAGAGAGGCTTGATGTTGCTCTGGCGCAGCTGAGCGAGATAGAGATAGGTCTGGCGAGGAATGCACTGAGGCTGAGGATGATGGAGTTGCAAGGGGAAAGAGGCGCGAAATGGCAATGGCTGTTAGCGCCGGCGGACAACGATGAGGGCTGAAGATAATTTAGTTTGAGTAGGTGCTGAGTGAGCTCACGGCCGGTATGGCATAACATACCAAGCCTAGTACGTACTACGCTCATTACGCTTCGCTGGGCCTGCTTGGGATTAGAAAATGTTAACCAATATAAATAATTAGAAATGTAATTGTTATAAAAATTATTTACTATACTAAAAGAAGCATGATAATATACTATGATGTATATTTTTTTTCACTTATAAAACTAATAATACCGCTAGCTGAATTATTCTTGTTTTGACTAAGCTATATATTTATATTAATGACTGTTAGAATTTTACTTTCACAAACCACCTCAAATCAACAACCATGCCTCACAAACACAAATCAAAAAAGGGAGGATTCGAAGCCGAGTGCGTTCCCAAGCAAGCCTGAATGAATTTTGGCAACTAATCTTGAAATTAGATTCGATCTGCCCCCTACGGAGAAAGCTCGATCTCTTCCGGTAAACAAACGAAATGCGACATCAACTTCTGAAGGACGAGTCGCAAAGAAGCGCTCCAGAAGCTCAATGAGAGACAATGATACTCCACGAGCTTTCAAGAGACTTATGGCTGTAGCAGGGGGGAAGAAGATTAGATCAGGCTTGGATGATGGTCAACTTGACAAAACAACTGCGAAGAGTACTGATGTATCAACCGAGAAACTTCAAATTCGTCCTGGTGAAAACCTGGGGGCCTTTGCTAGCCGAGTTGATGCAGCCTTGCCAGTATCAGGGCTTGCGAAAAAAACCAGCACAGATGCAGACGGCAAAGATGCACAGGGGTTGAAGGTTTATCGAACTCGAAAAGAGCGTAAAATGCATAAACTTTACGACCAATGGAGGGCAGAGGAAATGAAGATACAAGAGAAGAGGGAGGAAGAGCTAGAGCGAATAGCAGAACGCGATCTTGAAGATGATGCCGCTGGTATTCTTACCTCAGCTGCATTTGAGAACGAAAACAGCCATACGAAAAAGAGAAAGGGGAATAAAAGAAGAAGGATAGCAGAGGAAGATCCCTGGGTAGAATTGAAAAAGCGAAGAGGAGAGAAAAAGGCAAAAATTCATGATGTTGTTTTAGCACCACCGGAATTTTCAAATAAAGTATAATAATAGTTAATTATAAAAATATATTAAAAAATAAAAATTAAAATTAATTACCGTATTTTATTAATATTATATTATATTATATTAATACTATATATATTTAAGAAACTAAATAATATAAATATTAATATAAATAAAAAGGTTTTATAAAGTTTTTAACTTAGTTCAAAAAGTATTAAAAAAATTAATTAGATTTATAATTATATAGTTTATATATTAAAAGCTATAATTAAAATTAAATATTTTAATATTTTATATATAAAAATATATATAATTAATTTTTAAATTATATAAATATTTAATAAATTTAATATTAAATTAAATTTATATATAATTTATATTTAAATATTATAAATAAATTATAAATTTAAATTTAAAAATATAATAAAAAATACTATTAATATTATTTTTATATTATGTTTTAAATAAATATAAAATAAAAATAAAAATAAAAATTTTCATTATATTAAAAAAAATAAAAAATAAAAAAAAATTATAAAGTTTTTTTAATATTATTAAATAAAATTTTAAATAATAAATTATATAAATTATATATTTAAAAGTATTATTATTTAATAGTATATAATAAATTTTAAATTATTTTATAAAATTAAAATATTATTAATAATTATAATTAATAAAAAATATAAAATTTTTAATATTAAATTATAATTTTATATAAAAATTAATTTTAATATAAAAAGGAAATAATTAATATTATAATAATAAAATTATTAAAAAATTATATATTAGTTTTTTATTTAAAATTAAAAATAAAAAATAACTTTAATTTATTTAATAATAATTTATAAAATTAAATATTAATAATTTAAAATATATTATTAATAAAAAATAAAAAATATAAATATATATTAAAATTTAAAATTAAATTAAAAAAATATATATAAATAAAATTAAAAAATTATATTTATATAAAATTATATTTATATATTAAAATTATTATATATTTTATTAATTATTTTAATTAATATAATTATAATTTTTTTATTAATAATACTTTTTATTAATAATATACTTTTAATTATTAAGTATAATTATTTAAAAAAATAAAATAGTATTTTTTTATTTAATTTAAATTTATATATGTTTAAATATTTTTATAAATTTAAAAAAAAAGGTTTTAATATTAAAAAATAAAATTTTAATTATAAAAAAATACTTATATTTTAAAATATTTTTTATTAATATAAAATAAAAAAATACTTATATTTTAAAATATTTTTTATTAATATAAAATAAAATAATATAATATTAAAAAAGTTAAAAAAAAAATTAAAAACAAATTAAAAAAAATTTAAAAAAAATTTAAAAAAAAAATTAGAAAAAAATTAAAAAAAAATTAAAAAAAATTAAAAAAAAAATAAAAAAAAATAAATATTCTTAAAAAATTATTATTTAAATAAAATAAATATTTAATATATAATATTTTAAAAAATAATATATTAATAAATAAATAATTATATTAATTTATAATTATTATAAAGTTTTATAAATTATTTTTATTTTTTAATTATTATTTATTATAAAAAAATATTTTTTATTTTTTTTTAATTTATTTTAAATAATATTATTAAAATTTTTATAAATATAATTTAAATTTAATATTAAT